CCCCCCTCCACATCCGTCGCCCGCGACAACCCCAGCCGCTGCAGCTCCCGCGCCGCCAGGCTGCTCGTATACCCCTCCTGGCAGATGACGATGGCGCGCGCGTCGTACCGGCCCCCCGCGGCCTCCAACCGCGCTGCGCTGCGCGGGTCGAGCCGCCACTCCAGCACGTTGCGCTCGATGACGGTCGCGCCGGCGATGTGGCCCTCGGCGGCGCGCTGGGCGGCGGGGCGGATGTCGATGAGGAGGACGGGGGCCGGGGGTGGGGTTTGGGGTTTGAAGTCGGACGCGAGGTGCGAGTGGTAGGCGGCGAGCTCGGCGGCGGCGGCGGCGGGCGTCAGGCGGGTGAGGTGGGTGCGGGCGGCGGCGAGGAGGTCGGCGATGGAGAGGGCGTCGGTTGGGGGGTCGTAGGGGGATTGGGGGGGCATTAAATTTTTTTTTTTTGGGGGGGGGGGGGGGAGTTGAGGGGGCGGTATGAGAGGGGTTCGTGGATGGTATGAAGAGGTGCGGGATGGGATGGGATGGGATGGGATGGGATGGGATGGGATGCGGAGGTTGGTGTTGGAGTTAGTGGAGGGGCATTACGTCATTTTGGGGTTTGTGGGCGTCAGATAGTATCGGGATTTGCGGGTTTGAGGTATGCGTTGGAAGGCTGAGAAAGAAGGGAGTGTGAGAGCATGTTTTGAGGTTTGGAAATGGGTTGGAGGAGGTGGTTCGTAGGCTAGCCCCGGGCCTATCAGGTTGCTTCTGTGTTTTAGGACTATTTATTACAGGTGGGCAGGTGGAGAAGCGAAATTTAGTATGATGCCTACGTTAGGGAATGGGCTCCTATCACGGTAATGATAGCAAAAAGAGGGGCATCGTGCGGCAGTGTTTTCAATAAATAGTCTCTATCTTGTGGGTTCTGCTATCGGTTCTGCTTTCGCTCAATCTCATCAACGTGGAGAGCATTCTCTCTTTATCGCAGCTAAAGACCACAGCTAGGGCGTTCGTAGTAGATGTCTCATTATCCTAATTATTCAAGGCGGCCTGGTATTGCGGGGTCCTACTCGCATGACTTTTAAGTCACAATTACCACTGGAATGGCCAGCAGGATTATAGTCAAATTGGGCGTTGGCCAACGGTCGCCGTTTTTGACCTGCTTCAGGGACTGCAGTCGACACTCTGCCGAATCAACATGCACTCTTACCCTTCTCCTTTGCACGCTGGTCAGACCAAGCCTTTACATCGTCGTTATCCTAGCCATGGCTTGTTTTTCGGAGGAAGATCAAGAAGCGTCCGCCCATTTGATCTCATAGCCATAGACTGTACGCCTGAGAAGCTCATCCTAGACTCATGTAAGTTCTTAGAAACCTCGGAGACTTGAAGCCACTCACACCACGATCTTCCTCAAACATGACCTTGTCCATGATGTTCTCAAAAATCTTAGTGACGGTAAAGCCGCTCTCACGAGCGAGATCGAAGAAGGCCAGGTCTTTTTGGAGCAGCCAGGGGCGGTATGGCGTGAACACCACAAAAGCCGTGGCTGTAGGAGAATGCTCCAGGGTATCTTGAATGCTCTTGACAAGCTTGGCGTGTTCAGAATGGTTGAAAAGGAGGTCAGCGAGAATCAAGACGTCGAAGCGTTTGGATCCGCTAGATTGAGCCAAGTGAGCCGTCAGCTTATCAACATCTGCTCCCCAAAGATAGCCCTGCATAGCATCAGCATCAACATCAGCATTGAATTCACTCAACAGGGGACCCGTAATTACCTCAGCATGAATATTTGACGTGCTAGGTAATAAGCTGCAATTAGTAATGTTGTGGCGGAGGTTGTCGATAAGGTCGGCATCAGGGTAGTCGGTCACGACGATTTGACTAGCTCCAGAGATGGCACAAATGAGGCTTGGGAGTCCACCGCCAGCGCCCAGTTCAAGGACTGTCTTTCCTTTTATCGTTGGGATGTTGTGCTCGAAATATTTTGAGAGAGTACGGCCGCCATTCCAGAGGAGGTGACCCTGGTACCGTCAGAACCATGCATCGAGACGCCAATAATCAAAATCTAGAAATCATGGAGTGAGAAATGACGATATAAGAAGATGTGAGAAAGCATTATCGCACGAGGAACAGAAATGAATGGACGATGGGCAAGAAATAGCTTTGAAGTTCTAGTCCAGGTGTCTTACCCAAAGCGGATTGTGTCCAACTAGACGCACTTGCAGCTCCTGTCCAGAAAGCATGGTATAAGGGGCATATGTGGCACTCTTTTCGGGTTGATAGAAACCTTCGGGCTCTGCAAAGAGATTCAAGTCTCCATCCTCGGAATCAGAGGCCATGGTGGGCTTGATTAAGACCAGTTACAACAGACACAAAGCCACACACACACTTGTTGACGAAGGAAGCTTAGAGATATTGATGTTCATCCAGACAGCGACTAAATCGGTGGAGATGTTGGTGATGAAAATTGGAGACTAGCTCCTTCAGTTGTGCAGTCTAAGCGATGCTCCATTCCGGCCACGTGACGGCAAACACTCGCTACCACTGCAACTACAGCCGGGTCGAATGCAGATAAAGTTGGCAGGGAGTAGATATGGTTAATATAACGGCATGCGGTCGTGCTTCAGTCCCAAGATCTGTGACAGATTGGCAGAGTCGGGAGTGTGAGATGGTAGGTGCCGTGTCGGCTTCGGGGTGCATTCCGACAGGGCTTTTCGTCTCCAGGAACATGGAGGGCATCAAAGGGCCGGCGTGGACGTGCTGCAGGGACGGGCCAAGCGCGGGTCAATAGGGCTTGCGTCTACGAGAGATCGCATGATCGTGGCCTATTCTTATTCGAAGGGCAAACTACTTATTAATTCCACTAAACGCCCAGCCGCCCACACGAACGTCGCCTTCTCGTATGCTCCACCGAGCTGTCATTTAATTCTTGTCGCCATCAGATCTTTTTGCACTGCCTTTTCGCCTTGCCCGACGCCATCCCTTAACCCGCTGACGGGCAACGCTCGGACTAGGATGTTGAACGTGGGTTGAACACGGTACTGAGGTATACACATTATGCCACGTGCGAAAGTCGCCGTAGTTCTCATCACAAAATGCTTTCATTGGCCGCATCCTTATCGATACCAAAGCGCCAATTCCAGCGGGTTAACTCGCCCAGCACACCTGTGGACTACCTCCCCAAGCCGCGCAGAACGATGCCCTCATACTCCCTCCGTCCTTTCGCGCACTTCGAAGCGCACACCTGCTAGTGCTGGTGCTTCAGCTGCAACTGGGTTGGCTCTCTCGTTCGCCTGCTGGATAGCTTCGTCCCTCTGCTCTTTTGTCCAGTCTCTTAGGTTCCTATACGCCCGGGCACCCTGTCGGAAAGTCTCAGCAGTGTCGGTCATTGCAAAGGATCTCAGCTGAGTCATGTAGTATTCAGGCCGGCCTCCGGCGCTGGTTGGCTGTGTACGGTGGCTGGTGTACATCTTGAGAGTGCCGCCGTGATAAGTCGACGTAATGGTATAAGCGTTGTCGTCGGAAACAGGCTCGTCTCTCCCGTATGACTGAAGACTGTGCATGCCTCTCGCTCCCAATGCGCCGTCGTAACAAGCCTGTCGTCCAGCCACCGCCAGCGATCCATCCGGCCCCTTGGCCGTCAGGAAGAAGTTTGGTGCCATGGGAAGGTTGTCCTCCGTTGAAGGAATAATTTGGCCGCCAAGCTCGTCGCGGACTTTTCGAGCAAGTTGTTCCGGGCGTGCGCCGTAGTAGATGTCTGGGTTCCCAGGTTTAAGCGCGCGGTCCGTTAGGGGGACAAGGTTGTCAAACGGGATTCCTCTTAAGCGGTATCCAGCGTTTGTGATGTTGCCTTCAATAGTGGGAATTACTAATTCTAACACTTTTTTTTCTCCAACGGCATCCGCATCAGTCTGCGCAAATCTTTCAAACTCTTCATCAGTGAATTTAGATGGTGAGAGAGAAGGTCGACGTTGTGCTAATATTTGGTTGATCGCCCTCCAGTCATTTGGCTTCGCAGGCACACTGTTATCGAGATATCTGTAACCATGAGGATAAACAGCGTTATCTACAAGGTGTAGTTCAAAGGCGAAGTCATAAACCCCGGTGCTCTTTGTTTTTGTTGTATTCGTGGTGGGCTCAGTGCCCGGGGGGTTCATTGAACCCCGTTGTCGGCTCTGAGAACTCGACTGGCTCGAGCGATTGGAAGGATGGATAGGTTCGGGGTACTAGAGAGCGTCATCAAACCGCTTCACGTCTTCCAGGGTCCTCAGATCGCAACAACGAAGATAGTGGGCGGTGTCTTGGGTGGTTTGACCATTTCTCTTTGACTCAGCGAGGAAGTTACGAGTAGCAGCTTGAGTGTTTCTTCGGTCTAGCTCTCTCAACGCTCGTTTCGTCAACCAGATCTTCGATAAGTTATCCCAAAATGCCGCCGGTGATTGGGATCTGCTGGGATGGCTGCGCCTCTGCTTTTTGGACGCCGGAATTTCGTTTGGTTGAGGCTGCTCTGGGCGTTGACGTTTGCGTGTACCTGAGAGTTGTGGTTCAAGCATCTGGTAATTGTGAACAAGACGGGGGCCTGCTTGAGAGGCGGGTGGGGAGCTGGAGATATCATGCAAGCAGTGGCTTGGTACATTGTATGGATGCAACTGCATCGGTGGGGCGCGGTGGAGTTGGAGGAGTCGCTTGGCTGTGAAGGTGGCAGGGTTCGCTATGCCGCTCTTTGGCGGTTAAGGTGGTGGTGGTGGTACAGCCTCGTCCTGCGTGCGGCGACCTAGCGCGGAAATCAAGCCACAAAAGTACTGCATGAGGCAGCAATTGTGTGCGCCTTCAGGGGTGAATCACAGCTCCCGAGCCAATGAATCTTCAAGCCACCTCTTTAATAGACTCGGTTTCCGCGCTAGGTCACCGGACGCAGGAAGACGCAACGCAGACAAAGAGCCGCTTGTTCATTCACAGCCCCAATGCAGCACCCACCTCAGGTCTTACGGCCGCCATCTCACCATCCGCACGCTGCTCCTGGCCTGCCGCCTGCTGCGCCGAGGGGTGGTTTGCGGGGCGCGCTGTTCTGTGCCATGCAGCGCCGCTATCGCTGCAAGAGGGAATTAAACTTGCTCACTCGCATAACCCACGACGTGAATGTCCGGCCGCTCGACCACGGCCACCTCCCGCTGACACGGCCGCCCGTCGCCTTCGCGCGGCGCATCGCAAAACCGACTGCAGTTGACTTGTTCCACCGTGGTCCCTTCGTCGGGGAACCGCTCTCGTCCCTCGTCGCAGCGTGCACACGCAGCCCATCTCAATCCGCTGAAACGGCCCTTGGGCCTCAATTCCTCGAGCCCCCCGCCGGCTGCTCTCGCTCGAGCCACAGATCGCGGGGCTGCACCTGTTGCTCTGCATCCTCTCCATTTGCTCCCACCCGTCTGCCAGGGCCCGCACAGGTGTGACAGCCTCTGCCCCCCCGGCGCCAGACGTGCCTCGAGCTCTGTAAGTCGGCCCTCCAGTCCATCGTTCCCCACTGCCAGTCCTCCCGCCGCGCTGGGCCTTGGGCGGATGCGAGCCCTTCATCCAGTTCACGGGAGCCACACGCTCACAGGCGCATCCAGGTCCCCGAATGATCAACCCAGGCTCGACGAGCACGTTCCCCGGCCCTTGATAGCCCGCCGCCATGTGGGTGGACGTTGAAGGACTCAGGAAGAAGGTCGCCTGGTAAGTTCAAATGCCGCAATGCCACTTCTTCCAAACCACTCCATGCAAGCTGCTTTGCTCTCCAGAGCCTGAGAGACCTTCCATGTCATCACTGCACTTCCTGCTCCAAGTCAGCATGTCGACTTGCCTTGCTTTCCCTACATGTCTCCTCACAACACCGCGCGCACCGAAGAAAGCAAAATCTGCGTGCCCTCGTTGCTGACTCCTTCTCTAGCGGCCCATGCATTCGTGGCCACAGGTCTTCAAAATGTGACCACAAGGATCGCGTGCTACAAGAGGTCCGCAAACCCGGCCGACCTCTAAGTAGCTGTCCGCATCCCGCTGGGACATGTAGTTGTGGTCCAATCTCCATCACCTACACCCTTCCAAAGAGTTAGTGCCTCTCTACATTGACCCTACTTGCCACTAACAGCCTCTTAGCATCCTCGTGTCTCTGTCCATCCGATAGCCCTGCTGCGGCAACCCCAACCTCAACTCCAGCACCTTCGAGCAATGGCAATCGTGTGCAGAAGGCTCGAAGCCGGAAATCTACCAGCGTCATTTCCCCGGCGATGCTCGAGAAGGCCATGAATGCGAGTGGCCAAGGAGGTGTCATAGCCTCTCCCGAAGCAGCTGGGCCTCCAGTCAATGCTTCTTTCCAGGACTCAGAGCCAACTTCAAGCACTGGTGGTTCACCGGCCTCTAGTACCAGCTCAACTCCACGCTTGGGGCCCATATCACCTCGCCACCCAAGCCAATCTGATACAAGTTTCTTCCCAGCCGAATATCGAGCCGTGGCAGCAAAACCGGCCAACGTTTCTTCGTGCTGCCAGCCAAAACAAACCATCAAAGAAGTAGATTCCCCGTCCGAGCCACAAAAAGGATCATGCTGTAGTAGCAAAAGTCAGGAGCCGAAGAATGAGGTGGCTGTGAAGAAGTCATGCTGCTCCGGACCGAAGTCTGACGCTCAAACAGAGCAACTATCAATGACGGAAAATCGAAAACTCTCGCAACAGAACGCACCATCCTATCATCAGTTTCAGTTTCCCATGAATGGTCACTTCCCATCTGGAATGCCTTCACAGGTGCCCGGATATGGTTCCGTGGGCCCAGGCGCGTTATCACATATGGTTATGCCAACACAGGTTGGGCACTCCCCTGGGAACTTTGGAATGCCGCCTGGATATGGTTTCATCGGGCCTATGTATGGAAGTCCTGCAGTGTATCAGCCTCCAACACCCCTAGCCACACAAAACGGTCATAGTACTCCGAACGGCACTGGCCAAAGCGATATGGAGCATAATTGTCGTTGTGGCGATGGCTGTAACTGCTTTGGATGTGCTGCACATCCACAGAACGCAGCAACCACCGCTTATCTTCTCGACATGGACAACTTCATGAGAAATGGAGGCTCTGGTTCTTTGTACGCGCTTCCCGCTTACCCACACCAGCCGTTGCCAGTGTCACAGCAGCATTACGGCTTCGCATATTATGCCCCTGCTCAAGGTATGAACATGTCTAGACCACATCAGACTATGCCCTTCCAATACAACCCGAATCAAGTCTCGGAAAGTTACCTTCAAGGACCAGATCATACTTGGCCGCAGAGTGGTCTAAGAATGCCGGTTCACTCAACAGTACCGACCGAGTTCGAGCAATTCAACGTCAATGGCTCGAGGGACGACCAAAGCCAAACCCCAAGACCCAGCACCGCCAAAGGAGACAACACCAGCAACAGCCCAGCATACCAAGACAGTCCTGGAGACCAAGACAACGAGCCCACACTCTCACCGTCCACCTTCTTCCTCCAGACTCTCGTTCTCCCAGGCTGCAACGATGTCACTGGCACATGCCAGTGCGGGGACGGCTGTAACTGCGTTGGCTGCCTCACTCACGGTGGCCACGACGGCATCCCCCTCGTGCCTCCCAGCAATCTTGCATCGCCGGACTTCGACGCCTTTATAGCCAACACAAATGGGATTGCTGGCCTGGCTGACCAAGAATCTTTCTTCGCTTCACCGTTCACGGAGGCGCCTTCATGAGCACTCGGCTCAGCGCTCCTTCCACGTTCTCCACTACACTCCTCACTCTTGTACTTCATGACTGCATTGCATGATACCCCGGGATCACGCAGGAGGCGAGGCGTTCTCCTGGCCCGACACACAGCTATTGCGTCTGGCATACAGGCCTATATATGATTGTTTTTCTTATAAAAAGTTAGGGACTGATCGGATTTCGGATTTACTATGGGACATGGCATGGGCATGGGCGTGGGCGTGGGCATTTACATGGGACTAGGCTGGGTAAGAGAGGAATATGCGTTAGATCGTATGATAGACGATAGGTCTATGGATGGTATACTAAGACAGACATATATAAGAAACTATGGCCGATGGAAGGAGAGGCCGCTGGAAGTAGGGTTCTGATAACAGAGGTTTACCCCCTTCACAGCATCATATACAAAGCACTAGGTAGCGCTGTACGCCCATGAAAACGCGTCGGCCAATAAAGAAGCGCCTGTTCTGACCAGCTTAAATCACACTGCGCCAGCCTTCGCACGTCGTCTACGATTGTTATAGCCTATCGGGGCAGCACCCCAGGCAGCGGTAAACGAGAGTTTCAAAGTGAATCCATGAAAAAAAACATGATGCATGGACTATAATTACACGCCACGCTGAAACTCAAGAATCCCCAATAAGTAGATGGGTAACTTAGGTATGTAGCTCGTGGGGGGGAGGCGGCCTCCCTACGAAGAAGGTAGCTCGCCCTCGCCACCTGCTTTTTACCTACCCAGCGTTAGGATCCGTCTGTAGGACGGATCAAGCATCAGCATCATCCATGTCGCCTATCCAGGACAACGTTGCCATCCATTCATCCATCCATCCATCCATCCATCCATCCAAGACGACAAGCCATCCATCAACGGCGACAAAGCCATCCCTTCAAGACGACAAAGCCATCCATTCAAGACGACATGTCATCCATCCAAAGCCAGCATTGTCAGAAACCGTCCATCCGAGCCTCCCCCCCCCAATTATCGTGTGCCCCCGGCCAATAAAGTCATCCCAACGCCCCAAGAGAATCCCCAGCCCCTCGCGCCGAACCGTCTGGAACTCCGATGTCCCAGGTGGGTATGCTCCAACGCCTAACAGCCAAGAAAAGAAAAAGGGGGGGCAAAAGGGCAAAGGGGATGTGTGTGCATTGCAGAAAGAAAAGGAAAAAAAGGTGAAGACAAACCTTTTCGACGGGTATCGTTTATTTTCCGGAAAGAGCACGGCCGCTCCCACCAGCCAGCGCTCGCCTGAAAAAACGGAAAACGCCGATGTCGCAAAACAAGTTTCCGTTGGTCGTTCGTGTTGATTTCGTAAACCGCGCTGTTTCGGCGCGTTGATGGGTGTCGTTTTGACGCTCGCTCTGAGAGGCTTAAACCTCCATCGAGTCGGCGATCTGCTCGCTGACAGCCCTCACGGTGCTCTTGGACCGCTCGCGCGACATCTCCACATCGCTCGGCTCCTCTTCCTCCTCCTCGGAGTCGCCCTCGCTCGCGCTCGCCGACGAGTCCCCTTTCTCCTTCGCGGTAGCGCCGCTGTCGTCGCGGGTGGTTGTGGCGGCGTCGACCTGCACGTTAGGCGGCGGCGGTGGCATGCTTACCAGCGCGTGGAAATCGACGTCCAGATCGTCATCCTCGCTCGACTCCTCCTCGACCACCAGGTACTCGTCGTCGTCCTCGCCCCACCCTCCGTCCTCAAAGTCCTTGTCTTCGGCGCGGTCGCCCAGCCAGTACCGCGCGCGCTTGCGGGCCCCCGCGCCCACGCTGCTCGCTCCGCCGCCGCGCTGCGAGTGCTTGCGCTTGGCGACGAGCGCCGTCGGCGACTGCGAGATGGCGCTGAGGCCGCGGAGGTAGAGGTACAGGACGCGCTTCTTGGACTTGTTGAAGACGAAGTAATTGAGGCTCCAGATGGAGCCGTCGTCGCCGTAGAAGGGGTCCTCATCGGGCGTGTAGCAGTAGATTTCGCAGTCTTTCAGGGACATCTCATTGTCGATCAGCTGCCACATGCGCGGGCCCCACGTCTGGCTGCCGTTGGGCGTCTGCGCGCCCGGTGCGATAGCCCCGCTGCCCCATTGGTAGGGGACGGCGAGGATGGCTGCAGACGGCCGCGGGCGCAGGTTGTAGAGTGTGGTGTCGATGGTGTTCATGGCAGAGCGCACGCTGCGCTCTTTGCGGAAATCGGTCGGGCGGAGGGTGTGGGAGAAGTCGTAGTCCGGGTGGCTGGCGTTGAGCGTCGCGATAAGATAGGCAAAGGTGCGGCGGCTCGATATCTGGCTCAGCGGACCGAACGGACTCGACCGAGCGAGATTCATTGACTCGGCGAGCGACGCGGCTTCTGGGGGGGACAGCGAGGCCGACAGGCGCAAAAGTGACTCATATTGCGACTCAAGCGAGTTCTCGATCGTCTTGTAGAGTTTCTTATCGCTGCCCGCCGCCTTTGTAGTGTAGAGATCGCATCCGCCGACAATATGACAATCGGGAGTTTCGAAATTCAGTGCGCTGGCGACGACTTCAAGGTCGCGGACTGGAAGGTACTAGGCACGGGCAATCGGTGTCAGTAAGAAGCTCTCGTTATCAGGATCGGGCCTGGGACGGACCTTCATGGTGTTGATTGTTAGGCTTCCTAGGCGGTCTCAGCAGTAGGGATGATAGAGATATGCGGACCGGCTGGCGAAAGAGTCGCGCGTAGGCTCGGATATGCGGCGGCTTTGCGCTTTCTTTGTCCTTGATGTGTCGGAAGTGACCTGCTGTAGCAAGACAACACTCAGGAATCGCTCCAGGCTGGGTGCAAAGACCGAGATCTGCGTGTTGTTCAAGCCAGACGAGCGCCTAGCAGGAAGCGGAAGTAGTAGGATAATGCATGACGTTGAGTGAAGGTCGTGGTTGTTGAGAAGGTCGTCCCGGCTACTAGGTAACGCGGAGGTGAGGGTGAGCTGACCAAGACCGTCAGGTGACGTGCTCGACGTGCGTCAATGATTGGAGCAAAGGGTGCCCGGCGAGTGCAACTGGAGCAACTTGAACAACGACGGCAATCCACCAATGGCTAAAGCAGTGTCGATGAGGAGGTCGAGAGTAGTGCTGTGGTTCGTCCGTTACCAGAAGCAGTGGATTTCTCACAATGGATCTTCCCTGTTGCCTCTGCTGGATAGTGCTCAAGAAATCCGTGGTGTTCCCAAATGCTGAGACCGGATGTATCGTTAGTATGGCTACAAGGTCAGCGGCGGTGCATAGCTGATTCCAGCGATAGATCGATGTTCAGTCTGGTTCTCATGTCATGACGGCTAGAAGGAAGCTTTCAAAAAAACGGGCTTCAAAATAGCTTCATTCATCTCAGGTTCTAGTCCTCTAGTAACTCTCTCTCGAGTATTGCTCAGCGTATAACGCCGCAGTTGGACATGATCGTTCGGTGGACGAACGTGTTGACCAGTGTCGAAACTCCAGACACCAAACTCCATCACATGGTATACCATTCCGTTGTGCGCCTTGTTAATCGATCGTGCCGACAGTTCACAGCATGCCGCTTGCGCGCAGCCTTCCTTCAATGTCCTTTTGGGCCTATGATTCGACAACAAGCATATGTTATTAGCCACATATATTTGAAGGGACGCTCGGGGTCGAGCCAACCGCGGAGGTGGCATCGTAGGAGTCAAGGTGACGGATGGGGTGGTAGGTATATAGGTCCGCCCGTACGTGGTTACATTATCTTGGTGACAATGTCATCTTCGGCCTGATGACAGTGGTACACGTGTCAGCGAAGGCCGGGAGGTGTATGTTGTTGGTGGCAGTGACAGGAAAGCACTAATGAGGGTCAAGTAGCAGCGTCAACTTACCTCCATATCCTCGAGACTGTCTTGCTGGCCTATACACCTCAGGACGTTCTTCTTGCTGCTCTCTTGCATTTCGCCTGCGAGCAGAAGCTCATCGAGAATGAAGTAGGCCTTTTGGAAGTTGAAAATGATGTCCAGCTCACAGACGTTGCCGTAGTACTTGTCCATTTGCTCTACATATCGGTGCACGATCTCCAAAGTGATGAGTTCGTTGTCGGTGGAGTCGCATCCAGCAATGAAGAAGAGGGAGGCATAGCGGCGGTAGACAATCTTGGTGTCTGGGATGAGGCATCAGTCATGACATGTCACAACAAGAGCAGAAGCGTCTGCCAACCTTTATACTCCAAGAAGTTGCACATCCGGGTCCTACGGGCAAGCACAAGCTGGGAGACATCTTTGATGATCTTTGCCTTGTCCTTGGGGGAGAGAGTGGTGAACCACTTGGCCAAGCGCTGAGGGCGGTTAGTGGCAGGCAGCGCGGCGGGATCGTAGGAGACTGACAACTTTGCCCTGCCGCGAGAGCAAGATCAAGTACCTTCAAAAAGTCAGACACAGTATCCCTCACACTTGCGACTTGCAGCGGACTTACTTGATGGTCATGGCGAAGATGGAGGGCGCCTTGCTTGTGGGGAGGACGATGGAAAAAGACCAGGGCAAGAGAAGCAGCATTCGGCTGGGAGATGAAGGAGTGGGACCGCTTACATTGCACAAGACCCCACTAGTGAACGCCCGCGTGCCCCTCACCTCAATGCGACGACGACGATGATCCCTCTATAACATTTCCAATTCTCTCCTGATCCTGGTGTGACAACCTTGAGCATACCAAGCTACTCTGGGAAATTTTTCAACTCGTTTTTTTTGCGAGTCTCGAGATACCAACAAAGGCCCATCTGTCTGCGAGACGAGCAAGAACCATTACCTTATTACCAATACACTATATACTACACGATCACGACTCTTCCTCCGCCGTGGTTCATAAGACCTCTTTGCACTGGATCATCTATCTGTGACTTCTAACCAATCCCAGTCATGAAGCTCATTCTCTCCACCTCGTGGGCCCCCCTTCATACCCATATCTAAATCAATTCACTGACTATCACCCAGAAACATCATGGGTGGCCCCCCCTCCGTAGTCCGCCGCCCGGGCTACGAAAAGTCCAACACCGAGCTCACCTCCTCCCTGCGCTCAAACTTCACATCGCACCAGCAAGCCTCAGAGACCTCCACGCCCGCCGGCGCATCCTCCCCCCCAAAGCCCGCCGCCTACCAATCCTGGACCTCCCAACACTCCAACACCCTCTTCATCCCCGCCTCCGAGCCCACTCCCGCCGGCCTCGCCGAAGAGCGCTCCCAATACGACATCACCGTCAAACTCTTCTACCTCCCCAACATCCCCTCCTCGCGGCGCAGCCTCCAAAACCGCGAAGCCATCGACCTGGTCCTGCGCGAGCTCGGCGTCTCCTCCATCGACCTCCTCATCGTGTCCTTCCCCGGCATCAGCTTCGACGCCGACGACGAGGACTCCGACTACGACTCGCCCGACCCCTCGGACTCGCGCTCCATGTCCACCAACGCCGGCTGTCCAGATGCCGAGACCGCGCCCGAAGACATCGACACCATAACCCAGACATGGCGGACGCTCGAGAAGCTGCACGAGGAGGGCATCATTGCGAAACTAGGCGTCGCCGAGTTCGGGACGCAGCGGCTGGCGCGGTTCCTGCCGCAGACCAAGGTGCGGCCGGCGGTGGATCAGATCAATGTGCGCGACTGCTGCGTGGTGCCGAAGCCGTTGATTCTGTATGCGAAGCAAGAGGGGATCGAGCTGCTGACGCATAACGACTGCACGAATGTGCTACCGAGGGGCACGTTACGGGAGCTTCTGGGGTCGGGAGAGCATGGCGCGGGCGTGTTGGCGGCGCCGGGTGGGGCGGAAGAGGCGGGGTTGAGGGGCGATGTGGAACCGCAGTGGGTTGTGAAATATACTGCTGTGGTGAAGAATCGGGGTGTTGTGGAGAGTAAGGGGTATTTTGCGGCCGCTGAGCTGAGGGGGGAGTAACGAAGTTGAGGGCTAGACGTGTATATATCCATTGATTGGCATTACGGCATGGCATACGAGCATCCTTGAATTGCTGCGGTACTTTTGTTCAGAAGAAATAGAAAGAGATGATGTGTTTCTCAACTCTATCGGACCACTTGTGTTGGAAACAGATTTGTAATCCCTAGGTGGTGACAATCACCGGGCCAAAGACGTGATCTGAGTTATGCTTGGGTTATGTTGATTAGCACAACGTGCATCTGACATCATTAAAGTCATGGTCGAGGGGAAGTAAGCCCAGACTATACTTTTGGAAGTTCTAATCGTCCCATAGCCCACCAGAATAGTCCAAAGGCGATTGCAATATCGTGCAGCCACAGCTAAAAGAAACATGGATAGTCTATTGTGAAAGTCATATGACTGCAGACTCATCAAATAAATAGCATGAACGACCGATGGCATGGTATATGCAACATCAGAACCCCCCTCCCATACGAGCCAAATTCAGAGTTTGAGTCCCCGATCCAAACTCCTACTTTTGGTACAGTATTGAAACAACGCTGAACCGCGGCAATGTAAAATCAAACAAATAAATGATGGAAGATTCAGTCAAGGCCAGTAAAGACCGTCCCCTGCCCCAGCCGTCCACGACTATCATGCACGCAGGTCTTATGAAAAATAGAAAAAAGGAAAAATGAGATGAAGATTGCAAAATGACAACGAGGCTCGACATCCTAAAACGCTTGCTAGATGAGTCGTTGATGTAGCAAAATCTCTGAGCACGATGACTACTATATGAAGGAAAATAGTACAGTCGCTTGGGTGTACTAATCTGAGCAGGGGCTAATCTTCAATAGCAGAGTCGTTCTGGTCGTGTATGGCAGACCCATTGGCTCGAAAGCCCTCGTGCGCTTTCCCGGTGTTAAACCGCGCCGCCCTCTGCGCATCGCTGAACACCTTGAATTCCTCTGGCGACTCATGCTTTAGCCGTTGGATCTCTTCTGCGTTCTCGCCGATCCGGTTGAGGGTCTCCTCCCAGTCGCCGTGTTCTGCCGCAAGGCGCAGCTCTTCTCCGGTCAATGCATCCAGCTTGCTGCGAATCTCGTGTAGTGTAGGAGTGGAATGGCCGTCCTTCACTTTTGAGAGTGCCTCAATTTGTGAAAGAGGGTCACCTAGTCCAGAGGAAGAGGAGGGCCGAGAATGATTGTAAATCTCGGCACGAACGCGTTGACCCAAGCGATGGATTCTGCCTTCCTCCATAGAAAGAGCACGTGAAGCGAGCGAGACGTCAGAGTTGTGGCGGGAGCGAATCGCAGCCTTGCGTTCCTCGTCATCAGATTCGATGGCGTGCGTGTCTGAAGGACTCGTGGAGAAAGTTGCGGCTGTGGATGTAGGGGGTGATGATGAGCTGTGGGCAGAGGAGTGTGTAGATGCAGTGTCGGAATACATGTTGCCAGCGGAATAAAGACGACACTCAGGGTATTCTTCCTCAAATCTTTGGATCATGCCCTGAAGTGTTTGATCGAGGAACAAGAGACGACCTATCATATTTAGTATCAGGTTTTGCTGAGCATAGACCACAGAGTGGCAAGAAAATATATCGGGAAACTTACGATACCCCATATCATTGTCTAGCCTGGATTCTCTCACTATCGCTGGTTGTAACCGAGCCCGAATATTTCGGGCACTTTCGAGGAGATTTTTCGACATGTTAAGGGCTTTGCCCGGATTCCCTGCGGCGCCAATACGGCTAGGTGTTGTAGCTCCGCTGGTGGGATGTGATGGTCTCCGTAGCTCGGATGCTTTCTGCAACAAACAGTAGCTGAGGGCTTTGACGACTCCTGTCCCTCCCACTATGTAGTCATCATCTGGAGCAGGATCGTCGTCGTCCTCTCCCTCACCTCGGCCAACGAGATGTTGGAGCACTTCCGGTACCTCTACATCTTTCCCTTCTCCAATGCCACTGAACTCGGATACTTCTGTTAAGCGTTCCATATTTCGAAGGCAATAAGCTACTACTTGTTTGGCGAGAGCCTTGACGACTTCGCCCGTCTCTGGACCGGGCACATCGACGTCTATGCAGATAATGGTGTTGGAAACTCTTACTGCTGCCATCAAAGATGCGTACAGAGCGCAAGCATCTTCTTGGCTCTCTTCATCAGACGCACTTGAGACAATTGAAAGTTGCGGGTTCTCTAGAATGTTCAGGTGTGCAAGATGAGGACATTCCGGAAGTACTTCAGCTAAACCAATGGCCTCAACTGGTGACATTGATACGTCCATGAGATGAATTCGCTTCAAATTCTGCATGAGAGGAAGGTACTTCCTGAGGAGGTAAAGGGAAGCCCTCGGAAGCGGCGTAGAGAACAGATCGCGGTTATGCGAGAGATCGAGGAATCGGAAGTTGGGTAGAGCAGCGAGCGCGGGAAGGAGTGGCTTCAGGGAATCCGGTTCAAGATTGCAGTCTGCAAGACTGAGAAGACATAGTGCGCATTCTGGCGGGATACTTGCGCAGAGGCGGCCGATACCATTCCTTAGATCGTTTCCACCAAGATCTAAGCCCTGACAGACGCCTGAACGGACATATCGGATGACATGGTCAAGCCCTTCATCGTCAATATCATTGCCAGCGAGACCCAAACGCTGAATACCACTGACAGTCACCGCGTCAATAATCCTTCTGATAGCCTGAGTGGAAAGGGAGCATTCTGCTAAGATAAGCTCTTCCAGTCTTGAGCCACCAAGACGCTCCGATATTGCCTTGCACAGAGTGTCGGAAATTTCTGTTTGATGTGGTTTCGGTGATGCTGTTCCGTTTGTCGAAGGTATGCTCTGTGCTCGAGGGAATGGGACCATGGAAACGTCGATAGCCTTCAGCGACTTGCACATATAGATAAATAAGCTAATATGCTTCCAACCCTCGCGAGTAATTTTTGGGTTGTTTTTCAGGGACAGCTTCTCTATCACTCCGGTGCGTTTCTCAAATTTCCCAATCTGACCATTCTGACCCCGGTCATATGTACTAGACCGACGCTTTAGGTTTTCTGGAATTTTGGCTGACAGTAACCCGGCGAGAATGACGCGGGTCTTTTCATCTGTGAGATCGGAATCGTCCATTATGAGCTTCATCACGGGCACGATAGCCAGCCAGTCTCCAAGAGTAACAATGTCGGCAAGCTGTAACCTGGAACCAGTGAGGTCCAAACATGTGACTACTCCAGGGAGAGCAACGGCACAGCTATAAGGGTGCGAGAGTTGGTCGCTTACGCGCTTCAGAATAGGCGTTTCTCTGAGCTGACAGCATCGTCGATATATGCGGAGAGGATCAGTGGTCGGCCGATCCTGGGCTCTTGGAGTTGACGTTCCGGATATCGCGGGAGTAACATTGGGGCTTGCTTCGTCATCGTCCCGGCTCAATTCAAGGGGTACGGTACCGTTTTCTTCAGCCTTCCTCCGTTTCTTTTCTTTTCTTTCCTTACGTTCTGCTTCGGATCGCTTCTTTTTCTCTCTTTTCTTGCAGTCCTTATCGTTTTCGTTTGATGTGCCTTCAGTACCCAGCACATCTTCAGTTCCAATAGTCTCGTTGGTAACCTGTACCAAGCCAGCCTTTTCCTTCTCTTCGGCAACAGCTTCAGGGTGCTTGAGGGCCTCTCCCTCACCTCGCTCTTTGAGCTTCTTGTCTTTGCGCTTCTTTTTCTTGTCCTCACAATCCCCCTCGTCCTTGTACCGAGGCCCGCCGGCAATTTCGACATCGACGCAAAACGCGACCCGCCGAAGCTTGGACTGCTCTAATTCCGGTACGAGACATCGATCACGATTCAGGTCAACATTCATGACCTTCCGGGGACATATTGTTCCATGAGGGGGCACCTTGCCGAGGGGAGAGGCTTGCGTCCCAGACGAGAGGCGGCGCAACGCATTGGAAAAGAAGGACGTCCCAGCTTTCGGAGCTTGGGGTATCTGAGAGTCCGGAGGTCCCCCAGTTGCTTCATTGGCAGCCCCAGAGTTCACATTTGGGCCGGTAGCCGAGGTCGCTGGCAATGACGTAGCGCCTTGAGCGCCATTGATCGTCGACGGAGGAGTAGATGTCGGCGCAGTTTGAGGCTGCTGTCCCGTGTTTTGGGCTGACGAAAACTTGGAGCTTATGCTGCTTATCCACGAATTGCGCCTGGAAGGGGACTTCGAATCTGGCGGGTTAAGGGTTGGGATCTTTTCCGAACTTTGCCGTCCATTTATATTGGGTCGCTTCGGAATCGGCTTGGAAGCCGAAGTTGCAGGCGCAGGAGGAGGAGAGGGCGGTTTCTCGGTAGAGGATGCGCTTGGAGTATGTGGAGGGTGGCGATCGGGAAGACCGCCATGAGCTGAGGTTCGAGGAGGAGCGTCTCTCGCAAGTCCCGGGGAGGATGGTGCTTGCAGTCGATGGTGGTGATCTGTATCGCATGTTAATACGAGAAGCTCTGCGAACGCAGTGAGGCGGTCGTTGCGCCCAGGTTCTTCGGACGGTAGTATACACCGTCCGCGAAGCGCTCACCTTTATTGGAGTGGTGCAGCCAGCTAACGTCAACACCGCTATAGTCCTCCATGCCGGACAACGCGTATTTGGACGGGGCGTGCTATAAGATGCGCGCCATAAGTGTGAGAAGTGGAGGCAAGAAGGTGGTGAATGAGGATGTTGGTCAGCGGAGGCAGGTGGTGGGGTTGAGCGTTGAGAGGCTGGCGGTTTAGTCGTGGGATCTAGATGGGTCCTGAGAAAGTCGCGGGGCGAGGGCAGGTATTTGCAGGGCACAGAGGGCACGGAGGGCATTGGGAATACCGGGGACGCAGAGTCGCAACAGCTGACCGCGACAATTTATTGCAGCTCCCATTCGCGATCCGCTGTCGGCATGCCAAACGCTATGATGTCGATGTGATCGGGCGGACAATGGTTACCGCACCCTGCGCCTTGCGCCCGCAGCCAGTCTTTGACAGGTGAGAGATAGCATAACATCCTCACCACGGCCCAGCTACTGCGCAACTGCGGTGGCCGTTTCGCTCCCCGAACATCCTTTGTCGAGCCTCCTCAGCCTCCTCAAGGGCTGATTCCCAAGGCGCGCTCAGGATTAGTCTGACCCGTCTGAATCGCCATCAAAACCATCAGCTGGGCGCGCTTACCAAACGAGCCAATCCGGCTCCCCTCCGCTAAAAGATGCGTGCAGCTCGTGGCGCCACGGTGAAATCAGCCGGATTTTCTCTTCTTCGGAACCGGAGCCGCAGCAACCCGGCACTGGGCAGAAACATGAAGATACAAAGTCCTCCGCCGCATGACCGTAGATTTCTCGTCACGGGCCGCTTGAGATTAGTGACGTTCTGGTGATCAAGCGTCTCAGAGGCTTGGTGTGAGGCTTCGAAGAGCAACCGCAGACTCCGAACACGTATCAATCGCTTCTCTTTTCTGCAGCTTACCAGTCTCACTAAGATTGCTTACTCAGGAGTGCACCAAAGCGTGCCGGAAACCACATATTCCATGGGCTGAGTCGTGATGGCATATTGGAACAGCTGTTCGAGACGGCCATGTCCGCAGCAGCACCGTCTACAATTGTGATGTTAAAGAGTGGATACATCTGGACTCAGCCCGCCAGTACAGATCTGGGAGTAAGACCACAAATCAAAAGCCTCCGGGTCACGTCTCAGCACGCATCGCTGCAGAAGTCTTGAAAGAACGCCTTTCAGACTCAGATATGTCTCTCATCAGCCCTTCTTTTTGGAATTTGTAGCTACATGCAATGATGGTGGACATCTTTTGGCAAGTAAAAGACTTAGGTGTGTCTCTTCATTACTTTCTACTGCTCGTACTAAACGGAATAGACAAGAGAAAGAGATTGAAACAACACTGTATAAAATGTTTTCATGCCGCTCTCGACCATGACCACCTAGATATAGCAGGTGTACTGATAGGCCATTTCATCGCACGACCATTAACTCGATAGGATGAACACATGTGTAGAGGCCGTGAAGTGTATCAAGAGTTGTACTTTATAAAGTAGATTATACTAAAGTCCACATATTGAACGAGCAGAAGTGTTTGGTGTTGGATTTCGAGGTACGAAGTACCTGGGCCCATCAGAGTCCGTGCACGGGCCACAGCCCACGAATTTGGCTCACCTCCACCATGCTTATGGCACCCCTCACCAAACGCCAACGACAACACATTGATCTCCGCAACGTCGCGCCCTCGGCCTCTGAAGCTCTCACATTACAGCAATCATGGCCGAGGTTCCCATAGGTGAGTATCTGATTGCCCTGCCATATTAAGCGCAAGCTGACGACACCCCAAGTCCTCGACGGCGGGACCGGGTTCCTGAAGGCTGGATATGCAGGACAGGTTCGCAGACCTCCCATGCGCGCAGAATAAGATAGTAGTAACCGTGCCTTTCCAATATACAGAACTTCCCAGACCACCAGTATCCCTCAATAGTCGGCCGCCCCATCCTACGTTCGGAGGAGAGAGATGGCGATATTGTCGTTAAGGATATCATGTGCGGTGATGAAGCAGCTGCGGCGCGGTCTATGCTGCAAATCACATATCCTGTACGACACTTTCCATCCGCTATGGAGGCGATGGTCCCCGATTTTGGACCAGACAAGAGCTGACGCTTTCACCAATTGCAGATGGAGAATGGCATTGTAAAGAGATGGGATGACATGCAACATCTTTGGGACTACACCTTCTTCGAGAAGATGAAAATTGATCCCACCGGCCGCAAGATCCTCCTCACTGAGCCGCCCATGAACCCTCTCCGAAATCGCGAACAGATGTGCGAGGTCATGTTCGAGCGCTACAATTTCGGGGGCGTTTATGTTGCTATACAGGCAGTGCTGGCACTCTATGCGCAGGGTCTCTCGTCTGGTGTGGTAGTCGACTCTGGCGATGGTGTCACACACATTGTGCCAGTCTACGAGAGCACAGTCCTCAACCATCTGACGAGGCGATTGGACGTTGCGGGCAGAGACGTGACGCGAAACCTGATTGCCCTGCTATTACGGCGAGGATATGCTCTGAACCGTACAGCCGATTTCGAGACGGTTCGCCAAATCAAGGAAAAGCTATGCTATGTGTCGTACGACCTAGAGCTGGACCAGCGGTTGAGCGAAGACACCACTGTGCTCGTGGAGTCTTACACCCTCCCAGATGGCCGCGTCATTAGGGTCGGTAGCGAGCGATTCGAGGCGCCGGAATGCCTGTTCCAACCACATCTCGTCGACGTCGAGCAGCCTGGTATCGCCGAGTTTCTATTCAACACCATTCAAGCCGCGGATGTCGACGTCAGAAGCAGTCTGTACAAGGCCATCGTGCTGAGCGGTGGCAGCAGCATGTACCCAGGCCTTCCCAGCCGGCTTGAAAAGGAGTTGAAGCAGCTGTGGCTTACCAGAGTCTTGCAAGGCAACCCAGAGAGACTGAATGTAAGCGGCGGAATTCTACCCCTTTCGGAGCAGCATACTAACAGGACGATATAGAAATTCAAAGTGCGAATTGAGGATCCACCCCGACGGAGACATATGGTGTTCCTTGGCGGTGCAGTTCTTGCCAACATCGTAAGCTAACCTCCACACTCCTCTTCTTTTGCCAGCTACTAACGATGCATAGATGGCGGATAAAGATAACATGTGGATCTCGAAACAGGAGTGGGAAGAACAAGGATCCAGGGCTTTGGAGAAGCTTGGAGCCAGGTAGACGAGTAAGGAAAGGTGGTGGAGAAAAGTCCGGCGTTCCTTTCATGCAAGGTCCGGACGGCACTGCACATAAGTCAAAGAATAGAAACTTACACAACTTCCAACGTAACCATCCGCCCGGCGCTGGCTCTTTTACGCAGCCTGTGAATCTGCTCACCATCTTTTCCAATGCCTTGCCAAAGGCCTGTGTACCACGTCTTGGCACTGCGTGCGAGTCCTCAAAGGTTCCTAGGAATCTGAGCGAGATGAGTACCATTTTGAAGCATTATACACGCATTGGGTAACCTCGGACGGCAGTGCAGAAACTAGATACAGGCCATAGATTTTTAAGAACTCTTCAAAGCACGACTAAGAGGGGCAAAAGAGGTTGTGGAAACCCAAGGCGAGGCATAGTCACCCTTGATGGCATATTCGGACACTTTTCCTCAAACAGGCGCAAATTGAGCAGTGGGCTCATTGTGGCAGCCTACTATCTCTATTCGCCAAAAGATAGTGTGATGGACTGACATTACGAATGGTCCTTTCTTTCCGTGTTTAATCAACACAAGCAGAGTAACACGAAGCAGAACCGGCATGGCTCGATCAGCCTGCTCCAATGGAGTAAGCGGTCCTATCTACGTAGCACAAACTGGGGGTTCAAAGGAACGACACCACGATCTCCCCATGTTGGAGCCGTAGAACAAAGACAGGGCCGGCCGTGCACGCATCGCCTGATGCCCAGGAACATATGCAGTGCGGAGTTCTGGGCTTGGTATTCGCTTGTATGCTCTTCCATCGGCCGCAGCTGCATACACAAAACCCGCGTGGAAGCAGTGGCTTCAAAGGTGCAGTATCGCCTCCGGCACGAGCCGTTGGCATTGAGCGTTCGTGTAGCACGCCAAACGCAGTATTTGCTTAATAAAGGACCTGGCGAACGGCTCGGTCCTTTGTGGTATCCACTGCTGTATATGGCCGGAAAGGTGAAGTTTATGGTAAACGCGGGGCTGGAAGTGAATGGCATGATCTGAAGCGACGAAAGGGATAGAATAATCTAGCCGTCTATGCCGCGCTGGAGTGCTCATGGCTGCATTCATGCAGTTCCACGATGCAGCGGCTGGGGGACCACTCAACTGGATTGCCTCAGAAAAGACGCCATTTTGTCAATTCCGGAGAGACAGGGTTGACAGGCGAATTGTGATTCCAGAAGCCCGCCACACCGCGTTCATCGGAGAGGCGTCTCATGACATGGCACAGACGGCGACTTGGGCCGGCATGGAGACGAATTGCAGCGGACATCATCACCAGCAGGGAATTGTGCGTAGTGGCCTATCGCGATGGCAGCAGCAGCGGGTCGCCGTGGTGGTGATGCAGGGCTTAGCTTCTGCGATGCACGTGCCAGCGCCAACGGAACAACGCTGTGACGCTGAGGCTCGGTTCGATCGGACGTCCACGGCCGCAGTCTGGCTTTGTCGTCACTGGCACGCTCGGCCCACGTAGCCGTAGCCCACGAGAGAGCGACGACTCCACGATGCTGGGCGTGCCGCCGATGCTGGAGCCGTTGTTCATAATGCAGCCACCCGCCGTCCGCGGGCGTCTTTGGTCCCCATCCCGTAGCCCCCGTGTCACCCCCCTCGACCACTCCCACTGCGCCCTCCGAGCCAGAGTCCCCATAACGACCGCCGCCGCTGCCTCTCCGTACCGTGTGGAAATAGCCTGCGAGTAGCCTACCAGGCCCTGATTGCACATTTCCAAGGTGTCGACCTGGTGCCGCAACTTCCCACCGCACCGCAGGCCTCCGGCAATTCTCCTTCACTCAACGTCTGCACACCACCACGGCTGATTTCTCACCTTTTCTCCACGCTTCTCGCGCCACGTTGCACCATCCTCGGGGTCTGCTGTGCGGGATTCTGCAGCGAACCGCTCCCCTCCATCTCCAACCCGGCACAGAGGCTTGTTCAGGGGCCCTGCCGGCGCTTGGGATCCATACAGGGCACAGCGAGTGTTTATCGTGGCTGATCAGCGCACATATTTCCAGCAGCGCCCTCCTCGACTGCATCCCCGCAATTCCAGCGCGCCGACTTATCTCCAGCCGTCCCGCTGCGAGATATATTGGACCCTTTCCGGATTCCTCCCGTCCTGCAGCTGCCTCTCCCCAACGCAGCCACAGCATCAGCTTCCGTTTCCCAATCATCGTCTTCAGCGGGGGAACTTCCTTCTTCGCGCTCACTGGACTCACGGGACACCCGTCATCTATATAGGCCGCCCACGCGCCCACTGGTGAGCCGTCAATGCCCTCCAGATTCGCCGCACGCAGCCTGCAAATGCCGCCACCAACAGGCTCATCACCACTCTCTCCCAGGGTGGAGTCTCTCGCGATCCCCTCGCAGGCTCGCCGTCAACCGCCACCGCACGCTAGACAGTCGAGCACCGGTTCGTCGTCGTTGAGGCTGCCGTCGCTGCCACGCTTCCACCCGGCCAACTTCCCTTCGCAGCACTCCAGCTCTGCCAACACGCCCGAGGTAGGCGGTGGTAACAGCCCTCAGCCGCCTCCTTCGCCGCGTGCCCAGCAGAAGCAGTACTCGGATGCACAGAGGCAGCTCTACATGTACCAGCGAGAGCTCCTCGCCACCGCTTCGCGGAGCTCTCGAACGGCTCCAGGTCCCAAGCCGACCAGCCCGCGCCTCATTCCCTTGGGCAGCCCCGGACCGGTCACGCCTCTGGAGCTCGAAGGCCATGATGGCTACCTGATGTCAGGCGTCCACACCGACGATGCTGCTGCTCATGTCGACAAACTCATCCGCGAAGAAGCTCAACGTCGAGGCGACATATCACCATCACGCCCAGCGTCAGTAGGCGGGAGATGACTAGCCGGCGGACCCCAACCTGGACAGCGACCAGCTCTTCCACGGCCATCGACTACCTCGTCTGTCATCCGGCAGCCTTCAAAGTTATCGAGATGAAATTGCATCATAGTGCCACACCGAACCGAACTTTCTTTATCTCGAGTCAGGGCATTATCGGCGTCATATATCACATTACGGCCTCTGCTCCAGAGAGCGTCATCCAAAAGTAGCATTCAAATATCTCGACAAGTTTATTTTCCTTTGCCTTGCTCGCAGAGGGCCTTCCGACAAGGTAAAATTGCATGACTGGCGGGGTGGTCTCCTTTCTGTTATATTCCCCATTTCCTTATGTCTTAGCACGAGATCGACAGTAGTGGGGCTACAGCACTGAGTCAGGAATTTGGAGAGGAGTTTTTCAATCACTTTGTTTCCTTTTGTTGCTAGGATACCCGAGTGCTAGACGTGATGGCGTCGACCAATCTTTGCTGGTGCTTTGCGTCCCAACCCATCTTGCGTCCCTTTCAGCTGTTTCATCCGTTCGAGTCTATCACTCCGTTCCGTAGCTGGCTTACCGAGCGCTCCGCCTGCGTTGGCGTTGAGCTGGAGAGGCGATGATAGATCACGGCTACCGTACCTAGTTCAATACAGAATCAGGTTTCCTTGCAGGCAAACAGTTCACCGCCTCCCCGTCTTTGCCAGCGTGCCTTCTAAGAAATCTTCGATTCATCGCAGCGACGCGCAGCACACAAAACATTTTCACTGTCACATGAAAAGCAGCCGTAACTATACAGCCTCGCCTCGCACCTCCATACGCACAACCGATCATCAGGCTATCTCTTATCTCAGACCCCAGCACCCACACGCCTCTGCTCTGCTCCGCTCCACTCCACCACAGGCACACCGTGCGTTGCTGCGCCTGCGCCCCGCCCAAACCGCCAGCCATACAGCCAAGAAGGCACCGGCTCCACCCTCATACAGATGTCGCCCTCCCCATCGCAGTCGCGCGATGATCTTCCGTATCACGCCTATATTAAGATCCCCCACTGCCGAGCGCAGCCACTTTCGGCTCATCGTGCATGGGCGGTGCACGTTCCGATTTGCCCGCGTTTCCGCATTTGCATTGCATGAGCAAAAGATATGTAGCAGAGTATGCAGGTAGGTAAGTGGTCGTCGGGATGGCTGTGGAACGTCTCGCAGAACTGGGACTCTTTGGAAGAGAAAAAAGAAAGATAGGGGTACGGTACGGTAGGGCATGTGTTTCGAAGGTTGGGCGGTGCGTGAGGTGAGGTGAGGTGAGGTGCGTGCAGATAAGCTTGATGCAGGGAAAGCGGGAGCCACCCAGGATCCGAGAACGCGATGACGGATGGTGGCGCGTTGAGGGAAAAAAGCCCAGCCAGTGGTGTTACTGTAACAGTAGCAATTGCAAACTCCACCGCGACAACCTTGTTCTGTGAAACTTTGTCTTGACGCGAGGGGGCTCGGTGGGAAATCGCGTACCCTTCTGCTATTTTGGTTGAGGCTAACTGTACAATGGTATGGGTGCTTGTAGACGCCAACGCTTAGGTACCAGCCCAGGTGCCGCTGGGCAGGATTTCTCAGCACGCCCATGCTCAAAACCCACCCTCCTGGCACACTGCGTGACTGGATGCTTGGTTGGTGGGGCCGGGGCATGATCAGCGCTGCGTGCGATTGGATCCGAAACACCGCACGCCAGGCTGGGCAGCGATACGTACTGTATTCGGGTCCCATCAGAATTTTCACATGGCTGGGCTGCTTTGCCACATACTGTACTTATGATTGGGCCCTTTTCCGAGCGAGTAAGAATGTGGTGACTGTGATGTCATCTCGCGAGGCGCAAGGCTGCGTATGCGGGCTACAGTTGTAAAGAAACCGACGAAGAGACAGCCACAATCAGGAGATTCTCGTCACAGTCAGCGGTCGGAGGAGCCCCGAGAGAAGTGGACCCCCGGGCACGCATACTGTATCTTGGGTGGTGACAAGGGCAAGGGGAAACGCTCTTGATCGTCGGAAGCGCATTCCAAGGTTTCAAAGCCGGGTGGAGAGGGCCGATTGGAGCCCCTAGAATGTCTTAGAGCTCCGGCTTTCCTATTCTCAGCTATTCTAGAACGCGCATCCGTTGTCCGCTCCTCTTGGATGGTCGACTTGGTGTTCGACGTCGTTGACGAGAGCTGCCCCTTGCGCGATGACATCAATGGCGTTCTCGTCAATCTAAGCTGATTTTGATATAGCGGTGTTGATCATGGCTTGGCAGGTAAGACACCACTGGCTCCTCGGAGGGAAAAAGAGGAGTTGGGAGTTCCACCCTGGTGCTGGAAAACGACTGCCTGGGTGCAACTTCTGACGACTGATGGTGGCGCTTGAGGGTAGATCGGTCGATGGTGCTGCCCGCTAGTTCCTAGTCTCGCTTCTTCTTGCGGAGCGTGCTCTTGGTGTTACTTTCTGTTGTTCTCTGATTGGTGCTCTAGACGGTGATATTCACCACAGCAGGGAGGTGAATGTAGCGGGTTTCAGTATGGTGCGATAGGTGGGTGGATGGAGAACAGCACACGTGTGCTTCGTATAACCCTTGTTAGGACGGCTTCTGGAGAAGAAGCGGCTAGAAAGCATTGAAAAGCGGTAGATCCTTCCGCTGCTGCACAAGGGATGAAGCTTGAGGAGATTTGGGCCTCCACGTGAACACTAGCAACTAGGATGCGGAGTGCGTTCGCGCGGTGTGGAGAAGAGGGGACACTCTAGGACTTGGAGACTTGAAGGGGGAAAGCGGTCCAAGCCGAGGCTATGGTAGCAATATGAAGGTCTTGAGTGGAGATTAAGTTGCGAGTCTACACATATGAAGGAGTAGAGAAAATGCTCAAAACCGCCATGAATTGCGATAAGACGAAATGGCGATCCACCTGACTGACGATGAATCAACATGCTTTAGAAATGCGACGCAAAAGAACGCCGAAAGGAAGAAGAGGAGACCCTAGTCATGTTCGCATCGATGCATAGCCTAACTCCCTCCATCTCATACGGTAGTGCCTCTAGCCATCAGTTTGCAAACCCATTGCTCGTTTTGCCAACGCCTTCCATCTTGTCAAGACCGTAAGCGCTAGCAATTCTTCTCGCAACTCCTTCGCCTGCCCAATAAGCACCCGTGACGGTTCCTAACGCAACGAATGGAGCGGTATGCTCTCCGGCAAGCCAAATTCCACGTTCCGGCATTCCCTCGCGCATCACTTCAATGTCTTCATCGCCACGCTCCAAGCCCACCTGGAAGTTACAATAACTGCCATAACCCGCAAGCTCGTCATTCGCCCAGCCAGTGGCCAGCATGGCAGTCGGCGTGCATTCCGCCGACTCGGCAGAGTAGTTCGGGAGGCGGGAGTAATATGGTTCAAGGAATTTAAGGATTGCCGCCTCAGCCGCCGACTCAGAGCTGCTGGTGCGCAGTATAGTAGCGATATGCTGGGATGTCGGGCCAAAGGTGTAATAGAGTAGGGTCGGGTGCGCTGTCTTTCCAGGAAGTGCGGCAAGGTTGACACACTCTTGATTCCATTTGTCAGGGTTCGTTTCGTGTGCGTAAGTCGGTGCTGCCCAGTGTGTGAATCCTGGATAGTGCTTCGCGGTAGTTTTGGCTTCAGATGATGGTTGATGTAATGGTGCAGTAGTTGCTGTGACATTTGGTACCGATGCATGAGAGTTTGTGGAGATCCCATAATCTTCTTCGGTCTTCGGAGGAGGCTGATCCCAGAATGCGGAAGGAAAGTTGATATAGACCTATTGCACTTTAGCAGCCGATGGAACTCTCAAATGACTGATACAATACTCACCTTATCCAGATGTCCATAGCCTATTGCATCGATAGCCGCTGCAAGCCGGGTTGGGAGACCTGGAACGAATGCATCTCGATTCGTTTTCAGCCATCCGAGCGGTGTTGTCACCACGACTTCATCGAATGTTATTGTTCCTCCGTCAACCATCTCGACATCAACTTTACGTTCCCCATCGATCCCCTTTGTAGCAAACCGAGCCGCTTTGTGTCGGAACTTAATCTCAGCCTTATCCAACGCAGGTTGTGCAATGCGAGAAAGCACCTTATGGTACGTCTCGGAAACGAACAAATTCTCCCCATCAATGCATTCTTCAAGCCAGAGGAATTTCAGACTCTGCTTTTGGATTGGGCTTCCGATGAAAGCGCCCCACATTTCTGCCATCTTCAGCACCATATCTCCTTTTTCGCTGATCTTGTTGTCTTCGTTCTTTCCATGGAAAAGGTCCTTGACCTTTTTGTGGAAAAAATCCATCAAGCTGTCTTTTGAGGGAATTTTTTTAGCATCAGCATTGCTATACTGCATCGCCTCTTCAATCACTCCCCAAACCAACTCGGTGACTTCCGCAGATACCTTCTCAGGCACTTTGTGGCCGAGGTGATCGAAGTAAGCCTGTCGGCCATCCCAATCATTGGTGATTGTTCCAGTTTCTTTGGCCAAGTCTAGCATCGGATTGTCGTCGGTCCCGTGTATCCAATTTGGCCCACTAGGAAAGGGCTAATTAGCACATAAGGGGAAGTGAGGGAGCTGGTGCTCGTCGCAGACCTACAGATCGACAAGATGGCCCAGTTTATTGCTTTGGCATAGCTAGTATCATCTTGTCAGGACAGATCTCAAAATATCCTGTCAAAGGTGTCATATACCCTTCCGCCGACTCGATCCCGACCCTCCAAAATCGTCACTTTAGCTCCGTATTGGGTAAGAATATCTGCACATCGCAGACCAGCAACGCCTGCACCAATGATACCAATATCTGGCTTCTTCCCTTTGGGTAATATTCGACGTATCATGTTTGCTTGATCTCCGTTCGTTGTTGCGATGGTGTGGTGATGGGAGCTGTCAAAGAGGTCTTGCTGCAGCCTTGACATTTCTGATGCTATCGCTCTGGAATTAGAACTGTGAGTCCGGCGCTCCATTTGCACGCGTTAGTGAGGGATATAGATGGTATGAAACTACAAAATGATGAAATAGCAGGAGTGAGTCCTCTATTGGACACAGGTATATTTGGGAGGAGAGTCAGTCGCCGATTGGTTATATTCGGAATTTTCTCCGATCAAACGACTTAGGTATAGAACAGCTCAAGCTGAGGGATGACATAGAGAGGAAGTCTGAGAAATAACGACTCCTTGAATCCTGACTAGTTGCGTCTGAGGACAAAATGGCGCGAATGTGGCGGTCGCCGAAGGAGACAGGGCTCAAAGATAGGGTAGATCGGGAAGTATGGAGTGAATAGAGCTACAAGATGTGAGATGAACAGAAACAAAACCTACTTCCAGACTCAACGTAAGCAGATAACAAGAAGACCGTTTCCGGGATTCGGGAGATGAGGGATGAAGATAGATGCCCGAGCTCGTTGAGGTTGTTATCGGACAATAAGGCTGCCACGTTCCGCTAAGCCTATTTTGACAAAGCGTGGGTTTCTTGACCTCATCTTCTGCCGAGAACGTACCCTCCCTAATGCTTCACTCGCCCACACCCATAACCGCAAGTCCACAGGAAGCATTTGAATGTCAATCATCTAGGGCTCTGCACAGGCTTAAAACCCTGTCAGAGGCCGATTTCTTATCACCTAAGTCCCAGACCTTAGAAGTAGACCATAGGAGCTATCCCGAATGGAGGCAAACCATTCCTGTCCCTTTCCAAGCAAACCGCGCGGTGCTTGAGACTCTCTAGACAAAATAGTACTCAAGCAGACTCGCTTCCTGTTTGCATAGAGCCATCTTGCATTCAACACGTAGAAGGTCAACGTTTCAGTTTCAAAAACTACGAAACGGCTCAAAATGACCATAAAACCTTAGGAAAGGCGAATTATACCAATGAGGAAGAATACTGCGAATGCAATAGAGCGTGGGAAATGCTCTAAGGGGTTAGTGCTCTCCGGCGCCTCATAGATACCCTAGAAGATAAAACCTTGATACTAATCGAATCCAGAATCATTGAAGCAACATAGGGAAACTAAAAAGCCACAGAAGCAAGAAAGGCATAAGTATCGCAATAGAGATTTCGGTAAGAGGTGATTCATCTGCCTTTGCAGTTATATTCGACTTTTTCGAGTGGAGGGCAATATGTACACCATGTACCCGTCCAGTAAACATACAGTATAGTACACGTTCCGCCGACCCATCTGTAGGCCAACGTACCTGGTATTCCCCATAGTCTCCAGAACACCACCCATATATTACACCCAGAAATATACTCAAAGGTATCAATCCATGGTACCAAAAACCCAGAGTATGTACATCCGCTCACGCTGTCCCATCCTCTGCAGAAGTGGCTTCAGGTCCGGTCGCTGGAAGTCTAGAGTCAGGTCCCTTTTACTTCTTCCTCCCCTAGCGGATCACGATTGCCCGCGCTTTCAAACTTTCTCAGTCTCAGTAGTAGTCACCTGAGGTCCGGTCTCTTTCGGTCCAGACTCGGCTCCCTTCTTTGCAAACTGTCCCTCGCCCTTCTTAATGCTCTTCCACTCCATCGTAGCCGCCCCGACAATCCCAGCGCACACAAGTGCCAGCGCAGCATAGAATGTCTTGATCAGCGCATCATTATAGCCCACCAATACCTGCGCGAGCTTCTCAGGCGGCACGATCTGCTTCAGATTCGTCGCACCTCCCTTAAGAATAGCGGCGACACTCAGCCCGCCAATCGCCATCAGATTGTCCTTTAGCGTATTAGTAAAAATTGTCTGACCGACCGACACGAAGATGGTGCCGCCCAGCGACTGTCCGAAGAATATCAGCGAAGATCCAATAGGGACGTCCTTCTTGTGCAACACGGTCTGCGCAGCCATGTTGGGCTGCTGCATGCCGATGCCAAACCCGTAACCAAAGAGGAATTGGTAGGCGATCCATTTCGCTCGGCTAGTGTCGACATCCCAGGTCGTGATCAAGCCTGCGCCGATGGAGGCTATGATGGTGGAGGCGAACATGCAGGGGACGTAGTAGCCGGTCTTGAAGGTGAATATGCCACCGGTCGGTGCGCCGACGGAGAGAGATAGAACCATGGCGATGACGTCGATGCCGGAGTGCACGGCTGAAACGCCCCGGACGCTCTGGAACCAGATGGGGACGTAGAATACCATGATCAGGAGGGCGCCGCCGCTGCAGGTGGAGTAGCAGAGGCCTGCTGCAATGCTTCGTTGTTTTATGATTCGAGGGGGCACCGTGGCGATCTCGCCTTTGATGCACTGGACGATGATGAAGGCGATGAAGAGGACGACTGAGAGGACGAGACAGGCGATTACGTCTCTGTTGTTCCAGGGCTTCTCGGTGCCGCCCCATTTCAAGGCGAGCAGGAGAGAGACGCATGCTGGGAGGAAGATGATCGTGCCGAGGGGGTCGAGCTCGTTGAGCTGTTGGCGATACGACATCTCCTTAGCGCGGACGGGGAAGTTTATTTTGAGGAATAGCATGAGGATGACTATTGTAACTCCGCCGATAGGGAGATTGATGTAAAAGCCTGGTCATATAGTCAGCCGTCCCTTTGCTTCGAGAGCATGAATGTAGTTCACGTACACCATCGCCACGAAACGCGGTCGGCGAAGGCACCTCCAAGGAGAGGACCAATAACGGAAGAGATTCCGAACACTGCACCAAAGACAGCTTGGAACAGTGGCCGCTTTCTCAGCGGAACAATGTGAGTCCCCATAATGACGATGCCAGAGAACATGCCCGCAGAGCCCAGGCCCGCGACCGCACGGCCAGCGATCAAAGTGTTAGAGGTCGGTGCAGCGCCACAGATCGCGGAGCCAGCCTCGAAGATAACAATGCAAGTCAAGAAGATCCATTTGATGTCGTACAGAGTGTACAGCTTGCCGAAAAAGAGCATAAATGAGCATCCGGTCAGAAGGAATGCAGAGGCATACCAGCCAATGTCGCCGATGGAGTTGAAATCGTCTGTGATCTTGGGTATGGCTGTGGCCAAGATAGTCCTATCCTATTGCTTGTTAGTGGGCAGGTGTGAATAGACTCGGCAGGCTGCTCACGAGAGCGGCGAGGAAGGCGCTCAGGAAAAGCGAGACCATGATCAGCGCGAGTTTCATGCCATGCGGGTACTGGTCTGCATGCTCGTCTAGTGGTGCGAGGACAGCTTGGTCGACTTGCTGTTCTTCGGCCGCAGCCATAGGTGTTTGCGAGCGGGCGATGGGGGATCCGGGGTCGACGGTGTCGCCCATAATGGCTGCTTGCAATAAGGTGGCTGTCCAAGCTGTGTATGCATGAACTAGGGGATGTCAAAGTAAGGGCTTGAACCATGGACGACGTGCAGAAGGTGAGGTGCAGAGAGTATATCTCGCGTGACAGATTAGGCGTCGCCTGGTGGCTCCCGCGTAGCATCGGCGGCGTGGACCCCGAATCGCCACGTGATCGGGACGTCCTGAAACACCGAGATGCCGGCAGACATATGTTTGTACATAGAGCGCCAGCAGTCGCCCTGGCGAATGCACTATGAGTCTTGGCAGGCGAGGGGGCAGCCTGGAAAAGGCCTAGAGTGGAAACGACGTCGGTGTCGGGGGAGGGCTACCACCGAAGTATTTTGCTAGCCAACTTTCGCGACAGTGAAGGATCTTGACCGTCTGGCTAGCGGTGAGGCTGCCGTATTAACACCGTCATCAAAGAAGAGAACACAAGTGAATTGTACGATATGAATCACACAAAGCCTACGTCACCAGCGCAATACTCTGAATATGGTCAAAAAATCCTACCTTCGTTACGAGTGGAGTCGCCCTTTGTCCGCATCACTTATATCCTTCGAGGTCGATGCCTTCTACAATGCTTCAGGAGTGTGCATGGGTCGAGTACCAATCCAACTACTAAACCGCCCTAGGCTACGGTAAGAGAGTAATCCAAAGCATAGTAGTCTGAAAAGCTTACAACACCGCCAGGGCTTTCTAATTACGAGTGCCAATGCCCTCTCATTGATCCTTCTCATATCCTGAACTCGTCAAGCAGCGGGCGAAGGATGAGACGCGTCAACCCGCTATCAAGAGCCTTGCGGTGGATATTGAGACTGCACGTCGAAGTCGCTGCTTGGTGGCATCCATGGCCCGCTAAGGTCCATCTCGTCGTTCCAGAAGTAGAGGTCTCCCTGGTCGAATAAGGTATTCATATCTGCCGGAAAGGCAGCTTTGTCTGCCATGTACGTCGAATCATCCGCGAGGAAGTTCCATTGAGAGTCATTGTTCGCAACTTGGTCAATATTCGCTGGCGATTTCGAAAAAGTCATATGCCCGGGGTTTCCAGTAGCGGCAGGCAATGGCGTAAGGTCAGATCCTGTAATGGATAGAGAAACGGAACCTCCTGGAAAAGCTACGAATGCACCGGTAGGGGAAGCGATATGTGCGGAAGGCTGGTTGGAGTTGGATGTTGGGCCGTGACTTTCTACGGCAACGGCTTGCTGAGGGGATGCATTTCGAGAGAGTCGAACTTGCTGGTATTGCTCGTACCATGGTAGTATTCTCGTCTTTATCACATTGAGCCAATGAGACGGCACGCGCTGAGGAGACTAGTATTAGCAAAACCGAACTATAGAGAGAGATCCGGGCCTAGAGTAAGGTACTTACGCAAATCTGGGGGCCAATAGATTCGGCGATGCGGCTGACGACAGTGTTCAGGTAGTAGTCGAGCTTTAGACTCTGGGCATCCATCAATTCGCTGAGACCTTCTTGATTGGTCCAAAGAGCGTAGTCCGCTTTCATAAGGACTACTAAAGAAAAGGCTGCCCGAACAAAGAACACGTTCGGCACTTTTTGCAGCTGTTTGGCCGAAAGACTGAGAAACTCATCCAGGAGTGATTGAGAGGCATCCATACACTTCAAGGTCGCGGTGATTTGAAGGGACTTCAGAGGCATCGTCTTCTCACCTTGACCCAGCGGCTGGTCAAGGGCTGGTAAAGTGAAGTACTTGTGCCGAAAATTGGGAGCATCGTGTTTTCCTTCGTCAATTGCGAAATCCCACATCATGATGATGTCCTGCTGATAAGATATGCGCATAGACACTAACGTAAAACATCAGTTCGGAAAGCCTTCAGAAGGTATCAGGTATCTTACGATTCATGACATCAGGCGGAGTAGTTCTCATCCACGCGTCCATCTTCCGTTCAAACTCGCGGAGCACGACTTGCATGCGTAACTCTGTGAGACCAAAGCTTGTGCTTGCGTCGTCGAATCCAAATGCTGTTGTGGCCTCGTCTGCTATTCGCTGCAATCTGACCCTGCATTACTCTATCTCAGTTGAACTGATCGAAAAGTCTAGGGACAAGGCTTGCTCACCATGCACAAATTTGCTTGTCTGCCAAAATGGGCGATGTTTCTAGTAAGCTCATACACTCAGCCATCCAGCTGTTGAATACAAGAATGTTGGGCCTGCGGAGTCTCATTGATAATCTAGCTAGGTCAATAGTTGCGGTATAAATCAGACGCAGATGAAACTTACCCTGCCGTCAAAAGATAGCATAACAGTATTGTCCGGCAGTTTTCTAAGAGCCCATCAGGAGATGACACTGGTACCAAATCCTCACCATGTCTCTGTGGTAGTTGCTTGTGGGTTCGAGGTTTCGAAGCAATTCCAATTTCGATTGCCATTGTAGCTGCCATATTCGAGTACTGATAAAATTGAAGTTGAGCTTGCGTGCCTGGCGCCGTATAGTAGCAAATAGTATTGACTAGTGCTTGCACGTATTCAAGCCTCTTTTCTCCTTTGATGAAAATCCGATCCGCATAAACTTTCAATACTTCTGCAAAAAGACGCTCGGATAACTCGAAGCCTTTCGATTGGCTGGTTGCTGCCATGATTGATAAGAAGAGGACTGGCTTAGACTGTCTGAGCTCGCTAGCAGTACAATTGTCCGGTATGAGAGTTCCAGGATAGTAGTCACAGAGCTCCTCTCTGTATAGATTCAGGAACTCGTTGGCCATGTCCATGGTTATAAGACCACGCGAGACAATGTCCGACGCAATTTCGGATTCCGAAGCCCCGGGAGATTCCACAGGTGGTTGAATAGGAGACTCGTTCCCCCAGGGGAGGTGTGTTAGTGATGGTAGTTTGACGGATGCTGGGTCCGGTGTTTGGTCTGGCGTGCTCTCTTGGTCATCCGAGTTGGAGTCGTCGAGCTCTTCTGTTTCTTGAATACCGTGGGATATCTTGGATGCTTTCAGAAGAGCACGCATTTGTCTTACTTCGCGCTCAAGTTCTGCAACTCTCACGTCGGTTCGTTTACGCTGTCTCCTCTTTTGGGGCGCAACGAAGACACACGTCCGTTTTGCTTTCGCGCAGCGTTGGCACGTTGATGATCCAGAGTCTATCAGACATCGTACTTTGGACAGCCTACATGGTTCGCAGGCTCGGTTCAATTGCTGGTCAGACGGTTTCTGGGGAGCATTGTCGCCTGCCAGGCTGCTCCCCTCGGTGGCCGACATGTTTTACGTAGGTCAGGCCCTTATATCAAAGCCTGTACCTGTCTTGAGCGCAACGACGTGTAATGCTGCAGAGTTTTTAGCTCTTGTCGCACTTATCGAGGTAGCGCAAATACGGCCAAGGCCGCATAGGACTTCGGGATGTATTGATACGATGATGGCTGTGGCGTTGATAAGAGATTGAACTGTGTCTCGAGAAGGTCCCAAGTGCACAGTATCGAGTTTAGAAGATGGCAAAAATGATGGAGAAAGTACCTAGTCGACCAGATAGAATAATGCTCAGACCTGTCCTGATGTCTTCTTGCTTTTCATCAGTCAGGCAGCAGTGGGGAACGTCTGACGAAGGAGCCGCGCTAGACCCATACTGCCTAGCTCTAGATACCATGCCAAATTGCCGCTTGCCCTGTAGCATCGCGGGCCGCTTTGAGCATCGCAGTCAACGAAGCATTTGATTTTTGGATGACAAGTAGCTGTATGGGGTTGGAAAATTTCTAAACAGGTGAGCGGTTCCAGGCCGCGTTGTTTATGGGGCAATCGGAACTAAATATAGAATCACGTCACAGTACGGTACCTAGAGACAGCACCGCATTTTACATACGATTCAGCAATAGATGGATGGCCTCAGCGGTTCTTTGCAGCAGAGAACTACACTTGAAGTGGAAATTATGTATTACTTTATGCTCCCTCTACACCTGCCATGGCAACACGTTCCACAGCCCTCACCCACCTCCGCCGTCTCCACTCTCCCTTTTTGTCGAGTCCATTGCCCTCCTCCCACGACTTTGGCACGGGCTTAGCTTTGCCTTTTCCCTTGACCTCACCTCTACTCTTCGTTGGGTCTAAGGGATGACCGAATTCATCTATGTTCTGCTCTTCGTATAAGATGTCGGTCACCCATCGCTCACCCTCAATCTCAACCTCCACACCAGTGACGTATCTTTCCTCAACCCACTCCCTACTCAACAGATCTAGCGTCCATTTTTTATCCCTCCAACGCCAGCCCTTTGGTGCCTGTACATCTTCGAAGAATCTAGTTCCTCGTGGTCTGTCTCCGGCAATACGAGCGGGTGACAGTGGAGCGTAGGGAGACGGGCTGAAGAGGAACGACTCATACTCGGCGTCTGCTGTGTGTAGAGGCCTGTTTTGTAACTCAAATATTTCTACCTCACGGGTTTCTGGGGCGGAAGAAAGTGATATATCAGACTTGGAGAGTCGAAGAAGCCAGGAGCGAGCGTTGATTTCCTGGTCCTGGATCATCGCGTCTGTGTGGGTAGAATGGAGGAAGGACTGCGCGGACGGGTGGCAGGCGCATATGACAGCCCAGCCAGAGACAAGAAAGATAGCACGCCAGGGGAGAAGGTGTGATGTTATGAATAGTAGGCAAGCTGTTGCGCTCAAAAGTAAGAAAAGTACCGAGGACAACGCTTCGTTGGAGAAATTGGTCGGTGGAGCGAGAACCGTGATCAAAGTGTCGTGTACCCTGCTGAAATCCTCCATGACGTTTTGGAGATCACGCATGTTGCGGAAGAAGTCTTTGCTTAGCTCCGGCGCGGGCTTTATGTTCTGAGCAGGGGCTAAAGGCGGACCAGCGAGCGGATATAGGTCTGTAGGCTGATTACTCGGCGGTGGAGGGTGGCGCGTTAGGAAAGCTGGAACCATTATGAAGAAGAGGCAGAGAGCTAGCGGGACGACGGGGAGGAGGGTTGGTTCGAGACAGATAAATGTGTAAACAGCGAGAAAGGACAGCGTTTGAGTAGGTTCCTTCCAACTGAAGAGGCGGATCATGCGGTTTTGGAAGACAAAAGCAACACCGATTCTGGCGTTGAAGCGGCGAAAATTGTTGGACATGACGGGCAGACTGAAGCCTGGTCGATCAGCGTATTCGCGGGATCGTCTATCCTTCACGCCGTCGGGCGCGTCCTGCGGCAAGACTTGCTGCAGAAGCATGGTGAACAGACGGTCCGACATGGTGCTTGGAGACTCTGGCCTGGCTGGGTGGTTTCCCAGATTCTCTAAGCGTTCCTTGAGCTTGCCGGGCGGGAGTGCTTGTCTAAAGGCATCCCGTTTGCGAGGCGTGGTGGGGACGTCATCGTCGGGCGAAGTAACTCGAAGGACCGGAATAGGCGAGTCGCGGTTCACGATGGCATCTGAGGTGTCTCTCTCCATGATGGACAGGAGAGTGTGGAATGTCGCTGGCGGTGTTGATATTGAGTGCTACTAGGTAGGGTAGGGTAGGGAATATGCAGCTTAGAGTACAGCACGTGAAGACGGGACGCGGAGTGCACGGGCCACTATATTGTATTGAAGCACTTTATCAACTTCACGTTTCACCGCAGCTCAGCTCCACCACACACAAACACAGCTCTGTGCACTTTGAGAACTTAATGTCTCCAGGCCCTAGGTGGCCTCTAAGGCACATTTAGGCGGCTTCCCGACACCAAAGACTAACCTCCAACAGCACCAAGAAATGAACCACATTCACATTCAAGGGTCTTCTGTCCAGCTTCTACGTATATGCATGCTTTGCTACGCTATCCCCACTAACCCGACAACTAACTCAATCCTCAAGAGGAAATAAATTACGCTAGCAATCCCGCCTTCGCCATTGAGTGTGGTGGTAAGCTTCCTGCAGACCAAGAGTTCTACACCCGTATAAGGACCAGTTGGCCGAAGAAGGGTTTCTACCGTAGATACAATATGACCATGTTTCAACTTCAAATAATCGATGATAATATGAAGAGCGCCCTCGGTGCGATTAATCCTGCACCCGTACTATAAACATCCTTGGGCGCTATACCCGACAAGAGCGGCAACTTGGCACATTATTAGAGCTATCCGTGCCAACTGCCCTAAAGTGTTCAATAAGGTAACGTGCAGACAGGAATATGCGTCTTTAAGGGACGGCATATTAATAAGTTATATTCTAGGCAACAGTTCCTGGCTACTGGCGTGAGGATGCGTTATGCGCCTGGCTTGCGAAGAATGCCACATAGCTAAAGGCACACGCTGACAAGGAAGCCGCCGGTAAAACTTGAGTCACTAGAGAAACCGAAGCGCGGTGCCAGCCACATGCTCCGCAATTGCATTCTGAGAATTGAGATTCATGATACGGACGAGGGCGAGGAGGTTGAGAGGACATACCAATCAGAGACCTGATTGATACAGTTCCCGACAATGTAAACCACGACATCAACACAAAGCAATTAGCTGGGACCTCCTGACGGCTTTCTCAGAACCATCAGCGAGACCTACTGCAATACCATTAGTCGTCCCCAGCCTTCTATTTCGCCATGCCGGACATGAATTCTGCGGGCCGTCCCTTTTATGTCGTCGACAATGATCGGAAGCTGAAGAGTGCTATTACCGTCCTTCAAGAAGCCCCAGAACCCTATCATCAGGCTGCTGCTGATAAGTCTACTGTTCTACATGGCCCGTGTTTGAGTGCGAATCAATTATCCGTATCTCTGAAGCCATCTGTGAGAGGGAGACGAAATGCGCGAGTCGGCGGATAATCCACTATCTCTATGGCTGGTCATGACGATATTCTTGTTGATCGGAGGTTTGATTGTGAAGGGTGAATGTGCGAGACGGAATGTCGATCGGCACGTTCCTGCAGCCATCAACAGTCCAATCGGATTTGCAAGGGCGAATACGTAACTAGGTACCCATGTAGATTTATTCCGCAAACGTTTTCTCTGCAGCTGGAGTCAAGTGCCGGCCACGCAACTCGCCTCTACTTTGGCTAAATGCGGCGTCTACATAAGCCTAGCACATTGTTTAGGGGATGCAATCATACCACCGTTAAACAATTGCACGCCCTCTTGCTTGCGCCTACGCTCTGCTGAACTTACAAGGCATAAGCCTCCCGTCTGCGTCTTGAATCTGCCGTGGTACAGACCCCGTTCAGGCCGTGCATGCGCGCCCGGGACATGTAGCACAGTGCCAGTGAACCGCAGCTGTCAGTGCGCTCCAGATAGTGTTTCGTGTAGTCCTCGTGCCCGACCAGGCGTCGCGATGCTCGTCACGCTGGACGCGTGGGCCGTGAGCGTTTCCCGGGGAGCCTGTTGTTGTGATATGGCGGCGAATAGTTGTTGAGCGCATGGTCCAATCTGCAAATCTGCCCGGGGTCGCGGCCAGAGACATTAGCGGGCGCCCTCTCCACGCCTATTCCGATAGCTTGACGACCACTCTGCACCTCATCTGGACCCTCAACTTCTCCTGGCCGTGTCCACGCTGAGACTCTGCCTCGACTCCTCCGTGTCGACGCTGGCCTGCCCGTTTGTTGACCCCCTCTACCCCCTCCGCTCCCCTTCAGACTTTCCTCCGCTCCTGGACCACGACATGCCATCGCACTCGTAGCCAAATCTCCAAGCCTCGAGCTTGGAGATCCGCATTGCATAGGAGAAGGCTCATCTGGGACGCCCCTGACCGCGTCCTCGCACCTCCTGTTCGGCGATCCTCACGGTCGGCAGGCCCACCGCAATCCTGAGCTAGACAGAGCCCTGGAAAGGATGACGGCCCAGCTCACCAGCTCAGGGCTGCTTCGCACGATGGATTCTGCCCTCCCGGTTCCTAGAACGGACACTGCTGAAGAGTCCAGCGGTTCTGGTGGTAAGAATCCCCCGTTCATAGGCAGTACCTCTTGTCACAAATACACTTGCCAATGTATGGCACCGAGAACAAAGCAGCTGATGTCTGAAAAATAGCAGAGGGACACGTCCGGCGGAAGTTTCAGAGAACAGCCAGCCAGCACGAGAGCAGCCAGCGGAAGCAGACCGTCCCCAGCTCGACGTCGCAGCCTCGACCGTTCGCGGGTGCAGAACCAAAGGTCGTCTTCAACGCACGCCGGCGGTCTGTTCGAGAACACCAGGTACCCCAAGGGCCTCGCCCCCTAGGTCTGCAGTCCAAGAGGTGAGTCTGTTTCCAGTTGCTCCACCAGCCTTATCACAGCTATGCCACAAACAAAACTAATGGCCGTGCAGGGTGATCAGCGACGCAGGTGCCCCTTCCAACACCAACTCCTCATCGACCCGCTCTTTCCTCCCTACCTCGACCAGCGACAACTCGTTTGCCAATTCCTCACGAACCGCGAACCCTCGCTTCAGCTTTGGCAAACCCTCTGATGGCTCCAAAGACTACACCGACAGCAGCGGCTCCTACGACTTCCTCCCCTCTGTCAACTTCGACGACTTCCATGCCAGCATCTCCTACGATCCGCAATTGAGTGACTTTCCCGCCCCGGGAGGTGGAGGGGTTCTCCTCGCGAACGCGTCAATGAATAATAACACAACCGGCACGGTGGAAAGGGGCCCTGAAAGTCGTGTGACGAGAAGCGGATCTCTAATCCGCAGGATGAGCAACAGACGGCAGACATCCCAAACCTCTACCTCTACTATCGACTCCAATTCGATGCCACCTCCAAGTGCTCCGCTGTCGCTTCGATCTCGCCGTCAAAGCCAGTTCCCTGCACCTGCACCTGCACCTGCCAACCCCGCCGGCCGCCCTCCGAGGAAGTCGGTTGGCCCTGGGTTCCTCGCCAGCGAACCACGCGAAAGCAGAACGGAACTGTCAAGGCCGATGTTTGAGAGTAGCCAGTCTGGACTAGGTCGCGCGCCATCAATCGGGAAAAATCGTCGTGGCACTCTTGGACCTAGCATAAGCCTAGGTACGGAGCTGCCACGACTCTCTAATACTGCCCGGGCCTCGAAGGCAAAATCACTGTTGCCTCCATCCACGCAAATCCCAGGGAATCTAAGTACCCAGTCTCTTACACCAGATCATGGCCGTAATTCTATAATTGGGGATGCAAACTCACCAGGCAGGTCCCCTAGGCAAAGGAATGGTGGCCAGACGCCTTCATCTTCATCGAGCAAGAGACAATCTACTGCCCATCATGTGGGCGGCCTTGGTGCACGAACAATAAGCCCCACCGACGCTCGGAGACTGAAACGTATGTCCATGATGCCAGGTGTACCAGGGATGCCCCACACGCCTCCTACGCCTCAACCAGACTTTATGGTAGATAGCAGATCTACGTCTCATTCTCCTGCAGCACCTTTCAGGAAAAGCTCCACACCCTCTTCGGCACGGGCTACTCCTGATCACAATAACAACAGTAATCGCAAGTCCTTCGGATCAGGGTTATCCCTGTCATCAACCTCAAGCGCCAATTCTTCACGTCCTGCTAATGGACTCCAACTTCGAACAAGCCACATCCTATCTTCGTCTCGATTACCAACTCCGAAACCACGGAATGTGCACAGCTCTGCAGGTGCCTCGGAGGAAGAAGTCCCACCTGTTCCTGCAATTCCCAAGGCATACGAATCACCGAAGGACCCTGATAATAGTAACTTCTCGTTGTTGAGGGCCCCCGTACCACCAGGCGATGAACCTGAGATGTCAGCTCCCTATCATCATGACGCTGTTGAGGAAGTGGCCACTTTTGAAACTACGGCCTCGAAGCAATCAAGACCTGGTCTACAGAAGACGCACAGCAGCATCAGGCATAGACGAGGTCTGACCGTGGGTTCTACTGGGTCGGATGCCGACAAGACTCCCTCGATGCAAATTGCTGCTCGGAAAAACCTACAACCGATCCGACTTCCTCCTCTGAACCTTCTTCCGTTAGGCACGCCGTTCAACAACAAGATTTCGTCCATGCCAGCCCCATCTGCGGAAGTGGATCATCGACGGGCAACGCCTCCGCCAAAACGAAACATCACAAAGACGCCGAGCACACCAATGACAGCATCAAAGGCGACATTCTTTTCCAAGAGCAACAACGCAGATGATCACTACTCTTTTCATGGCCAATTGCGGAGTAGTAGTTCGGCATATAACTTGAGATCTGATCCGCCGCCGTATCAACCTAATGGTTCTTCAGCGATGCCAATACCTACCAACAATAGCCGGCAAATTACTACACCATTCGCATCTGCATCTCTACCAAAGAGCAGCGGCGACTTTGGAAACTTGAGATCAAGACCTAGTGGAGAATACAAACTGAGTGATACCGACACTGAGATGCCAGTGACGAAGTTAGCCGGCCCACGTCTGCTCACTAAGAAAGATAACTCATCTCAACATACATCAACGTCAACCGAGCCAGAAACACCCTCATCTGGATCATCTTTGAGGCGGAAGCTTAGCCTGGGTGGCTGGAGGAGAAGTTCGTCGAAGGCATCTCATGCATCCCATGCCTCACAACCGCACGTTGCACTACATAAAGGAGATGAGCAAGGGCCTCAACCGCCGAGTCACAATGGCATGCCTCCGCCCAAGCTGCCTGCGTCTGCTACTTGGAGTGGGCCGCTTCCAAGTCCTAGCCCGTCTCATAGATCCAAGCCGTCACTGGAGGTGAGGAGGCGCCAGCCTTCTGCAACGGCCGTCATGAGCGACACCGAACTTGACAGGTCACAGGGACACAAACCCAACCGAACCACCAGTAACCAAGCGCCCCCGGCATACTCCAATCTTTCGGCCAGTGGGCCAAACCCAAAATCAGCTTCTTCGATTCTATCTCCGATGCAAAGGATGCTAGGTGGCTCCAAGAATTCTCAGACCTCTGTTAAAACTCGCCAGCAAGACCCGAATGTTGACCGAGAGGATCTAGCCGCCGACGAAGAGATGCGAAAGCTTGCAACCAAACGGAAAGACTTCGAGGCTGCAGCACGGGATGTGGACGATCTCCGCAAGCGAGCAAAACCACAAGAGCGTGTCAGCCCTGCTCAAGCTCTTCAGATGGTCAATCTGAACATCTTCGAGCGAGGCGAGATCATAGACTATAAAGAGATTTATTTTTGTGGCACGAAAAATGCTAAGAAACACGTTGGAGACCTCAACGCACAATCAGCCAACTTCGGCTACGACGACGATCGAGGAGACTACAATATTGTGCTTGGGGATCATCTCGCCTACCGGTACGAAGTCGTGGATCTTCTAGGTAAAGGAAGCTTTGGACAGGTTGTTCGGTGCGTGGATCACAAGACAGGTCTTCTGGTAGCGATTAAGATCATTCGCAACAAGAAGAGGTTTCACCAGCAAGCTTTGGTCGAAGTCAACATCTTGCAAAAGCTGCGCGAATGGGTAAGCGGTGTCATTCCGGTCTTGTCAGAGAAGCACTAACAATTCAACAGGACCCCGACAATAAGCACAGTATGATTAACTTTACACAAAGCTTTTACTTCCGAGGCCATCTTTGCATATCCACCGAACTACTTGGCATGAATCTCTACGAATTCATCAAAGCCCATGACTTCAAGGGCTTCTCATTGAGGCTCATCCGACGCTTCAGCAAGCAGATGCTGAGTTCCCTGGTGCTCTTGAAGAGCCACCGCGTGATCCACTGTGATCTGAAACCAGAGAACATCCTCCTCGCGCATCCTCTTCACTCGGAAATCAAGGTCATTGATTTTGGCTCCAGCTGTTTTGAGAATGAAAAGGTCTACACCTACATCCAGTCACGATTTTACCGGTCTCCTGAGGTCATTCTTGGCATGAGCTACGGAATGCCGATTGATATGTGGAGTTTGGGATGCATTCTAGCCGAGCTTCTGACTGGATACCCGATCTTCCCCGGAGAGAACGAACAGGAGCAGCTAGCTTGCATCATGGAGATCTTCGGTCCACCCGAGAAGCACCTGATCGAGAAGAGCAGCCGTAAGAAGCTGTTCTTCGACTCGCTTGGAAAGCCTCGAGTAACAGTGTCAGCTAAAGGCCGCCGACGCCGGCCAAGCTCCAAGACTCTGCAACAGGCGCTCAAGTGCGACGACGAAGCCTTCCTTGACTTCATCTCCCGCTGCCTCCGATGGGATCCAGACAGGCGGATGAAACCTGACGAAGCGATGCTGCACGAATTTGTGACAGGCACAAAACGGTTGGTTCGTCCGCGGGCGCCTACCAACGGTGTATCTGCCGTCGGGTCACCTGTAAAACGCTACAATACTGTGCAGACTCCGCAGCGCACCCGACCTCTTCCCGAGCCACCAGCAACCAGCTTCAAGAACGGAATGGCGGTGCCAGCCACTCGAGACGCGTCGAGCAGCTCGCCAGTCAAGGGCCCACCCAGGCGACACTCTACCGTACAAGGGGTTCAGGTGGGCGCAGGAGTGAAGCGGGCTGCTAACGGGGCCCCTCTGAACGCATCTAGCAGTCTTCCTCGAGTGACTCAAAGGAGTGCGTCCGGGAAACCCGATCTGGCTTCGGCAGCGGCAATCGCCAGTCTGGTAAGTTAAGGCAAAACCTCCGAGAAAACGTTCTGTGCTAACATCAAAACAGAAGTCTCGGTGATCCCTTTACGCGATGAACGTGTACAGTCGTACATACAAAAAGAGGCGGATGTAGTCATATGGTGGTTCGATTTGGGCGCGACGTTATGATAGTCTTAGTAATGCATACTCGGGGGTTTTCCATTCTCATTATCAACGGCACTCTTATACCCTCCTGGTGTTGTTGCACAGCGCGGTCTGTGGGTTGTATGCCTTGTCTGCCGGTGGGAAGGGTCCGTTGCTTTTGCTCTGCGGTCTTTGGATTGCGGCATGGGGCACGAGCATCTCGGGCATGACCACCGGACATTGCCGGCGGCTTTGGCGTTTGTTTTCTGCGTATGCTGGGCCATGCAGATGGGAGATGTGGTCGCAGCACTCACGATGCTGCGGTTTAGCAGAACTAGAGCAGTGTTGGAGTGGGGATATGCGAATAGAAAGTGCCGTACTTATCAGGCACTCGGAGCAATTCTGTGCCCTTCAAGCCTTAGCTAGTCCATCCGTGCGACCGATGAAGCGTGAGGCTGCACGACAGGCACAACGGGGGAGTATCGTGCAGTTCATGCAAAGCATTGTGCAGCTGCATGGCGCTAAACGTGATCGGCATGCCTGTAAGACTTCACCCCGGGCCGGGCATTCTTCTCTCCCCACACACCACCATGCCCCTCCAGCTTCATCCTCCCGTCCTTGGCGAGCCCCGGGAGCCTGGCCGTTCAACCCCGCGCTGGGCCGAATAGACCAAAGGCCTTGAGGCGCGGCGTCAGGGTCCTCGTGCCTGGCACAAAGATTGTTCGCGTCCTTCCACCCATACCCTCCGGCCCCGGCGCCCGAGCAGAGAGCATGTGGGGGACACGGCCAGCTTCGCCCTAGCTCTCCTAGTCGCTTCGATCGATGGCCTCATGCCATAGAGTAATCCATTCATCCGGAGGCGCGCGGAGGTGGTCCTGTGATTCCTCACGGCCGCGGATTTTTCCCCTTGATTCCTCAGCAGCAGCACGCATCATATTTCTCAGCCTGACTGTGCTGGTGGTCCGGAGCCTTAACTACCTGCTCTTCTTGTCCGGCCTTCTGACGGCGCTCTTAGACGTTTTCCTTTTTTCCGCCGACGCATCTCGACGCCTCGTCTACCTAGGTAGCTTACCTACTTTCGCCCCACTATCCCCAACGTAGTTTTTACTGCACCCCGCTACTCTCTACACACCTGTCCACTACTCTATATACCCTGCCCACCTCGCCGTCTATTCGTTCCTTTTGCTGCCAGCTTTCTGCTCTGGCGCCCACCCGAACGCTGTTCTTTCCGCAGGATTCTAACGTCTGACGCCTTTGTTCCGGAAGTGATTACCTATCACGCGACCTACTCCAAAACTTCTACATTTTACTTGCTTCCTTCTCTCGAGCAATCACTCTCCACTTTCCGGAATATTTGCGACGGCCTAACGACATTGCCAGCACCGTCTCTGCGCAATTGTTACGTCCAAGTTCCCAATCTATTATTTCCCAAAAAAAAAAAAAAAAGAACCGCGTCTTCACGCGCAGTCAGGTGCGACTCGCACTGCCGAGTTGACGCCATGATCCCATCGCTACCCGTCCTCAGCGACTACGACGTTTCGCCTAGTTATGGCTTTCTTCCCGACGAAATACCGCTTGATTTTCTGCCCGATACCTACTACGCGCCATGGGAGACTGTCATGAGAAATCTCCAGGCCCTGCTTCTTTCTAAGAGACTGCGTGGGGTAGTCGACATTCTCCCGGTCCTTTCAACGGACTTCCTAGTTACCGAGGCAGAGTGGCGAAGAGCATATGTCATATTGGGGTTCTTGACACATTCCTACATATGGGGAGGAGATACACCAGCTGACGTATGGACATCCCTCATTTTTGGTTGAATAAAACGCTGACTAACCGCAGAGGATACCGCCGCCGATATCCGTTCCTTTCCTTGAAACGTGTCGACATCTCGAACTACCCCCGGTAGCCACATATGCGGGGCTAGCTTTGTGGAACTGGAAGCCTATCTTTCCTACCGAACCTGTGGATGTCCTGGAGAACCTGGCAACAATCTCAACCTTTACTGGATCGCTAGATGAGTCATGGTTCTATCTAGTCTCGGTGGCTATCGAGGCGCGGGCTGGCCCGATCATACCCGTAATGATGGACGCTATCGCAGCTGCGAGGCGAAATGATAGCACGACTGTAGTTGACTGCTTGAGAGTGTTCGCGGAGAGGATTGATGAGTTAGCAACCCTGTTGACGAGGATGTATGACAACTGCGATCCACACGTCTTCTACAACCGCATTCGACCGTTCCTCGCCGGATACAAGAACATGGCAGACGCGGGCCTCCCTAATGGTATCATTTTTGACGTCGGGTCCGGAGACGAAAATTACGTTCAATACAGTGGAGGAAGCAATGCTCAAAGCTCCGTCATCCAGTTCTTCGACATCGTCCTTGGTATTGAGCATCGTCCGACGGGAGAGAAGCGTACCAGCGGTTCCGATTCCGAAGGTGCTATGCCAACTCCTTCGCACCACTTCATCAACGAGATGCGGAGGTACATGCCTGGCCCCCATCGGAGATTCCTCGAGCACGTAGCCAGCGTCGCAAATATTCGAGAGTATGTCGAAAATCACCGGTCTAATCGGGCGCTATGTGTCGCCTTCGACGCCTGCCTAGCCATGCTGCGAGCTCTGCGTGACAAACATATTCAGATGGTGTCGCGCTACATCATCGTCAAGTCTCGCGAGTCGAGGTCCCATTCCCGGTCCATCAGTCCCACGCACGTTGCGCCGAAGAGGACAAACCTCGCTACGATGTCGCATGGAGGCGCCGGCGGCGCAAGGCTACGAGGAACGGGCGGCACTGCGCTCATTCCATTTTTAAAGCAAGCACGAGACGAAACTGGCGAGCCTGCTATCGATGCGTGGGCGAGACGGCTCCTCAACAATGGACCGGCTGATGCGATGGGTGGTGTTGCACGACTCACGAAGATGAGCGAGCATGCTAGCGGGGAGGTTGAGATGGTGGGACTAGCTGGCACTTGGTCCGTCGACGATAGCGAAGGTGGGATTTGCCATTGGTAGACTCCGCTCTTTGATTCTTGTTCATATTCTACTACTTTGTTCATATGGGCTACGCTCATCCTCAACGCTGAAACGGCGTTCATTTAGTTATGGAGGATATTCTTGCATTCAAGCACTGTGTTGCCATGGAAGGCGTCTCAAATCTTGTCTTCTGAAGTCATGAATGGCATGCGGCGATATCTTTTTCTTATGAGCTACTGTCACGATATTTAAGGCATCAAAAGCGCTGAGAATTACATCACAGACACTCTATAATCAGAGGAGCAAACAAGTCCACATGCAAACTACTCTGTATCCTGATAATGGCCTCACCTGAACACGCAAGAAGTTGGATAGTGGTGCAACTCATCGCGAATACGATTGCTTGCCCCACGTGGTGTCAGCCACGCAGGACGAACTACAGGACGCGTAACCCCAAAGTGGCCCTGCGGCGAAAAGCGCCTGTATCCATGCGGCCAGAACTTTCTCGATCCAAGCCGCTAGAGGCCCCGCTGACGTTTTGAGAGAGGTCAAGGCCATGACGTCATGGGCCATGCGAGTGAAGGAGCTACCGACAACAGCTATGATATAAAGCTGCCCAACCTCGCAATTGAAACCCAACATCACAACACTACAATCTTGATACTTTTACAGCTGCACTTCAAAGAACTTCAACTACAATCCACACTTCCAACCATCAACCCACACCACAAATCACCATGTCTTCAGACAAAGACCAAACCTCCACCCTCCAGTCCTACGTCGACTCGGCCTCCAGCACCTTCAACAGTGCTATTGGCTCTCTGACCGGCAACCGAGCTGACAAGGTCCGTCTTACCCATCGCGCTCTAGCCCCAGAACCTGAGTAACACAATAACAGCAAAAAGCCACCGACAAACAAGCCACCGCCGACGCAGAACGTGATCTCTCCCACACCGCCGCCAAAGCCGGCCCCTTCACCATCGGCTCGTCTGGCGCCGTCTCTAAGGACTCTTCTGACCGCACTGAGGGTTCATGGAACCAGACCATCGGCTCTGCGAAGGAGGCGGTTGGCGGCTTGATCGGCGCAGAGGGCTTGAAGAGGGAAGGCATCCAGCAGAACCGTGAGGGCAAGGCTCAGGAGGCGCAGGGACAGCTTTCGGACCTTGGGCAGGGTGTCAAGGATAGAGTAGGCGGAACTCTGGGAGGCATTGGTGCGGGCCTGACGGGAGACAAGACGGGGCAGGAGCGGTATCAGGCGCAGCATGATGAGGGCAAGACGAAGCAGAGGGGTGTTGAGACGGATCTACAGAAGCAGGATCCTAGTGCATAGATGTTGAAGTTCCGGGCTGAGTTCCTTCCGAGGATGGTTTTGATACGAGGTTTGGGCCGGTGGATGATGGCTGAGATTGATATCCCTGGGACTCTCGAGTAGAGATTGCCCTTTCCACTTCTACCTACATTTTCCAATGCAATCATTCTGGAAAAGTCTTGACTGTTGTTTGACTGTTTTATGATGGTGATGTCGTTAAGCTCTTTGCAGTGATATATTAGAACACTGAGAGGTTTGATCCACGACTTGCATCCAAATCAGTGCTCTCACACCTACAATGTCTCAAACTCCAGGTCTGCGTACACGCTTTTACCGCTATCCACGGTAGTCTTGTGAGTTAACAAGCTGTTCTAATGCTCAACTTTAATCGATCCAGAATCTATAAATTACTGCGAGATAGCACAAGCTATGGCAGGAAAGTTTACGGATACCTCCATGACGAGACACGACGATCTACCACCAGTCTTTAGACAATTGATCTCACAGGATACCCACCGGAGTGTCACGAACTCCGAGAATCACGACCTCTGCGAATAGAATCAATTGCCGCTGGTACCTGTGGTATGATGAAGTGATCGACCAAAAACAATCCCCGCACGCCGCGGTGGTGCCACAGTCGAGTGGCGTTGTGGCGTCGGCTCTTCGTCACTGCAGACGGAACCTTTCATTCATGTGGCTGTGCATTCGGGATCCCCAGGAATCGTGTGGATGAGCCGCGTACCCGTGTCTTCCGGCGAGACTTGCTTGGCCAGCGCCCTCTGCTTCATGCAGGTCTCTCCGTGGCGTCGTGATCGGATGATCGAGATGACGGTGGCGGACTGCTTTCCAGGACGGCGCCATGCCTTGGTTCGCAGCAAATTGGCAGGCTGGGCCTGCATTTGAGGGCGCAAGCGACCTTGGAAGTCTTGGAAGCCTGCTCTGCGTCACATGGCTAGTAGGGCCGCAGGGCTGCTGGCAATTTGCAGTGAGGTGAGGCCGGTGTGGGCCACAGCGCAGTCCGGAGCCTGACCTGTGCTTTGTTGTCTACGTCATGGGGAAGGCGCGAAGACAAACCGCTGCCACTGCATATAAACCTGTCCTTCTGCCCGCTGCACTGATCATTCCACTCGCCCTCCGACCTACTCGATCACCCATCCTACTACCTCAAGCTTCACAAAGACAACTTCTTTGACCAGCCCGCAATACCGCAGCGCAGCCATGCCTTTCACCGGAAGGTACGTTCCTCACTGCTCCCAAGGCCTCGCTGTTTGCGGTTGTGCGCATCCTCCCCGTGCGCAAGCGCAATTGTCTCGGCACATCGGCTCTGCGTTTGTTTGTTTGTTCTTGAGGCCATTGCTAACAAGCCTACAGCGACATCATCAAGATCATCTTCGCGATCATCCTCCCGCCCCTGGGGGTCTTCCTAGAGCGCGGATGCGGAGCCGACTTGCTCATCAACATCTTGCTGACCATTCTTGGTTACATTCCCGGAATCATCCACGCCCTGTTAGTAGCCTTCGCTCTTGCACCGTTTGTTTACCTTACTAACATACCACAGCTACATCATTCTGAAGTTTTAAGCATGGGAGCAGCGACGAACAACCTCACGATACCCATCTCTTTCCTTCCGACTCTGTGGCCAACTCATGCGACCCTTATTCTTACATAAGGCTGCTCGAAAATCTGGTCATGCGAGCCAGCTGCATATCCGGCGCATCCGGCGGTCTCGGGGTTGCTTGATTCGACCTGCTCGGAATCCTTTCTATCTTAATTCGGTGCTATTCGGACACGTCTTGACGTGTTAATTCACGTCATGGCGTTCGACTCGGGGGCTTGGAGCATGATGACTTAGTTGGAGGGGTGCCTACGAATGTATTATAGTGCCCGCTCCAAATAATGACTCTTCCGCGTTACTACATTACTCGCTCGATACTTCTCTGCGCGACATTTGTGTGACGCTTTTACGTGGCAGCTTAATGGATTTTCAAAAATTTGGCTTGGATGTGAGATGAGTTTCGCCGTCGTTCAAATTAACATTTAAGCTACCTTACTAACACAGCCTTGATGCTCTTTAAAGTGGTCCTATGCTTATGAACGGTCAGCATCACTCCAACACTCGAGGTGAATGCGAATTGTTGCCTCAGGTGTTCGCGGTCAGACGTGGCACAGCTGGCCCGCTTGGCATCGTGAACCGTGGACCGTAGCACCCGTCAATGACCCTTTAAGCTCCTTTAATCGCACACACAAGCTCGCCCACATGCCTCTAAACTCGAAACCAAAGCTTCACGGTCGCTCACCTGCAACACCGCGAACAAGATGGACCTTTCGGCGACGCTGGAAGGGGAGCTTGCATCGCTCATCTGCGACCCAGAGCGCACCCTAGAAGAAACTGGGAACCTACTTCAAAATGTACGAGAGGCTCGCCTGAGAGCTCATCCTGAGGGTAATGAGCTCCAAGCAGCCTTCCAAGACTCTCTTAAGCTGAAGAACAAACTGGACGTTTGGGAAAGCCAGGGTAAGTGCCAACTTCTTGCGCGTTTGAGGGCCTTACTTATTTTAACGTGTAGTCGACATATTTCCTTCACTTCCTCACCTCGCTGGAATTCTCAATTGCGAATACCAGATCTACAAAATCAATGAGGCTATTCCTCTTAGACACAACCCCTTCCTGTCACACTGGGTCGAGACAATACAGAGGCTGGACAAGAAGCTAGGAGAAAGCTCGACAGAGCCGAATGAAGGGCGCTCGAAAGATGACCGCCTCACTTCGCACCATATACACTCCTCGAGAGCCAAACTTGTGAAGGCGATTTTGATGTTCCGCAATCTGCGCGTAATATCACGCAGATCGCCAAAGGAAATCCTTCAGCTTGTGAGCGAAGAGTCTTACACGGCAGACTTCGATCTCCAACCTTACGTGACGATTCTGGAAGATGAGGGCATCTATGACAAGACTCCCACTCCCGAGCTTGAAGTCACACCAAAACAAAGTCCTACGGCCCTGTCGAACAAGCCTAACACAAAGGAAGCCCTCCTCACAGAGCTAGAAGTGTCTCCCGACACTGCAATATCTGCAATAACACACATGCCTCTCGACATTCCATCGCTTGAAATCATCACCTCTCTCCTCGAGAAGCATGTCTTCGAAGACCTTAGAATCGAGCCGCTTCCTGTACTGAGAGACTACCTTCAGCATAGCCTCCGTCTGATCGAGAAAATGGGTCTCCCGGCACCCAATATTCCCCCTGACGGTCCGTCGAGTGCTGACGGTGGTGGACGAACCGATTCCTTCAACGAGCAGGACAGCGACGAGGCCCTCAGCCACGACCGCGAGGCGCAGGTCCGCGCAGTGAAGCTCATACTACTTTTCATCCGCAACCTCGTAGTTCATAAGAAGCTTCTTCCTCCGCAAGAGATCTACTACGAGATCAATGAGATATGCGTGCGATATATTTGGCTGAAAGAGGTTCGCGAGTTCAGGGCTTTCATCGAGCAGGGGGCGGATGCTAGAGAATTGGCGGGAGCCTGGTGAGCTTCCACATAACCTATGGAACAATGTGTAAGAGACGGCCTTAACAAGGATGGAATGAGTTGATCGTTGACGCCGTTGCCCTCATTTACGACGGGTACGTCATGAAAGACGAATACAACGCATCGTCGATTGGGCTCAGACCTAAAAGTGCAAAGTTGAGCCTTTTACTGCTAGATCTCCTCTTTGTAGTCTTCAAATGCTCTGCAAATTTTCATAGTCATACAGGACTAGGATACAAGTCTCTGAACACTTGGATGTCACGTTCGAAGTCAATCAATACAATTTTAAGAATCTAAGGCGAGTTGTGAGTGGACCTTGTTGAATAACCTGTAAAGACCTCAGACGACGGTCTGCACTGGTACTCTTGAGGTTCGTCGGAAACCTTGAGGTTCGTCGGAAACGGGAGATGCTCTCATGGATGGGTAGAGTAGGTGACCTCCTGGATCGACAGAATGATGTAGTAATACTTAAAGCTTATTTCTTCGATCAGTGCCTCGGGCCGCTACCTGTGAGACACGATCTTTATGGCTGCTCCTGTAAAAGGTCAGGGTCTGGGATGGTCATGGCTCGTGTGGCGTTTCGCCGTTGTCTTTTGAAGAGTGGCATGAGACGCCTGAGGGTTGGAGTAGCCGGGCCCTCGGATGTGTGGTTTCGAAATATCGCACTTGGACAATGACTCTGGGTAGGTAGATGAGCTTGAAGGTACGCGCTCACATACAAAGCAGCATCATCAATGATTTATGCTCATATCCGCCATTTGACCTGGTATAGACTCCATAGTTCCGATAACAGACCCGCTCTGAAGATCACTCATTAGATCCATTACCCATGTCGGAGATCAATAACGCGATGAGGTGAAACGGATTAGTCACGTGAGCCAAGCCGCCAGCTTAACCTCAGATTCCAAACTCAACCTCCCTTCTCCAGTTTCATCTCTCGCTGTCCGCCACAACCTTCTCTTTTGCCCTTTGAAACGTGTCGCCAGCCAGCTTCAGACTTGGTCTTGTTTCCGAGTCTCGTCGAAGCTGGCTGCGATCTTCCGCCGGCTTCGACTTGCAACTACGTCTGTTTGGCCATTGTTGTAAACCTCAGCAAGGGTTTTACGGGCAGATAGTTTGACGAGGATCGCCCTGTTGTTTTGATCTTCTCCATCTACTTCCTTTTTGAGTGTGTTTGTCTAGGCTCTTTGCACAACTGTTTTATTCAGCAGGCTTGAGGCGTACCACTGTCTCCCTGTACTACGCCATAGTAGCAGAATGAGGCAGTATTCTCTTTCAGTACCGCTGTTAGGTGCGGCTCTTTGATCACTTCAAACTTCATTTGGACGTATAATGTGTCGAGCCTCACCTTTGGATATCCACATCACGGTCACCTTTCTTTGGCAAGGTAAATAACCGCCGAACATTCTCCATCTGGATCCATGTATAGTAAGCACCTTCTCTGGCGTCTCTCGCTTTTCTCGGATCTTCTATGATCCCCTGTATCTGGACAATATGAGATTGCTGCGCCTCAATCGGCTAGGACCTGCGAAACCTTCCGGAAGCTCCAAGTCAACGGAACCCCATGTCCGCCCTAGCTCGATCCGAGCGCTGCCTCGGATGCTTCTGTGAATTACTTCTCCTCATAGGTTCAGTTGGTCAAACCTCTTGGTTGCAGTCATGCGTTTTGAATCAGGTAAGGATATGAAGTTGGGGCCGGCCGAAACGCCACAAACGTCAATGCGTTTCTCCCCCTTCGCCTTGACCTTCTCTTAATTGTCAAGTACGATGTCGATTGGATACCCAATTCTGCATCTGGCATTCGCGTTACTAAACTCGCTATGGTAGCCTTGCAGCCAGGGCTTGTAGTCCAGCCTGCCCTGGTTTAGCCCTAAGCGCGCTTCTTGCCCAGAGCTTCTGTTCGCTCTCGTGACTGTCTCAGCGAGGTTCGATCTATTCGGTTCTCATACAGAATGCCAGCTAACCCTCAGCTGCACGTTGACAGGGGCAAGTAAAGACGTCTGGTCTAGGCAAGACGCTGACAATCCAGACAGCGGAAGCTTGTCGGAAGTCAAGCTTCTGGGGCAGCGCTAATGGTCTTGAGAAGAATACTTAAGCCCTCATGCTCCGCAGTTACCATCGATATCGCTCATCAAAGCAACTTGAAGTCGCTCATCTTCTTTTCTTCCCTCATAATTACTTTCTTTCCTGCGCAGGTCGCTTCAATTTTCCTCTGAAGCTCAACTTTCATTCATTCAACTTATTTCATTACCACATAACACTATTATCAATTCCAATCGCCATAATGCGTTACTCCCCAGCCATCTTGTTCGCAGTCCTTGCGGCCCAGGTCTCCGCCCACGGTGTTATCACCGAAATTCAAGGAGCTAATGGAGTGAACATGCCCGGACTCTCAGGTAAACTTCGATTCCCTTTAGTTAATCAACAACCGTATACTAATACCCACCAGTTGCCGATGGCACGCCTCGAGACTGCGCATCCCCAGGCTGCGGCGCCGAAGCCGACACTAGCATCATCCGCAACAAGGAACTGGGCAGCAACAAGGCGTCCGCCCTCGGCCGAACATCCACGGGCCCTGTCGATGCTGCTGCTGCCATCTCCTCCTTCATGGGAACCACCAAGAAGCGTGGCCTCCTCGATGCCCTCACCGGCGGCAACGGTGGAGGAGCTGGAGGAGCTGGAAAAGCAAACACAGGCGGTGCCACGGGCGCTGGCACGAAGACTGCCAAAGGCACCACTGAGCAAGGCGTCTCCGCCGCCGCCGGCAAGGGCGCTACCTCCGGCCTGCCCACCTGCGCCGACGACGGTTCCATCACCATGACCTTCCACCAAGTCAACCAAGACGGCGCTGGGTACGCAACCCCCCTCTTCCCTCCCCCTTCAAATACCTACTAACGCCCCGCATCAGGCCCCTAACCGCCGCCGTCGACCCCACGAGCGGCGGCACCGACCCCACCGCCTTCCAAACCGCCCAAGTCTCCCAGAACGTCCCGGGCATCGGCATCGGCGGCCTCTCCGGCGCCACCACGACCGATTTTCCCGTCAAGGTGCAGATGCCCGCGGGCATGACGTGCACCGGCTCCGTCGGCGGCGCGCAGAACGTCTGCGTCGTGCGCATGCAGAACTCAGCGCTCGCGGGGCCCTTTGGCGGCAGCGCGGCCTTCACGCAGAGTCCGGCGGCGAAGAAGCGCGCGGTGGAGTTCAACCTCCGCAAGCGCCATATGGCGAGGGGAATCTTGGGGAAGCCGGAGTTGGAGTAATGGATAATTTAGACAGAGGGCGGTAAGAGAGTTTGCTGGGCGAACGGACCGCGATGAGCACATGAGGGCTTTTTCTTTTGTGGGCGGGGTGGGGAGCATGGGTAGGGAGTCGTGAGGCTTTATGGTGTGTGGGTTTCGATTGTATATACTCACTTATACGCTCCTTGCATTGGGCTTGGTGGATTAGTGGCGTGCGAGTGAATTATTTTCTTCTTCGTGCTTATTTGGTATGCGCTTCTTTCACGTGTTGACGTTCTGCTTTCTGTCGGCGGAGAGAGGCCGCGGTGATGATGATACGTTGGGCCTCGGCGACAGGCGAGGATGGTTTAAGGAGGTGAGTAGTTTAAGATAATGCCAATGTTAGTATTGCCTAGCAACAAACGTTCCGGTAAGCAGAGGAGAGTTGGACTGAGATGATTCTACTTTGAACAAGGGTACACATGTCAAGTTCTTTTGGCTATCCCCTCAACTACCTCCTCCGAGTCAAGCACCACCAAGCCAATCTAATCGAACCGAACCGGCCTCCGCCTTCGAAAGCTCTCGGGTATCCGCCTCGAGCATCCCCCCCCCCCGGGGGGGCCGGCAAAACAAAACCGCGAATCTCCTCTTCCGGCAACTCTTGGCAGCCCGCTCACGGCTCCAAAAAGTGTAGAAGATCGCAACCCCCATCCAACTCCACCACTCGGTCCAACTCCTACCTCCAAAACTCCTTCAAAACCACTACTCAGCCGCGCGAGTTCCATCCCGGTGTTAAATCCGTGTTAGCTGGCGTGGTTGATGAGCTATTTGTGAGAACGCTCGAAAACGGCGGCCGGCTCGAAAATCCTCCCTCCGCGGCGGCCGTGGCGGGGTTTCGAAAAGTGTAGAGACCGCAGCTCCCCCGGCCTCTAACTCAGCCGTTTAGACCAATGGCTTCTCCAAAAAGTTGTTCAAAAATACTACTCAGCCGTGCGAGCTACGTCCTGGTGTCAAATTCGTGTTAGCTTGCGTGGTTGTTGAGCTATCTACGAAGAAGTGATGGGAAGCTTGAAATATGGATTTTGACCGCCAAGCCGATATGGCTTACTAAGCTAGCGACCTGGGCGGATGGGTGCATTATACAATGGCAGGAGAGATGAACTTGAGGTTCAGACTCACGAAATCTACCTCTCAAATGATTCATTGGGCTAGGTACTTCATAGTACTCGTAGCCTCCTAGATTTAGTCTATTCAGGCGTTCGCCAGATCATCTCCTTCAATTCGTCTTAGTGTACATGGTGAAGTGTCTATATGTACAGCAGGGTATGCAGGAAGCAAATCTCCACTTCAAAAACCCATGGACTCCCTCAAGCTCGGCCAACTTTGAAAGATAGGACCTATATTGAGGTTGATTAGGCAACAGCTTGAGATAGAAAGCCACAGACACATCACCGATGGTGGACTTACATCGTTCTTCCCCACCGCCACAAGATCATCTTCCGCGACCCTCACGCCGCCTGCCGTCTCTACGTACGCCATCGGCGCGTCGCCCATCACTTTGCGGTAGACGTCGCCGACTGTTGATCCCCTACATCGTTGATTGTTATCAGTAACTGATTACAGGCTCCACCTAGAGCGATCATGGGGTAAACCTTACCGTTTTACGAGGACGCAATCTCGAAACACGGCATGACTAGACGCTGAACCAGATGTGAAGGTGTTGATATTTCGGACGGGAAACACCGGGACGAGACCCAGAAGCTCTGCGGCGCGGGAGAGGACTTGCACCACGCCCGTGCTGCCGAAGCGGTAGAGGACCATGTCTTTGAGATTTTCGATACGGCTGTTGGTCATCCCGTCAGCTTCTTTCAAACCCACTGCTAATTTGGTCTATGGTAGCGATCACTAAACAGTGATAGTATTACATGAACTTACTTCTTCAGCTTCTCATCCATCTCCTTCAAGCCCCCTCCATCCGGATCACCGTCTTCTATCAGGTCTTCTCTTGTTTCCACGATGTCGCTACCCTCGGTGTACCTCACGAAACCCTGTTTCGCTAACCGTCGGAGGAAGACTTCGCTGATGGCGGAACAGAGGACGATGGATTGGGGGTCTTGGGCTTTTGCGATTTTGGCGATATTCTGTGAATTGAAAGTCGTTAGAAATGCGCTAAGCTGGTCTCTAAATCTCTTAACCGTTCTCTCTAACCTTGTCAGCGTCCGGATGGTCAATCTTATTCAGCGCTATCACGGTTGGGAACTTCTCATCCGTAAACGCAATCACAACTTTCTCAATCGTCTCGTTCGACCAATCCTGCAGCGGCTCTTTTAAGCCCATTTTGTCCAAGCATCTCGCCACCACGGAAGACGTGCTGCCATAGCCGGAAAATTGGTTTTGTAGGGTTTCGACGGCGGTGGCTTCTACAAAGGGACGCGCTATTAGCAATTCGAATGATATCCCAAGATATAGACGACTTACTTACGGCAACATGCCGTCGCTTTATCGAACCCCTAATCTCAGACGTCAGAGCTCGTCCCTGAAAAAAAGAAATAAGGTGGAGGACGCAGCCTCACCATTTCTCCATCAGATTCCCCTGTATCCACCGCACGATCTCCGACCTCAACCACACAATATCCTGCGAAGGGTCATACCCTCTCGTCGCCTTGCCTGCACCACCATTCATCAGCCTCCATCAACAACCTCAATTTCCCTTTCCACCAATCCTCGCGCCTTCGACCTCAAACAACGTACCCTCTGCATCCGTCGTCCCGCTCACATCAACCACATGCACCAAGGCATCCGCATGCCTCAGGTCATCCAGAAACTTATTCCCCAGCCCCCGTCCTAGATGCGCGCCGGGGACTAGCCCAGCCACATCGAGCAATTCGATCGGCACGCTCCGCCGCCCGTCCACGCACGCGCCGTAGTTCGGTTTGCAGCGGTCACTCACGCCGAAGCGGGAGCAGGCACAGGGGATCTGGAGGTAGCCGATGGCGCGTTGGGGGTCTATAGTCGTGAACCTGCGTCCAACATGTCGTATGAGTCTACGTCCGCGTCGGGGAGAGTATGGTGGGGTGTGTTTAGGTTGCTTACGGGAAATTGCCTGCGCCGTGTTAAGTGTTGTAGAGATGGAAGCTGGGGTGAGGAGAGGGTAAGAGGATACGTACCGACTTTCGACGACGCGTCCGTCAAGCTGCCACGCCTCAGAATGTTGATCCTTCTCTGTGCGGGAGGGAGCGGGCGCACCTGTTGAGTGTGGTGGACTTGCCGGATGAGGGCTTACCTACCAGGCCGATGAGGGGGTCGCGTGGCATAGCTGAGGAATTATATGGGAAGGGTTGAGTACAGAGGCAATTGTGTAGGAAGAAGAACTGTAGAAAGGTTGTTAAAACTTGAAATGTCCAAGCCTGATGATCGCAGGGCGAGTTTATCGATAAGATCGTAGATCACGTGATTATTGCTTGAGCTATAAAACCTGGTGAGGTATATTGTTGTCTGGTGTCCTTCGTCTGACATTACGTGCTCTACGGAATAAGCAGAACCTTCGGGCTCCTCTATCACGTCATATAGGATCACTAGCCAGGAGACAATCTAGAAGGTAATAGTGTATTTTCATTTCTAAAACAGACTCGCAGCCTCATGAGTTACCATACCACCGGTAAGGTTGGGGTAATTTTGCAGAACATAATATGTAGTACGCAAAGAAAAAGACAACACCCAAGGGAAAAGTCCGTCTAGGAAAACCATCCGTGTTAAGAATCCCCAGCCAAGGATCCAATCAACAGATCCAAACCGCCAGTCCGATTAAGACAATGCAGTGATACCATCTGTAATTTGCTAAAGCCAACCAACCCGAGTGCGCCTCCAAAGTGTCGTATTTACAATAGGGTAGCGCCAAGCAGCGTAGATGCGAGAACGACGAGCCCGCAGAAGTATGGTGCCGCTGAGAACTCGGGGACGCGGAGAGACGCAGCCGCACCGGTGGAAGCGCTGGCGGTGGATGAGACCTGGCCAGCGTTGGCAGGGGCCGTGCCAGTGCTCTGGGTGCCAGCGTTCTGCGAGCCAGCGCCCTGGAGACCAGGGCCCTTTCCGGCACCGCTGGTCAGGTACTTCTTCGCTGGGGCCGGAATGGATGGGAGATCGTTGCCCCAGGTGACGTTCCAGGTGCTGGACTCAGCTGGGCACTTGGTGGCGACTCCAGACTTCAAATAGCCACCGTCGCCGGTGGGAGCCTTGGTCGCAGCCAGCTTAGTCTTGAGGGTGTTAAAGTCAGTCAATGGGTCGACGGTGTCGCCCGAGATCTTGACTAGTCCGTATTTGGAGCCTTCCTCAGAGTATTCGTAGACGAGGCCTCCGGAGTAGACAGCAGTCATTTCGTCACTATAGAGGGAAGCAATTTCGTTGAATTGACGAGTGTTTGTGTTGCAACCGAACTCAGATAGGCTATACCACAGTTAGTACTAACATCTCCGTTGCGTCGGTAAAACACTTACAAGAGAGGGATGCTGTAGTTGCTGTATGTCTGGACCTTCTTGTCCCAGCCGGACTTCTGGAAGCTAGACGGGTCGCACCAGGAGTAATCGTTGAATGCAAAGAAATCGCTTCGCTCAGCGTCGGTTCCGCAGTTCATGTATTCGGCCATTTCGAGACGGTTAGAGTCGACATCGGCAGCTGAGTATCCAACAGGAATGGCGCGATAGCCCCGGGAGCCAATGTATTGCCTCATGTCACGGGTGACGGCCTTGACATAAGGAGCACATGCGGTGGTAGAGTCGTCGTTGATGACTTCGTTGCCCGAGAAGAAGAGAAGGGTGTTGCTGTAACTGGAAAAGGCATCAATCGTAGCAAAGACGCTTTGCAGGTACACATCGTTGTAGGAGAGAGCAGGCGCGGCGCGATTGATGGAGTATTTCGGGGTGTTGACGTCCAATGCTAGGTAGATGCCCGCATCGGCCAGCATGCTCATACACTCGTCGTGGTTGGCAGTGTTGTCGACGGTGTACACTCGGATCGTGTTTACGCCTAGCTTCTGGAAGTATGCAACGTCACGCTTGCAGCCCGCGACATCGGCAATAGGATCCTTAGCATCGGAAGCACCACCTGTATCCTTGGTCAGCTAGTGAGACGACAATGGCGAGGCGGTCCAACATACCTGGTTGGTAGTCAACTCCACGGATGTAGAATCGGTCATTACCAGCGAAGAAGGCTAGTAAATGTCAGTACATAGCCAAGGCACTTGAAATCGAGCTAAGATCTTGGATCGCGTTAAGACTGACCATTGCCCTTGACGCTGACGGCCGGAAGCTTGCCAGTACTGGTAGCAGTTGCGCGAGCCTCCAGGTTGGCTGGAGAGGCGAGCACTGAGGAAGAAAGAGCGGCAACAAGGGCGAGGGAGGCAGCGAAGGTCTTCATGATGGCGAAATGGGTATTAGAAAAAGTGCCTGTGGGTAGAAGCTAGTGGTGTAACAGCTAAATGCTGGGAGCGAGAGGCGTGGAAAAAACAGAGGTTGAAAGTTCCGAAACGAGTGAGGAACTTCCAGAGAAGGGGTGAATTAGCTAAAAGCGAGGGAAAGAGCACGAAAAACAGGACAGAGCGGTTGTTGCGAGAGTGAAAGAGCAGGAACGTGGTGGAGGCGCCCCCATATCTACTCAGGGGAGAGCCAGGGCGCACAGGCGCACGGGACGTTGCCCAGACCAAGATGGCGAAAAGAGGGTCAGGCCGAGCCATTCACGCCCACCAGCCGCCCGTCCCCTGGGCGCCCCTGCGGCCGCCGCGCCAGGATGGCAACCTGCTCCAATTTGCCCCATCTATTTCCGCTGGTGATCAACAGCGCCCGCCGATATTCATTCGTCTTGCTGCTCCCGGCATGCGAGTGCTGTTTCACATTCCGCTGTTGTATTGCCGCGACGTCATTGTTGCTGGCACGGCTTCATGAGGACGAGCCATGGGCCGAGAGACGCGCAATGCCGTGACCTCGTCCTTGGGGTTCGGCCGTCAGCTATCCATAACGGCTCGTATTGAGCATCATCGTGGTGGAGCAAGACGCTGGCGTTCGAAGCATGAGCATCTGCTGCGTTACCTTATCCCACTCATAAGTGTGTGCTCGATGGAGGACGCGAGAGCATGATATAGCAGCTTTGGTAGAGGTTGATGGATCAGATCAGAAGGATCGAGCCCTATCTACGGCGGGCTGCGAGGTGCCGAAAGGACGAAGACTGAAGAGAGCCTTAGGCACGAATGAAGCTAGTATCTGCTATCAAGACCGCCGCGCCTACAGACGACTTGGCACTCATCTAGCAAACACCTGGGCACTCCTTGGATCGTAGACGAGATTGCTGCTCACGTATGGAAGTCCTGGGACACGGCAATAGCCAATACTCGTTCCTATGTACGCACTTCCGCCACCCGCTTCCCCGTCCTAGCCGTGAAATTATACTCATAATGCTACTGAGCTCGGTTGGAGCGAGTGACTGGTATACACAAACGACGAACCGCCTCGACTGCTGCCATTATCACCTCATATTACTACAGAACGCCCGCAAATTGATTTTGAGAGCACCATCACCCACCCACGTACATCGCCTTCCTCCTCAGTTCTTCTTCAGCCCAAAGTACAGACCAAGGACGAGAGCAATAATGGCGATGATGAGGACAACAGTGAGCAGCGTCCACCATTTGAGCTTCCTGGCCCTCCTAGCGCTAGCAATGCCCTTATCGAGATGCACGTTGGCTCCCTCGGTGTCTTCTTTGACACGCTCTGTCTGCTGTTCGACGGCGACCACGGCAGGCTCCTGGTAGACGACTGCCTCGTTCAATTGCTGGAAAAGTAACGCCAAATCGCCCAACGTCTGCTCGATTTTCTGGATATCGTTGTGTCGTGCCCTAACCGCACCCAGCACGCTGGATGCCTGGCCGGTCCGATTGCTCTTGAGCTGCAAAGAAATAGGATTAGTGTCTGGTCTGTAGAACAATGGCATCGCAGGGGGCTTACAGCAGTCTGGAAAACACCCTCGTTGCCCCAATCCGCGTTCGCCGCCTCGGTTACTTCAGCATCAGTCGCCTCCGGGTTCACAATGCGGTATTGCCGGGCAATCGCATCGCGATATCGGCTGCTGTATTCCCTCTCTTCATCCTGGTAGCTCTTCAGCTGGGCCTGGAAAGACGTCTTCAAGTTCTGGACTTGGGAAGTTTTGAGGTTGCTGTCCGGCGACTTCGCGGCGTCTCTTTCGAGGTACTTGATCTCGTCCTTGATTCCGGTGTTCTGGAGCTGCGTCTGCGACACGAGGTTCTCCAATTGTGCCGACGACGCGTTGTCTGGGGACGACAGCATGCGCTGGTGGATGCTAGCGATAGAAGAGACGTTCGTCGAAAGCTGGTTGATGCGGGTCTTCGCGCCCTTGACGCGCTCCAGGAAGTCGTGCTGGCTCAATGGAGCGCTTGCCTGCGTAGGAAACGGCGCCGCGGCGGGTGTTGGGGCGTTGGAGTACTGAGAGGCCTGGGAGTAGTTGGACACCTCGTGGCTCAGCGGCGGTGCGTTTTGAGTCTGTCCTTGCTATGTAGACAATTAGCCACTGCGCATTGCGTCAAAGTAGAACCTTGTGCGGCTCTCAAGATGCGTATGAGCTTACCGGTGCGCCGTAAGGATTTGAAGCTCCATAACCAGCAGCTTCGGTGTTCTGTCCGTACGGGTTGGACGCCTCATTGCCGCCATATGGGTTACCCCCATATTGCTGGTATCCGCCGTATCCACCAGAAGACATGTTGCGCAAGCTGTGGATGGTTTGCGACGGTGAGACGTGCTTTGATGGTGAGCCGGAGTTCAACGGATGTGGCGTGCAGGCAACGATTTATTGCGACAGGCTGGACGTAGGCTGCAACAATGGTGTAGAGGCGCACCAGCGATGCGCACGACAGCGATGGGTGTTCGAAGAGCGTGTGACGGTGGCGAGCAGTGATCAATGGAGCTCGAGTGGAGAGAAGTGGAGTTGAGGAGATTGGCGTCCCCAAGTGGAAGGCCGGCGGGTCGGAGGGCTGACGACGCTCCAGAAGGCTGACTGGCAAGCGAGCGCGCAGCTCAACGGCAACCGTCGTACGGTTTGGTCGTCTTCTTGTATGAGTTCACATTGAGCTTGTGGTGCGATGTCATAAAAACCCGTCTCTAATCTGTTAGAGCTTTAGAGCTTACCCTGGCCAGCTTCTTGGCCGCAAACAGACCCTTGAAGAGGTCCTTGGAGAGACCCCCGATTAGCGTATTTGAGACTGCCGTCCCGAGCTCTATCTAGACGTACCATCATTGAGCAAGTAGAACATAAAATGTTAATGAAAAGGAGTTTATTCTTCTCCGTGTTCAAAAGTTCAGTGCTAGGGTTAAGGTTTTAGCAACCCACAGTCAAAATCACTTGATTCAATACCGAATGCGACCTTTCTCTCAGGCCCCCAGGTATCTTCGAACCTTATAACTATCACGCAGAGCTGTGATTGTTTGCACAATTTTGCAACACTTATGAGTCAACGCTAGAGAGGTTCATAGAGACATCACCAAACAGAAACCCGGCCACCAACGCCATTGCAATCCCAAGAAGACGCCCAACCCGGCCCGGGGATGCACCGCACCATCCCTACGCATGCGGATTATCACTATCCTTCTTCTCCGGAGCCCCGTCCGCCTCTTTACTCAGATAGTCCGGCTCCTCCGCCTCCTCATACTCCCTAATCAGATCGGTCACAACCTCCCTTGCCTCGTCAAACTCGCCCAACCCATCCGCAAATGGCGCCTCGCGCTTGTATTGCTCTAGGAATGCGTTTCGCTTTCGTAGCCGGTCGTACTGGAAGACGGTGCGCTTAAACAGCGTGGCAATGCCGGTATGGTTGGCCAGCATGAGGCCAGAAACGCGGTGTGAAGAGGTGACGTAGGGTGATTTTCGGGTGAGGGCGACTTGAATGGAAGCGGGGCCCCAAGGGATGAAGGTTGCGAGACGGCGCTCACGGATGCGGAGGAGGGATTTGTGGACCTGGTGGGGATTAGCTTTGGTGTATTTGTATCTTCGTGATACTTACATCAGTCGGATCCGCCTCGCCTTGTATGATGTTGAGGATGGAAATGTAACAGCTCTTTTTGCTAGGATTGGTCGAGACCATGCGATTCTTCGGTTGTAGCAATCGCCTCATGACATCGAGAACAGTCGTCTTTCGGACAGTCTTTGCCTGTTCAACATTTTCGCCTGTAAAGGGTGTGTACGCGGTCATCAAGAAGTGGCAACGTGGAGTCGGGATGAGGGAAGCTACAATCCCAACGAGGTCGTTGTGCATGTAGCCTGGGTATCGAAGAGTGGTTGTGCTGGCAGACATAACCGTTGAGACCTATATATTGTTAGCCGACGGAGTATATGTATGAATCTTGAATGACTGACTAGTTGATTGGTTTGCTGAAACGAAGGTTCTTGAACGTGAAGCCGGTCCGCCGCAATTCTCGATAGTGCTCCATTGTCGAGGACAACCTGGAAATCCAAATTAGCTGCTGACTTATAGATCGCACGCTAGAGTGCTTACCACTGAATCGGCGTTTTGCGTCAACCTCCGCATCGACAATAAAGAGTTGTAGGGCTGTACTACAATATCCCCCCCAGCAGGGTCATGCGTGTCCGGAAAGACGGAGTATGTTTGTATGAGCTTCTTCGGAAAACGATCATTCAACCTCTCCAGAAGGAAACTTCCAAGACCGGAGCCGGTTCCACCAGCGATCGAGTGTAGCAGCATGAAGCCCTACGAAATCTTTAGCAAAGTCCTTATCCCAGCTTACGCAGTATTGTGCCTACCTCAAGGGAGTCACTCCCGTCCGCCTCTCGGTCTATCATATCCATTACCTCCTCATGCACTTGTTCACCCATCGAGTATCCTGCGCCCCAATTGTTCCCCGCGCCGGTCCCATCTTTATGAATATAGAAATTCTCGGGGTTGTATATGTTCTTGTAGGAGCCATTTTGGATCGCATTGAGTACCTAGTATTTTGTTAACCACCATGTCTCCAGACCGAGGGCGCAAGTCCAAGCTCAAAGACTCTCACGCACTCGGGGTTCTAGGTCCAACAATATTGCCCGCGGTATGTATCTCGTGTCGTCCGACTATGATTTATTGTTAGTGTAGGATATCGCCAGCAGAAACATGGTCCTCTCTCACTTGGTAGAAGAAGACGTCTTTCCTGTCACCACCCTCTGTCGCAAAATCCTCGAGATTGCCGTCTTGATTGATGCCGTGCTCTTGACAGAGTTGTTGCCAGAACTGGGAACCCACTAGAACAGCAGAATCAGTACATCATGTCCACATCGTCGAGGAGTTTATGTTGGTTTATGTAGTCAAGAGGGTTCGCGTTGCAAAGGCGGGAAGAGGTCCGTTAGGAGGGAGTCGAAGGCGGGAGTAACGCACCGCTATTACCGCATTGGCCGGCTTGCAGAGTAATGATTTCTCTAGGCGAGGTGTCAGTATATTGGACACTGTAATCGCAGGCGAGAGGCCGTACCTGGGCATCTTGAGAGTTGTGCTTGTTTTGGTTTGGTGGGTCGCCGGCGGACGCGTTGCGGGGAATTGAATTTCGTGTCGCGCTCAGAACGTTGATGCCTTAGGCAGCGAAGACGTCGAACACTTCCAATTAGCACGTTGTTAGTTCCACCTTAAAATTCACCAGCTGGATTAAAAAAAGCAAAGTGTAATTCCTTCTTAGTATTCTCTGCGTTGCTATGAAACCTGTAATGTCTCGTCATAGAAATCCGTCCACTCGTTTACCGCTGCGTGAGGAGCTTCATAGTGTTTGCAGCATTCCGAAGAGAGAAACTTAGTATTTTGGACAAATAGTAACCTCGCGAGGCTACCAATATTCGCCATGCGCTGCCGTGCAGTGTCAGCAGGGTGTACACAGATTGGAAGTCTATCCGCTATCCCCGGTTTCTATTAGCGCGTTGGAACTCCCCAAGCAGCGGCAGGAAAGTGTACGGGTTTCTATGGTAAGGCACTGTGATATACGTTCCTTCTTCTATGCTGATGCGCCTGTTTACAGATGCTCAAGACGCCCTCTCACAACACCAGTATCCCTTAAATGCTCATCACTGTTCCTCTGTGACTCGTCTTTTAAGAGGCTTCTTGTCTTCTGAACCCTTCATTTTCCTCCAGAACAAGAAGCCGAATACCAGTGCTAAAATGTTGATCTTCAAGATATCGTACCAAAGCATGAATCCGAAGCCGTCCTTCATTCCCTCATGCCACCCTTTGCGAACTTCCAAGAAGAGCTTTGGATCATCCGTTATTATGCCGTCTAGCTCTTTCCTAATTCCCCACCTCATTCTCTTCTCATCATTGACAGTCCAGGCGAAGATTGGTCGTTCGTGGGATTTGGCCTTCTTGATGAATGCGCTTCCCCATGGGGTCATTAGAATCTGTTGGAGCATATTGAAACCCGCATTCGGGACGTTCCAGAAATGGCGTGCGTAAAGAATAGAGAATCCAATGTGAGTGATGGGAAAGCCTGGGATGTAGTCGCTGCATAATGGTATGTACTTCGCAGCCCAGCAGCCAAGCATGATGCGGGAGCTCCATGGACGTTTGTCGGAAGGAGTGACACTTCGAATAGTCTGGCCAATCAAACGCATTACGTCGTCGGCGTCATTATCCATCTGTTCGCATTAGTATATAAGATTTGAAAAATAATAATGTCACGCACCTTGATGTCCAGGAGCACCCAAATGTCTTCCAAACCAGGCTGCGCGAGATATTCCAAAAGATCGGAAAGCCGCGGCATGTGTTGGTGAGGTTCCTTGAGCGTCTGCAAATCGCTCAAAAGTTTCCAGTCGCAGTCTATTATCTTCTCTGGTCTCCCAAAACACCTCTTGAGGTCGGCGTCCTGGACGAGATCAGTACAGCCATTCTATCACGTCTCCAAATGGAAGCTCACATGCGATAGCACAACCACTCCGTCCTTGGTCAGGTGGATGTCAGTCTCTATGGCATGTGCTCCAACTTCGACAGCTCCCTTGAAGGCGCCCATGGTGTTCTCAGGGAATTTGGCCTTGTACCCACGGTGGGCGATAGCTTGTGGGAGCCGCCGCCCACTGACATCCTTCTTTGCAAATGTAAATGAAGCTTTCCAGATATTAGCAAGCAGAAATTACACGGCCAGTAGGCAGTCCGCACGAGTTGGAAAGTCTACAAGTGGAGGCCGCGATTGCGATTCCACCAACTTGTCAGCGTTGCGGGAAATTGACTTGAAGACTGGCGGGATGACCATGTGCTCCATAAGCGGAGTCTCTGCTGTAATGTCTTCGCGGTCCATGGCGGGCAGAGCGAGGGAGTGGGGGGAGCAGAGGAGAGGGCGGAAGAGACGGGGCCAATGCACAGGCTGTACGACGGGAAGCTCTCGGACTTATGGACTCGGGCTCACATCATAGCGCCATTTCCGGGGTCCAGGTCAAACGCAAGCCTTGCTCTTGGCAGAGGAGCAAACGACGAAGACGCGCAAGGACACGAGGAGGGCCTTTCTAGAAGCGGCAGCAGAGAGACGTCGGAGGTCTAAGGCGCGCTGGGAGGGCCCCGCTAACGTAGACTCGGTGGCCCGAACGAGGCGTGGGATGCACCTGGAACTGCACCTGTCGGACCACCATTCGAGCGCCTAAGTTAAGCTTGTTGTGTGGCGCCGGATTTGCAACCATCCGAGACGCACTGCGCTGCACTTGGCATGCTCGGGCTGACACGCACAGGGACCCCATGCGCTTCACGCCCGTTGACCCGGCAGCGGCGCAGAGCATGTGCTTGCACCCGTGGAGTCCGACCGGCGGTAGCATGCCCACATCAGACTATGAGGGAGCAGGACCCGCGGCCGGCTGTGAGCACGAAGGAGCAGATTCTCTGGCCGCTGGCACCAGCGAGCGGGTGATGACGAGCTTGGCTTGCCGATCAGTCCCAGGACGGTGAGAGCCAGGAGGCTTATCAAGCCCTTGTTTTGCTTAGCGAGAAGCATCACTGCACTCCCGCTCCATGTCAAGAGCCTTTCTGCGCCCAGCAGCGATGTAACAGCCACTGGCGTGAGTTGTTCTGCAGTCCCAAAGACGAGGGCGTGGCACGCCTCAGAACTAGACCGTGCACAACACTTCGAAAACTTCGCTGCGGGACATAACTCTAAGCACTCTTGAATGCTTGATCTGTTACTGAACTGTGCTCCCTCGAGTCCTCAATACTCCTCCATGTTCCCGCGTGGCGAAACTGACCGTGATGGCACCGATTCTGTCAGCGCGTGTCTGCAGTCTCTCCAAGCTTCGTGGCTTGCTCAAAATGCTGCACTCTTATCTGCCGTTCCTTCCCACTCTCGTCAGCAGTCGCAGCGCACCAAGCACGCCACGGCTCGTGCTCGTCTTCTGCGGCAATGTACTGCACCTCCAGAACGTGCACTGCTTCCAGACGTCGACGACCGGGTCGGAGCACATCTCGGGATCGGTAACCACGGGCGAAGATCTCCCGGATCGTAGCGCCCCAACCACCTCAACGTTACCTAAATTTGGCTCCGTGCGCACGGACCGACGCCGTAGTCCGATATTGAGATCAGCTAGTTAGTTCGCAATGCCCATTGAGGTATACCCAAACGGGACAAGGTTTGCGGTATCGACCTCGTAGTTCGTGCATACGCCTAGGTCAAGGCCCTGCCGGCTCTTTCTCGGACAATTGCCCTTCGACGCAGCGATGCCAACCTTGGGGATCCGAAGTAGAGATCTTTAGCGCCTCAAAAGCAGCTTTGGATAGACCTGTAGTCCACCACGGGCATCTTGGTGACAGCTAGACGCTATTGTTAGCAAGTGCCAGTAGGAAGCGTGCGGGAGACCTTACTGTTCGAGATGTCCAAGAATGGATAGGCCACCCCAAAGGTGGGAGAAATCTTGCGTTCTTCGAGCTTGTCAAATCCATACTTATGAATTCGGTCGACCACCGCCTGCATATGACTTTCATCCTTGAGTTCATAGTTGGGGCCATAGGTTTCATTCGTCGCTGTCGTCGCCTTAGTTGACACAGCACCATGTGTAATCGCTATGTAGGCAACTGTATCTAACACCGGAACTGCAAGTTGAAGCTGCTGAAACTCCCGAACGACACATCGGACAGAGTCGTAAAGGAGTTTGTTGAGGTCGACGCTATCCAGGTTGACGTAAAGGAGTAGCTGATCTCGAAGGTCTCCCCATGTCATGAAATCGATGGCCGGATGGTGATCGGTGAATCGTTGCTGAAGGACGGTAGGCGTGAATGGATGAGGTATTTTGGCCCGGTTCTCGCTAGTTGGTGCCATTCGCCATTGCATGATGCTTTCTACAAGCCCCGCGAAACCCTAAGGAGGCCAAGCATTAGCTACACTTGACGCACATATCAATCAAAGCTAGCAATAGAAACTTACCATCACACGAGTATATCCGCCAAGATGAGTGCTTTTCAAGAAAGCCCGTACTGCAAGAGAAGTAACGCCAGTGCGCGTGTAGCTATCAAAGATCTCAATCTCCTCTGGGGAAAGAGATAGCGTTGACCGTGGAATCTCAAGTCGGTCTCTTATCGCATGAAACTTCATCGTAGAGAGAACCTCCTCTATGACCGACTCAAGGGTAGTAAGTGAGCCTCCAGATGTGCGTCCCTTGGTTTGTGTTCCGGAATTTGCCATTCCCGGTTGTGTTGGCACGTTGTGGAGGTAGCCAGATTCAATGATGGGGCCTGGATGGTTGGATATGAGGTTGTAGAGGCTGTTTGCTGAGAACCCAGAAGACAGATTGCTCACGTTGGGTGGATCATTTTGCTTATATGCGCCGACATTTCCCATGAGCTTGTTCGATGCGACTAGATTCATCTCTTCGAAGAACCTGTCGTTGTTGAGGAAAGCATCGAACGCTTGTGCAGTATCTCCTGTTATTTCAAAGCTTCCTGGGGGTGGCGCATCTGGAAAGACGTTGGCGGGAATCTGGTTTTTCGAAGCTAAGGGTTCCAATGGCGCAAAAAGTATGTCTTCGGTGCCCTCGGTTTGTGGCGACTCGGCGTCGTGGCTTTCGGCTTTTTGTACTCCTGGCTTGTTTAATATGCGCTTGAGTACGTCCGAGTCTTTCCGGAGAACAACCATTAGCATTCAATGTTGAATATGACTTGGAAGACGGCGGGGCGTACCAGCACTAAAAGCGGCAGCCGACGACAAACTAAGTAAACTCTTTCGCATGCTCAGCAGCGCTTGTCTTAGTTCTTGATTCTCCTATGTAAAGCCTCTCATTTAGCGTAGGTCGTCGTTTTAGGCGGGATCTATTGACCTTAAGTAAATCAACGCGATTTTGTCCGTCATTATTGGACGAAGTGTTGGACTGTTTCTTCAGCTCTTCTACCATGTCCGTCAACTCTTGGATTCGAGCAGCTAGATAGAACAACAGGTTAGAATAGCGCTATTTAGCGTCGAAGAAGGTATAGCGCTATACCCTGTCGTTCTCTAAAGCATTGCTGGGAGCGCCGGTTCTGCGCCCGTTTCCTCTCCCGCCGTTGCTTTTCCGAGTCCGCCCTGCCGTCTTGATCATCAAGATTTACTTCTCGCTGTCCGCGTCCCATACTTGTGGGGTTAAACACTTATGAAGAGGTGGTGCTAGAGGTAGTAGGTGTTCAGGAGGAAAGATGAGGTGTGGTGAGGTTGCCAGCCCGGCTCGGGATCTCATCATGGAGATTCCGAGTGGCAGAGCTGACTGGGGTAGTTAACATGTGTGGGGAAGACCATCCGCGAGGGCCCGATACAGGGGTACCGGGGTTCTCCAGATTTGCAAGCATCCGTGCATGATACCTACATGTACTACATCATGAATCTGCTCATATTCTTAGTTCAAACATTAAGGGCCTTGGAGGTATTCTCAAACGAGCAAACACTCTGTTGACAAGACGGTTAAGGTAGCACTGTTCACTGTTCCTTCAAAAAGTACTCCAAGTAGCGCGCTAAATGTCGTCCATTTAACTCCTCCACGGTCCCCCACCCCCTTCCATCATCGCTCTCACTGGCCACAGCAACTTTGCTCCATCCTCGTATCAAAGCCCGCTAATAGCACGTTTCCACAACCAGCGACAAATGTCTTGCTCCGTCATTACCGCTCTCTGCCTTCGTGCGATACCTTTTGCGGTTTCTGGATGATCTCGTAGAAACTTGACGGTGGCTTCAAGATCCAACCAATCCGAGGAGACTTCCACAGCACTTGCGTTAGAGTAGTCAGATATGTCATCTAATTGCAGACTAGACGATTTGACAGCACGAATGACATGACTAGCATGCTGGAGCCAATTCAGTCTTGGTGTCAAAAGTACCGAGGGTAGTGCAGCCTCCCAGAACAGGCAACGCCCTACATAATTCAATTTCTTCAAATTTCACACGGGAGATTCACTCAAATACTTACTTCAGCATAAATCACATGCCTGTATTTGCAAAATTCTTCAAGCCCAATAGTATTATTCGCTTCCCCTCCACTATCCCATGTCAAGCTCTCCACATCGGCCCAACTATTTCGTCACCCGACAATCTCAAGCAGTGCAGGTCAGAGATTGGGACTTCCGGCTCGATTGAACCATGCGGTGCCGCGCCACACCGCTGTAACTCCTACGATTCTTCCAGCAATCGTTTCATTACAAGCTATCCGATCGCCTCGAGAACTGTGATAAGTGCTTCCAAGTCCTCGGAATCGCCATCTTCCAAAGGGTTTCTAAATGGGCAATCGTCCGCTTCGTGCACGATCGATGAAGTGTGCTGATACATCCCCATCCTTTGATCGAACAGCATATATCATTCCTCGTGAATGCATATCTTCATCGTTTCCATTTCTGGCGGTGGAGCGTTGTCGTCCCAATTCTCCTAGACATCGCTGTACCCGAATCGGAATTGTGTAAGTTTCGGGAGCTTCTGTTGGAAGACGCGAAACAGTTAGGATTGGGAAAGTTCTGGACCGAGGAAGTAACCTTCCGGGTCCTGGTCGCCGTACAACATTATACCGTAAAGAATGCAAAAGTTGTCTAGATAGAGAGCACATAGAGTTTGATGGTGTGATAGGATCCAGTCGATTGCCATTGATGGGACAAAGTGTAACGGCCGAAAGCTACGGTTTGAAGGTGCGGGAAGTGAACACCTTGCAAGTCAAGCTTCGGGCAGAACCCGAAAGAGTACCTGAATATAATACAAGACGACGAAGGCTTGATGCCGTAGGCTTTAGCAAAACCTCTGGCAGTCTTCTCATGAAGTAAAAGACACTGTCTTCATTAGTTGAGATGCTAACAGAGCTACGAAAATATCATACTAGGGTAGCCAAACTTTGTCTCTCGAGGGACTCTCAAAGACTTCGTTAATGATAGAAGGCATAAAGATGTAAGGCGCTTTAGAGCTCTTTTGATGTCATTCGAGATCGTACTTGAGTGCCTGCCGTCGAATCGGGACTTGCTCAACAAGTTCGTAAGCTCGAGTTCGCGTACTATCTGGCCCCAGTCCTGGTGACCTTTCATCGCGAGTTGCCTGAACAAGTGCCCGAGAAGCCGAGATCGGTTCTCGCTACTCTGCGGAGTCAGCCTGTTCGCGTAGTCCGGGCTGCTGAAAACAAGTTCAACATTTTTGGCGTTAGGGAACGTCTCAAGCATCGATATCATGTCGATAGCTTTAGTAAACAGAAGACAGGGACGGCACTTCAGAGAAATTGTGTCAGTCGGATTTCTATCACGTAAGTTCTTGATATCGCGACTGACCGACAACCCGTTGCATGTCTTCGCGGTATTCAGACAGACGCGATGTACGTGCTTTAGTAACCCAAAAGCTTTCAGGCATTCTAGAGCCGTCGACGAAGCATCTTCAATGCCATTATCTATGGCCAGGCGTAACGAAGAAAAGGTGTTCCTTGTTGAAGCATAAGAGAATTTTCTGCAACACAGTCGGAACGATTCGTTTTCTGATTTTGTGAGACATTGAGATGCTTTTCCGAGCAGCTCTAATGGAGGCTGAACTGATCTAGGTGTATCGTCATGCTGATTGTAGTCCCAGTAGCAGATGGATCAAGCTAGTTAGGGAGTGGGGTTGAAGTCTATAGTTCATTAGATTTAGGTAGCTGCACTTCTGGAGTCCTGTGTGGAGCAAAAGATGACATAAGCAGCAAGGGTCTTCCGTTGCTTGAGAAGAGATCGGGATGCAGATAACTTGAACACAAAGCAAAGTCTGTCCGTTGCAATCGGAGACGGAGTATTGTAAAGCTAGAACTGAGTCGATCTTCACGAAAAGGTTCACAAAGAACCCGACGTCAGGTACTTCTAGGCTGGCATATAAGACTTTGAAATTAGAACAACCAGCGGACACAAGAGACAGCTGCAATCCGCTACTCAGAATTCATGTTCAAGAAGTTCTCTTGCACAGACATCCACACAGGTTTCCCCGCAGCGAATGCTATGCTTTCTATTCTCGACCAATCCCTGTTCCCCCTAAAGAGAGCCAGAGGAGCATCATCAATCTTCCAGCGCTCCGTTAGGAAAGCCATCCGACGTAGATGGAACTCCTGCAGAACCCAAGGTCCCACATCGCTGGTGAAAGACAACCTTCCCGTTGTCAGATAAAGAGACGGCCATGGAGAGTACCCATTTCGTACTCCTCGAAGGCAATCCACGAGTGATATGGTGTTTGAAATCTTTTCGCTACTTACTCGTAAACCTGTTTTAGTACAAGGTGATTCCGTTTCTGGTCATAAACTCCATGTACACCTATGCCGTGAGGCGTACGTAATCCTTTGCAGCCAAGCTTAAAGCCATAGAGCTGGAAAATCCCGAGGGTCTGCAAAGAAAACACCTGAAGCGCCACGCTGAAACTGCCATAATCGTGATGGTAAAGCTGCCGCACCATTGAGACTGTCCGACGAGATCAAAAGACTGCACTATACACTCACCAAAGTAATCCGGGTTGTTTGCTATCGTATCAATCGTAATGCCCGACGTAAAGTGAGGACATACTCTCTCCATGGTGGTTACGACGTATTGACTCCGCGAGCAGATTATCGACCGACAGAATGATGAGCTTGCGGGTCTGTGCGGCCTTGTACGGAGGGATTGGGAAGGCGTTGGTGACTACAACGGCATCGATGCATTCGCAGGCCTCCAGTTCTGCCAGCGAATCACCTCCAAACAGTCCATGGGTGGCCATGCAGTAAACCTTCGTCGCACCACCACGTTTGACAACTGTCTCGGCTGCTGCTATCCATGATCCAGGTTTGTCGATCATGTCGTCCATGATGAAGACTGGTCTATCCCTGACCTTGCCTACTAAAGTCACCATTGTTTCCAGTTCGGGATTTTTAAGGTCTTCCTCCTCTTCCTCGTCGCTGGCATTGGCGTCTATAGTACCGCCTAGCGGGTGGTCCGAGTTATGATTCTGGTGCAACGAGGACGCGGTGGACATGAATGAGGACATCATGTGGTCGGGTATTGTTTCGTCGCCGTCTGATGGCGGTCGATTCCGATGCATCGTAGAGCTAGAGACTGCAGACATAGCAGGAGACGGGTATTCTTCGTCTACGATATGACCTTGGAATAAGCGGCCATGGATGACATCGCGAGCACGCTGGGTTGGTCAGTAGGTGCATTGTGATTCTAAGGGCAAGTACGAACCTCGTCGGTGTATTCATCGCCCGTATCCACCCCTACGTCTTCATCCGGCTCACTCGTTGAGGCGTTGGTTTTATCTGGCTGCATAGCCATGAGCGGAGGCGACTCGTTAGAGATAGAGTTAATGCGAGTAGATTTAGACAAGGGGCTAGAGGGTATCTCTAGGCTGCCATTCACGAGCCGCCTGGCATGTGATCCAGACGTCGCCCGTGTTCTAGCGCGTGCCTTAGCAACATCCGCAGAAGAGTTACTTGCGGAGGGCTCTAGGGGCGGCATGTGTGCCTCGGCATCCAGAGCAGCTTCGCTCAATCCCGGTGTCTCATATGTACCATCCAGCGTCAAGTGCTCGAAGATGGCACTCTCATTGAACGTCATGGGACGAGTTCTGCGGCGGTCGGTGGTGACCATGCCGAAGTTGAGCTGGAGAGCATCCGCGAAGGACGTGACCCGCTTTGTACCACCAGGGTTCTTGCTCACGACTACCGCTTCCTGCCAGTTTGATACGTTCGCGCGGACCCAGCGAGCAAGGAGGGGTTCGGCCACGAGATTGTCGACAGGGCACTTGAAGAAGCCCTGCATCTGGCTGGCGTGCAGATCAATGGTTATGACATGGTTGACGCCGGCGACGTGGAGTAGGTTGGCAACCATTCTGGCAGTTATGGCCCCTCTGTGCGACTTCTTCTTGGATTGGCGGGAGTAAGGGAAGTAGGGCATGACGGCTGCGGAGGGTCAGCACGGAAAAAATAGCAGCTGAGCGATGCGCTGACCCGTGATAGACCTGGCCGAGCCGCCCTTGCACGCAGATATCATGATGAGCAGCTCCATGACATTGTCGTTGATCCTGAGCAGTCAATAAATGGGCGGCGGGACGGGCTGGGAAGCCTACTTCTCGCTGCCGCTCTGCACGATGAAGACATCTTGGTCTCGAATTGACGTTTCTGTGCACATTGAGCGAGTGTCTGGCGCAATTGGAGGAGGGCGACTCACGAATCTGCACACTCGTCTCGCCGTTGCTGAACTTCTTGAGCTCCGCCTTGCCGACGCGCTGGCCGAGACGGTCGCAGATGCCGTCGACAAGGGCGGGATGCGAAGACCCAGAGAAGATCTGGGCGTGGCGCATGGTGGGAGGCGGTTGAGGAGCGGTGGGCGGGGGACGGATGGAGGCGAATAGCTGGAGAAATTTGAAGCTCGCCCACGCTCTCCGCCACGCTTGCTCGCAGGGAGCGGGAGCCCAGAACGATCATCACGCGTGGGCTTCGGGGGCAAGTTGAGCCGAAGCTGGGCCCGCTGATGGCCGCTGCCTCGCTGCGTGATCGCGATACGAGGCTGCTGTGCGCCCTGCACCACCACCCTGCGAGCAATGAACCAATGCATTGGCCGCTATCGTCGCCGGAAGTGCCAGCTCAGTCGACTGCACGGCATCACTCCCCAATGGCGCCTCAGGTTGCGTTGCGCGCCGCGAGGGAAGGCGATATCCCCCAGATCAACGCAATTCACGCCTTCTACGTCCTCAACACCGTGACTACCTTCACCATCACGCCCGCAACCGACGACGACGCTCTGTCGAAGTTTAGGGCGGCTGTCTCGCAAGGCTTGCCATATCTCGTGGCCGTCGACAATGCGACGGCTGACGTTGTCGGGTTTGCATACGCTTCTGGCTTCCGTAGTGGGCTGAGTGGATACAGACACACCGTCGAAATATCTCTGTTCTGCCACCCGGACCATAGATCGAAAGGGGCGGGCACTCTTTTGCTAAGAAAGCTGATCGACGTACTCAAACACCCCGAAGACCACGCGGAATTCGTCACTGTCGCGAGGAACGAGGACGCCAGAGTTAGGAACCTAATCGCCTGTATGGCTGTAGATGAACAAGGTTGGAAGAACGGTCTTGGTCTCAAAGAGTATTACGAGAAGTTTGGGTTCGAGCAAATGGGCCATCTGAAAAGGGTTGGCCATAAGTTCGATCGATGGTATGATCTGTCATTGCCAAAGCGTTCACTTTCTCTAACATGTTTAGGATTGATACAATTTACTTGCAACTCTGTTTGTGGTGACATCTGATGCTGGTATAGCGCCCCAGAACCCTCAAGAGCTAGAAGAAAACCTAGCATCTCCCGATGTAGCAATGCTTTGCAAGGTAGAACACGCTGAGTACGCCTCTACGTGGATTCGGGAACGGAAATCTTTTACAGTACCATTCTTCAACGGAGGTTTGCAATATCGGCTACAAATTCAACACCAAGGCCAAAAACTGGAAATTATGCTCTTGAATTCAATCTTGGCTCTGCTACCGCATCATCCAGAGGTCTTTTTGAGACGTCAACCAGCTTCAAAACAGTGCCGATTTCTCGATCTATTAGCAATTCGATGCCACTTTCCAGCCTATTCCATACATTTTTCGACAATAGTTTGTCATATATGAATCATGTGATAGCGCATTCGGCAATCTATTCGATTCCCATGAACCACCTCTACAATTCCTTCTTAACGTGCATTATCTCTTCTTTTCTCAAGGGTCGCTACCTTTGTAGTCTCATACCCTTGTATTCGCAAAAGCTTAAATCGACTCGAACCCCGAACCAATAGTTTCAAAGGCCACTGCATCTCTGAATTCCGGGATCGCGGCTTTCAAGGATGTTTTCCGTGATTGCCGACTGTCGCCATACCCTATCGGAGGAAGATCACCACTTCAACCCCAGACCCCAGATATCCAAATTCCGGGGCATGATCGAATTATGCGGGGCTGCGTTCCGAGCCGATCAATATACCCCAGTGATACCCAAGAAGTATGTAGGTATCTGGAGCCTGTTGTTTTACAGTCCTTTGATCCAATCGGTAGTCCATCAGCAGCGCTCAACCAAGTCACTGGGAAACGGCTCCGCATCTACCCCACCATGGAAACAAACGCCGAAACCAGTATCAGTAAGGACCATCGCGGTCACTACAAGGCGTCTACAGTGTGGAGAGTCACTGGCGTTTCGTTTGGCAGCCTCTCGCTAGGATATGCGGCCGCCATCATCGCTACCACCCTTGGTACACTCACCTTCTACCTTTTGCCCAATTGGTGTCTAATCACTGACTCCTAAAAGGACAACCCTCCTTCTTTGAGTATATGAACCTCGCAACTGCAAAGAATGCATCCCAAATCATTGGAGCGATGAACTCACTCTTCTACGCCGGCGGCTTCTTCGGATGCGTCTTCAACGCGTGGTTCGCGGACCGCTTTGGTCGAAGGATTGCGATTGCCACTGCCTGTGTGATAGTATGCTTGTCCCTTGCTTTGCAAGCTGGGTCGGTACATGTCGCCATGTTGTATGTAGCAACTGCCTGCGAGCACCTCACAGCACTTACTGACCTAAATCAGCATCGTATTCCGCTTCACCAATGGGTTTGGGTAGGTCAATACTGCCTTCATATATGCTCTTCTGTATTGGTAACATACTTGAGCTAACGTATGTACTAGCAACCTGATGCTCATGAACTCTATCCCGCTGTGGATAACTGAGTTCGTGCCGCCCTACCATCGCGGCGCCCTCTCCAACATCCACGCAGCAATGATAAACATAGGATACCTCGTTTCCTCGTACGTTGGAGTAGGATTCTACTACTACACCGGCGGTTCTGGCAACCAATGGCGCGCTCCACTAGCCTTGGGCTGCCTCTTCCCACTAATTACGCTCGCGGTCATGCCTTTCATCCCAGAGAGCCCACGATACCTCCTTACCAAAGACAAGATCGACGAGGCTTGGGACATTGTGCGGGAAATGCACTCCTCTAGCGACGACCCGAACCACGAATTCGCAACAGTAGAGTTCTACCAAATGAAGAAGCAGCTCGAGATTGACAGCCGCCTGGACTCGTCATGGATCGGAATGCTCCGCCGCCCATCCTACAGAAAGCGCCTCTACATCTCCAGCTCCCTCCTCGTCCTCCTCTACTGTACCGGCACCCTCACCATAGCTAGTCCGTGCCCCTCCCCTCCCACCATCCCAACCTAAACACCCACTAACAAACCTTGTCCAGACTACGGGCCCATTCTCTTTAAATCCCTCGGCTTCTCCCCTTCGCAGGTCCTCCTCTTCCAAGCCGGCAACATCCTGCAAGGCCTCTCCGCCGTCATCGCCTCCATCTTCATCGTCGACCGCTTCCCGCGCCCCACCCTCCTCGCCACCGGCATGCTCGTCTGCGCCGTCAACATCTCCATCGTCGCCGCCCTGACCGCCACCTACCTCGGCACCACCAACACCTCCGGCCTCGCCGCCGCCGTCGCCTTCATCTTCGTCTACGTCTGGTGCTACGGCTTCATCCTCGACGGTGTCGGGTACTTCTATGCTGCGGAATTGTTCCCCACGCACCTCCGCGCGAAAGGCGTGACGTGCTGCCTAGGCGCATACTGTCTAATCAATATCCTGTGGCTGCAGGTGGCGCCGACGGCGTTTGACAACATCGGGTGGAAGTTCTATATGGTGTTTGTGAGCTGTGCGGTTGTGGGCGCGGGGATCGCGTGGACGTGGTTCCCGGATACGTCGCACTGCTCGTTGGAGGAGGTGGCGCGGCTGTTTGGGGATGAGGATTTGGTTGCGGTTTATCGGGAGGAGATTGTGTTGGATAAGCAAGGGGGAGGGGTGGTGGAGAAGCCGGGGGTGGAGCATCGAGAGGAGGAGATGTGAAGGGATTGAGAGGGTCAAGGAAAGGTCTGTGTGCGAGGTGAGTTGGGATTCTTGTTAGTTGTGTTGGGTTTCTCGGATGCTGTCTGCATTGGCTCTACGGAATTGTGTGAAGAGGAGTTTGCGTGCGAGGTTTTTGAGCAGACGAATGCTTTTTTTTTGGAGGAAACTACAGCACACAGAGAATCGCTTTTCAAAATGCTTGGCAGGGGTAATATCCCGCGCTCAGCCCACCGTCTCCTCATCAAACCAAGACCACCACTCAAGGAATTCTCTCATGATCACGCAATCCAAAAAGTACATTGCCAGCTCACAGCTGTCATCCGTGCAACGACCGACGATTCTCCACGGAACGAGCTCAATACGACGTCAAGATGAACCCCCACAACCAGCCTCTTTCCGCAACCTGCTGCCGAAAAGGCTTCGCATCCATCATCTCGGTAATTGGGCTTGGGCGTCATAAGTGGATTGGGGAGATGTAGCTCTCAACAGTACGACCGAAATGATAGAAGCGATTTTATAAAAGTGCAAGTTGACAAGAAGCGGCACGCGGATTACCCTTTTAACAAGCTCATCCTTACACAGTGGCCCAACAGGGAGCTGGTGGCTCACGTCCACATCTCGGTCTTCGGCATACCGATAACCAGGACACTCCCCTCTGGGCCTCACCACGCGTGGGGTATTTCCCAGGTGGCATTACTAGGCCGCACACCCCTCGAAGGCACAGACAGCTGTGGCTCGATCGGAGTCTCGCCGAGGCGCCTGTGCCTGTACATGCTGTGCACTGTCGCTCATGGCGATTTGACAGGAAACGGCACGCACAGCATGCATTGCGTGTACCTCCACTGGGCTTCTTACGGTATGCCCCCATGAGGGCGATTTCCAGTTGCGTTGTTGCGGGACGTGGTACGCAGCCTTTCGATATTCCATTGTTGGAGATGGTGGCGCCCTGACAACAATAATATTAGTCGAAGGTATAATGACAAGCGATGACGGATATGTAGGTGGTTAGATGCTGGCGTAGCATCGTACATAGGTACCTATGTACCTATCGCGTTTTGAGGACTTCCAGAGGTGGAAGGTTGGGGATACCGAAGATTTTGGGGTTGGCGGTTCAGGAACGATTGGGTATTTACCAATCCAATGACTTCGTTCAAACTCAAGGGGTGTGTTCACTGGTATTTCACCTGCATGTAGGAGCCATTAGCTAGCCAGTGTGAAATTTCAATCACCTCTGCATATGATTACTCCGAGTAGGAGGCCGACTTGCTGGGATAATAGATGATAGGCGGGAGTCGAGGCATCCAACCAGCGCTGCCTTTTGTCCTACGCACGCAAGCTCCGTGAGACGCCCCCAGCGCCCGGAACGCCACAAGATCCGATTTCGGGGTCGTACGTACCATTGATCTTGCATAAGTGGGGCTGCTAAACAGGCGCACCCCGATCTTGTGAAACAGAAGCAGCAACGTTGCTGTTTTGGACATCTTGTGCAACGCAAGGTTCGAGTCTAAGGGGAACAGTCTCACCGCATCTTCAACACACTCGTCGAGCAATCGAAGATGCCTTTTCAGCTCGTTGAAAGACCTAAGTCTCTTCGAACTTACGGCGAGCAGCCATGGCTACGATGCGGCAAGAGCTAAAGGCAACTTCTGTAGATGCAGTGAGCTATCTCTGGCAGAAAACGGCAGGGAGGAGCCGAAGCCTTGCTCAGGTATCCTCGGTGAAGGAAAGAAACCCCTGTGATTGCATGTCAGCGCACAAGAAACCGATGCGTGGAATGTGGAGATGTGATAGCGTAAAGGAGCAAGGACGAGGGCCAGGGAAGACCGGCTCAGGACGCGGTACGCACAAGGAATCCAGGAAGCTGAGCATGAGATGAACTGTTTCTGATAGGCGAGCATGTCCTGGTGTTCAGGATGTTTGATATGGCAGTTTTTAGCGTGGGCGCAGACGCCATCGCGACTCTGCTGCAGGTCGACATCACGCTGAGCGTCTCGACCGCTTGGGACGCTCTATCGAGAAAGCGACAGGTCGGTGGCAGGCTCTCTACGGCGCTTCGACGCACTCATATCCAGGGTCGGCCTGCCCGCCGCCGAGGATGCCGCCGAGGATGATGGCCGATCAGGACGCCACAGCAGCCACAGCAGCGCCGCCAGCCTGTGACGGTTAAGGGAGGCCTCGAAGCAGCTGGGAGAGTCGCAGGCCAGGACCCCGGTCCGGCCTCATGCCGACGTCGTTGCTTTGGCGAGCAAGCCTGTGGAAGGCGCCCATGCAACTACACAGCTGAACCGGGTTTCTGAAGGCAGATCGACCTGGCTCGCGGATTCCCGGCGCATCAGTGAGCGCAGGGTTGAGCGAGACGCACACGCCGCGAAGACGCAGGCGTCTGATTCCGAGCGGCGGCCAGACGACACGGAATGCAGGCGCGTTGAGCACGAACGGCGCGAGAGCCGGACAGCCAGCCAGCGACGGCGAGGGCAACGTCGCGGCAGTGTTGGCGCGGCAGCCAGCAATCGGGTGATGAGTTCGCAGCAGCGCGAGCAGCGGCAGCGTCCTTAGTGCTGCAGCGCGCCGCATCGGGGCCTCCAGAGCAAGCGATGACCCGGCTGTCCCGGCCAGGCAGCACGATGCCGACGAACGCGGTGCTGGAGGGGGGAGGGCGCCGTGTGAGTGGTGAGCAGCGAAGGGTTGTGCTTGTTTGGAAGCTGGAAGCCCGTCGTGTGCATGGCGGCCAGAGTGACCGGCAGCCTGCCCGCGATCCCCCAAACCTTAATCCAAACACCTCCCCCACCTGCACCCCCCCGCTCAGCCACATCCCAGCGCCGCCCTGCTGGGAGCGGTGGTGCCCCTATTGGATGGTCCCTGGGCGCGATCGAATCCTCCGTCCAACCTTTGCCCCTCTGACGGCCGCCTCAGATGCCCGGCGCTCAGTCGGGGGTCCCCTGGATCTCTCCGGTAAGGCTCCTGCAGGTCTCCTGGCCGTCTTCTTCTCTAGCTACGTCTCTGGCGCACGGAGCGGCTTCCGCTGGCTCGCGAAGCATATCGACGACGCCATCATCCTTCGCGCTGCAAGGACCAGTCTGCTGTCTCTCGCCGATGCTGCCGGCTCCTTCATCACACGGCCGCCTGCCGCACCCCACGCGCCCTGTGAGCACGTCGTCTGGTTCGTGCAACGGCGGTGCGTCCATATAATTGCCAGGCATCTTCGTTGCGTCCGCCAGGCCTGGCATGACTCTCGCCGCCCTCGCCCAAGCTGCAACAGGGATCGGCGACCCAGGAATACTACCATCGCCGCGGCAGCGGGACAGCCAGCCCTGGTGGAGCAAAAAGCGCCGGCCATGCCCCTTCTGGCGCGCCGGTGGTGAGCAGTCGAGCATGTCCACACATAGCCATGTCAGAGTCAAGTTCTATCAGCCTGCCGCGTAGGACGAGCCGTGTATCCTTTGCTGCTTTGGTCCTGTCGCTGCCCGCTTTGGACGGCGCCCGTCTCTTCTCGCGAGCCTCGTCACAGGAATGGACTGAATCGCACCGGCCGCGACGGCTGCGCGCTGCTGGAGTTGCACGCGCGGTGGACATGGCAGCAGGTGTTCCAGGGCGGCCGTTGCTCGACCGTGGACGAGGTCGAAGCCAGCCAGATATAAGAACACCCACCTCCGCGCTACTCAGCCCGAACCAGAGCCTCCAACCCACCTCTGATCTCCGCCTCGAGTCCCTCACCAGCCGCCCAGCCGTCGAGCCGTAACCTTACTCATCCGCCCTGTCGTTGCGAACTTTGCTTTTTGCCAGCTACGGGCAGTCAGCTTGAATTGAAACACATCCCACGCCGCTCCTCCTCACACCGCGTGTCCAACGCTCCCGCAGCGTAGGCCTCACCGTTTGCTGCCTACATATGCGGCCCCCCCCCATTGGCATTTGCTGACCGTCTCCAGACTCCTTCACCCTGGCTCCCGCTTCCACCACCACGCCCCCCGCAGCAATGGCAGTCCCCGGCAGCTGCGAGCACTCGTTCACCATGATCAAGTCGGACACGACGCTGATTCTCTGGAACTGCAACATGTGCCACTCGGGCCCGCACTGGTACATCTTCGAGTGCAAGCACTGCAAGCTGAAGACGTGCCGGCCGTGCACGGCCAAGGCGTAGATGCAGCCCGACCTGGTACGTCCTCTCGCTTGTCTCCCTTTGCAGCGCGTCTGCCACGTGGTGAGGCTGCAGCCCACACCCGCTGCCAATGCGACGGCAGCTTTTGGCGGCATCTGCAGCGCCTCGTCCTGCTCCACCGCGCCGTCGCCGCTCTTCCTCGAGGCAAAGCTGACCGAGTGCACGGCAGGTGATCGGGCGCCCCTGTGGGTGACTGCGGCGATCGGCAGCTTGCGTGCCAGACGCAGGGATGTCCCCAAATCCCGGTTGGCGGATCGCCGCCCATCGCACACGCAGGCATTGCAGCCGGCCGCTCTGCGACACCCAGCACCCGCCTCTCTGCCCGGTTCCACCGTCACATCCGCGTCTCGAGTGTGGCTTCCTTCCCCTCATCCAGCGTCTCTCGTCCTTTCGGCTCGGCTGCGTAGCACGGCGTCCCGGTCCCCTGTTCCTTTTCCCTGGCCGCCTGCAGGCCTGGCCTTTTTTCGGCGTCTTACTGGAGCGGCTATCTCGACATGCTCGTTACGGCCGCCTGCGCACTTAGCCTGCACCAAAAAGGAACCTTGCTTCTGCTCTAGATCGGTTTTGGGTGGTGGCGTGGGCACTCTTCCGTCTGGTCCGCTCATCGCACCGCTCGCCTCGGCGGCCTGGTCGGTTGCCCTGCTTGTTTCAGGCTTATTGTCCAAAAGGGCTGCTGTACGACTTCTGTTTCTGCCTTTCCTAATTGTGCGACTAGCTCTCTCTGTCGCCTTCTAATCCTAATTTTCCCTTTCCACTGGTTCCATTGGCGTGTTGGGTACTACGGCGCAGCACGGTGCTGTCCTCGATACCACATGTAAGGACTGTTCAGGGGTACTGTTCAGCATACTTATTTTCTTTGGCTCTTCACGGTTTTTTCCGGAGACTATTGATTACTTGTCTCTTCTCTCATTCGGGGCCAGTACGACGGGCGGGGCTGTTCTGTGGAAACACAGCTTGTGACAGCTAGGTAGAGACGAATGACATGGCAACAACATATATCACAACATTCTCCCACATCCAGATCCACTGTGTGACTCGTGCTAGCGGCACCAGTCCTCCAGGGTGCTATGTGCTGCAGCCATCCGGCGGACAAGCGCGGTCATCGCTCGGAGCGTACCATGATTTCTTGTTGCGGATATAGCACGTCACTGCTATACATTCTGCTCATGCCACCCCTCCCATCTCTCTACGCCCGCACTCGGCCACCAACCGCCCTCCCCTTCCACATTCGCAAACTCCTTCTCATATGCTGGCCGATTGCCTGTCCAGGACTAGCCACGGCTGCCTGTCCAGGACTAGCCACGGCAACCTGTCTTGTGCGGGCATCACGGCACGGAAAGCAACTGTATACAGCCCACTATCGGACGATAACGCCGCTGCAGCACGCTCTGGATCGAGACACGGCGTCTCCGCGTGACGGTTAGCGAGCTGCATTCTAAAATGATAAGTCAGTTCCAAAATCCCAAAGAGTACATCCCGATCTGCCTCCCGCTCTCCCGCTGAAGGGTTTTTACCACCGTCCCCACTCTTGGTGCTATCAGGCATCTCCCTGGTATGTAGGTGACGGGATGTTTGTCCAAGATGAGAGTTGGGTACAGTAGCGGGGTTCGGGGCCCAATTGATCATTTCCTGCGTGAGGAAGTCGCTATGCCTTGACCTAGCGGCTTTGAGATCCGCTTTTCCAGAATGAGATGAATGTGCTAGATCTAGAGATAGGTAGGCATCAAGGTGATATGTGCGTTAGATGTAACACAAGAAACTATTCGAACATGTCGATCTTAGCGTCTAATATATAGTTTATCCAAAGACCGATATGGCCGCATTCAACACAACACTATGGCTGATCCTTGACGCTGTATGGCAGTCTCGTCGAGACATACCTAAGAGCTCCCGATTCACGAAAAAAAACGATTTAGATGGGAACTGTTGTATATACCTTTAGTGATCTTTTCAAGTTTCCATGGACATCGTATCAGACAAGCAGGCAAGCGGTAAACCGCATCCGGCCTATTTGGACCTTCTTACTAGTCAATTCAGCTCAGGGCGCCCAGCGCTTGCGACTCAAAAAGCAGAGTCGAAAGAGTAGCTTTATCCAAAGGCTTGTCACCAGATTTCAAGGGCCCTACTAGTCTGTTGAACCGATTACTAACGAGCGGGGTCTAGACAAGTTACACACGATCTCGTGTACTGACGACCAGCTCAAATTGAATCGAATGAAGGGCTCAATCTGGACTAGAACATCGATCCATAATGTCGATGGACCTTAGCACCGCCCTTGAAAGTAAGCTCTGGATGATGCGATCGCAGATTTCTCCATCCTCTGGACTTCCCTCGTAACCTCCATGTAACTTAAAACATTGGGGATTATTCATCTGAGCACAAGGCTTACATTTACTCGGTTAAAGGACAGGTCGTTCTACAAGTCTGCGGCTCGTTCGCCAGAGTAAACTCCGATATTATATGGCCAAGCTACGACAGATACCCAGACGGCATGTACCGGACGATCTGCTCAGGCATCTCAATAACGTTATGGAGAAGATCTAGCGATCTTGAGAGTAACCACGTGCCAGATACGGCGAAGCACATCCTGAAGATGATCTAGATAGCACCACGGCCCGACTCCGCTCCCGGCCTGGGGTTCGGCTCGGCTTCCTGAGAGACAGGGGTAAACCTCAGCTGTCAGCCACGGCCGGTGAAGATAGACCACCCCGCATGACCACGACAGCTAGACGACAGCTAGAAAGCCAAAGACAACGGGTTCTTTCTTATATTGGGGCCAGCTGTAGTCAGCAATTGATATGCATATGCAACTTGTAGCCTACAGCATAGCTGCACTAACCCCAGTAAGCTAATGGTGTATTGGCCCCCACAGCAGCGATACGACCCCTTAACACTCCATATATAAAACAGCTCCTCAGCCTCGTAGACGAGCTGAAAGCCCCTCCCGTTTTGTCCCTCTTATCCCCTCTTCCCTTCCCTTCCCTTCCCTTCCCTTCCCTTCCCTTCTCCTCTCCTCTCCTCAGCAGCGTTACTCGTGAGGCCATTCCATTTAGCCCACCATGGCCTCCGAAAACGAAAAAAAGGACCCCCAAGCCTCCCTCGAGGACTTCTGGTCAAGCCTCCTCACCAAAACCCCAGGCAAAGTCACCAACATCTTCCCGCCCAGCCTGTACGCGAACCTGTTGCCGCCGCTGAAACCAAAGGGCCCCGCAAAGGGCATCAACGCCGCCAAAAGCTACGAAGCCGCCGCCGAGGACTGCCGGAACAAGGTCAAGCGCATCGTGCGCGAGTGCCACCGCACCAACGAGAAGTTCACGGACCCCGACTTCGACATCGAGGACGACCTGGGCACCGGGCAGTGCCTGAAGGGGCTGCTCGACAGCGGCGCGGATACGCCGCCGCCGGGGGCGGTGAGCACGGTTGACGGCGATGATTTGAGGAGCGCGCTGAATACGCTTGCGGAGAGTGGGATTGTGGGGAGTGCATTGACGGTGGATGTGGTTGCTGTTAGCAAGGTTTTGAATGCGGGCGAGGGAGGCAGGAGTGAGGGGCCGGATCCGAAGGCGGTGCATAGGGTTGATTGGATTTATGAGAAGCCGCAGTTTGCGGTTGATGGGTTTTCGAGCTCGGATGTTAGGTTTGTTGTTCAGTGCTTGAAGTTGGAGTGTTGGCTGATTTGGCCTTCAGGCAAGGCGGAAATGGTGACTGCTGGTGGGTGGCTGCTGTTGCAACCTTGTGCACCATGGAGCATTTGATGGAACGGGTGTGTGTGGCTCGGGATGAAGAGTGCGGTGTTTACGGCTTCGTTTTCCACAGAGGTAACTTCTCGCTGTTGGAATTTCTGGAAGAGTTCCTGGGCGTGTCGCTAACGTTGCTTAGATGGAGAGTGGTTCTCAACTGTAGTTGACGATAATCTGTACCTGCGACAAAGTGACTTCGATGCATACGTCGACATCTACGACCCAACCGGAGAGAAGGAAAAGAAGTGGAGAAAGAGCGAGCAGACGGGATCCGAAGCACTTTACTTCGCCCATTGTGCTAATGAAAATGAGACTTGGCTCCCGCTTCTTGAGAAAGCCTATGCCAAGGTCCATGGCGACTTTGACGCCATCGCTGGAGGGTGGTCTGGCGAGGCTGTTGGTATGTTTGACGACTCTTGTATTTTGGCCTGCTGCTAATAGTTCGAAGAGGATATGACTGGCGGAGTTACTACGACTATCTTCACGAACAAAATTCTTAGTAAGGAGAGACTCTGGAAAGAGCTGCTGAATGAGAAAAGAGACTTTTTATTCGCTGCTTCCTCTCCCAGTCTGGGATCCGATTCCGAGTCGAGACGCGGACTTGCTCTAGGCCATGCATATTCGGTTCTCAAAGCCATCGAAGAGGAGGACGAGAATGGAAATAAAGTAAGGCTTGTGCTGATCAGGTGAGCAATTATCCCAATGCAGTCGTAACTTTCTACGATCTAATCCTTGGTATCTAGGAACCCATGGGGCGCTCGTGCTTGGACTGGTATCGGAGAATGGAACGGCCCCTGGAGCGACGGCTCCAAAGAATGGACACCGTACTGGTTGAAGAAACTCGACTATCAATTTGGCGACGATGGGATGTTTTGGATGTCCTATGACGATCTACGAAGCAGATTCGATATTCTTAATCGAACCAGGCTCTTCTCCGAAGACTGGACTGTTGTGCAGCAGTGGACCAGTCTGAGCATTGGATGGGTTACGGGCTATCTCAACACCAAGTTCTTGGTTGAAATCAAGCAGAGTGGTCCGACAGTATTTGTGCTATCGCAGGTTGGTACCCCTTCTCTATCACCCTCAACACGCGCGTACTTACTCTATTTAGTTGGACGACCGCTACTTCAGGGGTCTCGAAGGCCAATATACCTTCGAGCTCCACTTCCTGCTTCAGGAAGAAGGTGCACCTGCAGGCGAGCATCTCGTCCGTGCGCGGAGCACCTGGTTCGGAACACGATCTGTCAGCGCTGAAGTCGACCTCGAACCTGGCCGCTACGAAGTTATTCCCAAGATTGCTGCTAGCCGCGACCCCTCGAAGCCAGAAGTCCAAGATATCGTCAAGAAGTACGCAGAGGAGAATGGACAGAAGCTTCGCCAGATCGGGATGAATTATGACATTGCTAATGCTAAGGGCATCATCGAGCTGACCGAGGAAGAAAAAGCAGCTAAGGAGAAGAAGGCAAAGGACAAAGCCGATAAAGGAAAGGCTGAGAAAGACAAGGAGGCGGCAGATAAGGCAGAGTTTGAAGAATGGAAGAAAGCAAAAGCCGAAAAGGAGAAAAAGGCCGCAAAGGCGGCCAAGAAGGGAGGTGAGAAGACAAAAGAAGTCCCTCAAAAGGAGGAGGAGAAATCCAAGAAGCCCGAGGCTGAGAAGGAGCGGGTCGACGATAAAGCAGATCAAGGAAAGTCGAAGAAGGCAGAAAGCTCTTCTGAGGACGAAGACTCCGAGACTCCTGATTCTGACGACGACGACTCGGATGAATCTTCTCAACAGGGCGAGTCCTCTGCTAAAACGGACAAAGAGACACCAGCCAAACCCGCGGCTCCTGAGGCTCTAAAGCCTGCCACAAGCAAGGTCTCCGAACAACAGACTCTCAAGCCCCCTTCTGCGCTTCCATTCCGTGGTGGACCATCGGCACCCTCTCCGCCAGGATCTGTGTATGACGGCCCACCTATGTCTGAGATCGGGTCATATGCAGGTGCGTATGCAGATGCAGACGCTGCCGCGCCGCCGCCGCCTGAACCGGCCCGTCCTGCAACGGAAGCCAATCCCAATCCTTGGAACGCTATCTGTGTGGTCGGTCTGAAGGTGTACGCGCGAGACAAGGACGTCAGCATCAAGCTGATCAAGCCAAAGAGTCTGGAGGAAGGCGCTATGTTGGACGTTGATGGTGCAACGGCTGCTGGGGCGACTATGTAGATGATGGATCTGTAAAATGTTTGCGAGTGCTTGTTTCACTTGGTATGAAATTACGGATCATGGAATGGTGTTTGTATAGAGTTACTGAGTTTGGAATATCGCCCCTCAATTGCCATTCTCGGTGCCGTATCTTCAGTCTTCAAGCATTTATTCATGAATTACAACAGCATGGAGATCTCTAGTTTGTAGAGGACTCGGAAATGTCTTTTCCTCACCTGCAACACTCCCCTTCGAGTGCTCGTTCTAGACTATTCATCCTATTACGCCACCACACCTACCACCTCGACACACTCTCGTATCCTGCCCCGCGCAAACTCCCCTCCGCTCCTATACACCCACTCCTCCCCTTGCCCCCTCACAACTTCGCCCTTCCCCTCCCCCGAATCTCCGCCTCCACCGCCTCCTTCCCTTTAACCGCGACCTCCTCATCCTGCCCCGGCGTCCCCGTGGAGCACCCAATCGCGCCCAATACCCTCCCCTCCGCATCCACAATCGGTACCCCCCCGCCCACCGTCATAAAACGCCCGCCATTACTATTCCAGATCCCAAACGCCGCGCCCCCGGGCCACACCGCCTCCTTGTATATCGAAGTTGGCGCGCGGTGGCCCGCCGCCGTGAACGCTTTGTCGATGGCGATGGAGATGGAGGTGAGCTTCGCGCCGTCCATGCGGTGGAAGGCGAGGAGGTGCGTGCTGGTGTCGACGATGGCGATGTTCATGGGAACGCCGATGGAGGTTGCGTGGGCGGCGGCGGCGGCGAGGGCGGTTTGCGCGCCGGAGAGGGTGAGGGTGGGTGTTGTGGTTGTGGGGGCCATGGTGAGTGGAGGGATGCTTTGGAGGGAGCAAGGTGGTGTTGGGCTGGGTATTGGGATTGGGATTGGGTGGCCCTCTCGAGGCTGGGGGTATGTATGGAGAGGGTACTGTGTAGCAGTCTGAGCGTAGTCGAGGTGCTCGAGCTCGCCGTGGTGGATGGGGGAATTACATGCTGATGGTGTTGAGGGATGGTTGAACGGAGGCGCCATGCGTTTATCGCCGGACCTCGGGATGTTTGATATGGTGGGCTCAGAAATGCCGGCGGGATCAGATGTACTGCATGCACAGGTTTACCGACATGACGTTGAAGTATTTACGTCTCTCCGATTTGCACGAGTAGGACGTATCTATATATCTAGGATGTTTGAATGCATGTGGGAAGGATACGGTATCACGTCAGAGGTTCCAGCAAATGTAAATTCTCACAAGTGTGTAGAATTGAATCAGGGTATAAGGGGCAACGCCCAAAGCCACGCCTGGCTTGTTATAGACCTCGTCCGTCAAGTTGTATCCTACAAGTGAATTCCACCAGCTTTACCAGAATATCGACAATCATGTCACCCTGACAACAGGTACTGGTAAAGTCGATCGAACCCGTTCCCACCAAATAAGTACCAATCATCCCAAGAAGGATCGGTACAGCTCAACAACTTTCACTTCGCTCATCTCAAGGCCTCGAACAGGTAGCCCAGATCCAAAGAAAAGACCATGATCCATGCATCCATCATCGAAACCCCTCATATGCAGTCGTGAAAGCTTAGCGTATGGACTCGATGACTAAGCGTTCATCCACGGATCCTCATCGTCTGCGACGTCGTAGTCCATGTCCGCAGATCTAAAGTCCGTGCTACCATTGCCAAACTCCTCCATCTTTGTGTCGTCCTCGAGAACCTCGTCTTGCTTCGACGGCGTCGGATCTTCGGTAGTAAGAGTGATTGGCGGGTTGGCAACCCAGGAGAGCTCAACGTGTCCGATGTTCGGAATCTTGGAGGCAGCACCAATGAACTGTTTTCTTGTCAGTGCCAATCAAATAGGGATGCAAGGAGACCTACCCCTTCAGCGATATAGCGCTCCTTGAACACTACAACTTGCGCATCTTGACGATCGGGGTGTGGCTGGATACTCTCGAAGTCGAAATTGTTCTAGAAAGAAGTCAGTTCCACCTCTGGACATCCAAGGGTAAGTAAGATGGGAGTTAGTAGGTCCTGCTGTTCAGTAAGTGTTCCAAGCGGCTCAACCTCCTCCCAACTTGAATCATCCGCTCCCCATTCCCATCCTCCGAGTCCCGGTTACCGTTTGCAAATGCCAGCCTGTTCCCTTCCTCCCTCTGCAGCCCTTCAAATCCCGCTCATCGTTTGGAAACGCCAGCCCGTCCCTTCTATCCTCCCCAAGCCCCCGCCGTTTTATACCCCCTTGAGCCATCCAGCCACCCGCTCAATGTGATGAAAGCAAACGCCATGTGCAGACAAGAAAAGAAAATCAAATGTGAGCCTTACCAGAAGATATTGTCGAAGCGCTTCATCCTGCGCAGTTCCCGCCTCTACACCAGCAACTGAGACGCGTCTAGGTCGATTGTCGAGTCTCTTGACTCCTCCGCGAGCTCCGTACGGAGCGCCAGTAAAGCCTCCGCGACCGCGATACGACGGAGCGTATCCTCGCCCTCGTCCACCGTATCCTCTACCTCGGTATGTGCCACGTCCCCTACCACGCCAGCCTACTGCAGTGTGTTTAGCATCGTCATCGGGATCTAGACCTAGCCCTTCGGCTTCGGCCTGTAGTTCTGCGAGCTTCGCCTGAAGAGCGTCTTGCTTACTTCCGGTGGCTTCCACATTGACAGAATCATCGTCAGACAGATCATTAGTAGTCGTAACAGTGCCTTGCTTCGCGGCCAACTTCTCGAGCAACCGCTTCTTTTCCTCCGCGGCTTTTTTGATCAGCGCTTCAGCTTCTTTGCGCTTCTCTTCTATTTCTTGGCGTTTCTTTGCCTTCTCCTCGTACAACGTCTGTGCCTCCGCCTGTTTTCGCTGAATTTCTTCCGCATCAATCATCTCTTCGTCAAACTTGGAGCCTCCTGGTGACCTGGCTTTTGCTGCTCCATTGGAATGAGTTGGGGGAGTTGGCACAGAATCTGGCTTGTACCAGTACACTTTGACGAAGCGATTGTCAAAGATGACTTTTGGACTGTCGTAAGCACTTTTCGCGGCGAAATGATCATCGAACTTGACAATGGCAAGACGCTTGTACGCCTGCATCTGGATGTCCACAATATTCCCGAATTCGGAGAAGAATTCGCGGACTTGTTGTTCTTCAAACTTCTCCTCAGGGATTTGCTCAACGACAATCGTAGTACTTGACCGATCATTCAAAGGACCTGAGAATGAGAAAGGGGCTCGGCCTCGGTTCGCAGTGAACGTGCCTCTGTCACCACGTCCACGTCCACGACCCCGACCTCTGTGCTCGAAAAAGTCACGTCCATTCATACCTTGCTGCGGTTCAATCGCGAGTGACGCCTTGTTGGGATCATATTCTGGTATGGCGGTATCAGTTGTGCGGAAATCTGGGAGAAAAGTCGGGAAGAATGGTAAAACATAAGTACCGTCAGCCGAGGGCGGAACGACTATGTGATCTACGCCATGCTCGTACGGGCAGACGCTACCGCGAGCACAGAAGCCCTTGGTGTCGTAGTCACTGCACCTCTCCTTCTTGGGTACATGCAAGTTTTGTCCAGGGGAACCGGCAGGACCAAATCCCGGGGGAGAGCTAGCCAGTGGCATCTGTGGCATTCCTGGCATTGGAAAGCCCATCGCCTGCATAGCCATTAAAGCAGCCATAGGATTGTTGGGATCGAAAGGCGGAAAGCCGGGTGCAGCAGTGGGCAGCATGGGCATGTTTGGCAGGTTCGACATGGCGGGCATGCTCCCTAGTCCTGGCATACCTCCCATGGGGAAGTCGGAACCTCCGAAACCACCTCGACCGTTGAAACCCCCTCGGCGCATTTGCTTGACCGTCCTATTGCCGCCAGCCCCGCGGCCGTAGTGGTTGTCGCGGCCATCACGAGGCTCGCTAGGCTCTCGATCATTGTACGTGCGTTTCCGAGGCCCTCCCGTTGACGACAGTCCAGGGATAGGGACGTCCTTGTTCTTCAGAGCAGCCGGCCCCGTTGGAGGGTTAAATGTCGGGGCGGTCGCAGATAGCTTGGGTGCAGTAGGAGGGACGTAGTCAGGGCGGAAAGACTTCTCGCGAACAGCCGTCATCACTTCGTCGACAAAGCCAGCGGTGTCTATAGTGCCAGGTTAGCTATCTGCTTGAGACCAGTACCCTCAGTGAGCTTCTTACTGTCGCGCAGAAAGTCCGGCAAGTTCTCAAGACAGTTTTTGCGGACCTCTTCGTCACTACCTTCGCTGCGCACGAGTGCGAGGATGTAGTCGGCCAGAACCTCGGAATCTGCATCTGAGCTGGATATACAATTAGTGCGTTTCTAAATGGTCGCCGAGGGCCACTTACACAGCCTCGAGCTTTGGCGTGATCCAGCGCTTGAGCGGCACTAGATCTTCTTGCGACACATACATCGCGTCTGTCGTGGCGCGTGTCGTAGCAAATTATTGGCGGAGGGTGTCTCTGAGAGAGAAGAAAGTCGAGCTCGTGCGGGTCGGCGCGCGGCTTGTAGGATGGGGTCACCACGCGAGGAAGTGACTTCAACACTTGCGCAAGCTGCCTGCGGAGTCGCGAGCAGGTGCGGTGGTGCTGTGTGTCGCGCAGTGGTGGCGGTGGTGGGTGCGAAGTGAAGCTCAAGAAGTCGCCAAATGACGATGGCGCTACAATAGTTTCGCGTCTCGTCCGTCGCGGGTCACGTGATGCAGATCTCCGATATTGATTACCCAGATTGCTATGCAGCGGTCTAAGCAGGCTCTGTTGGACATAAAGCGACAGTCTGACACCGTCTGAGGTGGCCTGGGGAGCTATCAGGCTTGCCCAAATTGTCGCTTTGCGAATTTCAATGATTTACATACCAGAGGACCTCAAACAGTGCCGGGTGAGCCCAAAGAGAGTCGCGTTCTTGAAGAGAACTCCCACAAATCCGTGGACTGCCACTCTCTATTCAACGGCGCCTGTTCGCTCACAGCATGTCAAACATCACAGGAGAGTAAGGATTGTGTTCATGTGGTTCTTATTTCTAGTCCCACGATTACATCACAAAGCAGAACATGCAAAAGGAAAGGCCACGGATCGCCAGCACTACCCTCGATCATTGTCGCACCAGGGTGCCCGTCATCGTCAACTAGTCCCTAGACTCCTCCAGAGATGCTCTTAATGTTTCGTTGACACGTTGCGCAGGGAACGGACGACCCCTGATGGCGAGCAGCCCCGGTATATTCCAAGCATTGAATAATAAGGAAATTTATCGTTTTTGATAGCATCTCTCTATAGCTTGTCGTAGTACTGCGTAGCCATGTTAGCAATCGTTCTCTCCGGTTCCATTGGAGGAAACTTACGTTCTCAACACCGGGCACTTCGACCTTGAGGCCCTTCCTCTTCCGCATAGTCTCTACAATCTTACCAGGCAATGACGTGGTGTCAAGCGCTGATCCACCGGGCAGTATCTGCCAATGGTCGAACACCAACTGTGGGAACGCCTGGCCGCTGGTGGCACTGCGCAGATCGGCGTTGAAACCGAAAGACTCGTTGACGGGAAGGTAGGACTTGACGTGGAAGAGAGGAGTACCGGGACGCTGGGACTCTTCGAAGACGTGACCTCTCCTCCGAGTAAGCACACCGTAGATACCGCCCATAGCTTGCTCGGGCACAGTAATCTCGACCATGTAGATGGGCTCCTGGAGACCTGGTTCCGCAAGAAGAGTGGCAGCGTAGAGCACACGACGAGTAGTGGGGATGATCTGTCCACCTCCACGATGGATAGCGTCAGCATGGAGGGTGACATCCATAATGTTGAAGCGCACGGATCGCATCGGCTCCTCGGCTACGGGGCCTTCCTTGGTGGCCCATTGGAAACCAGAGACAACAGAGTCCTTGATTTCGCTCAGGTACTGCACAGCCTTGGTCTGATCGACGAGCAAGTTGGCGCCGCTAGTATCGGGACCGAAGCACCAGATCTTACGGGCGTCTGTGACGTCCCAACCGTGCTCATCGGCAAGGATACGAGCGCGAGCCTTGATATCGTCACGGGGACCAATCTTGCCCGCCTCGATGGCTTGAGCCACCTCCTCGTCCAAGGGCTGGGCGATAACGTACAGGCGGTTGTGCTTGTTGGGCGACTTGGAGAGCGCCGTGATGCTGGAGCTCTTGCTAACAGTCTCACGGTACTGGACGACTGGGTCGGAGATGCGAAGGGGAACACCGGCATGGTCCTCCTCCAAGTCCTTCAAGCAGATCTCCAAATGAAGCTCACCGGCGCCGGCAACAACGTGCTCGCCGGATGGGGAAATGTAGGTCAATACGCAAGGATCCGACTTGGACAGACGCTTCAGACCTTCAACCAACTTGGGCAGGTCCTGGGCGTTCTTGACTTCGACGGAGCGCTGGACGACGGGGGAAACGGAGAACTTCATGACCTTGAGGTTGTGCGCGGTTTCGTTGGTAGTCAATGTACCAGACTTGAGTAAGAACTGATCAATACCGACGAGACCGAGAATGTTACCGGCGGGCACATCCTCAATGGGCTCAACGAACCGGCCCATCATGAGAATGGTACGCTGGACGGCCTTGATGAAGAGATCGTCCTTCTTGCCAGGGGTGTAGTTCGGGCCCTGGATGCGGACCTTCAAGCCAGACTTGACGGTACCGGAGAAGACACGACCGAAAGCATAGAAACGGCCCTTGTCGGAGGTTGGCACCATCTTAGAGACGTACAACATGAGGGGACCCTTGGGATCGCAGTCCCGGATTCCAATGGCGTTGACGTCGTCATGGGGACCTTCGTAGAGGGTCTCCATACGGTACTTCTGAGCGGTGACGGGAGATGGGAGATGCAGAATCATCATCTCGAGAAGAGCGTCTGCCGCTGGCAAGAACTTCCTCATAACGACCTTCAGCAGCGCCTTTCCTTCAAGATCCTTCTCGTCGGAGGACAGCTTGATCTCAAGCTTCTCCAGGAGCGTGGGGATTTCGTCCGTCTTGAAGTTCATTACGGCGTTGAAGATTCTGAAGATCGGGTCGAGGATGAACTGGTTGAAGGCACGCTCGAGGGGCTTGCCGTCGTGAGTGCCAACCTTGGTCCACTTCTTGGTCTTCGGGTTGAAGTAGTTGTCCCCCTGTTCAGTTTGTTAGCCCGGTTTAAATTTCGTGCGGGATTTCAGGTTTCTCTTACCCATAGGCGCTCCATCATCTTGTTCTTGTCGACACCGAACTTCTTCGCGTATCTGCCGGCAAACTGGCGCACGGTGAAGGCCCAGCCATGGAGACCGGAACCGAAAGCGATAGTGCCCTTGTCGGGGTAGACCTGGACATCGCCAAGAACCTTGTCGAAGTAGGTGGAGATAACGACGTTGACGGACTCGATGACACGAGAGAAGTTCTGGTACAGATCTTCCTTGGAGACTTGAAGTTCGAGGAGAGCACGGTCGACCTTGTTGATAATGACGACGGGCTTGATACGCTCACCAAGAGCCTGTCGAAGCACAGTCTCGGTTTGCACACACACACCTTCAACGGTGTCGACGACGACGAGGGCACCGTCAGTGACACGAAGAGCGGCGGTCACTTCAGATGAGAAATCAACGTGACCAGGGGAATCGATCAAGTTGATCAGGAACTCGTTCTTATCGACCTTGACCGGGATATCCTTCATGTCCTCAGGATCATTGAGGGTGGCGTACAGCGAGATGGCTGTCGATTTGATGGTGACACCACGCTCCTGTTCGTCGGGTCGAGTGTCCGTAAACCGGGCCTTTCCCGCATTCGCCGCAGAGATGATACCGGCACGTTGGACGAGAGAATCGGTCAAGGTGGATTTTCCGTGGTCGACTATACAATTTCCTTAGGTCAGAACAATGCCGCGGGGTATCACGAAGAGACAGATGCCAACTCACCATGCGCGATGACGGACATGTTGCGGATGTTAGCCGCAGAGTCCATAAGACCACGGATCTTTCAACATTGTCAGCATTGATATCCCATATTTCAATGTTTTTTTTATTGTGGCGTACCTCTTCGACGGTGAAGCTGGTGAGAATAAGTCAGCATATTGTCTTCACTGGAGTATCGACGTAGAGTATGGGAGACGAGCTGGGCAGAAACAAGTCCAGGGCAGCCTGCCTCGATTTCGAGTCGGCGCAAGATGAGAGAGATGGAGACTTACTTGACCATGATGGCGGTGTTGTTGGATTTCGGTGGTTAAAACTCTAGTGGTGTCGAGGCCCAAGTACCCCGCTTCGATAGAATGATGCGTTCTCGAGAACGCTGGTGGGCTGCTAGTTTGCCTGTGTAGGCTTGTTGCACGAAGCTGAAGCGCTCTGTAGAAGAGGCTAGGAGGTGAGAGTGGAAGTGGAAGTCGAGGCGGTGGAGAAGGGAGGAGGTCGGCGGGAGGCAGCTCGATAGAAGTGCAGGAGTTTTCGGTTGGTGGGGCAGCGCTTCGCTAAATCCGACGGGCTAAACGGCACGCACTGCCTTCTCCCATCATCCTTTGACCATCGAACCACAATCCGGATGAAGAGTCACTGCCTATCAGCTGCTTCATTCACTCGCCCTGAAGCTCTGGCTTCGAGCGAACACGTGTGAGTCATACCTGCTGTGAGTTCATATCCATACTTCTGCTGCGTACAGGCAGACTCATGCCACAGTCGTCTCCGGAACTTTTCTCAATCTGGGTGGCATGACTCACGCCAGCTCTTCTTCTACCTTTGCGTATTTCAAGATGACCAGTCTTCATCATCGCTACAGTCACAGGCATAATATCCTTTCTTGATACTGTTGAAAGGTCTTGAACTGTTCACTAGCTGGTTTTCGAAAAGGACTTACCGTGGACCGAAGATTACGCATTGATTACGCCCGCTGATCCTCTGCATTCTTAGAAATCACGTGAAGTCTGTCTTTCTGTTGCATTTACAATCAACACGAAACAAGATACCGCTTCAGTTCGAGCCAAAGATGCATAGACCTCGCCATTTGCCACTGTGTCAGCACTACTTTTGCCTCAGCACCACTTTTGCCTTCAAAGGCTGGCAACGATCACGAAGCCAGGACACATTTAAATAGTTGCAAGCATTCGATGGACACCAGAGATACATTAGCATTAAATGTATGCGTGCGTTGTGTTACAGCGAATGATCGATTTCGTAAGAGAAATGAACCTGAGGAACTAATTAAAACAACCAATCCAAGAAAATGGTCCATTGCAGCAATGGCCAGCCACACAGTTCACCTTAACGTGAGACCTCTACCAGCCTCACCAGTGGCCACGAGTGGTAAAGACAAGTGAGGAGTAGTCCCACCAAAGCCTCTAGGTTGAGGACGATCGCCGGGCTTGACAGATCCTCAAGAACCGTTACCGCCCCAAGTACCTCGACTGCCAGGACCTTGACTGCCAGAACCTTGACCGCCCCAGGAACCTTGACCGCTTGAACCTTGGCCGCTAGGAGGACCATGGCCGCTTGGAGGGCCCTGGCCACCTGGAGGACCTTGGCCGCCTGGAGGACCTTGGCCGCCCGGAGGGCCTTTGTCGTCAGGACCTTTGTCGTCAGGACCTTTATCGTCATCATATTGCGGCTCGAACCCATAGTCGACGTTGTTGGAGTCGACGGCGAGGACCTTGATTTTCTCGTACCGTCTTGGCCTGTCTTGTTGCCCTAGCTTGGGTATTAGCACGAGTAAATCATAGAACAGGTTAGCAGACACTTACATGGGAACCACTTTCCGTCCCACCAGTAGATAACCCAGCTGCAGTCGGGTCCAGGCTTCTCAACAGCGATCCATCTGCCTTGGTCTTCAGAGTCGCCGCCGTACACAATCTCCTCTCCGGGTAGGCCACCATTGCGACGTCCTTCAGTCTCAAACTGGTTAGGCTCAACAGTAACACCGACGCCGCTGATGCCAATGAAACCGCCAGATCCATCCCGGAAGATGTCTTCGATGTGGCGCAGGCTGCTGCCAACGTACTGAACGAACACCAGCTGATCCGTGTATCTGCCGTATGGAACTGCTGGATACCCCCAGAACTGGGCAATTTTGTCTTGGTCGTGGTGCCCGTGCCCCCATTGGTCATCCCCCCACGGCTTGTTGCCCGAACCTTTCTTTTGATCCCAATTGTCGCTATCATCGTCGTCGTCGCCCCAGCCTTTCTTTTGATCCCAGTCGTCATTCCCATCCTGGTTCTGATCTCCATTCTGGCCTTTCCGTTGACGACGCTCAATGCTACGCTTCTCTGTGGTCAAGTATCCGCCGTCAGGAGTATCGAAGGGCGATTTGCCTGCCAGCTTCCGCTCGGTGGCTGGGAGGGATCTTTCCATTTGGGGTCATGGGGAGCAAAAGTCTCATTCTCAAAAGTGAACTTGTATGGGGCTTCATCCGAGTCGAGGTAAATGCCTGCCATGTTTCCTGGCCCATGAGCTTCGAACTTGACGAGCTGCTTGTTGATGTCCTTATTGTCACTAGGAGATGTTGGTCCTGACCTCGCGAGTAACCAGATAGTTTATTTACCTGATAACCTAAAGGTAGTATGTCTTTGGAGTACGTTGGTAGTCCGGCCTATGGTCTGGACGATTGGTAGGCGGGTGCTTTCCGCCGCTGGGGCCCCAGCTAGGCTTTGGGCCCCAGCCGATAGGAGGACTACCTTGTGGTTTTCCGCCGCCTGGGCCCCAGCCGCTAGGAGGGCTACCTTGGGGGCTTCCGCCGCTTGGGTTCCCAGGGTGGTTGCCAGGTCTGGGTTCCGGATTGTTACTAGGGAAGCTTCCAGGCGTGTCGTCGTTCCCAGGCGGCTGTCTACCGCCACCGCCCCCGGGGGTAATGGACCCTGGATTATTGCTAGGGAAGCTTCCAGGTGTGTTGTCGTTCCCAGGCGGCTGTCTACCGCCACCACCCCCAGGGGTAATGGGAGCGGGATTGTCTGCTGGTGCCGGTGTATCATCTACCACAGGCGAAGGCGAAGGCGAAGGAGAAGCAGAAGAAGAAGAAGAAGGAAACCCTAGTCCGGGCCGAGGTGAAAAGACAGGTCGGCCTGACTGCTGAGCCTGCGCTACTGGATTCGCAAGAACCGCAGAGACCAGCATGGCCGACATAAGTGTCGATGAGAACTTCATGGTGTTCAAGACACTCAGTAAAACGAATGAGATAGAGAGAAGGTGGGATAGGGGAGAGACGAAAAGAGCGTCAGGGAATGTCTCACTGGATCTCAATCATTGTCAGTATTCTACTTATTTATAAAACCGCGACTCTATAATGTTGACATTTAGAATATGGCAAGGAAGGTATGTATTCTTGATAAACAAATGAACCAATTGGTCCCATGAGCCCGGAGAAGACATTGCACTGCAGAGTGTCAGTCCATGCGAGCTCCTCCACCAAGTATGTTCACCTTGCCTATTTGCGAATCTGCATAAGTAACGCCAAGATATCTGCGCGGAAGTCCGATAGAGCTGGGGCTCTCCTTACAGTGGTATCAAGCAAGCAAGAGTGGAGTCTGAGCAGTGGGATTTACGTGTGTCTAGGTTTGGGGCTAGTTACTGCTGATGTCGCACAGTAGGGAGCACGACAGCAGCTAAATCAGAGAGCTAACATTCCTAGCGCCTGATATTGGCTTCCTCACTTACCGACCATACTCAACAATGTAAATCGGCTCTGCTTTCGCGTGCAAGGGATAGCGCCAAACGCACTTTGGAGGAGCTCAGACGCTGTCATGCTACATACCGCGGAACTCTCCGAAGCAAATTCAATTTACAGCCAAGCGGAAAGTGTTTCCAGTGCCCAAATTGAGCATCACGCCAAGGTGTCCACAAAGCCTCATGAGCAGTTGCACTAGTGATAGCGGGAAGCTCTGAGTCTGGACATGCTCCAATTGCATAGGCAGAAATGGGAAGCGCGTTTCAGCTGCTTTGATACAGCCTCCATGAATCTTGACATCCGTCTTGAAATTTTATGCTACTTCAGGGCAAGACAGACACCGTCAGCCACTTTGGAACTTTCTTCTTCCTTGGAGCTGATATTGGATGTACTCCAATCGCATCTTCAGTATACAGTGCCAAGCCATATGTCTTGTCACACCTGCTTGCCACTGCTTGAGGTACCCCCATGGTACCTCAAGAATCTGAACGCGATGTCAAATTTCATACAGGGGAGATTAAGCAGCCTCTTGACTGACCGACCTCCTGCCAACGGGAGTGCTCCTGACAGTGGTACCGAGGAAGCAAGATGGAAGCGCTAGCAGCGTTATATCTAGGGCTCCGAGGAGAACGTGTATCGAAGCGGTCGGGTATCAGCACTGAAGAAAATGGAAGAGACAAGTCCGTTTGCCACTACCTAGGGCGCCTTCATGGCCTTTTCAAACCGCGAACACGATGTCAAATTCCACGCCGTGGAGTTTGACCAGCCTCTTAACTGACCAACCCCCTGGCAACGGGGCTGCTCCTGACAGCGGTACCTCGCATGCAAAAGCCGCCCTCAAGCAGCGGTATATCCGTGTACCCAAACTCGTGGCCTAGTTGTAAGCGCATATCTAAGTTTCATTTCTGCTGCTTCAATTTAGCCTCTATGAACCTTGACATCCGTCTGAGAAATTCATAGTGGTCTGGGGCTAGTCAGACGGCGTTAGGCGCTCGGCAATGCGTTAATTCCTCGGATTCAATTTTAGATGCGCTCTAATAGCATAGTCAGCGTGGATACAAATTGGAAGCTCGTTGTCCCTGCTCCGATTTGGCCTCTATGAACCTTTACATCCGTCTGGAAATTTCATAGAGGTCTGGGGCGAGGCAGACAGCGTCAGCCACTCAGCAATGGGTTGAATCCTCGGAGTTGATTTTGAACGTGCTCCAATTGCACAGCCAGGCTACATGTAGATTGAAATTTCGTTGCCTTTGCTCCAATTTTGCCTCTGTAAATATTTACATCCATCCGGGAAATCAAAAGTAGGTTAGGGCTATACAGACAGCGTTAGCCACTCGGCAATGGGTTAGTTCCTCATAGTCAATCTTAGACGTGCTCCAATTGCACGGCCAGGGTGAACGCAAATTGGAAGTCTATTTTCGTTGCTCAGTTTCAACCTCAGGAGAACTTGACATTCGGCTACTAGAATAAGAACACTTCAAGGCTAGACAGACGGCGCTAACCACTTCAGGTATACCAATTCCCTAGGGTTGATATTGGACCCTCACGCCGAGACGCTCTATTTAAGGCCTTGAATTGAGCCAACTTTGCTGTAGAATTGGAAAGTACCATAAAGGGCTGAAGTCCTTCGATTCCATCAACAGGTGCCCAGAACGCTCATCAGTAAGTTCTAATTCAAGAAGCACTTTCAGTACATCCAAGTCACGTGAAGGTTCACAAGATTCAGAAATTAGTCTATCATTTCAAGTTCAACTTTCAGGATGCTATCGTACAAACTACTGCCATTTCTCCACGCACAGGCCCCGCTCTCTCCTCACTTACCCGTATATCGGGTAGTTGGGGTCCTCTTCCTGCCACTCTTTCGAGTAGTTGTGGCCGGCTCGCCCCCCTCTACGTCCGCAAAGCGGACATGATTCTGCTTCTTCTTCTTCTTCTTCTTTCCCCCGGAACTACCCTCCTCTTCCCCCTCTGCCTCCCCCTCCTCCTCCTCCCGCGACCTCTTCTTGCTCGCCGCCCCGTGGACGGACGAGGAAGATTCCTTCCCCCCCTCGGAATCCTCCTCGTACGTCCACGAGGCGATCAAAGCCTCCGCCGCCGCCGTCCCAAACGCGCCCTCCGGCAACGTCTCTCCAGTTCTGAGGGTGCGAAGACCCCAAGGGGACTCCGCACCCCCATCTACCTCCCCAGCACCCACCCCCCACAGGGCCCGAATCTCGGCCCACTCCCCCTTCATCGACGGGATTGAGCGTGAAATGCGACGTCCGGCCGATTGATCGTCAAGTAGGTCTGATTTCGCGTCGTTGACATAGCCGTAATAGTCGTACGGTTGCTGCCACGAAGCGTTCCAGAAGCCGGCGTCCGCCAGGCCACCGGACGAAGAGAACGAGTCTAGGTTGGCGCCCTCTGGAGGATTGAAGCGGCCGTGGATCGTAGATTCGCAGAAGTTCTCGAAGGTTATGAAGCCGGTTCCACGACGTACGGAGCGCTGCGATGCGGTTTGGATGTCGCCAACAGTCTCGATGCCGTACCACTCGAATTGATATGTCGGGGGCAGTCTGGGTTCAAGCGGGTATGCGAATTGGTCGAATCGTAGGACGCCTTTCGTGTTCTGGATCTTGAACGAGCCCCACATTGTTCCGTCTTCGTCTCGGCAGAGTGTGAGATCTTCAAGGGCAAGGTGTTGGGGCTGGATGGAGTCGAACTTGAGCTTGTTGATGTTGTGAGAGGTGGAAAGGTAATAGGAGCGAGTCTGTTGGAGCATGGGGAGTTTCTCTGCCCAGTCGAGGTCAACGTGCTCGATGAAGCTGTCGCCGGCGACGAATGAGGCGAGTAATTCATCTTCAGTCTGTTCTTTCGCGTACTTTTCTTCAATATTCGTAATGCTGGCGAGACGTTCATGGCAAGCTGTCCAATGTTCTTTAATCTTTGCAGCAGCAAGAGGAGCGATGATGTTGGTTTTGTTGCGGTGGCCGATAAATTCAGTGCGGAAATCGTAGAGCGACTTGAAATGTCCCACGATGGTGTTCTCGCCTTCGAAGTGAAAGACTCCGGTGCAGGTAGGTCCGATGAGAGCTCGGGAGTTCTCACGTTGGCCGCACCATGTGAAGCTGAAGGTCGGGCGTTTCTCAATTGGGAGACGCTGGATCATCAAGGAGACTTCGACAGTGCCGTCGTCAGCGGTGAGAGCGCCCCAGTAGATGGCGCCATTCTCGGAGATGTGAAAGGTGATTCGATCGACTTGGGGAGTGGTCAAGGAAGGATGCTTAGAAGCGAATCCAGGTAGGTCTAGCATGTAAATGCCGTTAGGTGCGAAAGACATGATCGCGCTGCTGCGGAGTCCCTTTCTCTTCACGAAGGGAGTGGAGTCCTGGCGAGCTCTCAGACCAGCGGTGCGCCTTACAGTCTTTGGGGGTGCTACTACGGGTGCGAGGGGCTTCCGGACGGCGACAGGAGTGTCAGCCTCAAAGCGTAGTGTGTCCCAAATAGAGCCTGACGGAAATCCGCTCGGCGTAGAGGCTGGAGCTGCGAGAGGCGTGAAGTTGACTGACACGCCCTGGTCTGCTGGGGGTGCTGATCCACCTCTGGAGGCCCTCAGGCCTGGTGCCGGAGTGCCAATATCAAAGCGTGGAGTGTTCCAAACAGAGCCTGATGGGAATTCGCTCGGCGTAGAGGCTGGAGCTGCGAGAGGAGTGAAGTTGACTGTCGCGCCCTGGTCTGCTGGGGGGGCTGATCCACCTCTGGAGGCCCTCAGGCCTGGTGCCGGAGTGCCAATATCAAAGCGTGGGGTGTCCCAAGCAGAGCCTTGGGGGAAAGGCGAGTTCCATCCAGGCGGATAGCCTTGCGGCGTTGGTAGGCGGAATGGCGGACGTCCAGGAACCTGGAGTCCCCCTGGGGTGCGCGGGCTGGCGACAGGAGTGCCAGCAGCAAGGTGAGACATGTCTGATTCGCGATTGGAAGACATTGTGGAGGTTGAAGTAGTGGTAGATGAGTGTGTGAAGGGGTTGTTGTTGTTGTGAAGGTGAGGTTCGGGCGACGGGCGTGATGAGATTGTTGAAGGACTGTCCTCATTGACCGAACTTCAACCACAGAAGTCACCTGGGCAACGGCGTGAAGCACTGACTCTAAATCTCGATAGAAGCGCGTGTACACTAAGCGCGCTCTATGAGAAGGCCTTCACCAGCTCAAAGGACTTCGATCGGGGTGTGATTTACTGTCCTTCACTAGTAGCAGACGACGCGGTCTGAGGTGCCCTGGACAGGCGACAGGTCAGTCAAAACGATCAGAATATTGCTAGCTCAGGTTGTTGAAAATAGATGGAAGAACTCCACACAGCGGCAAACGCGTGTACACAGAACTATGACGACTCGACGAGGTGGTCTAAGTTGCTCCTTACCCTTTGCAGTGCCTTGCGAAAAGCCTGGGGCACATATGTTTGCCACTGTCTGGGGTGCCCCTATAGACTCTTAAGGATTCAAACGGAATGTCAAGGTTCGTGCAGTCGAGATTGATCTACCTTGTGACTGACCGCGTTTTACCACCGCTTGGGGTACCCCTATAGGCTTTAAACTTGAAAACGGGATGTAAAGGTTTGTACATTGGAAACGAGGCTGCCTTTTGAATGGCTGGCTAGCTGCCAGCTGGGATACTTCTTACAGTGGCATCGAGCGAGCAATATTGTCGCCCGAGAAATGGCATATTCGTGGGTGCTAAACCTACGACCTGATATTCAACCTCCGTATCTCACTCGCCCACATCATAGTGCCTTGCCAAGGGTCTGTATACATCCTTTTGCCACTGTTTGAGGTACCCCTATAGGCTTTTGAAACTTCGACTATAATGTCAAAGTTGATGTAGTGGAAATTAGACTACCCCTTAACTGTCCAGCTACCTGCTAGCTGGGCTACTCACAGTGGTGTTTAGAGAGCAAACCAGGGGGCAACAGTCAAATGGACGCCTCTTACAGCTCCAGCTCCTACGCCGAGTGAATTCCCATCAGGCTCTATTTGGGACACATCTCGCTTTGCTGCTAACACTCCCGTACCAGCCTTAAGGCACTCTAGAGCCGGATCAGCGCCCCCAGCAGACCAGAGCGCGATAGTCAATTCTACGCCTATAGCAGCTCCAGCCTCTACAAGCAAATTCCTATCAGGCTCTATTTGGGACACACCTCGCTTTGCTGCTAACACTCCCGTACTAGCCCTGAGGTACTCCAGAGCCGGATCAGCGCCCCCAGCAGGCGAAGGCGCGGTAGCAAAACCTGCTCCTCCAGCAACTCCAGTAGCTACTTCGAGTCGGTTCTCGTTGGGTTCAGACTCTTCCTTCCCACCAGGCTCCATTTGGAACACTCCATGCTTTGATCCTTGCACTCCTGTCGCCGTCCAGAAGCCTCTCGCACCCGTACCAGCAAGAGCGAAGCCCCAGCCATGCTATATCCGAGTCCCCAAAACGTATGGCCTAGTACTCAGTGCTTAGAATACAAAGTTGAGTACTATTGATGCCGCTGTTTGGGGTGCCTCTAGGGTTTTTGAACACTCTAGGTGTAAAGATCAATGCAGCAGATATTAGGTTGTCTTTGGACTGGCCAACTAGCTGCTAACTGGGCTACTCCTCACAGTGGTATTGAGTGAGCAAGGCTAGAGCCGTGTTGACCTACAGTACTAAGTCATACGTTTGGATACACAGACATCATACTGCTCAGGCTTCACTCTTGCTCATGTGACACCACTGTAAGCAGCACCCCAGCCAGCATGTCTTCGGTCAGTCAAAAGGTAGCCCTATTTCCACTGCGTCCTTATGGCTTTCTTCGACGATGCCTCAGCCATAGCGCAAGCATAAGGGCAGTCGCAGCTAAGTATGAGATACCCGCAAATATCTGAGGATACAAGTAAGGTCGATTCGCATATGGGCGGCGAAGCTTCAGGCCAATGACCTCCGCAACTGACCTCCTATTAGTACGATCGGATCTCTAGAATGGGGAGGGGCTTACAAGTAGTCGGTAGGACAACGGAAGCCCAAGCCAAAGAGAGCATAGACGGCAGCTCTGTGAGTCCCGCCACTTCCGCGCATAGGGGGCTGATAGTCTGTGAAGCTGTTAGCTATAACACTCTGAAATCGTCATTTGGAACGCTGATTACCATCCAAAACACTCCGACTATAGCTCCACTCAACAATGCGAAGAACACGGTGATTCCATACGAGTTTGCGGGGACCCAGACCATGAAGATTGATAGAAAGCAGATGAAGGTCGTCAGACCAGCCACCTTGATCCGCCCGTAGCGGTCACTGAGAACGCCTATGCACGGTCTCCCTACAGCAGTCCCTAGATTGAGGAAGCCCGTGATCATCGATGCTTGGGAAGATGGCAAACCGATAGAGCGAGCGAAATCCGATAGAGAGTAGATGATTATGATATATCCAAGCATGCTAAAGAAAGCCCAGGACAGTAAAATGATAACGTTTCCCTGGTGAAGGAGTTTGAGGTCGAACGGATGCATGGCCGGCTTGATAACCTTATTTCGGTTGCGAATTAGACAAGTGGCAATCACGTTTACCGTACCGCTTATGATTCCGATGATGCGCAGAGCCCAGCCAAGGGAGATGTTCTCGATCATGGGCAGTGTCGCGAATGCGACGATTATTCCGCCAACCCCGGACCCAGCACTGGTGATTGAATTGGCAAGGCTTCTCTTCTTTTCGAACCATTGGGAGGTGACACCCACACTTGGTATGAAAATGAACCCAACTCCGAGTCCGACGAGAAGGCCCTGACTTATATATAGGTGCCAGATTTTCTTTGCAAATGATGCAGCAATGAATCCGCCGGTCTGGAGCACAATTCCAATGAGCATTGGGATGTGAGTTCCAAGAATCCGTGTGAGATACGTAACAGGAGATGCTATGAATAGAGAGATCCCGAAATTCAATCCGCCGATGAAGGCATAGTCGAGTGCAGTGGCTCCATGAAAGACATCGTGAGAAAGATAGTAAGCAAGGAAGACACCGTACGAAGCTACTACGCCCCAAGTGAAGCCGTTGATAGCGAACTAAACGTTTTATTAGAAAATCTCTTAGAGATAGATGAAAGCTGGGTTAGGGGAGCCCATACGACGCAAGCAACGATGACCCAACCATACCCTCCCTCAGGAATTGTGTCCGTGGGTTCTGGCGAACAGTCTTCGAGTGCGGAATCCGGATTAACGATAACTTCGTCCGTAGGGGACGGTGCGTAGTTTTCTGTATCTTTGCCCATCACGAATAGATCTTTCACCCACTCTGACTAAGTCATTGAAAAACCTAAGGAAGCGTTTAAGAGATTAGGAATTTACAAAAGATTGCTGTAACACGGAATCAAGATCATGTATTTGAAGGGTATCAAAAATGAAATACCTGGGGAACTCAGAAGGTGCGGCATCGGTCCTCTCCCACAGAAGTGGAGAGAAAGTGGGAGAGAAAGTGGAGAATATTTCGGGCCAACCGCCCTATTATAACCGTCAGCGCTACTTAGTACTTTTTATTCCCGGGCCCCACGAACAACGATGACGTAATCATATATAGCTGTTGTTTTCAAAGTTTAAGTCAAATCGTAGGCTTTGCCCTCAATCGTCACTAATTTGTGATGCGATTGGTAATGAACTTTGAACAAGCCAATTCAAGAGACTAGATTATAAATTACTCAAAAAAATTGCACCTATCAATACAACAACACCAACTCTCGTCGCCAGAAAGGCGGTTTGGCAAAACATCACAGCAAAAACACACGTATGAAATACAGAACATCAGATAGTAATACTTCATTCTGAGACCCTGGTAAACCACTGATACATGATCGCCTTTTCAGATATTAGTCCATAGTCCATTCCAATCTTACGCCTTACACTTGTTGTCCACAGGGACCTCCCCACACCAATCCGGCGCCGACTGCTTGGTGCAGAGCTGGCTGCACTTTTGCCCTGGCTTGATAAGTACCCAGGGGAAGCCATCAACCCGGACCTGGACTATAGAGTCGGTAGGAGACGTGTCCGAAGCGCGGAATCCAGCAGCACAAGCGCACAGATACTTGCTGCCGGAGATGCCAATGCACGAGGTGCTGACGTCGCAGAAATTCTTGCCGCTGGTGGGGTCGCAAGTCGCTGGGCAGGTTCCTGCTCCCCCAGCAGGGGGGATGACTGCAGGCTGTGAAGTTTGGAGAGGCGAGAGGGTCGCCCTAGGTGGTTCTGCCACTCTAGTTGGGGCCGCAGTCTCTTCTCCAGTCTTGGTGGTGAAACTCCAGGTATAGACGGGGAAAGATACTGATGTCGACGTCGATGTTGATGTCGATTTCGATGTCGTCTTAGACTTGTAGTGCCAGATCCAGTTGGAGTGGTGTTTGTGGCCGCATCCTTCCTTCGGACATGGTTTGCGTGCTTCCAGCCCTTCGTCGCGGGGACCTAGCCCTTGCTGTGGCGACCCCCACGTATCGTCATCCTCCTTCTTTGGTGGTAGATCACAGTCGCTGTCACCATCCCAATGGGGGTGTTTGGGTTTGCCCTTTGGATCGTCATCGTCCCCGATCGCAATGGTGATTTTGTTGATGTTGACGTTCTTGCCCTCTGCTTCAGGGGATGGGGATGGGTAGCTCAGCTCCCCAGGCTGAGGGCGACCATTGTTCTGGAAGCCTTGGGCGCTCGTGAAATGTAGAATCTGGAGGGCTATCGCCGCGGAGAGAAGGAGCTTCATGTTTAAGAGAAGCGAAAGAGATTGAAAGAGCGACAAACGAGGAAAACGAGTGTGGGATGAAGTATGAAACTTTGCGGAAAACGAGCGTGAGGAAAGATGGAATAGCCCCAAGTTAGAAGAGTAACATCTGGATACAGGATTTATAATGGAATCTTACTTTCGCATTCCTATTAGACCAAAACAACACTGTTTGGACACGAAGTGATTGGTCGAACTTCTCCCACCAGTCTGGAAACTCTACTCCGTACATCAAGTGGGAATGCTAGCTAGTTCTGGGAAGTCTGGCAGGTTATTGGTATATTCAATAAGGGAGCGTTACATCGGAATGTTTGAGGCAAGTTAGATTCCTCGCAATTACTGCGCAGATGCTTAGATGCATTCTACATGTATGCTAAGAGAACAATCTCTTCAAATGCATTCCGGTAGCTAATGACCGATTGGGAGGAATCCGCAGTCTTCACAGTCCATTGGGAATTCGGGCAGATTATGAGCCCAATGTCCTCGCGGTGTGTTAGGAATTCGGGGAGACTCTGACCCCGAAAGCTCCAGGTTCAGATTACTGATTTTAGGTGAGATGCAATACGCGCTCGTGTCCTTGTGACGGCGATTTGGTCCTCGGTAGAAAGATCTTGACGTGATAGGACGAGAGCTCGGGGATGTCGCTCCTCTGGCCACGAAACCTAACCTGATCTATGGCTTCGTTCATATTTTAGCTAGTCGTAATAAGAGAAACAAATGCAGAGCTGACTTGATGAGATTGTTGGACATTCACGAGTGAAAGGAGTAGAAGGGTGGTTAAATCCGAGCTACATCCGACCTCGGTAACTTGACCCCGCGAATGCGAGTCGGCCTTCGTCATCCAAGAAACACCATGAAAGCCGTCTCGATTTCCCGTGGACTGCCCTTCGCCTACAAATATACTCAGTAGTCACCTAATGTGTCACTAGTTGTGAAATCAATTGACTTCTTTGAATGTACTGTACTTATATTTCATCGTTCATAAGTAGCGTCTGTATACCACCAAGCTCCATTCACGAAAGCTCCAGGAAAGCAGTTTGATATATCCCTGTTGTCCTTCGAGAAACCGCAAATATGCCATCCGCAATTGCAATCAAGCAAACACCGGGGAAGCCAGGGCAAGTATACTACCCATTGGAAAAAATAAATATCCCGTCCCCTCAACCATCAGAAACGCAAGTTAGTATCCTACACCAGCAAGCTCCATTCCCCTTCCTTCAACCGCTAACTACCCCTCAAGGTCGTAGTATCCATAACAGCCGCCGCCCTAAACCACCGCGACCTCTTCATCCGCCAACACCTCTACCCCGGTACCGCCTTCGGCGTCCCCCTCCTCGCCGACGGCGCCGGCATAGTTACCTCAACCGGCTCCTCCCCTTCCGCAAAGAAATGGCTCAACAAACGCGTTATCCTCAATCCAGGCCTAGGATGGACTTCCGACCCCGATGGGCCCGAAGGCCCCAAAGGCTATCTGATCATGGGCGGGACCAAATTCAACCCGGCCGGTACACTGGCGGAAGTGGTGCTGGTGGAGGCGGAGGAGCTGGAGGAGGCGCCGACACATTTGAGCGATGCGGAGGCGGCGGCGCTGCCGTTGACCGGGTTGACGGCGTGGAGGGCGTTCTTCACGAAGTCGGGGAATGCGAAGCCTGGGAGGAACATATTGATCACCGGGATTGGAGGGGGCGTGGCGCTGATGGTGCTGTTGTACGGTGTGGCGCAGGGGTGTAATGTGTATGTGTCGTCTGGGAGCGAGGAGAAGCTTGCGAAGGCGAAGGAGCTGGGTGCGGCGGGTGGTGTGAATTACAAGGAAGAAGGGTGGGAGAAGAAGTTGGTGGAGATATTGCCGAAGGATCGGAAGTATCTGGACGCCATTGTTGATGGTGCAGGTGGGGATATTGTGTCAAAAGGAGTGAAGCTCCTGAAGGTATGCTTGGGCGTGCAGCTGGTGCTATGGTAATTGCTAACAAATATACAGGCTGGTGGTATCATATCAATCTACGGGATGACGACGAGCCCGAAGATGCCATGGCTCATGAGCGCCGTATTGAAGAACATCGAAGTTCGCGGTTCGACTATGGGGTCAAGAAAGGAGTTTGCAGACATGGTAGACTTCGTGAACAAGAAGAACCTGAAGCCTGTAGTATCGAGGGTTGTGAAGGGACTGGACATTGCAGAAATTGATGGACTTTTTGAGGACATGAAGAAAGCAAGTCAATTCGGAAAGCTTGTCATAGAGCTTCCTAGCAGCGGAAACTCTAGTAAGTTGTGAGGTAGAATGGATTCCTATCAGGGATAGTAACACTTGGTTAGATGCTCCTAGTTCCTGATCGTATATACCTCAGACACCTTGGTCCGTACTAGGAGCTTGTGTTTGATCTGGTGATTATGTGATCATTGCGGCGTGATGCCTAGTCCGCTGGTTCTCATGAAAAGGTCCCATACTTCCTTCGAAGTCATACCATCCCTCATGTGTTCACTGAGCATTTCGATGGCTCCTCCTCCGCCCATGTCCAACAGTGTGAATCCAGGAAACTTCATTTCATGTATGCCGCTGTCGTGCAACGTATGGTCCCTCTCAAGTGACTGTGGCTTCGGTAAAAGAGACACCTCGTTGAACAGAGCGTTTCGTCGAGCTATAGTCATACGACGACCCTGATTGACAGCATCCCAAGCGTAGGCAGCTCGGTTTCCCTCTTCATAGTCTTTCGTCGCAATGTGCGCTTTCAGAGCCCGAATTATGCTCAATTGCATCTTCACGACTTCCGAGCAGAACGACTCGTCCCACTTGCGAACCAATCTTGAAGATGTCAATCCAGAAGCAGCCTCCCAGGTCTTGATACCCTGTCTGAACGCCTTCATGGCTTCCCAATTGACACGGGAAATATATCCCGCTGCTCCTTCGCCCTTCGCTGCCTCAATGTTGCTGAAGTCCTGGAAGGTGCCGAATGGGAAAATGTCCACAATCCGCTCGACGTAGAGATCTTCAAAGTCTTGCCATGGCATCCATGCCTTCATCTGACCGTTCTGTGCTCCTGTAGGATCAATCGCAAATACGATACCATCTTTCGATGTGGCGCGTAGCAAAAGGTGCGGACAAGTTTGGCCATCGGATGTGCGGTCGGAGTCGCAGTCCGCAGTGGTACGTCTTGACGGCTTGATTCTGACGTCGACTTCCTCGATTTTATCGTATGAACCTATTTGGGAGAATCAACAAGTGCTCGACAATCTTGAAGGCCTGTTCTCTTCGTCTGAAAACTCACCTTTGACCATTCTAGCGAAGAACTCGTGAAGGTAGGCCAAGGCATCTTCGCACATCATGGATGTGAGGAGAGCTTGTTTGTCCTCATCGTTACGGACTAAGGCGGCTGGGAATTCGAAGAAGAAACCTGCAATACCATGTCGAAAACCAGCTTTTCGAATATGCAGGAGGAGCTGGTTGCCTTGATCCTCCAATTTCACGACGTCGATGTCAAAGGTTGCCTCCCTGTAGGCGAGCCATGCTTTCTGATATACCTCTGCCGCATGTTGAAGAATCTTGTCAGTTCCACAGGTCTGCTTGTGAGCCTGCCAGTGAGCGGCCTGGCAAACGCGACCGCAGTACCAGATCTTTGTGCAGCGACCGCAATACTCCGTAGCCTTGTTATTGCACTTCCCGCAGACGTGGGCGACCGGCTCGGATGGCGTGGCCATGGTGGCAGATGATGTGGTACGGTTGGTATCGGGAGGACCTGTGGGCTCCGCCATGATGGCAGAAGATGAGGTTGCCGGTAGAAGAGTAGAGCTGAAGCTGTTGAAGAGGGAAAAGAAAGTGAAGTGAAGTGAAAGACTAACCCGATTAGTCAAGCGAAGTTTCACCGACCATCTCCATTATTAAGGTGAAGGTAGACAGTAAAGAACGCTTCACCAAGTCAGGCTTACGAGACCGTTTATTGGCTTCACTAGAGATGTGTATGAGAGGGTAGCACGATGTACAGTGCGTACATTCATCTGTCACTCCTTCGTGTGGCTGACTATCTCAAAGGATTGGACGAGACATTCTCTGACCATCTTGAACACCCTCCTGCTCTCACCGAGACACGACACAAGACACATTTAGCGAGGAGCTCATAACATGTCGGCGGACTTTTGAAGGCTTCGAAGATGCATCGAGTTACCTGAAGTGGTGGCGTATGAGTGTCAACACGATAGCGCTGAGCTTTTACAAGGGGAGAATACGAATAGAGTCTCGAGATACGCAGGAAGAATTGAACTTATATTACCGAGTTGACACGGTCTCTGCACTTTATCTTAAGAAGTCTAAATCATGCAAGCCAATCTGAGATTGACTTCATTTTTTTTTACAGCGTCTTGAAGACTCCTCCAAAGCAAATTGCTGCGGTATATACGTATACATCTATACTGAGCCTTTTTAAGTCAATTGGGTCTGATACTAGGAAATGCCTTGAGCGATAGAGAAGAGTTCAAGTTTAAACCTTTTCGAGGTTTAGGCGGGAGTAGAGACAATCACGTGACTTGGTCAGGCATGATAATTTATCAAACTAGAAACACTAAGATGGCGGGGATGTTTTCTTGCACACGCCACATCTCTTATCTCAAGTCGCGAGCAGAGTTTTCTTCCTTGATGAGTATCTATGACGCTAGCATTGGTGGAGAGAACGGCAGAATGAATCAAAAGATCAGGTGGCAAGCTCTAGAAATGGTGCTTACGACATCATCTTGAAGCAGTTTAGTATGAAGGAATGATAGTAGGCCTCATGCGTGAAATATGCAGCCTTTTGTGGGACAATTCGAATGTCACGCCTCTTTCACTCCGAGTATCAGCAGAGGGCGAGGTCGAAATAGGCTCATGCAGGGCAAAGAGCCAAGCAAAACGGAATTTAGCACGCAGTGCAGTTAGGCTGGTGGAGAAATATATACGATGCTGCCGCTGGCGGTGTGGATTCTGGTCGAAGTAGCTTGGTGCGAATGGAGAGAGTCGGGGTCGTCGTGATGGAGATTGGCGATAATCTCGCGCAGTTGTTGGGATACAAATCAGGGGCAACTACGGCAATAGCGGCTTCCGGCCCACCAGCGCCTGAGCCCAATCAGCGAGCGCTGTGTACGCCGGCGGTGAAGAAGGGCAACCACACCATCCATCGCATTGCGCTGCAATCTTTGTCACGCTGCACTTGGTCCGTCCGCGAATTGTCAGTTGCCTGTCCTCAAGTCCCGTCCTCCTCCTCTCCACCCTCTCCCTCGCCCTCTCCACCACTCTCCGTACCTCCTGCGGCAGATCCTCTCTCCGCGCCTCGATATGGCGTTGAACGCGACCTTCGCCTCGCCCACGGCCGACGCCAAGTTCGCAATTGCCCAGCAGAATGTCAGTGGCATTCTCAACACCATTGCGAACGGCGCGAATGCCTGGACTATCGCCGCGACTCTGTTTCTGGCGCTTGTTGTGTACGATCAGTGTGAGTGCTTCCCCCGTGATCCGCGCTTCCCGGGAGCATGCTAACAGCTCATCAGTAAAGTATATTTCGAATAAGGGTTCAATAGCCGGCCCAGCGCTCAAGATGCCCTTCATTGGGCCATTCTTGGAATCCGTGAACCCCCAGTTTACCAAGTACCATGAGAAGTGGATGTCTGGGGAGCTGAGCTGTGTCTCTGTGTTCCACAAGTATGTTTACTGGACCTAGCAGCCCCTGTGCCCTTGTTGAAACCTATCTCTGACCATGTACCACTCTCAGATTCGTTGTGATTGCCTCCACCCGTGATATGGCCCGCAAAGTCTTCAACTCTCCCACCTTCGTAAAGCCCTGCGTTGTTGACGCTGCGTACAAGCTCCTCCGCCCCCAGAACTGGGTCTTCCTCGACGGCAAAGCCCACGTCGACTACCGCAAGGGTCTCAATGGCCTCTTCACCCGTCAGGCTCTCGAGACCTACCTTCCTGGCCAGGAAGATGTCTACAACACCTACTTCAGGAAATTCGTCGAGTACTCTCAGGTGCAACACGGAGGAAAGCCTACGAAATTCATGCAAGAATTCCGCGAACTCATGACCGCGGTCAGCTGCAGGACATTCGTCGGACACTACATATCCGACGCTGCCATGAAGAAGATTGCCGATGATTACTGGCTCATCACCGCCGCTCTAGAGCTCGTCAACTTCCCCATCATCTTGCCCTTCACCAAGACCTGGTATGGCAAGAAGGCCGCCGACATGGTGCTCGAGGAATTCAGCAAGTGCGCCGCGAAAAGTAAGGCCAAAATGCAGGCAGGCGGCGAGACAAATTGTATTCTTGACGGCTGGGTTTCATCCATGATTCAGTCCGAAAAGTATCGCCAGAGAATAGCAGCGGGCGAGAAGGTTGACGACTCGGAGAAGCCTTCGATGCTGATCCGCGAGTTCACCGACTTCGAGATCGCAATGACGCTTTTAACGTTCCTTTTCGCGAGTCAGGACGCTACTTCTTCCGCGACCACGTGGTTGTTTCAAATTCTGGCAGACCGACCCGATATCCGTGATAAAGTGCGAGAGGAGAACATTCGTGTGCGAGGAGGCGACAGGAACATGCCAGTCTCAATTGAGCTCCTGGAGACGATGAACTACACGCGCGCCGTTGTCAAGGAGACTCTGAGATATCGCCCACCTGTGATCATGGTCCCATACCTTACCAAGAAGGACTTCCCCATCACTCCAGAATACACAGTACCAAAAGGTGAGGGTTCTAGATTTGACTCCGCAATGTAAAAGGGTGTATGTAACTAACTATATGTTAGGCTCCATGCTCATTCCAACGACTTACCCCGCTCTTCACGACCCCGAAGCGTACCCCGACCCCGAAAGCTTCATCCCCGAAAGGTGGATCACCGGCACCGCCGAGGCGCAGGTTAAGAACTGGCTCGTCTTCGGCACTGGCCCGCATTACTGCCTCGGCCAGACCTTCGCGCAGCTCAACCTCATTCTTATGATCGGGAAAGCGTGTATGATGCTGGACTGGGAACACAAGATCACCCCCACGAGCGAGGACATTGAGGTGTTCGCCACTCTCTTCCCCGTGGTATGTATCATCCGTCTTTCATTTCGAGAAAATGGCAGCTAACGTATAGCGCAGGACCACTGCCTTCTCACCTTTAAGGACAGGCCGTAAACTCTTCAGCCCAGCGCATTCTTCCTACGCAAATTCTTCTTTTTTTGATCTACGGATCGAGCGACACTTACTTAATGAACGAGCTGCATAGCGGGAGTAATGTGCATATCTCTATGCCTCCCGCTCTTCTTCTCCTGTCGAATCTTTGGCAGACATTTATTCTATACCAGAGAGAGAGGCTTGCAGTTTATAGTGGTTAGAACGGTGCGTAGTGGTGGTGACGGGGAGAAGCTCAAGGCGGGAGGTGTAATGGGCATGTGCGTCGGAGCCGATGGCGAGGGCCAAGGGGGAAGGACGCTGTATATAGCCAACGGGGATTTGGATGAAGTAGGGAGGGATGGTGGTAATGGTATTGAAAGGTTGATGTTCATGAGTATCATTGTCTGACTGATGCGTCATGGAAGCTGTGTGGAAGCAAAGATGGTGAGTGCAACACTTCACTATTTCGAAATATTGGCCCAAGGGGGAACAATTTAGTTTTTGTTGTTGATTCTTGAAAATAGTGAAACCGATCCCGTCCATCCCCGCTACCATCCTTGCTTATACCGAAAAGAAAAACAGCCTGTTGTTGACACCGGCTTCACCCTGAACCCGGATCATTGACCTGAGGACGGACAGAACCCATCGCAGAATCGCTCCATACCTATCTAAACGCTGTGCATAACCCTAGGCTCTTGGTTGCCGCTTGAGGCGTTGTAAGACATCTTATCCAAGGGTCTGCCCACACCGTTATCGTCGCCATCTCGAATAGGTATGGATATCCATCAGTAAGGAGCAAGGAAGTGGAAAGACAAGCAGCTAGGTTACACCAACCATGCTGTTGACGTATTGCATAACACACTCCAGGTCATCCCTCTCTGTGTAGACGTCTTCCATATCAGAAGAGTCTTCATTGCTCAAGCCGTATGTGCATTCTAGGTCGACTGCGGCGCCGAAAGCGTCCCGTACGAATTTCACCGGTGGTGGCGGCGAGTTAGCCACTGCTTCTCCCTCATCCTCCATTCCTCCAGCGGTAGTTGCATTGCTAACTGTGTCCATGTCTTCGTCCATATCCTCTGGCTGTTGATCGTTAGACCTACTATGAACCACCGATTTTGTCTCCACTGGCTTCGTCTCCACCTCCTTCGTCTCGAATACAGAATGTCCATCGGCAGACTCGGTACAAGCAGCGATCTGCCACACACCGCGGCCTCTTCCGACGACAATCCCTTTGCTGCCTAGCTTTGCGCCATCCTTCAGCAGGCCGGTCCTCAACTTAGTCAAGAGCTCCACTACCTTGTTGGCATCAATAAGATGATGTACACGAAGCTGGATAGTCACGCTCTCAAGGCCTCGCATGCGATCAAGAAGGATAGGGACCCAGTCCTCCGCTGAAGGGCCAGGGGGCCTTGGGTGGAACACACGCATCTGTTCGGGAGGGGAGAATGTGGGCGTGCCCACCAAGTTGAGACCGAGATGTCGGAGCTTGAGCTCGCTTCCAAGCGTACGACAGAGCCTGAACTACTCGGCATTCGTTACGGCGGGGCTCAGGCGATCGTGCCTCGTCACGGATAGCTCCACGGCGCGCAGGTTGGCGAGTGCGGGCGTCGGTCTGTCCGCCAGCCAGGATGCAGCGACCTTGGAGGAGCATCCCTCGTGGAATCGGTGGGAGAAGGAGAAGGTATTCTTGGCATACAGCACCTCTACTGCTTCTTTATACAGCTGACGACAAGCTAGGAGGATATTCAAGCTCGGAGCAGGGCTTTGCGTAAGCTGTCCGTTGTGTCCCTCCCGGCCGTGCTTGTAGCCGTAGGTGTAAATGTTTTACTCTCCGTCACGCCACTCGTTCCACTTGGTACTGTCGCAGTCTTTGTAGGTTGAGGGAGCTTCCGCCCGTGCCTCCGCATGTCTACCGCCGCTCCATCCGCCGCCGGGTAGACTAGGGCCATGAGGAAACGGGAAAGGTGGATGGGGCTGCGGAAGGTGCGGCATAACGGCGAAGCGGTCCAGGAAGCTGTAAGTCGGCCCAGGGGATGGAGTGAAGCTCGCTATGTCTCTCTGGCTCCTCACTTCGAGTGGCTCGATGGTGACCTTGTCTTGTACGAGTGCGAAGTAATACACGCGGTCGCGCAGTTCGCGAGGGAGCTCGAGGAGGCGGAACGGCGTTGGGACCGGTGAGGCCCCGGGGTCGGTAGCCGTCGTGACATTCATGACATGCATGACACTCATGACATTCATGTCGGTACACAGCGATTGTGTTATCGTGGTGAAGAGGGATATAGGCTTGCTTTTCGCATGTAGGTGGGGGAGAAGTTCGGTGTGTTGGCTAGGAGCTGTCCACGGGTCCCTTCCATCATGCCTTGGCCGCGCCAAGGGGGTAATGGCAACGGTCCACGGTTCAGTCTTGCCAGCTTCCCATCTCAACCTTCATCGACCATCTCAACCACCTCACAGCCGAACGGGATGCCTTGATGGACAGGTGCAAGGTGGCACACCTCTATTAGTGAGTTTTCCACCATAGGGCACACCTCGTTATTCCTGGCTCAGGCACTGAATTACTGTTGAAGCAGATTGGCCATTATGGACGTGTTGGAACCCGCATCGACGCTATTTCATCAGCCTTCCCGCTTTCTGGGCCTTTCAAATGAGCTCATCGACATGGTGCTCGCATTATGCCTTGTGCATCCCTGTGCTATTCAGTCCCAAGCTCAAAATATCAATACAAATCCAGGCGAGCCGCTTTCAATATCACCTTCCCCGTCCTCTCCCTTACCAGCAGCATATGAACAGCAAAACGCCTCCGAGTCTACAGTCTCTCGCCAAAAATCAAAATTCCGAGGCTACGAGATTGTGCCCACTGGGTGCAGACAACGCAAATTATTAGCATCCGCAGTGTGCTCCTCTTGACATATCTTCTCGATAGAGATACAGTTGTTTCTTGTCAGCAGAGCGGTTTACGAGCACGCTCGAGGTGTCTTCTACTCGCGTAATACCTTCGAGTTCCGATGTTCGCTCCACAATGACATTCCGGGCTGGGCTGCCCTTCAATTCCTAAGGGATCGACCTGCTCAGTCGCTAAGCAAGATCCGTTCGCTATCGATTGGCTTTCTTACAATAACCAATAACTATCGTGGGTTGTTACCACCGATCAATCGTTTGGAGCGGATAGCGCTGTCGCGAGAACCTTCAGCTCAAGCATTCGACACTGAAAGGAGACATAATATCACCTGAGGTCCGCAGAACGCCTTCGAAGAGCGGCTTATGGCTCTGGCCGTCTGGGCATAATCTCGATGTTGTGAAAGGAGGAGAACTCTACCACTTAATACAGGTCTGGATGCAAGAAATTCTCGCTGTAGTCTCTCATGGCGGACTTTCGGGGCTCGAATTGGATTTCTGCTTGGGATATGCTCAGTCGCATCCCATCGGAAGGGATGTGGCATTTATGAAGAAGCTCAGGGCGTTACTTCTACCTGGTGCGCACGAGTGGGGAGTCAGTGTTTATCATCGCCATGAGGAAGGCCGCAATCGTTTCAAATGGCCTAAAGAGTGGAGAGTGTACAGTTTTGACGACAACAAAGGGCATTCTTTGAACCAAAAGCATGTTAGGCGCAGGCAAGATATGTGGTGGCAAAGAAGGAAACCGAGTGCAAAGACCGACGACCCGTCACGTACTGCTGCAGCAGACTTGCACAGTGGGAATACCAGCAGACAAAGCTCTTCTGACTCGATAGTGCCAAGCACTGATGCCCATCAAATCGGCTTCGATGGTGGAGATACTGGCCGTGGACAGCACTTGCTGGAACACACACTTGAGGACGACAACGCCTCCCATCACTCCGATGCCGGCGAAAGCTTATGGTACCACAGCGACGAAGGAAGCCATAGCGGTAGCGTACAAACATCTGAGGACGACAGCCTCTACCGTGACTCCGTTACTAGCCAAAGTCTATGGTACGACAGTGACGAAGGCAGCCATAGCGGTAGCGTAGTAACTAAGACACTAGCTTTCGTCGCCGGCCCAGAGACCTAGCTGATTAGTTGTAGGATAGTGACTTGAGTATTCATGGCTGGGAGCCCTATGTCGATCAAGTAGGTTTACAGGGTGATTGGCATTTCATCGATGCCGACTGGAGTAATTTCGATTTCGAGAATTGAAATTCTTGTCTGACGCGGAGTTCCCTATGGATGCAGCAGGATTAGAAGGGGGTGAGTGGTTTCCATGGATGATGGAGGACCTCGTCAAACATTGTAATATGCTTTACGCGGCATTGACTCGAAGCATGGACCCGACTGTTTCTGAAAGATCGATCCTAGTACAGATTGGGTTCCAGGACAGGACACCCTGTGAGCTATTCTTGTGGTCTAGTGTAAGGACACGGAAGTCGAATCCAACCCTAGAGAATTAGTGTGGCCCGAGTAGGATTATCGTGTCCACTAGCATCATTCTGTTTATTGGATTCTACTTCTGAGCCTCTTACGCATCTTTGTCGCGAGCCGGATTGTGGTGAAGTAGTGGATCATGAGCTAGTCTAAGTCCTCAATGCGCTGAGGTGCCTCATTCGCCCGCGCGTCGACTTCACTCTTCCGCTGACCACGTCTTTCCGCGTACAACCGTGTTTTACAACCAAGGGCAAGCAAACTCCGCCCACTTTGCCTGTGACTCATTTTCGACGATAATTGGTCTTGGCAGGGCCCTTTGCTAGCTTTTATCACTGCACTTGCCCAAGCTTGCTTTCTTGGAGCTTTCTCCATTTCTCCACCTCCACCAACGGCGCCGCTGAGCAAATCCCACATCGTGGAAGTCACATCACCATGGTCGAGCTTGCCCTGGCTGAGGAGGTCCTCAGAGCCGCTGACGGGCTTCCTCCGCTTCCTCTGCGCGTCTTCCTTGATGACAAGTCTGCGTGGTGTCCCGCGATCACCAAGCATATCGAGAAGAACGAGCTTCCACCCCTCCCCCAGACCTTCATCGCCGCAGGAGACCCACGACTACTTCAGCCTCCGACCTGGCGCGAGGTCCTACGAGCACAGTTGAATTGCATGGGAAATAGTACTCAGTTGAGCGACATTCGATTGGGACACATCAACCGCAAGGGTAAAGCTATTGAGACGGACTTGTTGACCATCGACTAGGATGAATAGAGAAACACTTTTCTAAACCCTAACAACAAACACTTCAAAGCAACGATACAATTAAGACTACGCGAAGATGGGGAAGACGAGGTCATGGAATCCGGCGAGCCTCCACAATGTCCGCCCGCCGTATATCAACTGTTCCGATTTCTTGACCTTCCCAGAGAACTGAGGGACCAGGTTTACCACTTCAGCCTTGTCAGGAACCGAATTGGCGTCCAATTCCACAACAAGGACAAAGCCGGAGAGCCCCATCCCAAAGCCGTCAATCCAGCACGAAGCCAATCAATCCATTTGGACTTCGAAGGCAATAACCCAGAGGTGCCCCAGCTCGACTTCCGCAACCAGCCTCGCGCCTACGACTACGAGCTTGCATCTCACTGCCAAGAACTGCGGCCCCACGAGAAGAAGGAACCCCGCGCCGACACCCACATCTTTCTGGTGAATAAGCAGGCGTATGAAGAGGCAACTGAGATGTACTATGGCAGAAACACATTCGAATTTAATCACTGCAGAGCGTCACTTTGGACGTGCTGGATACCCGTCCAATTCCTCATGAGCCTACCGGAGGAGTCTATGCAGAAGATTCGTTCCATGGACGTGTGTGCTCAGTCGAGCTGGGAAGATGATCGCGAGGATGAGCATAGCTTTCTGCCCCTGAACAAGATGCACCGGACCTCGATATGCGAGAAAATCAGCAGAAGTTTGCGACTGAGACACCTTGGCCTGCATATATTAGGGGAGTCTGTGGAGATAACGCCAGTCAAAGGGCAGGGCGCCTGGAAACCTCAAGATCCGGACAACCCGGACAAAGCACTAAAACTCGCTCAGCATCAACAGGCCGTGAATGAGCTCCTAGCATTGGTTACAGGTATCCAGGACTTGAAGATCCATTTCATATATCAAGGTCTTGTGCGCCCCGGAGTGGACATGCTCAGATACCTCCGCGCGAGTGTCTTGCCTGGATCTGAAAATTGGGGCATCAATGGTATACGCGTAAGGTGCAGGCACATCGGTGCCCATGGGTGGTATCGATACAAACAGGGAACGCGATGGGAGGTCATCAGCCACGACAACTACAAGGGAACATCACTACTCGTCAAGGAGCGCACTGATCCGAAGGACATGTGGTGGATCAAGAAGAAGCCAGCAGAAGCAGCCAGCGGAGCTGAGGACGATCAGACCGCCGTGGTCGACAACGGCATTCAGAATACAAAGAATACCGATGGACCCGCCGCTCTGGATCTCGACAAATTCAGCGTCGATTCCCGGGAGTCTCTCATCAGCATTCCCGCCGACCCAGTCGATGTTCATAGCCACGCCGGCAGCCGCGATAGTCTTGCGAGTATAACTGAGTGGAAAGACGGGTATTTACAAAGTTTAACGTGATATATCACTGCTCCGGCTCCACTCTTGCGCACTCAACAACTCCGTAAAGAGGACGCCACCTAGTGGGTATCAGCTTAATTGAAAGGTAGTATAATTTACACTGTATTGACCTTTACATCGTGTTTGGAGTTTCAAAAGCCTATCGGGGTATCCCAGGCAGTTGCAACACGTGCCCATGTTTAAATCTTGAAGCCGTACCTCCACGGGACAGCGGAAAATCAGAGCATCATAACTCTGAAGGTGTCCGTGTATACTGGTCTACCACTGCTTGGGGTGTGTACTTCCATGTGACTCCGAGGATGGGAGCAAGTTAGTTATCGAGATGACTGTGTATACCAGTCTACGACTGCTTGAGGTACCTCCACGGGAGTTCGAAAATCTGATTAGATTGAAAAGCTTCATGCGCCTAATACCGAGCTGCTTGATAGACATGTTAATAGTCTAGAAGCGTAGCACCGTGGAATTTGAATCGTTCCCAGTCTTCACTATTCATTTCTCGGATCCCCTTCACATTTCCCTGGTTCACACTGACAAGTACACGTATCAACCGCCTTCACAGAGTCATCCCCAAGATCGCCCCATGAATCTCGCAGCTCCACCCTCCCTCATTCCCGTTCCCAAGAAACCTGCAACCACATATATCACATCCATACATAACTCCATGCAAACTCCCATCATCATGGATTCCACCCTCTCCCCCTCCCACCCCACCAACCCCCCCTCAAAGCCCTTCCCCCCCCCCCCCCCCCCAAGCTCCGCCTCCAAATCTACGAAACCGCCTTCAAAAGCGCCCACCCCATCGGCATCGTCCCCTGCGCCGAAAGCTGGGCAACCGAACCCCCCACTCCACCCCCAGCCTGCCCTCACGCCTCCCATTTGCGCTATTGCTGGCCAATAAGCAAATCCACGCCGAGGCGAGGGACATAGTCTACGGGGTTAACACGTTTGCGCTCCGGCGACTAGTGGCTGAGGGCCCGGAGGGGTGGCTGTGTCCGGCCAGCGTGGGAAGCGTCTTTTTGCGGAGTGTGCCTGTGCACGCGATACGCTCGCTGGAGATCCATTTCGGGGCTGTGGGATCTGAGCTAGCGCCGGCGGAGGGTGGTGAAGTGTAATGATGTGAGGGAGAGGAAGGCGATAACTCTGTTAGAGGTGGATTTGACAGAATGGGGACGATTTAACAAATCGTACTTTAGCATAGAGGATTAAGATTGAGATATTTTCAGTTCTTGAGGAGTTTAAGACAGAATAGAACATCGTACACCAGACTCGGATCGTTTACAGGAGCAAGCATTGAAGAGACAGTAGTCCGGCAAGGTACCGAGATGGCCCAAGTGATATACCTTGTTCCAGAAGTCGAAACTATATCGGTGCACGCCCAGCTATACTCTCTGGATAGAGAATAATGGGAATTCACATCTCAGGAGAAGGACGCAGGTCGATGTCGACCTCCGCGGAGAGCCCGAGCGCCAGAATCATTGCTCATGCCGTTATGTCTGCTTTCGCCAGGAGGAGAACGCAGATATGATGGGTGCGGAGATGGAAATTCAAAAGTAGCTTGGCAAGAATTTGAGGGGTGCCATGTAGCAGCGATAGAGAAAGTTACACAATGACGGAGTGGTGTACCTACGGGGATAACTTATGCACGTCTCCGATCTACCCGCAGGCCCGCTCAACTTTAAAGCGCACGCATCCGGTGAATGATCGGAGTTTCCATCAAGTCACGTCTTTGCCGCCGCTGTATGACAGAAGTTATGTCATATCCGCGGACTGCCGGCAGCAGATGCGCTGGCGGCGTGCGCCAGCTTCTTCAGCAGTCAGTCTTCGAAACGCATGAGGGCCAGAAGGGCCAATCGAAGCTGCAACGAGATGTCCGCGATCAGCCCCACCTCAGACGGCGAGAAATGGTGGTGTTGAGGCCTGCCCCGCGTGGATGACGTCAACAGCGAGGCCTCCTGCGTCTAAGCCAGCCTCAGCAAAGCAGCATTGCAAATCACCCGATCACCTTGATGCATGTGCCCTTGTCTGATGATAGCCGTCGAAGCCGATGAGCAATAATGCGCGCCTTCCTCTAGGCCTTCCGCGTCGTTCCTGAATCCACAAAAGTCTTCCTTCCCTTTCGCTGCCTTAGTACGTGCTTTGCAAGCAGCCTTCATCGCATACATCAACAAAGCTCCTCGCTGCCTTCTCTCCGTCTCTCCATCAACATACATTATCCGCTTTGTATTGTCTGAACGGTAGCACGGCGCCGCATCCATCCATCCACATCCGCTGATACATTTCTACCCTCGTGTCAACGAAATCGGTGCATCTGTTAATCTGCACACAACCGCCGTTTCGACAACTTTACGTATCACCATCGACCGCTGAAATGGCTGTGATTTGGGGCCTCGACCTGCGTGAGATCCAATGGTGGAAGTTCAAGGGCTCTTACATGTGGAACAACGAATATCACCTGCGGCGAACGAAGTTCATCGTCTATCAAATCGCCATGATTTTCTGCGTTGTCTCGGAATCCCTCGGCACAGCTGCATTGTCAGGTATGCTTCTCCCCCCTCACCTACGCGCACCTCTGCCACTTTCCGAGGTGCCTCAATCTTTCAGATATCTGACGCTCTTTTTATTTCAGACTATATCGACCAACAAGACTATGTCGAGTCGAGAAATCCAGGCACCATCTTTCTTCACAATGACGACTTCATCGGCGCGGCCTCGTATAACATTTTCGTTGGCGTCTTCGTAGCTACCATATTCGGTGCCGGCTTCTTCTTCGATCTCTTCTGGCCCGAACGACATGAATCCCGCCCCGTCAAGCTGGCATGGCGTATCTGTGCCATCCTCGCCTCCATTTTCGCCCTCTCGACCGCCCTGACGTTGACGATAATCGTTGCGACGCATGAAGTAGGCGTAACTGGGCCTAATAAGGATCGGGGAAAGGCCGAGGCGAAAAACCGTGGACTGACTCCCTTTGAATACCGCAAGAATGGGCGTGCAATTGCGAGTGTGGTGTTCATCTGGCCTGGATTCCTCGGTACAGTGGCAAGGTAATTGAACATTCCGAAAGCTTACCAAGCTGCCCTAGACAGCATCCAGGGACCTTGCTAACGCGCTCATAGTACCGTTTTTCTGTGGACGAGCTACGCTCACAATGAAAAATTCGGCCCCAAGTCAACCCACGCTCGTGGTGAACCTTCCCCCAAAGACGTCGAGAACGTTGAGATGGAATAAGTCAGGGATAGTCTTTTAGTTTGATGATGCTGTAATGGGAAAAAAAAGGGCTGTCTACACTTGCCTAACACTGTCTGAATTGCCCGATGCGATATGAATGATTTGGACGAAATGGGTTTGAACAGCCCGTGAACTGGCAAGGCCGCCTCGGGACGACGTCGAATGAGTCTATACAGCCTCCTGTAGAACCGTAACCGGGACTCCATACGAAGAAGTCACGGCTTTCGATATTTCCGCTTGCCGCCGTCGGAAATTCCCTCCAGCACTTTCGGTTTTTTCCCCAATACGATGCCAAATCCTCGAGCACGTAAGCCGTGCACACCTTCCTCCTCCAATTCTGGACGAACGTCACATCCTCGAGCATTCGAAGCGCACGCAGCTCAATTCCCAGCTCTTCAGCTATCCTCCCACCCTCAGTACCTGCCGGTCTAATTACAAAATTCTCGAATACCCAGATCGCACGTCCATTCTCTTTTTCGGGGAAACCGGATCCCTTATCCTAAACCAACTGGTCTTGCGATCCGACCGGCCCCCGAGATCGACTAGCTTTATTCATCTTCTTCCTTGTAAACCAGCTTCGGATGCGCTTGGTCGATAGATACGAAAGTGGAGAAAGAGACGTACTGTAGCATTGGGACTGCCGGGGCGACGGGGCACGGCTACATACTTGTAGGGCAGGGTTAGAAGTGGGAGTGGAGTGGGAGCACGGGTGTTGCTGACAAGAAAAAAACGGAGGCAGGAAGGATGGTCAAACTGCCCGCGCGGGCGAGAGAGAAAACAATTTCATTATCTTTGAGGTCCTTAACTCGGCGCTGTTATGTGAGAGTAGCAAGAATCGCAACACACACGACCATCTTGCTTGCGCGCACCATGCCAACCAAAAAAAAAAGGCAGCCTCGTGAACCCCATCAAGACCTCCGAAGCCCTTTTACCAAACACGGGCCCGGCTCCCGGGATTTCTCTCAACGCTGCTTTTAACCCCCAATCCCTGCCCCCAACCTAACCCAACCAACAAATCCTGCCAGTAATCACTCCACGAATCGGCCATTTCGGGGTAAATGCAAAACTTCTCGTCGCAGAGACAAAACGGCCTGCGCCCCCCCCAAAAAAAATATAGTCAAATTTAGCTGACTGCGCTAAATCACAGTACGTATCCCGAGGCACAGCAACAGAAGGGAGGGTAAGTAAGTCACGTTCTGCCGCGTGGACTTGCGCGAGCGCACTACTACATATTTGGCTGATGGTGATGTGATGATGAGGCTGGCTGAGCTGGTGGAGTTGCGCGGCTGTTTGTTCCGATGCCTGCTATTCAACGAAGGCTGCTGCTGCTGCTTGCTTGCCGGGCGAGTACATTTACTTTCTGAGTTTGCTAGAGGTAGGGATCGGGGGGAGCTCCGCCTTTAGTAGGACTCTCTGAATCGCCAAATGCGACGACGGGGCCAGCTTTTGCGCATGGAAGCAGCTCCGAAGCATGCATGCACGCACGCGCCTAGTGGCGTGCGGGTTTGAGGCTGAAAGAAGCGAGCAGGGGGGGTTGTATTTTGGGCTTGGGCTTGGGCTTGGGCTTGGGCTTGGGCATGGGCATGGTGCATGCATGGATGGCTCAACACGTGAAAATATCGACGGACGATCAGGGCGAGTCGCCGAAATCTTCTCAAGTGTCCGACGGGGAGGACGAGGTAATGACGGCGAGCATGTGCATTTGCCTACGTAACGGCCCAGACGGCTTTCTTGAGCTCCGTTTCCCTTCGTGCTTCCCTTTTGTTTCTGCTGCCTGTCGCCGGGCTAGCGGGTGACGTGAAACTGCCCTCTGCTGAGTGTCCAAAGCCCAATAACGCTTTCTGATCGTGAGTCATGCTTGTTGAGCGCTGCTGGGCGCGTATTCAAACTACCCGTCTGTCTGACATTGTCCTTACGATGCAGCCTGGGCCTGCGATTTCTACGAGCTGGGGTGGCAGGTGATGTGTTAGCTTGGACCAATGTGGGAAGCAGACGGAGACTTCGGAGTGTGATTGGGGAGACGGGGATTTAGGGGCAGCGAATGACGACAAAAAAGAAAATTAAGACGAAAATACTCGCGACACATCTCGCGAATTATCTGATGGATGACGCTAGCAATAGACGAGCACGTTCCGGTGACTCGAGAGCTGAGGAAACGGGTGAAGAGAGTAACGTATAGCGTACCTTCTCGTGCCAGCTTAGCAGCACGCTCATTGCCTGCCCACCTCCCTCGCTGCCGCCGCGCCCGTGGACTTGTGAAAAGCCGGTCGCCTGGGGTGTGATTTGCTTCGTTGCGGTTGCCGAGCTCGAATGTCCCATGCCTTTGTACCTGTGAGAGCAACCAAGCGTCAGCTCTACCAAGTTGAGTGATATCAAGCGACTTGTCCAACGCGGGATACGAAACACTGCGGACAGCTGCTTGGGCCCGAATGGCGGTATGGAGAGCAGGATCACGAGAGATCTGTCCAAGTGTGCAGAACGGGGAGCGCGTACACATATTTCATCAGGACATCCAACGCCTCCGTTCCACCATCTGACTGGTATATACGACTGAGGATTGGTGACATCTCCGACTGCCTGATGGACTGGAGGATCTCGATAATGGTGGCTAGGTGGACGTCCTATTGGTCCGGTGAAACCGTCAGTCAGCCCTGTACTCTGTGTGCGTGTTTCTGTGCCTGCGCATGCCCACGCTGCTGGCGCCCCTTCTGCTCCCAGAGGCCCAGTAGCAGTCGTATTCACGAGGGCACAGTCCCAAAGACATCAGACATCCCACAGTCCGCCCGCTGCTATGGGCTGGGGTGGAATGGCGACGGAGTACACACCTTGCCCCTCTCATCAGCACCGTACGGCGGGTTCTCCAGCGCTCCCCTCAGCGCGCCCTCGCTGTCGCCGCCCCGCAGCAGCTGCCGGATGTGCCCCGCGAGACTCTGCACATCGGCTGTCGAGACGGGCGCAACAGCGGGCGCGAGCGAGGTGAGGTCGAAGTTGGCGGGGGAGTCGGGGTCGAGGGCGTCGATATTGATAGTGCGCCAATTGACAGCAGCCATGGTGGCGGCGTCCACTATATTGGTGCGAGGCAAGGACGGACAATCAGAACTGGGCGGCAGGGAGCGATCGGTGGCTGTCCGCGGGCGTTGGGTGATGGTGGAAGTGAGGTGCTGCTCACCTGCTTGAGGTGGGGGTTTCTCCCTCCACGCCAAGGCTCCGGCAGGAGAGAATGCGGACGCTTAAGTGGCGCAGCAAGGGAGACCACTCCCTTCAGCGGAAAGACAGTAGATGGGGAGGGGGCTGCAGAGTGCAGATGCGCATTGCAGCCTATCGTAACGCCTTCGGCACTGATCCGCGACGCCATGTACCACAGCCCGCCACAGCGGGAGAGCATTCCCCGATTTGGGCCAATAGAATGTTTGGAGAATGTGAAATCTGATTGTGATTAAGGTAGTCTATTTTGCAGCCCCAGCAATGTCTAACGATACACAGGCCCGACCAGGCACCTCCAGCTCCGAAAACGTCAGAGCGTCAATCCCGTCACCGCTCAGTCGAATGGCCGCCCGACGAGCCATGTCTGGGTGCGCCAGTGGCACCCACCAACCTCGTCGACAGCTGCCGAGCTATATAGTACAAGTGATCCATGCCCCAGTGCAGCGCGAGCCGCAGGCCATGGAAGTCTACCCAATGCTTGCAAAAAGAAAAGAAACAATCCGATTTTTTGGTATCCCTGTGCCTGAGCCGTCCTGTCTAAAACGCCGCAATGAAATTTTTTGAGCCGCAAGGAAAGGTGTCGCTAAAGGTGCTGATGGAGGCAAGGAGAAACGTCGCTGAGCAAACTAGTGATACAGGGGTGTCGATATGCCAGATGTTGAGCCGTAAGCAAAGCCGGGATGTGCAAGAGAAAGTCGCAGATGGTCGCTCGTGAACGCTGACGGGTATTAGGCGCGCCGAGATTAATAAAGAGTCGCTCGATATTAAAAAGCGTAATCGGGAGAACAGCCGAGGTGAATATGCGGAAGGTGCGTAGGATGCGAACGGGCGAGGTGGTGGTGAGAGAGCCGGGCGCACGGGGGCTGCCGAATAATCAGTCAGGGCGCTGACGCATGCAAGGTGCGGCGTGCCGGCCTGCTACTTACATGGCAAGAAATTCCATCCCTCTGCTCGACGGACACCGGGCGAAGGCCGTGGTACTCTGGCGATGGCGAGCGTGTCGGCTGGAGGCGAGGGGCGTCGTCACGGGAAAAAGCAACCATGGCCACCGTGGGCGGTCGTTGAGGGTGCGAGAAGTGGCTATCGTCGCTTCGGCGGCGGCGGCGGCGGCTTGGGCGTGCCCGTGGTATCGTAAGCACCGCGACCCATGTTGAGAGAGACGGTTGCCCGGAGTATCATAGCGGTAGCGAAGAGCGTGGGCGCGAGGTCCTTTATAGAGGTCAGTCGAGCGCTCGCGATGCGGTCAGCTTATGCAGCCGGCGATGTGACTCACGGAGTACAGCAGCACCGAGGACGGTGTCGCGTCAGAGCAGGCTACAGACGCAGTGCGCAGAGCTGGGCAGCTGTGTGCGAGGCGCGACAGCGGCGAAAGCGGCCAGACAGCTGGGGCTGTGGTGACAAAGCGAGCAGCACAAGTCTCGTGTTGGTGGAGCGGTGGCAGGCGAGGTCGTGAGCGGCAGAGAGTGCTACAGCCGGGCAGCCTCTTGCGAGAGTGTTGGGCAGGGAGGAGAGAGGGAGAGAGGGAGATGCAGAGTGTGGATAGGGAGGAATGCGAGAGCTGCCGTGGGCGCGGCGGGGATATATGTAAGAGCTGGGCCGTTAAGGGGGAGCCAAGCGGCGAGACAGGTGAAATTTGGCCAGTGTCCGTGTGCTTCAGAGGCAACATTTTACATGACGTGCCGGGACCGACGGCGGCCTGTTTCACACTCACTCTCGCAGCCTGCCTGCACGGATCGTCCGTCCCAAACGAAAGGGTTGCCCTGCACACCCTGCCGGCGCTGCACGCTAGCGCCGTACCTGCAGCTGGCGCTAGAACCACTGAATCCGTGTTCCATGGCCCGCTGCGCCCGGCCGAGCTTCCACGTTGCCGTGCTGAGCGCGCCCGCCCAGCGCTGCTCGCTCGCCGCCAGGCCGCAGCCTGCGGAGGCCGCTGACGGCGGTGATGCCGCGCGAGAATGGCCGCCGTGGCCAGACGACGAGCCTGCGTCTCCTGCGTCTCCTGCGTCTCCTGCGCCTCCTGCGCGGCCTCCCCAGGCCGCAATCCGCCCTGTTTGACTCGCCAGAAGGGCCAGGGAAGCGCCTCCAGCCTGCGGATGCCTTCCCCGTCGGGCCCACTCCAGCTGCCTGGTAAGCTCCATCGTCCCAACCCTCGGGGACGGAGTCAGGCGCTTTTGCTTTTGGCGGATCTATCTCAACGACGCCCCCGTTTCTTTTGTCTCTCAGCCAGCGCCCCCCGGCGTGCGCGCCCCCAGCACTTGATAGGCGCAGACGCCGTCTGATCCACGTGGGATATCTTCACTTCCCACGACTCTAGCCTGCGTCCCGCTGTGCCGACCCGCGGCCTTTGCCCGTCGCATCGACGTCCTCCGTCGTCGCCGCGCGCTCCAGCACCCTATTGTAATGCCACCGCTGGCGGACGCAGACCGATTCCCCGTTGCGATGGCGATGGCACGGCGGCGCTGAGGCCTCCACGACGACTCTCGCACGCTCAGGAGGCTCACCGGCGGCACAATTCCGTGAATTACTCGCGCCGCGTTAATGGCTTCGCTTGACTATTTCCTTCTGGAAGGAGTCTGGAAACGCGTTTGATCTTCCTGCTGGCTGCGGACCTGCATCCGCGCCCACCCCCCTGCGTGCGCCTAACGCAACACGGAGGAGCAAACGCGCGACTGCATGCGGCCCGCATCCGTGTCGCTGACTGCTCATAGTGGCATTCAGCAGGTCATAAAGAGAGGGTGAAGCTGCCGTGCAGGTTGCCGTGTCACATTTGCCGCTTCGCTCGCTCCCGACGACCTGGCTGAGCAGTCTCTCGCTACACCTCAAACATGTCGCATTTAGAAACAGGATGGGCACTGGATCAGCATGGCCCTGCAAGCCTTCCGCGCCGCGCTGCACTACAGCTGGCGGAAGTGCTTGCGATGCTTCCGTCCCAGCGATTCCCTGGTCCGGGATGTCCATCTAGCGTTCCGCCGTGGCACCAGAAGCAGATGTAGCAGGATGCGTGAAGCGTATTCTCTGCCCGTCCGCGGCTGGCAGGGCCCTGGGTGGACTCTCGCATGTCCGAGACGTTGAATCAGGGCTCGGATCCTAATATGACATTGCAGGCGAATGCGCTGGCAAGCAAGCCGGACACGCAGCCTCCGGGCTTCGCGGTGATGTGTCACATTGTTGCCGCACTGCCCAATGTGAAAGCATAGGTAAAGAAAAGGGATGAGTGTGCGGCAGCCTCGCTGACTCTCACAGAGCGGCAGCATCGACTAAAAGCGGGCACCAATTTAGGCCCTTTCGACATGCCACGATCGACTCGCACCCTTCAGCTGAGATCCTGACAGGGGCCGGACAGAAGGACAGTAAGACATGTCCTCTGAAGGCGGCTCTCCGTGTGGTCACCATGCCCATATTGCGTCGCGACCGCACAATAACGATACCATTAATGGCTGTTTCGCAGCCGTCCGCCAGTGTCTGCCACCTCCCCCAGACGGCTCCGTGTCCGCGTCGCGGCAAGGGTAATGGAGTGAGGGAGCTCGGCGCCGTACTAAGTCAGGCCTTCCATCGCAGTATAGGCCGGGCTGGCACTCTGCACATGCGGTGCGACCTGCAGCCGGGTCGCTGTGCTAGTTTATACTGCCGTGTTATGGGCCATCTCCACATTCAAGGCTGCGGGGAGACCGGTACGGCGCCCTAAACAGGCGTCTGCAGTAAAACCAATGGAGCGGAAGCGAGGCAGGGCTTACACGTGGAGGACAAATGGCAGTGGAGTCTCGTCGTGCAGGTTGCAGAAAGGGGGTTTGCTGGGACGGCGGCGTAACGTGGGCTCGCAGGAATAGCCCCAGCCGTGTTCCACGCGGCCTAATTAGACCACGCCTTGCCTGATCGGTCCCGTGAGCAGCGTACAAGTTCTGTGACCTCTCTCGCGTTCCGTTTGCGGCTGTTGTCGACGATTCGGCTGGTCAAACGCGCCGCAAGAGGTTGCCCAGCTGCATCGTGAAAACGTTCCACTGCCGCCACGGCTTTCGTCTGGCTTCTCTCACAAGCCTGGCCGCTGTTCTAGTGAAGTTCTGCCTGTCTCAGCGATCTACATCTGTGTTTTTGGCGCCGTCGTGTGAGGATGTCGGGTTTGGATGAGATCGCCAAGATTATCATCCTCTAAGCTCTTCCTTGATGTTGCACCGTCACCAAACGACGTCAAGTATAATAGCCGGAAGAAGCCTCCACGGGTGCTCCACTCTATCAACAGGGTACTGGAATATTTGTAACTCCACACTGTGAATTGGGACAGAGTCTGCTTCCTTTACATCATTTTTCGCTTGGCTGGCTCTGAAGTGCACCGAACTACTTATCTTAGTATCAAATTAATTTGCCAAGCCTATCTGTTTACGAAGCCTTGGAGACACAGTGCCTGCGATGCCGGATATTTCACGGTATCGCTCGGCCCGAGGACCAGGCTTCGTTCATTGTACCACCTACGGCTATCATCCTCTCATCCCATGGTTGACCCAGCATCACAGCAAGAGGCATGCTGTGAACTGCTTCCCGTCCTTGAAATGCTACCCTTCGGCAGACTGCGTCATCTCAACGCTCGAGTCTGCTGCGGATTCGTGCATCCATCCAAGATAAAGGGAAGCGGGACATGGATTCGCTGCGGACGTCAGCGTAAACGGTCACCTAGCCCATGCACATGGCCCGCCCGTTGATTTGTAGACCCGAGTTCTCGATGACCTTGTGGTAGCTCACCGGTGGTAGTCCAGCGGACCCGACAAACACACCGCTAATGCAATCCTCTGCGCAACCTTGCTTGGACCTGACCCGAGAAGCCAGTTGATCAGCAGAGGGATCAAGCCTCCAATATGCGCCATTTAGGTACGCGGGCCTGCCATTTGTGGGGTGAGGGCAGTCCCAACGGAATTTTTGGACCCGGGTCCGCATCCGCAAGGGGCAGACCAACAGACGCCATGCAGGAACAACGCTTTTCGACGCTCCTTGCAGCCGCTTGGACTTTGCTGCTGCAACGTCAAATCTGACGTTGCCGGCGAACGGGACCCATGCGAATCCCTCCAGGTGACAAAGTTGCATTGAGCCTGGCACTCAGGCCAATCCCTGCCCCGGGGAAGCCCGCCAGACGGCACACACAGCTTCTCATCTCAGCTGCGCCCGTGAAGGTGATACAGCGCTTCTATCGCGGGCGACAGGCCACGACGCTGCTTGAGAGGATCCGCGATGGGAAGGAGGGAAGGGAAGTTAAGCCCTCAATGGGCAGCATCGGTGAACGCAGGATGGGGTGGCGCTTGTCATCATCCCACTTGAACCCCCATCTTGTTCCCGTTTCTAGAAAAGTCTGGCGGAGAACACTTCCTCCCCCCACGCGCGTTTGAGCCGTTTCAACGTGGAAAAGCAACAATGATCAGCGCGGACGGTAGGTAAGGCTGATTCTGAGACGATGTGGCAGGCTAAGAGAGACGCACTTACGAATTTAGAGAGCGATATATTAATCCGGTGGTCTGACTGGCTGCGTGGTGAGAAAGGAATATTCGCAATTTGACACAAAACAGCACACCACCACCCGGTCGAAGAGGCGAAGGACTGGAGGAAGCGGGATGGAAGCGGGTGGTATCTGTTCAGCAGGCACCTGCCATGGTGGCGGAATGACTCTGAGATGTTAAGATAGCAAAACCAAAAGAAATACAGGATTGAACGGTGAACTTCAAGCGACCTCGTTACGAAGAATACACTTGATCAGGCAACGAACCGATGTCGTCAAACTAACATGTAGATCGTGATCTTCACTCGCAAAGTTCCTCGCTTGAGAAAGGTGCATGCGAATGCGCTAGGAATGCCTCGACTCTGGATAGCCTCAGCACTGAAGGTCTTCTCACGTGTCCACTGAACCACCAGATCGCAAAAAGGAAAACTGCCCACACATGACACTTAATTAAGTTATATCGTAGCTCGTGATATATTCTTTATGCATCAAAGCTTCTTCCTGGCAACAAGAAATAGTCAAACACTGATAGCATCTGAAGTAGTGGTGAAGTGAATGCGCCCACCAAACGTCCGAAAACGCCAAAAAAAAATTTATGATGAGTTGATTTCATCGGGAATTGAGCCCGATGCGGGGGTCGAACCCGCAACCTTGAGATTGCAATCGCTGCTAATAGAGCTGTGAATAAGAGTCTCACGCTCTACCGATTGAGCTAACCGGGCGAAGTTGACGGCCATGAAAATTGGTGCATATATATATCAAGTGGTTGATAGGAGGGCCAAACGATACTCAAGCATCGTGATGTGTAGATTTCTATTACTCTACGTTGTACAAGTGGAGTTTGCAGAGTTTTTTTTGGTACCAGGATGTGCGATGTGGGGTTGGGAAAACTCGGATCTGGGTGGCGTTCGAGATGGGTCACCGCAATACCTTTCGTGAGTACGGCCCTTACATGCTGCAATCCCGGAGACTTTATGTTCAATAAACAGCAATACTTTCATTATACGTAGATGCAGTAAGGGATGATTAAAACTTGCATCTCGAATAGCTGCAAAGAGGCCCTTCTGTAACGCGAGGGACTTTAGGTACTGCGGTATTATTCCACATCTCCGGACTTTCCCAAATAGACACCTTCATCAAGAAGCTGTTAGTATCTAGGTACTTGCTTCAAGTAACACTGCATCCTATAAACAGTTATATCAAGTAGTATCAATGACTAGGTCCACTCCCTCTGGATCCACTTCCTGTCAAAGCCAAAGAATTTTTATGTCATTTTGATCTTGAAAAGTATATCGAAGCGCCTTGAACAGCAAGTAACATATGAGTATGAACATGACGGTGCTCTTATGTTGCTCTTTGCTGTTTCGTAAGGGTTATGGCTGTTCGCCCTAGTCTGTGACTATTTCGGGCGATTAATATGAAAAGCTCCCCTGAGAATGCAAATACTCGTTGACAAGATTTCCCATACTCCTAGTATCACAGATTCGCGAAACTACTTACCTGTTCCTCCATCAGAGCGCCAATTTTCCTTGCCAATCGTCCATCAGTCCTTCTGTGGCCGCCCCGGTCATCACACTCTTCTGAGGATTCGAACCTGAACACCACTTCCGTTGACATAATCTCTTGCTCTCCTCCGTTTCTTCGTAGTGCTCGTGGTCATTCAAAGCTCACGGGTTTACAGTTTGAACACATTTCCGAGTAACCTATGCCTATAGTTGCGGCCGCGATTGCTGGAAGGGTAGGTAAAGCCTTGTAAGTCGCGTCTGACTGCGCCCTTCAGTAGATTACTAGCGTCGGCCCGTGGCTTCTGTACTTCTTCCTGCAAAGGTGTGGAACTATGGGAATCGAGTACTTGTTGCAAATGCGCAGCTTTAGTGAATATATATATAAGAAAAATAATGCTCTCGATTTACTCGCAGCGCACTTCTCAGTAATTGGGAAGAATGGATCATGAAAGCTTGCTTGTAACAGCTTGGTGCTTCGATACCTTGTCAACATTGTAAAGAGATGATGATTTCTCACGATGACGAATTTAGAGGCTTCGAACACTTCCAACAGACTCATCTCGATGCTGCTAGACGCGCTCTACCGAATTGTCAGACAGCTAAAAGGAAAGTAATATGAATAGCAGAATTCTAGATTTAATGTATCATATATGCCCCCTGAATGACGCCTTGATAAGATCAAGAAAAAGTTAGGTAGATGGCGCTTTTATGACGTTGTCTTGATTACTTCGACAATTCTCCTTGCCAACCCGTTTCCAGATTGAAGGTGTCATCAAGGTGCTTATGTGCCCCTAACAGTGGCGAGATGCTGTGGGGAGGACTGGGATGGAAGGACGTTGGGAGGGAGATCTAGCCTTCTTGGCGTCCCCTCGGATTTCTAGCGCATCAGGTTCCAATCACCATCTCCTGTCGCAACGACTCAATTCCACGCCTCGACCAATGCACCGGACAGCCAGGACATGTGCTTCGACATCCGATAGCCCTCACTCCCAATGCACCCGGCCGCGACAACAGTGCTCCAAAATGTTGCTCAGCACGCGCATCTGTTCCTCCCCTTCATCCTCCTCGCCGCAAGCGTGTCCACCGCCGTCAACACGCCAGAACGACACTCCCTCCTTATAACGAGCATATCATGGACCTTGGTGTGGATTCTGAGCATAGTTCGAGCAGGAGTGTTCGCAGGCCTGGACAGTGTGAAGAGGAAAAAGTCGTGTTGGGCTGCGGGAGTGCTGCTCGCATTAGCCCAGATCTGTGATCGAGCTGCCCGCGACCGAGAAGGAATGTGGTGGGCGCAGGTTGGCGACACTTTCGCTCTCTGCATTCCGCTTGCTAATTCAATGTCCAGGCCTTTCTTCCCGGCGTTGTCTACTTTCTACTCGAGACCGACCTATGGACTAAGACTGGAATTGTCCCCGCCTTCATCCCTCTCGGAGACCATACGATTGACAGTCAATCCGGCACAGATAAGAGCACCGGTGCCGGGTCTTCGCGCCTGATTTTCGTAATTACAGTAACTGCTGCTATTGTGCTCCGCACTCCCTACAACACGGCCCCCACGTCTGCTCTTGGATTGAGTACCGTTATATTCACAGCCACGGGCCTGGTCTTCTTTGAAAATGCCATAACTAGCACGAAAGATGCTGAAAAGGCTAGTAGTAGAGGCTTTGTCTCTGCTAATGGCTCTTTTTCAAGGCGAGAATCTATGAGTGGCGCGAGGCAGAGTCATTACTTGACATCGTTGAGAGATGTCGCAATTGTCATGGCCGTAATAACCGGCATCGCAACCTTCGTAATGGAAGATTTCAGGACAGACGTTTTGACATGGAGTCCTGACATCTGGGACTTGAAAGGAGGCCGTGAAGATTGGAGGGGAGTCCAAACTCCCGGGCTAATTATACGACAATGTCTGCTCATGATCACCGTCAATGCGCTCAAGACTTTTCTATTGTTTGTAACGGTATGCTGACCTCTTCTTCTTCTAAAACCATGTGTGGCTCGCAATGCCTCCATGATGCCCAGTGCGGCGGTGCTACCTCGTGCCCGGAACACAATAGCGGGGGACTCACGATCTACTCTCGGTTCCTCTAGGTTGTTTGCTACTAGTGACAAGAACTCTCTTTTTTCTAGCTTTTAACGAAGTTCGCTAACACTCGTGGACTGCTTGTAGCTTCATCACCAAGGAGCTCTTCGGACAGCTTTCATCGCTGTGAGCTCTTGCCTCATTGCCCGCTTGCATGTGGGAGCATCATTTTCAGGCGTCTGGTTCACGATTATATTTGGGGTCACGGCGATCTTGTTCCTGTTCGATCCATCGTCTTCATCAAACGTGTCCATCGATCGTAGAATGACGATGCGAGCTAGACGCCTCCTCTTCTTGCTCATATCGGTGTCTCTTCTCGTCTTCCTTGCGAAGGGCCTCTACAGTAATGCTGCGTTCAGATCAGGGGACTCTACGGACCCACTAAAGACTGTGTTTGACTTGCCTCCCGAATCACCGCTCGGGCCAATTCCTCTGGACACCAAAATTGGCCATCCGATTGACCAGCTCATCAAATCGGCAGAAAAGGACTTTCAGGATCTACAAGACCGACAATCGAAATCCCTGGCGGCAGCAGTCACAGAATATCGGCGTAGATATGGAGTTCCACCTCCGCCAAACTTCGACCGTTGGTACGAGTTTGCGCAGAGGTCCGGAGTTGAGCTGATTGACGAGTTTGACACAATTCAAGAATCGCTTCTCCCGTTCTGGGCGCTGAAGCCATCGACTATTAGGGCTCGGGTAAGAGAGGCTTTGGGGGCCGAGGAGAACGCATTGATCGGTATTTTGATCCGGGACGGAGTCACGGTCAAAGTCGAAGGTGGCCCTGAATGGCAACAAAAAGCTACAGTTGGCATGATGAACCAATTCATGGAATTTTTGCCTGATATGGATCTGGCCTTCAACATCCACGACGAACCTCGTGTGGTAGTGCCGCATGATCAGCTGTCCCGAATGATCCAAGTTGCAAGAGATCAGAGCATGCCTGCAGCTTTCGGGAACCGTACACCGAGGAACACATTCTCCACCCGGCCAAAAGATATGAATGACGGCAAACGATTCGACGACGTCAAGACTACCCGCTTCAACAAATTTGCACACCAGCAGACCTGGACACATTCGCGCATGTCTTGTTCTCCAGAGAGTCCTTCCAGGAGCTATGAAGATCACACTGCTGATAATCTCACTTCGTATGCGGCTACCTCTCTGGGCTTTGTCTACAATACTTCTGCTTTTGGCGACATTTGCAACTCGCCTTCGCTACGCCATACCTTCGGCTTCTTTGAGCGTCCTAACGCCTACAACATTGTTCATGACTTGATCCCGATCTTCTCACAGTCCAAAGTATCGTCATACCAAGATATCTTGTACCCCAGTCCTTGGTACTGGGATACAAGAGTGGGGTATGACGAGACTCGCGATACGACCTGGGAGAACAAGACTGACAGTCTCTATTGGCGCGGATCGACGACCGGTGGGTTCAGTCGAAACGGAGGTTGGAGGCGACAGCACCGGCAGCACATCGTTCAGCGCCTGAATGCGCCTGACACCGCAAAGATTATGGTCAATCGAGGCCAAGCTACCCCGCCAGATTGGCAGGTCAAAGAGGTTCCGCGTGACGACTTCAAAGATGTCATCGACGTCAAATTCTCCTATCTGGGCCAGTGCGACGAAGGAGACTGCGATGCACAGAAAGAGTTCTTCGAGGTTGTGGACCGTGTCGATGGACAGGACGCCTGGCAATGGAGACATCTCCTCGACATGGATGGCAACGCTTTTAGTGGCCGTTTCTACGCCTTCTTGAAAAGCAAGAGCTTGGTGTACAAGATGGCTATCTTCCAGGAATGGCATAAGGAGTGGCTGAAACCTTGGGTGCACTACGTCCCGTTATCGCTTAGGGGAGATGAGCATCTGGAGGCTGTGCGGTATATGTCGGGTGAAGAAGAGGGCCAGAAGCAGGCTGAGAAGCTGGCCATGGCTGGACGCGAGTGGGCGAACAAGGTGCTACGGAACAGCGATTTCGAAGTGTGGTTCTTCCGGTTGTTGTTAGAGTAAGTCCTACTGCCCCACATCTCTGCGCAAGCTTCTCATTCGAGCCACTTATTGACATAACGCAGGTACGGAAGACTCATCGATGACGATAGGGAATCGATAGGATATGCAGGACCTTGATCCCTGGTTCACGTGCTTGGGCGTTTAAATGGCCTTGGTTTTCAGCCTTCGCAGCATACGACGGATGCATGGGCGTACTTTTTTTGTTTTTCGTGGTCACGATTTTTGCATTGGAAGCGGGTGAGAAGTATGTTTTATGGGGATGGGGGAATGCCCCGTGTCGTACATATACCCTTCAATTCGGATGAAATTACAGTAATCGGCGCGTGGCGCTTGTATAGAGTGGAGCAAGTGAGGTAAATTGAATAACATGACCGACGTGGTAGATTGTTTTCACATTGATCGGTGTGTTCTTTTCGCACTTACAGATTCGCCTATTTACTCGGGGTAGAAGAAGGAATTATGAGGAGGCACCCGCCGCGTCTGTTTGGATCCCATTCATGCGGTCACATCTGTGACTCCTTGTTGTTACTCACCTCTGCTATATGTCCACGACCTTGGGCGACGTTCCAGCACATTGTCTGGGCCTGGCTGGGGAGTAAAGTTGCATAAAGTTACATATCAAACCGAGTGACCAATTGTTTGGTAGCTGTGGCGTAGACGTTGGGTCGACACGGTGTTGTCACTTCTCACCTTACGAATCCAGACCTGAAGTTAGGAAAATAGGTTCATGGTAATGTGAAGCTATTAGAGTGCTTCGAGGAAGGAATTGCGCAGGTTGGATGAAGGTATTCAAAGAATTGACTGAGTGAGATAGTCTTTAGAAGGGCATTGGACATGCCGCGTCTACCTGTTGTGGTTGCTTTTTCCTCTTTGAATGAAGAGCTATTGCTAGGATATCTTGCCCCCCTGGTCTGGAACCATTACATGTCCGCTTGCCGTCACTTCATCAGTTCGTATACCGAAAATAAAATCATATCTGTATTCAAGGGGCCCTTGAGCTCTTCATCCCTCGCCGCAGCCTCCTTGCAGAAATAAACGAAACGACAGGGGGCTCGGTTACTCGGAAGTGTTACCGCGGAACAATCCCTGAGACGGCTTTGCCGCAGCCACGCATGAATATTCGGTCATGTGACGGAGGGTCCGAGGTATTCGGAATATGGGCTGTGCAAGTGGCTTGCAGAAGTGCGATGCAAGGGACACTGGAAGCTTCATCCACGATCGACAACGATAGCTTTGCAAGGATTGAGAAGCTGGTAAATTGGAAGTTGGATGTGGAGAGAGGGTGTATTAAAAGCAAAGCGAAGGTTCTGCGCCGCAAAGGGAAATGGAGCTAATGCTATCAAACCTCTTCCGAATGCTTGGAAATGAAACTAGGTACGCCAAGGACGATGAACCAGACCATGTCAGAAAAAAAAAAGAAACTAAATGCCTCATGATCATGTCATTTGAGTGGAACCTACGAATGCTGGAAGGATACGCTTGTGAAGGAATCTCGCTACGCTAACAGCTTGAAACGGGAAAAGGGTGACGCCGAAGGAACGAGGCTCAGATCCTCTGGCCTCGATCGGAAAAGAAATTGCATTGTTTGACGTGGACGGCTGAACCGGTGCTGGGGTCGAAGGTGTGGCATCCGTATACGGCGGCATTGGGAGGGGTATACACTATCACTGTTAGCGTGCTGTATGTGAATATCAAACTTCCAAACACCTACGATGTAGTGAGACTGCAATCTCATTTGGGTCCGGATTTTGGACCTTGTGTAGGCCGAGTGTGTCCGACATATATGTAACTTCGTTCTCTTGGTATATCGTGTCTCTTTTGACGTTTAGGGGCGAGGGTTGGCCGTTATTGAGGGCGAGCTTGTCCGGCCAGTCGAAGAGGGTTTCTTGGAGCTGCCCTTTTAGGACCTTCATGATGCAGTGGGCGTTTGCATGGCTTGATCGTTGTTAGTAGTGACCTTGGCAGTTCTTTTAGAGTTACACCTACTCGTGAATGGGGCTTCCTTTGCCTGGTGTCCAGACTAAAATGAGCTAAGTGGGTCAGTAAAGCTTCCGCAACACGCTCACTAGAGGCCTACCAGATTGCTCTTCCCGTTTCCTCGGTCTACAAGATTTCTAGTGTACGGCCTGGACAAATCGTCAAGGGCGTAATCTTTCCACTCTGACGGATTGGACACGTATTCATCCATCAGCGCCTGGAGCTCCTGGGGGTCGACGTCTTTGGAATCGATACCGGAGCTGGGGCCCAGAACTTTACTGAGCTTCTGCACGAGGACATGGAAGTTGTCGGGCTGCTTAGCAGGGCTGGAGGTAGGGCCGAACAGGACGTCTCTCGCAAGGGCAGGCATGATGGTTGCAAAGATTGAACACGTTGTTTGAATTGGATATGTTGAGCAGATATGCAGCAATTTGTGCAGTGAGCGACAGTCAGAGGGAAGCGGATCAAGACAAGGTGTGTAGCCAAAAGCTGTAATGATGATGGTGAGGAAGCTCGCTATTGAGCGGAAGGAGGAAAGATAGTTAACTATACACAAGGTGCTGAGTAAGCCCGCTAGAGAGGAAGGGGCCGACAGCAGCTAGGGTATTGGCTTTATACAAAGGGACAAAACGCGAACAAGCCAGGTTGTGCTAGCGGAGTTCGAAGGTCAGACAATAGCGATAGCGAGCGAGCACCGGAACCACGACGGCAACGGAGGTGTTGCGAATCCGTGACAGCGAGGCCGGCGGGATTTGCAGCAAGCGCGCTGGTTGTGTCATGCCTCGCGGCTGGCATCGGGCTTTCGTGAGTGGCCTCGCAAGTCGCCGACGTTGAATCTCAGCCTCGCCGGCGACTTGTTTCTCCGTACCCCGCCATCTTCGTCACTTCCGCCTCAAAAAAAGCCAGGCCGATCACCAAGAAGCCACTTTCAACTTCGCAATCCTGATCCACGAGAGACCGCTACACACACAGCACGCCGCTGAGATCAGTGTCGCTCATCCTTCATCATGTCGACCACCGTGGATAAGGTACGATGCCTCGAGCAATATCTGCACTTCATCACTAACATGCCATCTCATAGATCAAAGACATTGAGGCCGAAGTGAGCCCCTCCCAATACCCACTAGAATCGCCCGTTTGACCTTGATTTAGATGGCCAAGACGCAAAAGAACAAGGCGACGTCCTTCCATCTTGGTTCGCCACATCCCGGGAGCCTCCGTCGATCACGATCTAAATTGAGGGAACAGGAATGCTGAAGGCAAAGCTTGCGAAGCTCAAACGCGAGCTGCTGACCCCGACGTCTAGTGGAGGAGGAGCGGGTGGTATGTTGCGGCTCCTAGCTCGGACAAGAGCAGTGTCTCACCGATTATACAGTTGGCTTCGATGTTGCGAGAACCGGCGTTGCCAGCGTGTAAGTTTACCTAGCATGGGCTCTGCTGTTTCGAATAATGCTGACCTAGAATTAGTGGCTTCATCGGATTTCCCTCCGTGGGAAAGAGCACGTTGATGAGTAGATTGACCGGCCAACATTCGGAAGGTAAGTTGCCTGACGCTCGCAAACCGTTCAACCAAACATGTTAACAGATTGTAGCTGCTGCGTACGAGTTCACAACTGTACCGCATCCATCATGACCCCCATGTATTTCCATCGCTGACAGTGTATAGCTCACGACCGTGCCAGGCCAGGTCCTGTACAATGGCGCCAAGATCCAGATGCTCGATCTTCCCGGTATCATCCAAGGTGCAAAGGACGGCAAAGGTCGCGGTCGACAGGTTATTGCAGTTGCAAAGACGTGCAATCTGATCTTCATCGTGCTGGACGTCAACAAACCGCTTACTGACAAGCGCATCATCGAGGCCGAACTGGAAGGCTTTGGGATCAGAATCAACAAGTCACCTCCAAACATCCACTTCAAAAAGAAGGACAAAGGCGGCATCAACATCACCAGTACCGTCCAGCTGACGCATATCGACCACGACGTGGGTGCCATTCGTCTTGTCTCCCTCCTATGGATCCATACCCAATCTAACATGCCTTCCAGGAAATCAAAGCGGTCATGTCTGAGTATCGAATTGGGTCGGCCGACATAGCGATCCGTTGTGATGCGACGGTCGATGATTTGATCGATGTTCTCGAGGCCAAAAGCAGAAGCTACATTCCAGTGATCTATGCGCTGAACAAGATCGATGCAATCTCTATCGAGGAGCTCGATCTGCTATACCGCATCCCGAACGCCTGCCCGATCAGCGCAGAGCACGGGTGGAACGTGGATGAATTGATGGAGCAGATGTGGGAGAAGCTGAACTTGCGCCGGATCTATACGAAGCCAAAGGGGAAGATGCCCGACTATTCTGCTCCAGTGGTGCTGCGGTCCACGGGCTGCACCGTAGAGGATTTCGTTAGTTTCCCTCGGTCCGGGAGGAAGCAACAGTTTCGACTGACATCTGCAGTGTAATTCGATCCACAAGACGATCCTCGACACGTTCAAGCACGCAATAGTGTACGGCAAGTCGGTCAAGCACCAGCCGCAGCGGGTGGGACTGGCCCATGAGCTTGCGGATGAGGACATCAGTAAGTCAAACACCAACGCAGGCTATCTCGGTCTATCTCTTAGCTAACGGGACGCGCAACCAGTAACGATCGTCAAACGCTGAAGAGCGCGACTCGCGGCGCCCATCGCGGGCTGCCAGAAGAGCGCTTTGCTAGCGGCGCGATGGACTGACTTGAAGAAGGCTATCGAGTGTCTCATTCTCGTATCAGTACCTGCCTGCGTCACGAGGGAGCTCGAGTCTCGAGGACCCCTGGCACTGGCAAGCAAAGGTGGAGGAGTGGTCGGCGGCGGCACCAATGGCATCGCATTCGCACCAGCACGCTCTTTTCGGCCGGCGCAGCGTGCACGCGGATCGGCTCTGGGCCAGCTCGTTGGCTGATCCGTCGGTCCCGCACGATACGGGCAACGGCCTCGCTCGATCAGCCAGCAAACGGGCAGCGGCGGCCGCAATAGGAAATGCATTGAAGCGTGTCCGGAGGCTGGTTGCCCACACGGGCGGGTGTCTCGAAAGTGGAGGCGAGAGTGGGACCGTCTCAGGCATTATTGTTTTTCGAGTGCTATTTCGGAAATGCAGAAAATGCGTCGATCGCCTTCACGCCCTTTTCCCCGGTTCGCACGACTGATTGGCTGGCGGGGGCAGTTTTCGTCGGAGAGTTAGCATGACAGGCCTGGCGCAGCGCCTCGTTGGTGTGGCCGAGCGCTAAATGGGGGCTCGCCAGGTGCTCCCCGTCGTCTCCGCCCGAGGGCGCGCGTGTGAGTGGCCGCCCAAGTCCCCGTCTGGTGCTCAAACCTAAAATGTCTCGGTGGCTTCGACGGCCAAGACGCAGCGAGGTCGGCATGCGTTTCAGCCCGCAGACGCCGCTTCGAACGATGCTCGAGCAGCCCCGGCCGCCCCAGCACTCGCACTCCAGCACGCGTGCAAGTGTGCAAGCGTGCCTGCGTGCCTGCGTGCCTGCGTGCCTCCACGCCTGGCCATGCCCGTGGCGGCGTCGCGGTGCCTGGCCAGCGAGGCGCCATTGGCGACGACGCACCCAGCCCGGCGCGCGCACTATCGAGGCCCAGGGGACGCCGTGACCAGTCGCCGGCAGGCCAGGGACGGCGGCCGCGCTGGGGCCGTGGTGCACGTTGCGGGATGCTTGGGGGATGCCGTGCTGGTGAGCAGCGGCAGCTGTGGCCGCGCAGACAGGCCCCGAGTGCCCCCAGTGCCCCCATCCGCCTGGGCTCCCGATTTGTCGCTGCGGGCGCTGGCTCCACCATGGCGGCCGCCGGTCTATGGCCCGTCTGCCCAGCGTCGCTTCGGCGCGAGGCCCATCTCGCGGCCGGTTTCCTGGCGGTCCAGGGCGGTGCGAGCTGCCACCCTCGGCGCCGTGCACACCCTCCCCAGACGGAGCCGTTGCTCCATGCGAGCATGCGCCCTGTCGCGGCCACGGCTCGCTCGCGGCGTCGTGGACGGGGCTGTTGCGCGCTCGAAACGGTGCTCTCGCTGCGCATCTCCCTGACGGTCCCTCCCGCTTCGCCCGTCCCGCCAGAGCTACCTCGCCGCCCGCTACGCTCCGCCGTCCTGCATCGTCTGCTCCCAGAGTCTCCGCCGTCGCACCTGCTGCTGCCCTGCCAGTGCTGCCCGTGCTGCCCGTGCTGCTAAAGGACTGCGTTGCCCCCAGCCGGCCCGAGCCTCGTTTCGTTTCCCGCCGTGTCGCCCACCCATCCACCTGCCCCCTCCGCGTGGTACTTGTGCGTTTCGCTTCGTCAGGAACAGCACCTTCTCATGCATGCATGCACGCTGCCGACAACGAGCTCCCTCTAGCCCAGGAACACGACCGTTGGGCGCAAATGCCCGCCTTGCCACCCCCATTGCCAGACATCTAGACACGGACTCCCAGATAGCACGGTCGACCGCGCGCAATCTTGCATTGAGCCTGCTGCCGACATGAGCCAGATGGGAATGGAGCACGAGCAACACCATCAGGAGCCGGGCTACCACGACCCCAATACGCAGTGGGTCGACTCCAATGCCTTCACCCACTCGCAGCACCAGTCGCCCGTCCAGGAGTACAATGGCTTCGCCTTCACCCCGCTGCCCATGGAGCCCATGTATTCGGCCCACCAGATGCATCCGCCCAGGACGACGCACCAGCAGCTGCAGCCCTTGATCATGCCTCAATGGCCGAGCATGTTGACGAGCAACTCGAGCTATGTCGCCCCAGTCTATCCCACCGCGCCCGTCCCCGTCACGCCTGCATCGGCGACGCCTGTCTCGGCGACGTCGACCCGCTCGCACAGTACGTCGACTCCGAGGAAGACTCTGACCGACTCGGACCGGAGGCGAATGTGCCTCTATCATGAAGAGCACCCAACGGTGAAGCAAACGGAGATTGGAGGTAAGTTCCCATCATCTTGTACTGTCATCGGAGCTGACAGAAGGACAGCCATGTTCGGTGTCGAAAGAAGGTACTTGAACTGCTACTCTAACGGTGTTACATTTGTTGATTGCGCTGTATAGTACTGTGTCCAAAGTCCTGCGCCAGAAGGAGAAATATCTCTACCAGGACGACGGCAGCCGCTCGCCCGTGAAGAGATCCAAAGGCAAGTTTCCAGACATTGAAAGGGCCCTGTCCAACTGGGCCCGGAATCACCAGAAACAAGGCTTCCCTTTGAACGATGCTATGATAAGGGAGAAGGCGCGATTCTTTGCGACGACAGTCGGCAACTCGGACAGCCATCTCAAGGCAAACAGTACCAGCTGGCTTGAGAAGTTCAAGCAAAAGAACAATCTCATGGGTGCGAAGTCTCGAAAGAACTCAATCGCGGAAGAATCAGAAGGCCATTCAAACCCACCGTCGAGTTCGCAAACGCCCAGTGGCATCTCTCCAGTATCGCCGAGCGGGGCGCCTTCGCCTCTCACCATGTCAGCATCAAAAAGCCAGGAGAACTTGAAAACAGACAGCCCCGATAGCTTTATTGATTACACGAACAGCCACCGACCATTCCATTCCCAGAGCACTACGTCTCTGTCGAGTGTTTTCACTGACACTGCTCCGTCATCCTTCTCGGCTGGACCTACCAGCCCAACTTCACCGTTCTTCACTCCGGACTCGGCATGTGGACCAAGCCCTTTTATGCCTTCGCAACAGGCGAGAGGCCAGCCAGGAAGCGGTAATTTCCAGCGACCTCGAAGCCAGACCTTCCCGATGCTCATCGGTGTGGAGCAGTATATGTCACCGCCACCGTCGTCGGAACCAATGACTCCCAAATTTCTCAACAGCACTGCACTGGAATCTCCCTTGTCGGAGATGCAATCGCTTAGCGGCATGGATGATACGATGCAGACATCGCAGTCACAGATTGTGACCAGTTCCATGCAGCCTCCACCAGTGCCAGCTGTACCCCCAGTTGGGCAGCAGAGACAGCATTCCTCTCCGATGAGCACGGAGAATAATTCACCGGTTTCACCTTCCCAAGAAGACGCTCGTCGGGCTCTTGAGCTTGTCATGAATTTCTTCCAGCACCAGCCAACCGGCTTTGTAGAGCCTCAGGATTACATGACCATTGGCAAGCTGATGGAGAAGCTAAAGTTACAGCGGCAGGGAGAGCATTTGCCGGGGGGACTGCATCGCATTCCTGAGCAAGAGTATGCTGTGAGGAAGGTGGAGTAGCTGAGAATGCTACAAAGCCCTGAAGATCACTAGGGATCCTACTTGGACTGGTCGTCTCGCGTTCTAGGTTTTCGGTCATGGGTTCGGGTTGGGTTTTCTTGTTAATTCAGGAGAAACGGGGTTGGGAAGAGCTTGGATTCATGAAGCGCGGGTACACATCTCATCTACATCTACATCTACAACCGGCTGGACATTGGGAAATCTGGAGCTGGCATCATTCCATCATAACCATTGACGGCGCACACCACGGTCATCGGTTAGCGGCAGCATCAGCATCATTCACATCATCCTCGCAACACTTTGGGCGGCATTTTTTGGGACGTTATGGCCATGGTTTATGGGACTTTCTTGTCTGATTTTTTCTGTTTTACTATTTCCAGGCCTTTTCTTTCGTCGACCTTTCAATCAGCTAGGAGTAGCACTCTTTGTGCCCCTATACGCTCCCATTTTCACTTATAAAAAAGACGAATAACCGCTCACGCGGGCCTTCTATTATTACTAACCATCTTCTATCTCCTCTTCTTAGCGCCTCTTTTCGGGCGTGTTCATTTCTCATACGTTATCCAAGCGTTTGTCTACTACCCTTGTGTTTTTCTCTATTCTTCAGTTTAGCCCGGAAATGACTACTGGTCGCGCAAACTCCTCGTCCCCCTTTTCTAAGGGGGCCTTCGGTTCGCAGGCGGCTCACGAGATTCTCCTCCCTACTTGCTATTGTTTTTCTGTTCTTCTCCTTATTGAACTTGCTCTTAAGGGCCTGGGATGGGGGGGAGCAATAGGAGGGGGTGTTGCTGGGTGGGCTGGGACTGGGGTGCTGGGTCAGGTTGGACTGGGTTCGGCAAGTCTGTGTCACAGGTGTGTTCGGTTCGGGCACCTTTTGACAAGAGAGTGCGTGCGTGTATGGTGTGTACCTCGTACGTAGTCTTTTAACCGCCCTTGAACAACCACGTTTCTAGCTGTCGGCTACGCGCAGCCTCGCTTTTTCATCATCTGAACAATCTCCTGTACCTCTCTGTACCTGATCGCCGTGCCTGGGTGGGGAAATGGGGGGACGATAACCCTTGTGTCTGTCTGTCTGTGTGTGAGTGAGAGGCCGGTTTCAGGGCAAACACAGGGCTGAAAGGAGAAAAAAAGTATCTAGGCGACCGACACCACTCCTGCATTTGCACAGATGTCATGGGGGGAAGAAATCGGGACAGGGGGCTCCGGCGACTATCCCGATGGCTTGATTTGATGGGATACTTGATACATACAGACACACCACTGTACAGGTACCCATGCGACAACGCGGATCTACAATGCGGCTGGGAGGGCTAGCACGGGGGGGGGAAATCTGGCTGGCTGGCTGGCTGGCCGGCCTTTTTTTGGGCATCCATCCACGGAAGATTTCCCCGACGGGGGCTTGCACGATTCAACGCCAACTCCCCAGGAGATATTTGCCACCCATCAATCGTATCAGGCAGGGGGGTCCGGTAGCCCAGAGTTGTGTCTTAAGAAAACTCAAATAATACAAAAAATCAGATTAAACCCTACCGAGAACCCGCTAAGCTAGCCAAACATAAGAAAAAGAAACCGCCACCGTCATGTTTTCTCTGTAACTACGTAGGGTTTTTGGGTTAAACGGAGAAATCACTAGCTCCATCGCCCCCCAATCCATCCCCAGGCCCACAGATCTACGAACAAGAAGGCTGCGATAGCCGCCCGGGGACAGATCATGTCCCCTATTTGCTCTCAAAATCTCACACAACAGCTTTTTTCGCTTCCGCGTCTTGCCCTACAAGGCAAATCGGCCAGTCAGAGCAAACGGCCCCTTACTGGTTCCGAGTCCCACCCTCCGAGAGAAGAAAGGGGGGGAGATCCTCCGCACTTTCCCACAGCATGCACGCAGAGCTGCACCGCCGACCTACAAAACGGCTTCTGACGTTGGCTTGGCAGGGAGCTTGAGGTCGATCACGGATTAGCCTTTTCGCGAGGCTGGCTGGGGTTCGGCAAACAATGCCGCGTAGAATAAAAAAATGAGGCGTCCAATTTGCCCGCAATTATGTAACCGATTTTTTTTCTTAGAATTGTCTCTCAAGCCACTCTGTAATCAATAGGGACTACGTACTACTACCCCAGCCGCTCCTCCATTAGCTCCACAACGCCCTTCTCCGCCAGCTCGGGCACCAGCCTCACGACAACGAGCTCCAGGATAGCAAAAACCAGATGCTTGTTGAGGTAAGCGTCGCCGAGCGGGTCGAGCAGCGCCGCCTCGACCTGGCGCCGCATCTGGTCGGGCTGCCGCGTCGCGTACAAGGTGGCCGCGACGGGGCCCGGCAGCAGCGCCAGCAACGTGGCGGCGCACCGGCGCTTGATTGCCTGGGCCTCGGCGGGGGTGGGAGGCTGCCGTGGGGGCGCGAGGCCGTTGTTGGGGAAGAGGGTTGCGCGGACGGTGCGCAGGAGCGGGGGTATGTTGGAAGGGTTGAGGACGCGAGTGTGGAAGGTGTGCAAGAGCAGCCTGCGGGAGAAGAGGAAGCGTTAGCGGGGGATTGTGAGTTCTGGGCCCAAGCAAACGTCAGTCATACGATGGGGCAGCGAAAAGGGTTGCGTTAGAGTTTCGGAGCTTGACAGGGGAAGCCAAGGGCTGCGCGCTGCGAAGGGAAACCGTCGTCCGTCGGGTGACATAGGGCGGAAATCTGGGGTTGGATGGCTGGCCGATAGCGACGGTGGGACTGTTCATGGGGTTGGTAATTGCAGTGAGTGAGGGCTGCGGTATCAGCGGATCTGCCGGGTGCATGTGAGGCCATCGACGCCGCAACTGCAATCACCACGGTGGAACGGCGACGCAATGCTAGCCCAGGAGCAGATGCTAGGCCAGCAGCGTCCAGCGGCGCAGTTGTCGAGAGCCAGTGAAGGCGTGCAAGAGGGCCGCAATTCCACGACGGCGCGGGGTCGCAATGCACGGCGGGCAGACGCGCAGGGCCCGTGTCGCAGGGCGCGCGGGGATGTGCGCCAGCGATATCGCAGCTCCGCAAGTGCCCAGGTTCCAGGGGCCGTCCGAGGGTCGCGTGGTGGTGGTGAGAGTGAGGCTTGCGTGCGGCGACCAGGTCAGCGCAGGCGGGCGACGGGACTGGCCGCACTCAACCAGATCAGCCGGCGCGTAGGCGTTGCGATAAGACGGCGTCCCGCTCCCTCGCGTCCGGCGGGGAGCGCAGAGGGCGCCCATGCTGGCGCCGGGTCGGGCAGCGGCTTGCAACCCGTCGTTGTCGAGGTGCAGGCGGTGCAGCCAGAGTCGGCTGGCATGCGACGCACAGCCTGCCACGGGCCGCTCTGGCGGGAGGGATGGCACGGCCGGCGCATGCACGACGCCCGATGGCGATGGCCATTGGGCAGCAGCCAGGTCAAGTGACCGAGCAGCGATGCGGTCTGACAAAAGGAAGCGGGCACTAAATGCACCTCGGAGCCAGGGCCAGGCGCCCCTCCGGACGCTGCCCAACGAGCAGAGAGCGCGCAAGAGAGCGAGACGTGAAAATGCAACTCACCTGTCCAATACACCGTCTGTATCACCCACCCTGCCCGGCCCGCGCACCACCAGCCAGTGCAGCAGCGCGACCGCGCCCGCCAGCCATGGCATGCGACGCTCCAGCGACAGCAATCGCGCGCCGCACGACCACACATTCATGCTGACCATGGCCCGCTTCCCGGCCCCGTGGCCGCCCTCTGCAGCACCGGCTGCTGGTTGCGGCAGCAATCGGCGATGCTCTTCTGCGGAGGCCGGGGCACTGACTCCTGCCACAGATCTCGGCGGGAGCGACGAGCTTGTCGCGAGAGCCACCATGACGGCTCGCAGCGCAGTACACGCCAAAAATGCGTATTGGACCGCCAGCCAGAACGCCCTGGCCACCGACGTCGACGCGCTCCCATGACTGCTCGATGGCGTCGTGCGGCCCTTGACAGGCTCAGCGGCCTCCTCGACGGATGACGAAAGCAGCCCGTACCGCTCCAGACGGCTCATTGTTTGCTCTGGCTTCATCTCTTTTGATGACATGTCGTCCGCGTCGGCGCCCGCTTGTAGGACCTCAGCAATGCTCGTGATACCCTCCCAGAGCAACCAGCCCTCGCACGCTTTCTCGCTGATGCCGTTGCCGACTATCATCTCAGCGAAGATTTCTGCCACTAGCAGCCGCAAGCACCCATTCTCCAGGTCTTCAGTTGGCAGCAGCACAGCCAGTACGCCCTGGACGACCAATTGGCGCCATGCCGCCTCATTCTGCTGCTGCGCAGCGACGCTTGTGGGGTCCGATTCGAGCGGCACAGGCGAGAGCGCAGGATGCGGGTGGAGCGTGTGGTAGATACTACGAGGATGTGAGACTAGCGGATTGTGATGTAGGCTTTGGTGCGAAATGCGGTAGGCTGGAGTACGGGATGGTTAGCTCTCGACCGTGGTGATGCCCAATGCTAGCGATATACCGACCATTCACATGAGCCTCCAGCAGCTCGGGAATCTCATCCAGCAGCAGTGCCTCCAGATCGACCTTGCGTAGGCGTTGCTCCAGTGCTCGCGTACAGTGTGCAATGACCTGGATCACCTCGTTCACGAAGACCTGATCCGGCGTAATCTTGGAGTACCAGGTGTACACAAACTCCTTGATGATTACGGCAATAATCGCGTAGAGCTGCAGATCAACGTCGTTGGAGCTCGTCAGCGGCGGAAGCAGCTCATCGATGGGGAGGGGCGTGTTCCGGCCCTTCTCGCCATTGCCCAAGAGGACGTTATGAGCGCAAAGGGTGCGTCGAATGAAGGCCGCGGTGGCTTTGTCGGAGGTTGTATCAGGCGCATGCTTTGGTGTCTCGGTGGGGCGGGTGGCAGTCGCACGAGGGAGAATTGACAGGTTACCTCCGGGGGCCGCTGGGACGGTGGAGGTCGCTTTCGATGTTGGTGGCTGCGTCTGCGGGAAATTGGTCTCGCGCGATGCTGTCTGCGTCATCGCCGCTTCATGGTTCCCTCGATACCACGGTGCGATATGCGATGTGCGATGTTGCTACTGCGAGGGCCGTGCTGCAAGGAGCAGCTCTTTCGGTACGTCTGGGATATTGTGAAGAAGTGGCGTTGTGATGATGGCAGGAAGCTCAACACCAACTGCCAACGCAGGATGCAGATCGGGGATGGAACAACGTACACTCCGGGCAGAAAGCTTAGCGTCTCATCGTTCCGCGGTTCACATTAGCGCGAATTTTGACCTTCTTTCAACCTCACTGCACACAATTATTCTCCGTGTACATTGCAAACATGGCGCCCCCATCTCTGGACGACGTAGACGGTATACACTGAATACTACAGTCATCGAATAATTAACTCTAATAAATACATATAGCCCAGCTCAAAGCCATCGTCCAAAACCTCTACAGCCTCACCGTCACAGCCTACCAGCATGAAGGCGCGCCCTCCGTGAACGCCATGAAAGAAGAAATGTATATCGTCTTTCCGCCCCGGATCCTCTCTATCGAAGGCGCTAACCACCCCCATCAGTATGAGTCTCTTGAGGAACCTCAACGACCTCAAAAGCACCGCTCCCCGTATCAATGTGGAGATCCCACCCGAAGTCATCAGCTATGTTGAGCATGCCCGCAACCCAGATATCTACACCCGCGAGATGATGGAACTGCTCCAGCGGTCGAACCAGCTGCTAAAGGGCAAGAGCGAGGCGTTTGCGCAGTTGAGGGATATCCTCGCCAAGGAGATTATGACTGGCATACCAGAGCTGAGGGGTGATGTGAAGAAAGTGGTTGAGTCTACTGGGGGGACGGTAGCGGATTGAGAGGATGAGGGGCGGAATGGTAGCCCCAAGAGGGCAAATATATTCATCAAGTTGACCAGTGCTTGCGACGGCGGCTGGATTGGCCGATGGGAGAGGGCTAGGACGGCAAATCTCAAGGAGACAGGAGGTGCCCTCGGCATAGCTACCAGCTGCCAGCATGCATTCGGATCTCTAATCTCTTCCTAGAGCGAGACGATATAATTCCTTGACCTTACAGTAAGATGTTGTCGGTATGTAGAGCAAACTACCGGAAAACCGAGAGAAAGAGCGGCAGGCAGCCAGGGACATTGTCTGCTTCTAAAAGTCGAGTACGCAGGTGCCTTGTATCGAAATCCGGGATCTTAGGCTTATATTATGTCAGAACTCGAAATGAAGGTACGTACGTAGGGTTTCTCCTCACGCTACAATGTCTATCTCACGTTATATACGAGTCTATATTCCGCATCCTATCCTCATCTTCGAGTCTGCTGTTACTGAAGGGTTTTCCAGCCTCACATAGGCATATGCCTCACTTATTATCACCGCGCGACAACCGACGTGCCCATTATTCCGACATCTAATCCCTTGAAACGAAAAGATGCCCCACAGTACTAGTGCTTCGGTAGTCATCACATACACTAAACTGTGTATACGCACCAACGATTTGTAGATATCTCGCCACTTCTCGCATTCACTTCGTATGCATTCTCAAACCCACCCTCCTGTCCCAAAACCTTCGAGGCCGTCACATTATCCCCAATCCTCATTCCGAGAAGATGAGGTCACTACGTCACTTCTAGACCAATATCATTCACCGTAGCAGAACAAATCTCTAAATTTCGACTGGGCAATTTAGCCTTAAAGACATGCACAATCATTCATCGAGATGAGGGTCAATTCTGAGGTCAGTGTCATTGAGTTCTATCCAAACCTATCCAAGGCGTACCGCCATGGAGAGTGTCAGGCCTCGAGGGTATCTATAACCGGTTGAAAGACGCCTCGAACTTCAGTATGATGTAGAATGATTGGACTAGGGCCCGGTTCAATCGGTACCGGAAGATGGAGTATTCTCTTCGCTGTGGCTGGTCGTGAGCTGGGGAGTCTTAGACTTACAGGTCTCCCGGTCTCCAGTGTCCCTCGCAATGGTAGCTTGGTCGTTGACGATAGCTCCGAGGGTCTTCCTCTTGCTCTAAATCGTGCTCGGGGAGGTGCCACTGGACGATGCGGTGGTAACATCTTCTTTGACGTCGCTGACCTCATGGTCCTTTAGAAGACTCTGAGCGAGTTCTTCAGTGACCAAGTGGTAAAACCCCTGTTTGCCCCCTTCGAAAAGCCACATTGCTTTTGCCAGTGCATGTCTCTTGGTGTCTTGGAGCGCTGCAGACAGAAGATGCATATGGTTCTCCAAGGTCAGTCCTCGCTTTTCTTCCGCTCGGATGACAGCAGCAAGATATTGTTTCTCATGCTTTGCGCAGAGCTTGCTCCGTTCATCGAGAGGGTTGCCTTGCTCATCCCAGACCCACGGTGCATCCATCGCCCGAGGAATGCCCCCAACGAACAGTGGATAATCTCCGAAAACTTCCCAGGGCGCAGCATAGGCCATTTCCCAGTCAACGACGCCCAGCACACGGAAGTTGTCGTCCATGATAATGTTGTTGTTACCGCAATCGTTGTGCCAGATTGGGAACGAACCTTTGTCGCAGACCGATATCTTGCCAGCTAGTTCTATGATGGCTGCTCGGAATGCTTCAATTGACGCGGGCATCTGTGCCACCAACCCGCCCATGGCCAACAGATGAGGAATATGGTTGCCATTGCCGAACGGCGTGTTCTTCGACCAGGCTTGGAAGAACTCGATTGCCATATCAAAAGGGCCGCCAATGCCAGGGATTGTGGTAGCTGGCGTAGGAAGGGAGAATCAGTGAGGGAGACATGAGTTGTATTGAGGTTCTAGCGAGTGGCTATATAGTTGGAAGACGGTAGGAGTGGAACATGGTGAAACAAGGAGAAGTGACAGGAGCGTAGCAGCAGCGTAGCAGTAGCGTTCTAGTACAGTATCAAATACACTAGTTCTTACGCACTAGGGGGTGCATCCAGCTGCCAGATTGGTCCTTGGATGTAGGTACCATCCTCGTTCTTGCCGACCACACAGCCGATCTTGGGCAGCAAGACAGTTGATAGCTCGACCTACAGTTCGAGTAATATTAGCCTTTGTGTCTACTCTTTAATGGAATAGATATACTTACGTGAACGTCGGCAATGCTGTCGAAGAAAGCGTCTTTCGCTCGTCTGGGAATCCCGCAAACGCCTCGTCATCGAACATGTCTGTTCCTACGTTGCCTTCCACGCACTCCATGAGAATGAAAGGGGCATGAACTCCAACCGTATCAGCGGTTTCGTGAGCATAGGTCATGGGCACGGGAACGTTGGAAGATTCGCGAATGAAGTTGAGAAAGGCGACCTCCTCGTCATAGACTTCCTTGCCGTCGGTCCACTTCATCGAGATGCTACCATTGCTCCTGACATAGGCATACGAACTCGAGCAGCCCAGCGTTTGCCGTAGTTGAACTCGATGACGCGAACCATGTTGTTAGCGCCCATACCGATGTCCGGCAGCAGTTTGCATTCGGTGCCATCGCGGAGTTTGGATGCGTACTCGAGCAAGGCGTCCCAATTCGTGCCTTCAAGGGCCGCTTCAGCGCGAGAGCGCAGAGTCATTCCCTCGGGAAGGCTGGAGAAGACGTTCCAGCGGAAGCCGGCAGCTGAAGTTTTTGTTCCTAGTGAATTTCAGCTTATTTCCATGGAAGTCACTAAAATCAAACTCACCAGTCATGATGAAGAAGCAAGGTGGTGTTGGAGGTGGGTGGTGTTGGAGAAGGGGGAGGTGGAAGAAGGCGCACGACGTGTTTTATATTCAAAAAACAGCATCAGGACCCCAATAATGTCACCAGTATTCATATTATTTCTTTCACCGTTGATATATCGACAAGAAGTATTATTCGTATTTATAAACCTTGGTGGAGGGCAGGTGATTTTCACCATAGGCATGCTTGTCACGTTACTCCAACTGCTTGATAATGTTGTGGGGAGGCGGAAATAGACATAGGCACAAGCTTATTCGCATTAATAACTCAGCACATATCCGTACACACTTGTCTGCCGCTCATCGAAGTTCCTCGATGCATTTTTAAACTTTGAAATCCAGTAAGCTTGCCGAAACACCTCAAACAGTGACTAACGGAAGTAGACACTTGGCTGTACTGTCTAGACCTCCAGATTTTGATAAACATGTTGGAGTACCATACGCAGTGGTACAGCAGTGTACACGTATCAATGACGAGACCCTGTAGTGAAATGGAAAACGATTCAAATACAGAAGAGTTCATAGTCGATGACACGACCAGACAACCACTATCACCATGGTAATAGAACAGCGTGACCGCAGTGAACCCGACCATAAGCAATACCTGCCTCTTCCGGAGACTGAAGCTCTCGATGAGTTCACTGAAGTACGTACCCCATAAACGGGGCATTTGTAGCCTCCTTGCACGTCCTTTTTGTTCATGCACATATGTGTCTTGCACTTCGCTGAAGGGAGAGAGTCCCTATCAGGGTCGACTCGGAGTGGTAAGATCTGAGTGCGTGGATCGTGGAAGTTGTTGGGGTCGGTGACGAACAGCCTGCGCATGAGCAGAAGGCGGTTAATAAGAAGAATACAGCGTCGACAATGGCTTGCCGAGTGCGTAGGTGCGGTAAAATAACGGCGAATGGGGCACTTGAAGAGTGTTCACCATCTTTGACCGAGCTGGGGCCCCGAGAAGATACGTACCAAAATATGTTTAGGCACACCTTGCAACTGCCTGGGTGCCTCGGTTATGCTTTAGAGATTCCAAATACGTTGTAAAGTTCATCAGTGTGGATATTAGACTACCTTTTGACTAATTGAATACATGTTCGCTAGGGCACTCCTTACGGTGGTGTTGAGCGAGCAAGAGTGGAGCCAGAGCAGTGAGATGTCGGTGTACACGTCAATCGTTCACTAGAAATATAATGTGGCGCAGGAGTGGATTAGAATCTCATTTAATTGTGGCTTAGAATAGGGAACCGAACTACACTATCGCTATGCTCTTGAAGGGGCTTGTCTGGCTGCAGTGTAGTGAAGCCGATTACAGAAAGAGGGTTGAACCTTCAGACTATTGAGCTGCTGCTACTTCGAAGGTTTCCTTGGTTTTACTGGGTTTTCGGCACCGCAATTGGGGCAGACATAACCGCTCTGGACGACAATGCCGCACCCCCAGGTCGCGCACCTTGAAGCCGGAAATGTAGGCTCTTTTGTATGACGACTTGGGGAGTTTTTGGGGTCGTCGTCAAGGCCCTTCCCAGCACCTTTAGCCGCACCGCCACCTTTGCCCGCACCTTCCTGGCCCGAACCAGCTCCGCCTGAGCCTGCTCCGCCTCCGGGCTGACCACCTGAGGCCTGACCCGCTGGGCCTTGCCCGCAGCACCCTGTGTTTGTTGGGTCGACATAGTGGACTAAGAAGATGTGAGATAATAAGTGGGTCCGCTTGGGGAGTGTTCATACCTGGTGACTGAATGAGAGAATGTAGCTGGATTGAGTAGGTTGGGGGACGCTATGCATTGTTAGCAGCTAGTACACAGAATTTCCAGTGGACAAGCTTACCTTGTAGATTTTCAGGCCGTAGCGTCTGAACACTGATGGAACCGGACATTATATACATATATGATTCACCCTGATTGCTACTAATTGTTACCATCATTGCTTGCTGTAGGCGATTGCTCTAATAGAACAAGCCTGATTGATTGTCCGAGGCTCTGGTAAGTGCGAACTTTAGTGCTGTTGAGCTGCTCCGGTTTGTGGGTGTTTCTTGTTGGTTGTCTAGAGCTGGTGGAGCGTGTGAGGCGGGGATTTTATAGCCCTGCTAGCCATGCTTCGCATCCCCTCATCACGCCCCTCTGCACTCAGAACCACCCTCCCTTTGCATATCCAGATCCAACAATCTCCAAAACGCCTCTCATCCCAGGCCTTTCTCCACCGCTACGATATGTAAGCTTAACGGTATCGGCAGCGGCGTACAACCAAACCTCTAGGCCCCAGCCCCATAGGCTTTGACGCAAGCGTCAAGATTTATTTCATCCGCCAGCGCTTCATCTATCCTCTCAAATCTCGTACTCGATGCGGAGGTACCCAAACAACACAGCCCAGACACTTCCGCCCCTTTTATTCCTCAAAGCATCGAATCCAACCTCATGAGATCAATTCTGACAGACGCAAACACCCACAGCGCGTCCTATCATCCAAACCATGCGCAAACGAACGCATCGAAGCGCAAATCGCCGTCAGCAAACCCCAACTTGGCCGCTGAAGCGCTCGATTAACGCAATGGTCCCTGTTGCAGATACGCACAGTTCTAACCGCGTTCAAGGAAATTTGATAGCCGTGGAGGGGGCCTCCCCGAGCGGCATTTTGGTACAAAATCTTCCCGATTTGACCGCGTAGATGGATTTTGGATGGACGCGGAGGGGTACGCGACGTGGATTCTTTTTCAGTCCCTAAAGCGACACGCTCCAAATTACGATGTGTTTTCAAAATTTCTGACGCGGAGGAGAGTAGGTAGCTGAAGCGCTGCCGTGCAAGAAACGGGTTGATTTGTTGCAAGTTCTTACGGAGTCGACCACGTGATAGAACTTTGATAGGCACGACGTGCACCTGGAGGGTATACGCCACGTGGTTGCTTTCTGTTACAGAAGCAACGGGCTGTAAATCAGGCCATTGAGAGAAAGATTCTTAGGGCAAAGACAAGTAGCTGAAGCCCCACCGTGCAAGGAAACGGGTTGATTTGTTGCAAGTTTTTACAGAATCAACCGCATGATAGAATTTTGGTAGACACGACGTGTACCTACCTGAAGGGGTACACCACGTGATAGTTCTCTTTTAGCACAGAAGCAACGGGCTGGAAATCAGACTATCGCTAGAAAGATCCTTAGGCAAAAAAGAGTGACTGAAGCACACCCGCGCAAGATTTAGGTTGGCTGGCTGCAAGTTCTTACAGAATCAACCGCGTGAAACGAGTTTTGGTTTGACGCAGCCGCGCGGGGAGTCAGTTCGGGGACAGTTCACGCCTTTTCTTACTCAAACTCACATATCGAACCGCGCGAAATGCGTTTCAATAGACACAGCGTACTCACTGCGTGCCGCTAGGCGTGCCTCACAACGAACGTCGGACATGAAACGACTCCACCGTTCCACACCCATCGAAACACAAACAGACAAGCAAATAAGGATACCGATACATCATTCATTCCACGCTTCATAGGACAGGTCAACCACCATGACCTAAGAGTCAGACTATGTATATAGTATGCAAACGCCTACCGGCCCCCCAATGACCAAACCCAATGAGGGAGGGAAACCCGCAAGAAGGCCAGAGAATATGCAGGGGAGTGAGATCCAGGACGAGGTTCATGAGGGATGAGAAGGCAGATGTTGCATTGAAGCAACGACAGCGTGCATTGATTGCACGCTTTCTCTTTTAGGAGGATGGTTGAAGGGGCGCTCGAAGAGGTGACTGGGAAGTCAGGGGTCTTTTAAGTACGCTGAGAGCATGGAGGTGCAAATGTTGGAGATAAGGTCCTTCTCCAAGCTCTTTCTGTGGCCAATTTCGGACTGGTGAGATGTGCGGGGGGGAGGCCCGGGCTACCTAAACTGCCATTTCGGAAACACCCCCCCGCTCACTGGCACGAGCTTAAGGTGCTGATACGGCGAGGTCTGTGGGTCATAATACAAGCCTTCCACAGCACCATCGCTGCGCCGGAGGCAGACGTAGTAGAAACCCGAGATGGTGAGTCCGCAGCCATCCTCAGTGACATCGTCTTCGGGGTTGAGGAAATTCCGCGGGTGCAAGTCTGTGGGCGTGGAGCTGGCAGAGTTGAACGCGCGTGTGTTCTTCACGAAGCATCGTTCTTTCCATCGCATGAGGATCCATTCTTGGCTAAGTTGCTCCATCCATCGCTGCGAGACGAGCTTGTGGACTAATTCGTCGTCCGTGAGATTGGAGAAGGGTGGCAGTTTCCTCCAGTATGTAGCGTCGATTAAAGGGCTTGATTTAAAGGATTCGGTTAGAAAGGTGTGGGTTCGGAAGTCGAGAATCTCGCCTTCTAGATAGGTAGTTATGCTCGATGTTCGTATTGGAGTGGGGTTATCAGAGGAGGCAGAGTTGTTGGCACTGCTGAGCATGCCGACAAAGGTTTGTGGGTGTGACGGAACGTTGTATGCTTCCATAGTTGCAGATAAGCTCATGGTGTCGTAATCTACAGCGTGTATTGTGACTTTGACGGGCCAGCGATCCTGTTGGGGAGAGGAAGTTGTTACCACTTCACCGGACCGGCGATATGGCGGTATGTAGTTATGGCTTAGCGATGGACGTGCGCCGTCGAAAAGCATAGGAGCTGCAGAATCGGTATTCCGAGAGCGATATATTGAATCCCCCCTGACGGCGGCAGCCGGAGTCACAGTTGAAGTCACATTGGTAGCATGCTGCGATCCAGAGAGGACCGCTCCCGGTGCCAACCAGGACGTCTCAGCAGGTGGAAAGATGGTGCTGGTGTCCAAAACGAAGTCCTCGTGATCATCGCCAAAGAAGTCCTTGCTCACAAAGCCGCCATCCACAGCGAACCCGAGGCTGTCTTCGTAAGAGTTGGAAGATCGAAGCCGGGAGAGGTACTTGATAGTCTGTTCCAGCCGTGGAGATGAGGAGGCGGGGCAACTCGAAGGGTTCTCGAGATACTCGCGGCGGTAGTCTCTTCGCGCCACACGATATCTTTCTAGGCTCCGGTCCACGATGGCTCGGTCCCGGTCCGACCGCTGTAACTGCTGCTGCGCCTGCCATGCGTGGCGGCTGGCTTCGTAACGGCTGCGCTCTCCCAAACCCGTGCTGGTCGTGGCGGAGCGGGAGGGGCTCCGGCGATCTCTCGATTCGCCATCCTGCGTCGCCCTATCCGCAGAGTCTCTGTCAGAAATGTACCGATGCATATAGTCTCGCGTGCGGGCTGAGAACCTGGGGTGTCTTCGAACAGACTGCAAGATTGCTGCAGACCTTAGCGAGCTCTCTGACGTCTGAGACGGCTGGTTAGAGCTCAGGAGCCTCGACGAATATGCGCGCCGTGACTCCCGCTCAGCATCCAACTGCGAGCGAGCCAGCTCGCGCAGTATGTCGGGGTGGGTGCTTGGCTGCCGCTGGCCCAGCTCTTGCAACAGCTGTTCTAGCTCCTCGTCGCCGTCTGCTTCGTTTGCGGGGGACCAGTCGTACAGGTTGTTCTGGCTCGGTATGCGGTCGCCGTAGGCTGGAGGTTCGTGTTGTCGACTCAGCCGGCTCATGACGCGGCGGAATCTGTCGTGGCGCTCTCTATCGTCGCTCTGCTCCTCCGAAGTCCGCCGCAACCGCTCCCGCGCATTCTCCGTCCGCCATTCGTCTTGGGGATCCAGGGGCGACCGCAGGAACCGCACGTTCTCGGCGTCGGCGTCGTCTTCGGCCTGGGTGGTTAGTGTGGCCGCGAGGTTGAGGACGGAGCTGGAGACGGGGCTCTCCAACTCACGCAGCGCCACCAGATACGACGGAGGGGTGGCAGCGCGCGACGCAGATTCCTACGCAAGACGGACAGGTCAACTGAGGCTCAATCGCGGAGGATGAAGCTGCGGGCGGGCAGGCAGCGGAGAGGTGGCGGATAGCGGAATACGTACTGCGATGGGACTGATGGCTCTCGAGTTTGCGGGTGGCATCGCTCGGGTCAGGCAGGCGTCGTCGATGCGGTCATGCGAGGGGGGATGGCGGAGGTACTGCGATGGTGATGCGATAAGGCAGCATGGTGTTGATGGGCGGAGGTCTGGGGACTGGGCGGAGGACGACACAAAGCGGCGGCCTGGCGGAGAAGAGATCACGGCAGCAGGGCAGGAACCTCAGGCAGCGACAAAGGACACAACCCGTCGTGAGACCCAGCAACTCTCGTTTTAGAGGCGCATCGTCCGCCGAGCTGCTGCTTCCGGCCTGCAAACACCAACATTCCGCTGCAGCAATTGGCCGTTCGCGAGTCAGCGCTGGTGGGGACTGAGGTTCCAACTCACCCCGGCTGCCATTGCCGTTTCACGACCTCGCAACGCGCGTAGATGTGTATCATCACTACGAGGATTGGGGTTATCACTCAGACGGGCAACGTAAAAGTAGCTTGTGGTCAATCTCTTCCATTTGTTTTATTAGATTTAGCATGTATGAGAAGCTAGCTTCTGTCCAGCATCTGGTTCTCTCCATCCATGGAGAGCGTCCCCGGGACCAGTCCCGGAGAGTAGGAGATGAGCCTACAGTCCCGCGCAGAGTGTTTGGGAGGAATGTGACTACAGCCAGAGGTACTTCAGCGCTGTTCTCCCGCAAGCAGAAGAGACAGTCTCCGAGAGCCATGCGCCACAGGCGAACCACGACTCGACCTGGGCTGTATCCGCCTCCTCCCATTCCCAGTGCGCAAGATAACATAGTGCGACATACCAGATGAGCACATGCTGTTGTTGCCGTGCCTCCCAGCGTGTCCTGCTGGCACTCAATGCCAGTCCGGGAAGACAAGAACCGGCGTGCAGACAAGGTCGAGTGGCATGCCATGCTCGTTCCATGTGCAACGCCGTTCGTAACGACAAGGAAAAACAATAAACGAACCGAGTGTGCCCGCCCCGTAGCCGTGAGGCTGTACCCGTCTTTAAAATGCGCGACATGCAAGCCTCCCAGAGATGCAGAACAGCAAGGAAAGGGCTGGTCCAGCCGGTGTGATGCAAAACAACCACAAAGGGAATCCAAAACACGCTCGCTAAAAAACAGACAGTACTAAACACGGATATCCAAGGAAATTTGTACGAGAGAAGAGAGTAAAGCAGTCGCTAAATCGATGAAACTCCGGCCCATGCTGTATTGTGGATGTTCGATAGACATCACTTCGTGCAACATCGCATATCTCGTCTCGTGTAGGGCGTCGTAAGGCTCTGCGCAGGGGCCTGGTCGCGGTAAAGGGGGGAGCAGAAGTGAAGCCACGAGCTCATCACAGCTCCGGTTAAGGTTTGACGTCTGAGCGCTGCTGTAGGCGCCTACGTGAAGGCGGCATACTGCGGTGCGAACTCATTGCCCCATCCGAACCCGCTGTAGCCCGTGTGCATAGCGCTCGACCCGCATTGCTGCGCGAGAACACTGGGCAGAGGGAGATTCGGGATGGGAGCAGTCGCCATAGGAGGGCTGTGATAGTGGCTCGAGGTGTAGAAAGGCTGGCTGAACGACGGCGTCGGCGACGGCAACTGAATATCGTTGAAGCCCACGGTGGTCCAGAAAGTCTGCTGCTGCTCGGAGCAGGTCGCGATCGTCGGGCTTGGTGTCGACGGCAGCACCCTCCAAGACTCAACCGGGGCTGGGTGAGGCGGTGGGACATGCTGGGTTGGTTGCCACCAGTTAACGCCTCCGGGGGAGCTTGGGAGAAGCGGCGCGGGCCTGACGACATCGACGATCCTGGGTGGAGGAGGAAGGAGCGGGAGGAACAGTCCCATGATGGAGTTCTTGACGTCCTCTCCCCTGCCATCTAGCAATTCTCCGGCACCATCCTCCTCCATTCCCTCCAATGCGCGGGAGCCTGTTCGAAACACGAAGCGGTTGGCGGCCTGCACAAACTCCTCCTGCAACTTCTTCAGCTGGGCCTCCTTCTCGGCCCAATTCCAGGTGCTCGCCGACACGTCGACGGAGTAGATGTCCTTGTGGTACTCGATGAGGGCCTCAATGGTCTCGGGGGTGAGCTTGAATGCAACCTCATGCTGCGACACCATGTCGACGTGTACGACGTAGGCCTCGATGTGGATGAGCTGGTAGTTGAACATGGCCTCAATCAATGGGTTATGGTCCTTGCGCAGCTCGGCATCGGGCGCCTTTGGCAGCATGATGGAGCACAGCGTCCAGATGGCACCGGAGCCGGAGAGGGTCTCTGTGAGACATCGATAGTGCTGGGGCACGCTATTGAGCGGGCGCTTGACTCGGTTGGTGCGCTTCAGCGTCTGCGTTAGCCACGGCTCCACCTTGTTGTTGAGGACGATGGTCGGGGCTGAGCGCGGCGCAAAGGCAGCCGCGGAGGCGGGTAGCAGCTGGATAGGCATGGCGGCAACGCGGCGAGATATGTGATGTATGCGACGATTATGGGCGGTGGTAACAACGACGACAAACAAAAGAGAGTAAAACGAAGTCTCAGGCGGTCCAATACAGGAATTACGGTTGCACGCCTTGTGTGAGAGAGAAGAAGGAGACGGACGAATGAGGGGGCGGAAGAGGAGGGTGAGAGGTGAGGGCAGCGTGGCTAGCAGTGGGGTGGTCGGGATATAAAGAGCAGTGGGTGGAGCAGGCCGAAGTGGCCACCCACTCGGCAAACCCAAGTCAGCTACTGCAGGTAGCCCCAACGGGCTGTGCACCGCGCATTCAACCTTTTGGAACTTACTTGTTTAATCGGAGGTGCATATGCACGCCTGGACGACGTCCAAGCTGACCGCGCCCGGCCTCGCGAGAGGCACGCCAGCCTGCACGCCTGGTTCGCCCGTGCTGCGCTGCCAGAAATTGCGACTCGCTGCCTCTCCGCGCTCCAGTCCGGCCTTCTTCCAAGGCCCTCTCGCACCACGGAGATGACGGCGTGAGGCTGCAGCTGGACCGGCTGCCACGGAAGCAAGCAGGGCAGGCCGAGTCGAAGGGCTCACGGCGGCGCTGAGGGCGAGGCTCGACCTGCCGTGGCAGCAGCAGCCTCCAGCAAGCTTCAGAGCGGGCCGCTCACGCTCTCCCCGTCCCCGCAGCACGGCTTGACATCAGGCGAGCCGGCAGATACACGCCGCAGACGAAGCAGCTGGCGGAGCGCTGGCCGTGGTTGGGTCTCTCGCGTCTGTCTGCGCGGTGATCTGGGATTCCAGAAGAGTGGGAACTTCGATTTGGCCCTCCCCGATGGAGATGCAGACGGCGCAGACTCTGCTTCGGGACGGCCGGCGAGGAAGGAGACTGTGGTCGGCTGGGCGCTGGTGGGCCTCGTGTGGGCAGCGGGCGGTGGAAGGGAGTGGTGTTGAGCAGGGGACGATAGTCGGTTGGTAGGCTGACGTTGTTCGGGCGAAGATGAAAGCGTCCCCCCGGCATGGCGCATCTTGATCGCATCCCTGCTGCCCGGTCTCATTGGGCTGCTGGATTCGACGACGACTGCCACCAGAGGCCCTTGATGGGCCGCGATGTCGCATCTGTCTCGGCGCGTACTGAAGCACCGCAGAGTCGCGCCATCCAAAGCTGGCGGGCAGCCATGACGACGGGCAGCTCTGGCATGTGTTTCAACCGGAGGCCGCGTCGTGGATGCGATGTTTCGACATGATCGACGGCGCGCATGAGGCGGTGCAGCACTCGGGACCCTTCCAGCGCTGTGGCGTAGGCGACGCCGAGGGCCGCAGGCGAGGTAGCGAGTTGCGTCTTCACCGGCCCGGGACCAGCGCTCGGTAGCGACACGTGACTCGCCATCGCCGAATCTATTCTTGTCCGCTGCCGTCACGTCCACATGTCTGGAAGCTGCCGGACACACGCGACCCCGTGCGAAGACTGGGCCTGGCAAGGAGGTTGAAGGCTGCGATGTTCGGAGAGAAGACCCGGCCTCGCGCTTGCGGCCGTTTCAATGTGGCTCTCTCCTTTCCTTGCAGTTCCGTCGATTGGGCGTGCTCTTGTGCAGCGACGCGACTGTGCGCGACCCCGGATTTGCCTGGTGCCTATCGAGTGCGCCATCTGGGTGGTATCGATAGCTATCCATGGCGTCGAGGTTTCAAAATCTGCAGCGAGCCCAAATGTGGCCCTCCCTGTGACTCGGGACAATCCATCCGCACAGACTGCGCCTCACCCAAATGCCAGTCTGGGGTCGCCGAATCCTGTTGTCGGTGTCCTTCCGTGCCTTCGTCGGTGCTCGCTCCACTCGGCTGTGGCGACACCCTCGCCATTGGAAGCTTTCTGGAAGCTTGGAGCATCGTGCATGAATTCATGCCCTCAGCTGCGCAAGGGTGCTTTCCAAGTCAGGTGAGCCCGCCGTCGCTGTGTCGCCCGACGGTAGGCGACGGGTCCAAAACCTCTCCTCTGTCCGCATATCAAGCTTCTTCTCTGGCCGCTCACGGCCGCATCGTCACCGCCAATCGATCAACTGACACTCCAGGTTTGCCGTTTCACGATCAACAGCTGCATGCGTCCACGTCGCCGTGCATGGCCTCCTGCAGCCGCTGTCAAGGCCAGCCAGCATGACTCACCCGACATTTCCGACGACCGGCCGCCCTCTCCCACCGCTTTCACGATCCAGTCCTTTTTGCATTCATCGAAAGTTTAATTTCATGTCTAGAAATCAGCAAGGTTCAGTCATGTCTCGTAAAATCTCAATCTTCGTCTTCTGATCACGTGATCTACATCTGCGACCCTGTAATGCCAAGTCGAAGCAGATCGGGGGGCATCGTCATGACCTACTTCTCTAGCTTCTACGAGCAGAATTATAGACGCCTCGGCATGAGTGGGCTCAACAATGTGATTAGTTCCTCGGAATAATCGACTCCATCCCTCTTGAGAACCTGAAAGTGTGTTGAGGTACCCCTGAGAGTAGCAAGGTGGTACATCTGCGGTACACCTATGGTACACCTATCGTAAGGCACTGTACAGGCCCGCTTGAACATCATCGGTTCTTTCTTCCCAAGACAGCCACGGACTTGGAGCCTGGATCCATTCGAAAGATGCCTCATTCAGCCCCTCAGCACGGTCGTCTCCGCATTGCCGCATCTTAAGTTGAAGCGATATTGCCAGGCCCTTTGTCGACTATGTTTCAGTGCAGGCCCCATTCCTGGAGCCGAACTTCGATCTGGTTGCGCGATTTTCTCGCTTGTATCAGGTCACGGCCATCACTGTTAACTTCAGCCTGCGTCGATCAGTGCTGCAAATCGTGACATCCATTCTGTTCGGGATGGCCGAATACCTCATCCCTTGCATGACGGATCACGATCCAGCAACGAATCTTCTAGCAACTCCGACATTGGGCCAAAGCGTTGGCAGGACGGCTCGCTGATGACACATTCCCCGGATACTCTGCACGATCTGAGATTCATTGGCCTTGGCTCTCGCCGAGCCCTATCGCGGCATGCAATACCTAGAGTGCTCAAATGATTGTAAGGAGCAAGACCAAATGAGCACCTGAATCAAATGAGCCATCGCATGCTTGCGATCACTTTGCTTTCGTGTCTTCACTCATGCTCTGCACTTACTAATTTGAGTTTGTGGAGGTCACGTACGGTCATGTGTCCAGGGTTACGCTTCCTCTGGGCTAGTCGTCGTTCCTCCACGTCGCGAGGCCTCCCTTTCTCACGCCACGTCTTGTCAACACTTAGCTATCTGTTCTTCGGCCTCGGTCCTCACAAGAGTCAAGGCTGATATCGGCAATCAATCTATCATAACTCCGCAGCGGGAATGTACTACTTTTGTCTATTCCAGTTCTAATAAGGTCAGTCCTCTAACACACTTCTTTAGTATCCACTTCAGACAAGCTCAAGGCCCCTTCTTATTCTCAGGCTCTTCGGAAAAGCTTAGGCCAGCGCTCTCAACCGATATCCTCCTCTCAGTCGTATGCTGGCGCTCGAGATTCGACTTCATCTGGTCAAGCACTCTTGCTGCCTCGGCTGCATACTTGCATTTGGCTCGAATCTTGGCCCCGTAGATGTAGAAGAGGATGGGGAAAGGGAAGCAAGCAAGCGCGATGAAGCCAGGCACGGCAGAGCCCCAGTGTATACCTAGGTTCTACGATCGAGTCAGCAAGTGAGAGTCAAAGCCGTCTTTGTGTACGTCACTAAGTCTAACATACCTCAAACATGGCCTTTCCAAACAACGGAAAGACACAGCCGAATAGAGACCTTATCACACTATTTGCCGCTAAAACGGAAGCAGCGTAAATCACATAAGAGTCGATCCTATTTTACATCAGAATTTCCTCGAGGTTGGTTGGGGACTTCCTTACAAATAATTAGTGTTGCACACGACGACTAAGACGAACCCTGCTCCAAATGGTGCTCCGGCGCAAATACTGGATGCCCAGTGAACACCTGGCGCGTTGGTAGCCGCGAACCAAGTGATACCGACAATAATCGAAATTCCACCATATATCACCGGCGGAAGACGCGTTTCTGGAGGTGCGAAGCCTCCATGGAGAGTATGCAGCTTCTTGTATCGTTCGTTGTCCCAGTAACCAATAGCGACACCTATCATCATCCCTGCAAAGACTCCTAGAAAGGCGAGCCCGCCGATGCCTTCACTCCAGCCGCGGCCTTGTTGGAAGACGATGGGGTAGGCCGCGAATAATAGATAAAGAGTCCCGTAAATGACCGACATATATATCTATTCAAATCACATGAGTTTAGTATTCGCCAGAATTGATTAGATAGTGCTTGGGTGCAGACTCACGGTCAGAATCATCACGATGGGCTCTCGGAACAGCAGAACCCAGGGCCGCAATAGCGCGGTTCGAAGGACTTGGCCGACGCTTACGACACGCTCTGCATCCATGGCAGTGAGGTATACATTTCCGGAAACCTCAGACAACCTCTTCGCTCGATCCCTTAGCAGTACAGGGCCAAATGTTTCCGGAATGAAAATGAATCCAATGACGGTAACGACTGCTGCGAAAATAGCCAGGAGAGCCAGCACCCATCTCCACCCACCGCTGTCGGCAAGAAAGCCACCAACGATTGGACCTAAAGATGGGCCCAGAAATGGAGTAGCAGTAAACAAGACGAGGGCAGCCCCACGAGTCTCCGCCGGAAATACGTCTGCTACAATCCCGCCAGGAATGACCATGGTGCTAGCGCCAAAGAGGCCAGCAAGCATCCGGAAAACGAGCAGTGTCTGGATGTTCTGTGAGGCTACACAGACAGAACTCCAGAATACGTACACTGCGAAGGTTGGAAAGATGATCTTCCTGCGTCCGTAGGTTTCAGACAGGGGGGCCCAGAGGAGTGGTCCGAAAGCGTAGCCAATCATCATCAGTGAGAGGCCAAGGAGAGCAACTTCTTCGCTGCAATGAAACTCTTCCATCACCTGAGCCAGGGCTCCAGTATATGTAGACGACGCCAGAGACACACAGAGAGATAGGACGGCTACCAGGACGAGGATTGTCCACTGTCGAACCGGACTCCACTGCTTGGGGTTCTCCGGGTCGTCGTTCAGCCCTATTTGAGTTTAGTATTCGCAAGAATTGATAGGATAGTGTTTGGGTGCAGACTCACATGTAACAATGTATGGATCTTCTGTAGTACCGCTTCCTTTGTAGCTATAGTCCACAAGGGCTTGGAAATCGGTGGCGTGTGGTCGCCATGGGTATGTCTTCAAAGTGTACGACGACAGGGACTTCGAAGGCATGCGTTCACCATCATCGGCTTTTTCAGCTACATCAGCGTAGTCTTTCTTTTCTACCTCGTATCCATTTCCAGGTTCGTCATTTCGTATGCTGTCGGTATCCGAATTCGACCTTGTTTCGCTCTGCCGACTGGGCTTGATAGCTTCGTCCAGGGAACCTTCGCGGATGCGAAGGCTAGCGCTCTCGGCGTTAGACGGAGACATGTGGCTCGATCGGAGAATTAGACGTAGTAGAGAGAGAAAAGGAAAGGTTTATCTAAGAGAAACGGTATTTGGAACCCGGTTTCGAGGCCAACGAAGAGGAGATAGAATCGCCACGAACCGCCGGAGACAAGAGGCTTTAAGAGCGAGCCCATGTCCATGGTAGCCATCATTGACAGATCCAGCGACCTGGCTTCCTTAGCCGCGGCCACCCAGCCAGGCAAACTCCAATAAGCGTGCGTGACCCCGCGCCTATCTATGTTTCAAGCAAGTGTTGCATGAAGCCTTGTGAAATTCTCGGAAATCGGGCTCTAACATTTACCCCTCACGTGCACAATACCAATGGTGTTGCACTGTGAATGGCTAGCCCCTGGCTCCTATATCGCCAAGATAGCATCTACGGCTAGTTCTGCCTGTTCGGCGCCGGGTGGTAGCCGAGTTCCGGGTCCCAAGAAATGATGCGATATTCGACCGCATGTTTAACTCCATACACACTATCAACTCGAGTATGCCCTTCATCCAACATGTCGGAAGAGCGAAGCGTAGCCCGTACCAGAGAAAGACGGGGTCAAGCATGTTCAGAATGCAAGTCCAAGAAGATTCGCTGTCTGCCAAGGGAAGGCAGCAATGTTTGCCAAAGGTTCGGACGACAGGATTGTATTTTCGCCTACTAGGCCTCTGACCGGGTAGCTAGATGCCATCAATACAATACCGAATGTTTTATACCAGAGTCCCGCCGTCCCAAACGCCAGACTCGGCACATACGCAATAGGATGGATCAGCTTGAGCAGAGCCTCACCAGCATCATGGGAATTCTCGCAACAGCGGCACCAGGAATTGCTGCTCTGGACACGCCGAACATCTCACACCCAACGCCGATTTCGTCAGCGCGTCTCTCTGTTGCGGCATCACAGTCATCGGAAACTTCCGATGACACGTCACGTGAATCTATCCATTCCGTTTCCCAGGAACTGCTCCTAGAGTCGTTAGCCTACTACCGCTCTATAGGCGGAAGCTTCGCGTGTGTACAGATCCCAGATCCGATGGATGTTCAAGTCTTTCGTCAGGAGAGACCATTCCTTCTGCTTGCCATTATTGTTGTTACGCGCTGGAGGCACCGGACTGACCAAACCAAACTCGAACAAGAGTTCTTGAAGGACATGGGCGAGCGTTTCTTTGTCAAGGGCGAAAAGTCCATGGACCTTCTTCAAGGGCTTTTAGTGTACCTGAGCTGGCAAGTTGACTCTAATTGCTCACTCGATACCATCTAATCGAGTCAAGGTACCACTTCTTCACACCTCAGCCATCCCAGCAAGGCTTCAGGCTGGCGTCATTAGCAGCAAACCTTGTAGTTGAGCTTGGTTTGCATAAGAAGCCTCAATGTTCGAGTCAACATGATGCCATCGTCGGCGTGGCTCATCCGTCGATATCTGGCGGGTTATCGGAGTTTTGGAAGCGCGAGGCACAACGCGCACTCATCGGAACATATCTTGCTTGCACTCTGTACATAACTATATTGTCGTTCATCTGCGCACGAGATATGGCTAACTCATGCAGATCTGCTATCCTTTTTCGCAAAGGAAATCCTTTGCAATATACCGAATACATGGAGCAATGCGCAGTCTCATTGGCAGAAGAATCACCGTACCCCTCTGACAAGATTCTGGTTCACTTCGTTCGACTGGTGTATATCAACGAGCAAGTGTATGACAATCTCCACCATGGAGACTGGGGTACTGGAGATACGACGAACGACGAGAAGATAAAGCTCCTCGTTGGTGCTATCGAGCGGCAACTCAAGAACTGGAAGTCCAAGTTGCCTCATGAATTAATGGATCACTGTCAGTAACACTCCAACCCCGAAAAGACGAGCATTGTTGAGCTGACTGGACAATAGACGAACTATGCGTCTGGCACAACCTCATAGATGCATACACTCACGAAGTCGGGCTATACGGAAGCTTACAAGGTCAACCTATCTCAATGACCCGAGTCGCCATCCTCTTTGACTGCTTAACCGCCGTACGCAGATATATGACTACCATCATGTCTCTCACTACTAGTGACATGAGTCAATGGACTGCATTCAAGTGGAGGCAGCTTGACTACATCATCAAGCTCGGGAGCCGCATCACGCATGTTCTCTATTCCAACACCTTCACCGAAGACTCTGTGTCCCGGATGATCAAATTCGAGAGCTCTTTGGATCAGCTCTGCTCTCGTACTCGGGCGATTCTGCAGTGGACAAACACGCCACAGGGAGAGCCTCACTATTTTGCGAGGCTCCTGGACCAGTGGGAGGCTATTAGAGTGTCGTTCCGGGCTTCTATCGATAAGGCAACAGTGCAGGACCAACAGCCTCAGCAATCGCTTGGGACGACTATTTCTACGGACATACCCGTAATGAGTCAACAAGTTCCCCTTGATGGAGACTATACCTACTTGGATACATGGTCGAATGCGGAGTTTTGGCTTGATTCTCTAAATTGACTAAGCAGGCTAGAAACGATCCTCGAAGTGGGCATATCGTGCGCACCGGATATTCTAAGCGGTTGAAGAGTGCTCAAGGCCGGCATGAACGCCTTGAAGGCAGTCCGTTATCTTGACGCCAATCATCGTACCATCCAAACAGGAGTCAAAAGCTAGGTCTAGTCACGATGTGAACGAGTGCCTGGAGGTGAGGTCGTAGCACTGGAGCATAAGATCGTATACACATCCATCTAACACTTCTCAGAACCTCGATATCTCCGCTGAAGCTGCAGAAACAAAACAACCTCGAAACTAGGTTGGAGGCCCTTAGAAGTAGCAGACAATTGTACATACACGAATCGGTGACGAGGCACTGTAAATTTTAATGCTTAAGGGATCGATGATATCCATGAAAGAGCTCCTCGAACGGGATCTAGTTGTTATCCATGATCTTTCATACGAGAAAGACGCAGAATGCGGGGTATCACGAGGCTTAATTCAGTCAAGCTTCCTAGAGATCCACCTATTGTTCTTTAAGGCTGAAACGCTTAGAAATACCTCCCACGTACCTCAATACGTAGTCTATACCAGACATGGTAGGTGGTACTATTGTCCAGCTTCTTGAAGCAGCAAGATCCGTGAGGCGCCGAAAATACTTCCTAACTACATTAACATAACGCCAGCTTCATGATGACATGATGAGAAGCCGATAAATTTAGGCTAGCGTGCTCAGCCTCTCCCGACGATTTCGCCAGCCTCAACCGTATAACCTTGCTTAAAATCTTGGGATATGTTTCAACTCGTTATAGCATCCACTTGAAAATTAGACGTGTGATCATTGATGGCGCCAGCGAGGCTTACTAGGTCTTGACACTACCCATAGATTCACACTTCACAACGTTCGTCTTGCCTTTTGAAGGTAAATGATCCTCGAAAAGATTTCCTCTTCGTAGATCACAATTCCTATCGCATTTCCAACTCTCTAGATCTTTATACACGCACTCTGCAAGATGATCTACTCCTTTTCCAACACCGGCCTCCTTGCTATCCCAAAAACTCTCCTTGTATCACTCACCTACGCCGACACCCCACTCAAGTCATCAAGACTGGATCAACACCAAATGGGTTCACCTCTCCTCCACGAGGTTGGAACTCCTACGCTGTCCAAAGTAACCCAGCTACAACCCCATCTTTTTGATTCGACCAAGCCGAGGTCATCACGCAATGTGATGAGCTGCCCGTTCTTGATTCGGGTCACGAATACTGCACTCTAAACTCCGGCTGGAGCGTCGGCGATCATGGCGATGAACACGGACGCATAATATTCGACCCTAGCAAGTTCTACTTACCGGCGTTGGCAGACCACCTCCATATAAGGGTCTGAAAGTCGGCGTCTACGTACTGCCTGGAGCATTTTGGAACGACGCAGAGAAGACGATTAAGGGGACGAGTATTAAGATCAATGATACTATGAGTGGAAATAATAACAGGTTCGCGCGGTGTGATTTTGATTTCGCGAAAGATAGGACGCAGTAGTAGCACGACTCTGTTGTTAAGCTGTTTGCTAAGTGGTAAGTATCTCTACTCAGGGTTAGCCTATTTGTTCTTGTATCATCTACTAACACGCAGCAGGGGCGTTGATCTCGTCAAATTGGACTACATCACTCCAGGATCTCCAGACAACGGTGCAAACCTTCCAGCGGATAGCAGCGGCTCAGTGATAGCTTTCCTTAAAGCGATCCAGAATTCTGGCCGCGAGGTGCGCCTCGATATCTCCTGGAAGCCGGTTCGGAGCAGCGAGTATTCCGCGACCTGGGCAGGCAATGCCGACAGCATGCGTACGGATCAGGACATCAACGAAAGCGGCTCGTCGACTTTTGTAAAGTGGGCCACTGTCCAAAGAGCCATTGACAACTACCGCGATTTCATCTCTGGCGTCGTCAAAGGCGACAGTAATACACTGACTATTTACCCGGACTGGGATAACTTACTCATTGGCAATGCTGCCAGCGTCAGCAGTGTCTCTGATGCACAGAGGCAGACGATTGCTACGCACTGGTTTGGCGCTGCTGCAAACCTTACCGTTGGCTCTGACCTCACGAACCTAGACGATCTGGGGCGTACGTTGCTCACAGACTCAGACGCGCTAGGGATAGTGGGACTCGCTGCAATGTTCTCTATGCAGTCACGCTAGGCACGAAAAAAGTGGCACACTCATCAAGTACTCTGCCTATGTGTACAGCTGTCCGCCACTGCATGGAGTGCTTCAACAAATTCCCACATAGCCCAAGGCGAAGAGCATTTGTCTTCTTTAGATTTCTGAAAATGTATTGAAGCACCCTGGGCAGTGGCAGACAGGTGTACACACAAGACAGCTTGTTCTAGAATTAGTGTGCCACCTTTTCCATGCCCCTCGTGGCAGCCTAGGAACCCTGAAACTGGTGGTTCGGACGCAAAGCAGCTACAAGCATGGGTTGATGGGCCTGCTGCGAGTACTGGCCAAGCTGTCGTCGTGTTAGTCAATTAGGGGCTTGATTGGGGCCAAGGCGGGTTTGGTACGAGCCGCAGTGGGACCCAGAATGTGACGGCCTCTTACGAGGATCTCGGCCTGATTGGGACATACAACGTGAAGGATATTTGGCAGAAGCAAGATCTGGGGAGCGCGAGTGGAGGTCTGAGTGTGGTATTGGACGAAGGCGAGAGTTATCTGTTTAATTTGACGCCTGTCTAGCCAGATGGCATTCTTTCTCTTCGAAATCTGTAGTAGGAGATTCGTAGGCCAAATAGGAAGGCAAAACTGAATATGGCCATGTCATGGCCATGCTTTCGAAGCCGAGTATGGCTCTCAGGGCCGCATGCTTTGAGTGCCATGCAGAGGAAGACCACAAGGGCCTTACAAAACGCAACTACATCGCTCTGATAGTACATATATCTGGGATATTTTAGTGTCCATAAAGAATGATCGAAGTGTTCCCTCGATTTAAGGTCTATGAGCATTCACGGCTGCGAAACCACCCTAATGCGGCTGCACGGGCCGCGATATTGATTCTCCGACGTGGATTTTCGAGACGGGACAGTCATACCGCAGCTTCAACCCCCAAGCTGCCTCGCGAGGGTGCCACGCCGAACTTCTGGTCGCATTGGCCCACTGAAACTCCCGCCTACCTGACAGTCCCAAAAGATCGACTTTTCGACCCCAAAAGTGTCACTGACGACCCCTCCGCACGATCGAACTACCCCACTACGAACGCAAGGAAGAGGAACTGATTTCTACTATCCAATTGCAACCTCTTTACTTCCACAACTACGCCACTTAAGTGTTTGCGTTCCGCAATACCCGTCCATAGCTCGCCCTCTTTCAGGGTTCACCGCAGCCATGCCTACGATCGCCGTTGACAAGGCGGCGCTATACGAGGCTTTGGGAAAACAATATACTACCGAGGAATTCGACGAGCTATGCTTCGAATTCGGGATTGAGCTAGACGAAGACACAAGTACGAGCAAGAAGGCAGAGGATCTGGCGCAGCCGCCGCAGTTGAAGATCGAGATTCCTGCGAACAGATATGACATGCTATGCTTCGAGGGCATTGCAATGAACTTGAGGGTATATTTGGAGAAGGAGAAGCTACCAAAGTTCTCGTTGACCCCTCCTTCTGGGGGTGAGCTACAAGTGTTGAATGTGGACGAGTCTGTGAGTGGCATACTTGGGGACCATTTCTCATTAAGGTCATAGTGCTGATATGAAATTAGACCTCGAAGATCCGGCCCCTCATTGCGGGATGCATACTACGGAATATCAAGTTCACACAAGCGAGATATGATAGCTTCATTGCGCTCCAGGACAAGCTGCATCAAAATCTGGCTCGACAGCGGACATTGGTCTCCATCGGAACACATGATCTTGATACCATCAAAGGGCCCTTCAGCTACGAGGCATTGCCGCCAGAGGAGATTGAGTTCACTCCGTTAAATCAGACGAAGAAGATGAACGCGAAGCAGATGATGGAGTTCTATGAGAAAGACAAGCACCTTGGCCGCTACCTTCACATAATACGAGACAGCCCGGTCTATCCCGTACTATATGACGCCAATCGAACTGTCCTTTCACTCCCACCCATCATCAACGGCAACCACTCCAAGATCACCCTTGATACAAAAAATGTCCTGATCGAAATCACCGCAACCGACAAGACAAAAGTTGAAATTGTCTGCCACATGCTAGTCGCGATGTTTGCAGGATACGCGGAAGCTGTCGAACCTTTGAAGATTGTGTCACCACACAACCAGGAGTCTCGGGAGGAGCCCGATCTGACTCCCCGAGAAATGCAAGCCGAAGTTCCCTATCTCAACCAAGTCACTGGACTTGATCTTAGTCCTTCAGAAATATCACATCTACTTCAACGCATGGGATACGACGCAAAACCAAACCCGACAGATGACTCGCTCCTCAGCATCAGCGTTCCGATCACACGAGCTGATGTCCTGCACCAAGCAGACATCATGGAAGACCTGGCCATCGCGTATGGCTTCAACAAGCTCCCTCGCTTCTACCCTAACAAGACCGCATCTGTGGCTGCGCCCCTTCCCATCAACAGGCTTGGTGACATTGTCAGGCTAGAAGGAGCCATGGCCGGCTTCTCAGAAGTCATGCCGCTGATTCTCTGCTCACACGACGAGAACTTCGCATGGTTGAACCGCAAAGACGACGGAAGCACTGCGATCAGACTGCAGAACCCCAAGACGGCAGAATACCAAATCGTTCGGACGTCACTGCTGCCAGGCCTCCTCAAGACCCTAAATTCGAATAAGCATCGCAGCGTGCCGCTGAAAATCTTCGAGGTCAGTGATGTCGGGTTCAAGGACCTGAAACAAGAGAGGAAGAGCAGGAATGAGAGGCATTTTGCGGCCGCTTACTTAGGCAAGTCGTCTGGATTCGAGGTCGTGCATGGCCTGTTGGATCGCATCATGATGATGTTGCAATCGGCTTTCATCACGAGAGAGGATAGACTGAAGGATGATAAAAAGGAGGGATACTGGATTGAGGAGATTGAAGGTAACATCACTTTTCTTCTTAGGGGTGCGGTAGATATGCTAACCATACTGTGTTTTAGACGCTACATACCTGCCCGGCCACGCCGCGAAGGTGATTTTACGGCTTGATGGCAAGGAGCGCGTCATCGGCTCCTTTGGCATCTTGCACCCGTCTGTCCTACAGAAGTTCGAACTCGGATACCCGGTTAGTACGCTGGAGTTGAACCTGGAGGTTTTCTTATAGATGTGTGTTGCGGAGCTGGCTTGTGTCAATCTCTGGGGTCGCATAATTAGCGGTGCTTCTTAGCGTACATAGTAGACTCAAGTTTGAAGACGGGGAAAAGCCCGTCTTTCTTCTCCAGCACCGGATAGAGAGACAGACCACCTATGAGTAACTTCAAAGAGGAGTTAAGCTAGTATGGCAAGTCGTAAGGTGAAGTGACGACACGCTACCGTTGAGTAACTCTTGCAGGGTAGCAGAGCGTGCGTGTAGAGACCTGAGGCTGTGGATAAACCCATAACAACGCGGTGTATGTATGTAGTTCCAAGCTTGTCATCTTTCGCATAGAGCTTCTATTAGGAGAAGTGAATGGTAAACATCTTGCACTGCATTGGAGACATATATTACTTCTCGAGCAGACCCCGGGGGAAAATCATGAGTCCCTGGCTTAAATACATGACTCTTCCCCGCAAGAGTGGTGGTGATGCACTAATTGTAGTCCCGAAGAGGACTGCGGCCATACTGTTCTCGTGAACTAAGCCTCAACTAGCAAGTGCACCCGAGTTTTCCCCCAATCGCAGTTTGCTCAAAGGCCGGCCCGTAATCAAGAAGGTGCCCATGATCGGACTGCAAAGAAGAGTCACCATTCAACCCCCACCAGACCAGTCGACGAATATATAAATACTACCTTGTTCTGAGGGAAAGAAACAAGTTTGAGACAACTCAGTTCGAAAATCTTGTCAACATGGCATCCCCGGCCTACGAAAAGACCCCTGTTAATACTGTGAAGCGGTTGGGTAAAGAGAGAGGTAATACAGCTGTTTCTACATCAATCATCATCACTCTCTAACACCCTCATCCTTCCCCATTTCATTTCAACTGCTTTGTTCTTTCGAAGTCAATTGACATTCTCAGGCAACTACGACTACAAAAATGTCCACAGCATCGTCAATTCCAGCCCAGTCGTCCATGTCTCCTTCAACCCCATCGCAGCCGACGACCCATTTCCCGCCGTGCTACCCATGCTAGGCGTCACCGGCTCCTTCACCTCGCAAGACGCCGACCCAGCAACCAGCGAGCAGGACCTCTACATCCACGGCTACGTCGGCTCGCGCCTGATGAAGCAGTCCTCCGCCAGCGGCGACGACCAAGGCACCCCTGTGACCGTCGCAGCCACCCTAATGGACGGCCTGGTCCTCGCCCTCACGCCCAACCACCACAGCTGCAACTACCGCTCCGCCGTCGTCTTCGGCTACGCCTCGCTCGTGACCGACGAGGCCGAGAAGCTGTATGCCCTGGAGCTCATCACGAACAACATGATCCCCAATCTCTGGGCTAACTGCCGCGTTCCGCCGAACAAGACGGAGATGACGAGCACGACTATCTTGCGGGTGAAGATCAGCCTTGCGAGTGCGAAAATTAGGAGTGGGGGCCCGAGCGAGGATAGGCATGATGCGAAGGATGAGGCGTTGAGGAAGAGGGTGTGGACGGGGGTAGTGCCAAGCTGGACGCAGTGGGGGGAACCTATTCCGGCGAAGGCGACACTGGTAGAGGAGGTGCCGGAGCATGTGGAGAGTTGGAGGGCGCTGGCGAATAGGGATGGGAGGGTGGGTGCTTATGAGGCGGCGGTCGAGAAAGAGAAATAGGGGACACACTGAGACCCGATGCAAGGTGCTAGGTGCAGGATTTTGGGAGTATGGTGGATTCAACCCCTCCATCAGATTGATCCAGACCGGGATATAAGGAGATTATGACAACAATACTGATTTACCTACGAGGCTGATGTTCGTGAGCACGATGGGAATTTCTATGTGACTCTAATAACAGATGCCCTTGGTATGTATGACTATAGTGAATGTGTGGCCATTGCGGTATATTCATGACTTCGTCCCCGCAAGTCACGTGGGGTCTGATACTGGAGAATAACTTGGGAGGCGGAATCGATAAATCTATCTGACAGTAATTGCGTAGCTCAGAGGGCTAATAGGCCGGTCAAAAAGTGCTTGATACACACCTTGCTCAGATCTTGGAGAATGTAGAGAAACACTTTGAATAGCGCCAACAAGCAGTGCAAGAACTGAAGGCGGGATAGATTCTTGGATAATAATGAAGCTGTCTCGAACTAGACTCTGATGAAAACGCAAGGCGCTGAAGGCTGTTTCTTGCCCGATGTCGGTCAATGGGAGCATCGCTTCAAAATGAGTAGCGAATAATCTTGACGCGAATGCATGAAGTGGATATTCAAAGCCTCTTTGAGTAGGGCTCTAGTGATCTGAGATGAGAGAAGAAGTTGCCCAGACATCCCCGCCACATTTGTGTGGCTGTTGGCCCCGACAACCCGCAACGCTGGACCTCAAGAAGCCTCCAACCCTTTGCATCATCGCCAGCAAAACCAACATCCAGTGCGCCCCCAAACACCTGCCTGCCTTCCACACCCCGTCAAGCTGGGGTAGACGCCTACCACTACACTCTCCCGCGACCCTGCCGCCACGTCCACCTCGCCTCGAATTTCCCGCCCTCCTGCCTCATTGCCAGCTCGCCCAGTCACTCCGTACGCCAACACGATCTTGCGCTCTGCGTGTGCCTCTATTCACCCGAGATTCTGACTCTGTGTAGCTTGGACGGGGAATTGCCTCCCACGCCGTATTCCTCCGACTCCTCTCACCGGCTTCTCCCACCAAATAATCACCAATACCCAGAACAGGAACCATGGAGGGCGCGAACCAAACCGACGAGCTGTACCCAATCGCTGTTCTGATCGACGAGCTCAAGCATGACGATGTCTTGCTGCGATTGAACGCGATCCATCGTCTCTCCACCATCGCGCTGGCCCTCGGCGCGGAGAGAACAAGAGATGAGCTGATACCCTTCCTTGATGGTATGGCACAAACACACCTGAAGCACAATAAGAAATACATGGCTAACAGCTGGTGTAGAATCGGTGGAAGACGAGGATGAGGTGTTGACTGCCTTGAGCGAAGAATTGGGCAATTTTGTTGAGTATGTGGGGGGCCCTGAGTATGGTCATGTCTTGCTCTCACCGCTAGAGAATCTCGCAGCGATAGAGGAGCCGCTGGTTAGGGAGAAGGTATTTACCGTCGCAAAATGCCCGCAATTGAGCTTTTGCTAACAATCACATGCAGGCTGTGGAGTCCTTGAACAAAATCTGCGAGCAGCTGTCCCAGCAGCAGATCGAGGAATATTTCATTCCGCTCGTGGTCCATCTTTCGAAAGCAGATTGGTTCACCTCCAAGATTTCCGCGACCGGCCTCTACAACGTCCCCTACACTCGAGCTACCCCTCCATCCCAGGAAGGGCTGAGGCAACAATACGGAGCACTTGTTCACGATGACACGCCCATGGTGCGGAGACAATCCGCCAGCAACTTGGCCAAGTTTATCAAAACTATGCCCGCGGCTATCGTCATCGATGAGATGATTCCGTTGTTCCAACACCTTGCCAGCGACGATCAGGATAGCGTGAGGCTCTTGACGGTGGATATACTCATTGCAATCGCCGAGGCTGTACCGAAGGAGCAACAATCCAGCCATGGTGTTCTGCTCACGGCCTTACGGAGCTTGTTTGAGGACAAGAGCTGGCGAGTGCGGTACATGGTGGCAGATCGATTTGAGAAGGTAATAAGTGCATATCCCGCTGTTTCATTCTAGATTATGGCTAACATCTCTGTTCAGATTGCGAAAGCCGTCGACGAGGAAGTGGTCAGCAGGGATTTGGTCCCGTCTTTCGTCAAGCTTCTCAAGGATACTGAAGCGGAGGTGCGGAGTGCAATTGCGGGGCAGATTCCCGGTAAGTTGTTTTGAGTTTATGTTCCAAAGTCTTGGCCCACAATCTGACCGCGATAGGTTTCTGCGCTCTGCTTGAGGGAGATATCCTTCTCCACGACGTTATGCCGAGCATAGAAGAGCTTGTCTCAGATCAATCTCAGCATGTCCGCGCAGCTCTTGGCACCCAAATCAGCGGGCTGGCCCCGATTCTCGGAAAGGATGAGTATGTCACCCTTTTACATCTCTACTATGGCACTGCAGCTAATCATTTGGCCCAGGACTATCTCCCATCTCCTTCCGATGTTCCTTCAGATGCTCAAGGATGAGTTCCCAGATGTTCGGCTGAACATCATCTCAAAGCTTGAGCTCGTCAACAATGGTACGTCCGGTCACGCGACCAACTGGTAACGAGATCTAACACTTACTCCAGTGATCGGCATCGAGCTGCTTTCTCAATCTCTCCTTCCCGCAATCGTGACCTTAGCAGAGGACAAGCAATGGCGCGTCCGACTCGCAATCATCGAATACGTTCCTCTCCTCGCTTCCCAATTGGGAGTGAAGTTCTTCGACGAGAAGCTCAGCAGCCTGTGCATGAGCTGGCTTGGAGACACTGTGTTTTCCATTCGAGAAGCCTCAACGCAGAACCTGAAGAAGCTTACCGAAGTTTTCGGAGTAGAGTGGGCCAACGAAGCCATCATCCCCAAAGTCATAGCCATGGGCCAACATCCAAACTACCTATACCGAATGACTACCTGCTTCGCCGTTTCTGTAAGCTTACAGTTTCCCAATGCTTCGTAATACATTGCCTTGGTACTAATAATAGTTCTAGACTCTTGCACCGGCTCTTAGCCTCGAAGTGATTGAAGCATCGATTCTGCCCATGATGGATAAGCTGGTCAACGATGATATCCCCAACATCCGCTTCAATGTCGCCAAATCCTACGCTGTGCTCATCGATACCCTGAAACAGCTTCCGGAACACGGAACTGTTCTCTCTCTCCAGAAAGCCGGAACACCGGGAACCGGCTGCCCGAAGGGACAGGATCTAATCGCCAAGCAGATTCTCCCCAATTTAGAGAAGTTACAGCAGGACGACGATGTCGACGTGAGGTATTTTGCGACCACGGCTGCGCAGAGCTTTACAGATGCAATGCAGACGTAGGGCAGCATAGACTTGACGACGACGAACGGTTGGGATATGGACAGTTGCTGGTCACTACGAAAGCATTGCTTGACACTAATGAAACGGTCGAGGCTTGGTTTGGGATGGGTAGAGGAGCTTGAGAGGGGAGAATCAGACGTGGTAGCGTGCATAGAGCGGGCGGAGCGAGAGCAGAGGGGAAATACGTAGGCAGGGAGTCGCCCTGGCTGGATTTTCCTACTGAAATCAACCTGTCTCAACCTGTTTGCGGCTCTTACGTCTCCCTTCTCTACCAAGGCTCCGCTGTGTATGGGGGGGTTGGGGTATGGGCACGACGGTAAACTCAAGATTACCCACTTTTAGACACGAGCTCAATACTTTCGAAATGCATGGTTTTGGGAGTTCTGGACACGTGCATCTGCATAGTTTGTGTTTTTCATGATTGATTCTGTAGTTGATGGAGGTAGGCTCTACTGCCTCGGGTACAAGACGTTCATTTCCCGATTCCCTAAGTGAAGCCCTCCAACTCCATCTCATCAAAGCCGCTCATGGTAGAGAACCCCGCTGTCTTAGACAGCACCAGCCTCCTTCAGCAGATTCGGCAATTGTGATTTCTGAGCCTGGAGATCCGAATTGCCGCCGATGTGCTTCTGCGCGATGAAGATGTTGGGGACGGAGCGCTGGGAAGTGATTTCCTCCAGCGCATCTTGAATCGCGCTACCGTCATCTATTCATAACACAAATTAGCATGTCTTCTAGAACCGATTCGGGAATTTAATTATTCGCGACGTACCGACTTGATCAAGCTCGATGGAGTAGAACTTTGCGCCGAGGGCGGAGAGGGTGGCCTTGGTGGCCTTGCAGTAAGGGCAGTAGCTCTTGCTGAAGACGGCGACGGCGTTGTCGTCGATGATGCCTTGGGCCTTGGTCTTTGCGGCGGACATGGTGGTTGGGCTGGAGGCGCGCGTGAAGAAGTGGCGTAGGAAGGAAATGGTGGCGGTGTTTGTGAAGCGTCGAGGTGGTTGAGAGGGCGGGGCTTGGTGGAACTGTTATATATGCCCAAAGGGTCTAGGAAAAGGGTCTGGTCTCGTCAGATTTGGAATGAGGTGCTGATTAGATATCACTGTGCTGCGCGCCCCGCGTAGAAGGAATCATCCCGATGATGCCATCGCCGAGGGGAATGGAGTCAATTAGCCCCTTTTAGCTGAGACAAAGGCTGCCACACCAGTGACACTGCTGAAGATTCCGAATCAATCACGTGACGGATGCGTAATCCGGTGTATTAGCGGCAATGCGGCGACTCGTCATCAACTCATGCCGCGCGTGCCGTCCTCGGACGGGTGACTTTATTTCGTACATCCGAGAGACCCTGGAGCCACATCGTCCTCTCCAGCTCCACGATAGTAACAGATATCACATCGCTCCAACTCGCCATAGAAATGGAGGTGCTTGTCCACCCCTAAACCGCCCTTGTTCCACTGCAGCCTCACGACCACCTTCTCCTTCAGAACTGACCGGCACGATGGGGGGCTCTTCCGCAGGCTCCGATGTCTTCTTTTCCGGCGCATTGCTCACAATATGTCTCCTCGTCCTTCTGCTCCTCCGCTACTACCTCCCGCTCCGGACGACGCCCATGTATGTGCTCGTCCCCGTATTCCTCGCCATCTCCTTGCCCGCGAGCATAGTACTCCTAGTCCCGATTGATCTTGCGTCGACTGCTGGGACGGACACGGGAGGGAACAGGGGGATATGGCTTCCACACCGGGCTATGTTGGTCAGCTGGAGGATAACATACTGGCTGACCTTTGCGTTGACATGGTGAGTCGCCTGTCTTCATGCCCTTGGTAGGTACAACGTTCCATGGATACTCATGAAGTCTAGGGTAATTCTCCCGCTCCTTGGAGAGTATTGCGATGCAGGCTATCGCGACCCGAAAGATCGATTCCTCTACGCCCTTCGTACCAATGGCCGATACCAGCTGATTACGCTCGGATCTGGCGTCGTCGGAGCCATATACTTCATCTTCCAAAATGGGTTTGACTTTGAGACCATGAAGGCATTGGTTATGGCATTGGCATACTCATGGGGTTTGGTACTAGCCATATACCTCATGGGCCACGGTCTTGTCGCACTACCGCGATCCTTGTATCGGAATGCCAGCATAAGTAATCGCCTTCGACGCCTACAATCACAAGCGCCGAATATCCATGAGAAGCTCACGGAAGCCCTGGATAAACTTGATCAGTATGAGTCGCAAGTTGTGCAGCTCAAGCTTCGAAAAAATGGCATCACCAGAGCCTTCCAAGAGTGGATAGATGAGCTTGCTGAATCATCCTCCTTGCCGGAAGCCAGGGGTTCCTCAATCTCATCAACCAGTCGAGCATCGACCTCGACGGTGCCGCCTGTTATTACAGAACGCTATCTTGCTGATTTGACCCGCAAACTCAAGCGTGCACGACACGCTAAAATGCGTTTCTCGGATTCCTGGGATCACTTAGTACGCAACGCGATAGATACACAGGCAATCCTCGACTCAGCAGCTTCTAAGCGCCTCGAATTCCAGGTCTCTCCTTTTGCTGCGCCAGCCCCTACCTTTTATTCTCGCATTACTGTCCTAACCCCATATACCCGCTACCTTCTACATACGCACGTTATTCCATTACTTTACTACGTTACATCCGCGGTATTTGCCCTTGCCTCAGTCTCTATTATCTGGTCTGAGATTGTAAAATCTCTCGACGAGGCGAAGCTGTCCATCGTAGGCCTCACAGTCGTACATCACCCCGAGTCTAATAGGGGTAAAATTGGCTTCGCAGGCCAATTCATCGCTGGTGTCTGGCTAAGTTATATGTGTGCTTGCGCCTTCTTTTCTTTGACCGAAGTCAAGATATGGGGCAATAGGGCGCTTGTGCGGCGCGGAACATACCTGGAATCGGCCACCTGGTACGCGCTTCAGGTCGCGAAGCTCACAGTACCACTGTCATTCAATTTCACCACCTTTGTGGATCCCAAAATTTACAAGGCTAGCTCGTTCTATCTTTTCCTAGGTCGGCTCATCGACCTTACTCCGCTCGGTTCGGGCTTCTCGTCCTTCTTCCCCATTTTCGTACTTGTTCCGGTGCTAGCGACCAGTTTTAATTTGTACGGCAAGATCAAGAACATCTGCGGGTTTGGCGATCTACTAGAGGATGAGGACGATACCGGTGATGGAGCCAGCGTCTACGGCGCCGGGAGCTGGCGCGAAGGACGCGCGTTGATTGACCGTGAGATCCACGGTGCGAGTGGGAATACATTGGGCCTTGCCCAACGAGGAGGCGCCACATCAAGCCCTCCAAATGGAGGTTACAGAGACAACCCGCCGGCAAGCAATGGAACAGCTGGGGCCTCGAGAAGGCCGCAGGCGAGGAGATCTGTAGTGGAAGATGAGGAGGACGGTAACTTCCTCTCCGACTTCGGCACTAGGGTCAAGAACACGTTCCCCTGGTTCGACGAAACCGAATTCCGAAGACCCAAATGGATGGGCGGGAGAGACGGCGACGAAGGCACAGAGAACAGCGGTGCGGCAGCCACTGGAACCCAAAGGAGAGAGGGACTCGCGAGGTGGTTCGGCGGTGGCCCGTCAGAGGGACGGGTGAGACTTTAGATTTCGGCACAGGACAGTTGTTTGCATTCATGCATTGCGGGGTCGGTTTGGCTGCGTGGCTGGGTTGGTAACATGGATAAGTGTGGGTGTTTTAGACTCGGTTGTATTAGTAGCGAGCGCGCTCCACGGTGAGGATACCACGGGTGCATAGAATCCTTGTCCGGAGTACGGGGGCATTACGTGTTTAGCGAGCGGTGGGGTAACAATGGTCGGAGAATTAGTCAGAACGTATAATATGGGTGAAGAGCCCTCTCTGTTTCGAACCCCAAGAATATCTAATGTGAAGTTCAACGTGGATATTCGAGTTCGTCGCCGTGATTGGGTTTGTTAGGCTTGCTACTTGTGCTGCACGTGGGCCCTATTCTTATACGAGTGGGGTCAAGTCACGACCAAGGAACATTTGAACGGCGACAAGCTGTGCTACGCTGTCTCCAAGCCGACCTGTCAAACTCAGGTGTATATGTGTAGGATGGGCGTTGGTTGGTACCACGAAAAGAACGGCAGACGGATCGAGAACAGGAGGAGCCAGCACGGTACCAAGTGTAGTAGCGGCTAGAATATTAACGAAAGGAGGGCGAGTAGGAAAATGAAGCGTGGTGGTTAGTGCCACGGTTGCGCCCTGCGGCTGGGCTCACAGGCTACCTAGATCGTCGTTTCGCTCCTGGGCCAGTGCTCATGGTGATGTAAGAAGATGCTATGTCAGAGTTGGCTGCTATCTCTCTGCTGTGCCGCACTCGTGATGGATCTGATATGGCTATGTGGCATGTGTGGCTACTGGTCGGTACGCAGAACCGCGATCCCCGCATGACGCGACGTCTCCAGAACGCGTGTGGCTGTGAGAGCGAGATGTGGCGGTGCTGTGGCAACGCTGGATAGGGCAATCAGATCGTGCGAGTCATGCTGCAGTGGAGACGAGATGACGGCACGCTGCTCCCGGACGGGCGCGCACAAATCAAACAGCGTGCAAACGCTGGCGAGCTGCTCAGGCTGGCACCCGCGCTGCGGATTGCGGCATTCCCTGCTTCTCGGATTACTAGCTAGCCACCACGACGCTTGGCACGCGACATTGCTACCTCTCGTCCCCTCCATCCCACGCTGAACGCCCTGTACACCACTGAATCGGCACCACCTCGATGGGACAACCTTCTGACGATTCTAGCAAAATAGGCAGTATCAAGTCCTGGGTCAACGCTCATGGCTTGAGACGTCACAAGAAGGACACTCCGACCTCCATTCTCCCCACTGCGCATTCCGCCGTCACCAATGGCAGCACCCCCCCGACGCGCGCCGTCGACCACACATCTGAGAAGCCCGACTATGGCAGCGGCACGCTCAATAGCGAAGCCAACAGCAACAATGTTGCCGACAATACATCGACTTCGCCGCCGCCGCCGGCCCCCCCTCCGCATAACGTGGCTGCAGCTGCGGGCGAGACAACTTCCGCCCTAGAGAAGGACGCCAAACCCGGGTTAACCACGCGCATGAAAAATGGCTCGATACGATTTGGCACACACCTGAAAGAGGCAGTGTGCTACACCTGGCTCAATGTGCTGCTGGTCTTCGTGCCCATTGGCATTGCCACGAAGCCCGCCGGGTTGAATCCCGTCATCATCTTCTCCATGAACGCTGTCGCTATTATTCCCCTAGCCGGAATGCTCGCCCACGCGACTGAAAGCGTGGCTGCGAGGCTGGGCGATACGCTGGGAGCCTTACTGAATGTATCCTTCGGCAACGCCGTTGAACTGATCCTATTCATCATCTTACTCGCTGGGAACCAGATCCGCGTTGTCCAGGCCGCGCTTCTGGGATCCATCTTGGCGAACTTGCTCCTCATTCTGGGCATGGCATTCCTACTCGGTGGCCTGCGCTACCAGGAACAGGTCAGTCAGCTTCCTGGTCACTATTGGTCGAGGTACTAACAACTCACGATAGGTCTACAACAGTACCATTACCCAGATGAGCGCTTGTATGCTCAGTCTAGCAGTCATGAGTCTTCTCCTCCCAACAGCATTCCACTCCGCGTTTGCTAGTTATGCGAAGGCCGACCTGCAGACTCTCAAAGTCAGCCGCGGCACGAGTGTCATCCTACTCCTCATCTACATCCTCTACCTTTTGTTCCAGCTCAAGTCTCATGCATACATGTATGCCAGTACTCCACAGCACATCATCGACGAGGAATCCCATCCCGGTCTCCTCGCGGATATGCTCAACTCGTCAAGCTCATCAGATAGTTCTTCAGACTCGAGCAGCACCGACTCGGACGGATCGTCCGGCTCGCACACCACGGCCAAGAGGTTCAAGCGCGCCTTCAGGAACCGCAAGCGCCGTAAGTCTAGTGCCAGCTCAAAGGACACGCATTCTATCCCCTCGGTCATGAGCTCGCCCTCCGTCGAGAACCACAAAAACTTCTTTGAAAGCCAGAGAGCCGGTCAAGAGAGCGCCATCGAGGATCAACAGAGAGCTGTCTCTCGACGTGAATCGGTTCTCGGTGCTATCATGAGTGGTGATGAAGCGGACACTGATGACATCGCTCGCTTTGATAATGCACCGCGTGTGCGCGACTTCGAGGCCGGCTCCTCTATTTCTCCACCCAACGGCAAGCGCGAGAAGCGCCAGAAGAAGACCCGCAAGCAGAAGCACAAGAGGCATAGCCACGGGTCTGAAAAGTTCGACGAGAAGGACGACGTCAAAGGCAAGACCAAGGTAGTTGCGGATGACGCTGCTGCGCCTAAGGTGGCCTTCGCCGAAGACTTGGCCATGGAGCTCCCTCAGGCAAAACGGCCTTTCGCGCTCCGTCCAGCACTTCCATCTCTGCTGTCTAATAATGTATTCTCAAATCCCCCGCAACCCCCAGCATTATCCGGATCTCCCTCCTTAGGCGCAATTCCTCCCGGGAGACCCAGGAGTCTCCGCCGGACCGCCTCCCTCCCTGACCGCATCAACAGACCGTTGACGCAAGTACCATCGAACAGCCGCGCTCCCGTGCAACCTCACCCAGTCCAGGTCAATTCTGGCCTACACGAAGAGGTCGAAGAGGAGGAGCTTATGTCACGCACTACAGCCATAATGATGCTAATAATCAGCACGGGCTTAGTCGCAATCTGCGCCGACTTCATGAGCGACGCCATCGAGCCCATGGTCGAGAGCACTGGTATCAGCCAAGCCTTTATCGGATTGATTATCTTGCCTATCGTCGGCAATGCCGCCGAGCACGTTACAGCTGTCACAGTCGCTGCAAAGAATAAGATGGATCTGGCTATTGGTGTTGCTGTTGGTAGCAGTATTCAGATTGGTCCGTCCCCCTTCTTCCTTCTTTTCTTTCTCCAACAGTATACTTACACTCAACCACAGCAATCTTCATCACCCCCGTCATTGTAATCCTCGGTTGGTGCATGGCCAAGCCCATGAGCCTGTACTTCAACATCTTCGAGACTGTTTCGCTCTTCGTGACAGCTTTCGTAGTCAACTTCCTTGTCCTGGACGGGCGGAGTAATTACCTAGAAGGCAGCTTGCTAATTGCGGCTTATGTTATCATTGCGTAAGTGTTTACCCCTTTACCCCTCTTGATCCTCAATGAAGTGCTAATGACTGAACAGTGTGGCATCTTTCTTCTACCCCGACGGGTGCGATGCCAGCCCCATCGGTGGGCAGGAGGGCATATGCTCGTAAATCCCCACCTCTACCTCTTCGCTTCTGCGTCTGTGGGTGTGGGTGAGCACACATGACGTATCTTGGCCTCTTCGAACGGATTCATTCGCTTTCCAGGCAACGGTTTTGCGGCAACGGGATAAATTGACAAATTGATTGAATGAATGAATGATGGTGGTAGTTTTTTTTGGGTTTTTTTTTTAGCAACGGGGTGTTGCTTCTATGATTCGTCTGGTATACCGTTATACTACAGACAGATATATCAGACCCACACTCGCTATAATCCATACATGCTAGGCCCTATCGGGACTGAGCATTTCCAGGCCATGCGTAGATAAAGAGTTTCTTTCGCGTTGATTGTCGTGATGCGTGAAGTAAGCTGTGTGATTTCGGGTGTTCAACTTTGGCATGTGGCTTTTTGCTGTATGTATGCCTTGAATTTGGGAACTTGGATTTTTGAGGTTGGGTTTCGGTGTTGCGATTAAAAGTCCCCAGTCCGCACGATCGGGAGGGGAGCTGGGTTTGGCATGTTATTGCTCGACCCCCCCCCCCCCCCCTGAATTGAGAGCAAGGAAGGAGGTAACGCTACAGTTGTTGCACTGAGATGTGGTAACAGGAGCCAGTCCGTGCGATTTGAAAGTCGGCGTTAGCATGTTATTGGAGAGGCCCTTCACACCAGTCCTAGAAAATGTGGTAGTGGCAGGTCAGAATGGCACACGAGAGCCAATATAGGACTCCCTATCTTCAATCGCAGTGGCAGAGAGGTAGTGCCGCATCTTCCTTACTATGTAGATCTTGGGAAGGGTTCTGAAGCGCTCCACGAACGTGGTGGGTAAGTGTGCACATGTTGCGGGATTTCATCTCCAATGATTTCCATGCACTACATCCCGTAATTTCTGCTACGCATAATATACACCCTTTTCCGAGAGGAACAGAGGCAGAAGTTGTGGAAGGCCACATGATCCGCCAAGATTACTATTACTTGCTTTGAAAGAAAACCATGGCAAATTGGATTCCACCCTCAACGGCCGCAGATCAAGCTTACAGACGCCATAGACTCAACCCCTTCGTCTCGTTGACGCCTTGATCGAAATGGCAACAACCTGTTCCTGAAACGAAAAACTGCCATACCTCGGAATTCATTACTGTCGACCGAAGCTGGGATACTCGCTTCGTCAACCAGATGAGAGCTAGACACTCGAAGCTCCATTGAGAAAAGCAAACAGAGGGAAATAGAACAGTGCAGAGGCCGCCCGGACTCGAGATCCTCCCATATATTACAGAGGAGATCTCGGTGCCGGCCACATGAGTCGAGCTAGCCTAGTCCTCGATGATTTCGATAATGGGATGAAAAGGCTCTTCCGTCTTCGGGCGGAGTGGGAGGCCGGGCTCCGGCTCCAACTCTTCGATGATGGTCTCTTGAATGACGATCGGATTAAGGTGAGTCGACCCTGGAGCGATGGCGTTGGGGTACGGCTGCCACGTTGGCATGGCTGATTCACTCATCAGTAACAGCTCATCTTCATGAAGAGCTGGCGAGAGAGCCCGAAAGTGTCACTCCCTTGGATAGAATCATTGAAGAGAGCATGACGCACATTTTACCATACCTAACCCAAAGATGGTGTTACGAGCACCGAAGCCAGTGTCGGGACTCACGCCGCCGTCGATTCTTCGTCGCTTCCTGCTAGAATTGGAGGCCGTTGGTGGGGCTTCACCCTCAAAGCTAGAGTTGCGGTTCCGAAACACGTCGGTGTCGAGTTGAGGTCGCTTCCGCCGACCTGGATCCGCCTTCGCCTTCGATCTAAACGGTAGGACTCGCCTAGCCACCCCTCGCGCCATAGAAATGGTAGTATCTAGCGGCCGACGGAGGGCAGACATGAAGGATGGAGCGATCGGATTCGACAAGTGAGCAATGCCTGCGAATGCTGGTATCGAGATACTCCGTACTCCGTTGTAGTTATGAAGGGTCCTTCCAAACTGTGTTGGGAGTTGCTCGGCATTGCTCGGTGGTATGTGAGAGTATATCTCGCCTTCTTCATACTCCTTTTTGATTTTCTGCTCGCGGAGAGCGGCCTCAAACTCCCGCCGATGACGTGCAATGTCGGCCTCGATCATCCGTTTTTCTCGTTCGGTTGCTGCGTTACGGACAGGGTCGTCCCAGTCGAGGTAGCTGTGCCAGTCCCGCTTCATCGTCAGGTATGATTTGTGCGTGGATGTTTGGGCAACTGGCTCTGGAATCTATGAGACGTGTGTCGATGGCGAGGCCTGAGTAGGAAGGACTGTGGTGATGTGCTGCTGTCGTGCGGAGAACTTGGAGGCGTGCCCAACAGCGGCTTGCCTTCGCCGTCTCCTGTTTTCGCCATCTGAATCAACTCTTCGCCATCCTCTGGTACAGCGAACTTACATCTGATGTCCGCTTGGACGTACGCGTTGCTGGAAGGGGGCGAAGTGAGGTGTAGAAGAAGAAAGTTGAGAGGAAAGCGGACGTTGGAGTTGACGTGACGTCGGATCAAGGTTACTCCAAAACAAGAAGCCGCCCTCAAGCGCTTCAAGCGCCCAGCTCCAGCCTCGCATCCTAGTGTTGCGAGAAAGATGAGTGCCTGGATGTGTACGGGCTGTCGGAGAAGCATGAACAGTGCAAGGGCAACAATGATCTGTATATAGTACCATGCCGCTGCATGAGGTGCTTCAACAAAATTTCAGAACATATGAAGAGATTCTCTCACTTGAGAGGCGACCTCGATAAGGAAGTACACAGATATCACCATCTTAGGTAACCTAGCAAACTTACCAATGGTTTTAAATGCTCAAGTTCCATCTTTTCCAGGAATTTGAAGGTGTTCTGAGAAGCACCTATGACGGTAGCCAAAGATTGTGCACAGAGATCAAGATCGTGAAACTCAACAACACCACACCACAACACATATGGAAGCATACTTGGTTATTACCGGCGTTGCGCCTTTATCAACCTCTAGTTAGATCTCTCGAATGAGTTGTTACAAGAAAAGTGTCCTACAACCCCTCGTGCCTGCAACGGAAAAGCTATGCAATGCTCGCTTCAAAGCCACCAGATCCAGATGCGGATCTAGGATACGAAACCCAGGCTGATCTATGAGGGCGCAAAAGGCGCGTGGCCCGGTTTGAAAAAGCTTCCGGAACTCCGAGGGGTCTGACCTAGTAAGAACAAGATATGCAAATGAGCTGGAGTGGGGACTGCTTTGCGGAAGACTCCTAGAATGATGGGAAGCCGCCGGGATATTGCTGCCCTCGCCGCCCGCCAGAGCGCTGTCCGAAGGGGCTGCCACCCTGCGCGCCAGCGAAGCCAAAGGGGCTACCACCACCACCCCCACCACCGGCACCACCAAACATGTTGAATACTGATTTCGTTAGTCGGAGGTTCAAACCTAATGTCGGATGGGCCTGACTTACGCATTTCAGGGTCTATCTGCACGCCGCCGCCGCCGCCACCCATGCCGCCAAATCCACCCCCACCTCCGAACATCTCTGACGGGTCAATGAGGTCTTCTCCGCTGTCATATCGTGCTCGCTTCCTGGATAAATTTTAGTATCGATTGTATAAAGAAAGGGGCTTAGATGACTTACTGTGAATCGCTCAAAGTCTCATGCGCCTCCTGAATTTCCTTGAATCTGTCCGCAGCCTGTTCGTCATCCGGGTTCTTGTCTGGGTGATGTACAATAGCCAGTTTCCGATACGCCTTCTTAATCTCAGTTTCGTTGGCATCTTTCTCGATACCGAGGATTTTGTAGTAGTCCTTCCTCTTGCTCTTCTTCAGTTCCAGCTCCGCGTTCCGAATCTCCTTCGCCATGCCGGGTTCCTGAGGGTTGGCCTCATAAATTGCCTTCAGGTCCCGAAGGGCCTCCTCCCAGTTTCCAGACTCCCCTAGAGCCTTGGCCTTTGTCTTCCTGGCTTTGGTGTACGAGGGATCGAGCTCGAGTGCTCGTGTGCAGTCCGCAATGGCACCAGTGTAATTTTTCAGCTGTGGTACTCGATTAGTCTCTGAGATCGATAGACCAAACCAAGACAGGCATTCTTACCCTTGTGTAACAGAGAGCTCGATTTTGGAGAATCTTAGAATTCGTTCCCTTGTTCAAGGGATCAATCTCTAGCGCTTCGGTATACTTGCCCACTGCCTCTTGGAGTCGCCCAGCCTTGAAAGAAGCGTTGCCCTCCTCCTTCATGCGGTCCAGCTTCTGCACCATTCGCAGATACTTCACCGCGGCCGTGAAGTCTGGATCACAGTCCAAAGCTCTGCGGAAGTGCTTAATGGCACTATCGTTGTCTCCTTGAGCATAATAAATGCGACCTCGTAGCACCAAAGCATCGGGATCTTGTGCATTCTTCTGTAGTAATGAGATGACCACGTTCTGTGCATCTCCAAGTGCGTTGACGTTGCCCATCTTCAAGTATGCCTCTCCCCGCATCAGCCTCCACTTTCTCGGCTTCTCTGCGGTAAATCCAAGGCCTCTTTCAGCCTGATCGAGAGCATGTATGACCATTGATCCTGAAGTTCCGGTCCGCAGCAGTTCCTCAGCCTGCTTGATGTGCTGTTTCATGCTCACTGCAGGCTGCTTGTCCTTGACCGAAGCCGGAGGTTCGATCTGTGCAAACACTGCCAAAGCCTCGTCGGGCCTCCCGAGACTGGTATACAGGCGTCCAAGCCGGAGTAGTATCTTCATGTTGTGCGGATCAAGCTCATCGGCTACTTTGCAGTCCTCCAGGGCCTCGACAAAGCGGTTGGCGGACATGAGGGCGGCGGCTCGGTTGGAGTAATAGGTGGCATTTTTGGGAGCAGCGTCGATTGCTTTATATAATCAATTAGCTTCAAGATTCCAGTATAGATGTTTTTGTGTGACAATATGTTGGCAGGCAGCAGCCGAATCCCGAAATAGCTGGAGAATGGAAGCGGCCCTCACCCTTTGAGTATTCATCAATGGCCTTCTGGTACTCCCGCGCCTTGAAAAACTTGTTCCCCGAGGCCTTGCATGCCTCCGCATCTACTGCGGGTGGGCCAGGCGCTGACTGAGCCTGCGGTGCGGGCTGTGACTGCGGCGGCGGACTGGTGGTATATCGGTGAGGTGGAGGCCGTGGGCCGGTCTCCTGCTCTTCGCTGGTGCCATTTGAGGCGGTCTTCGGAAAGGCCCCGGGTGCCTGGGGAGCGGTGGCCGGGCTCGAGGGCACTGGGGACGAGGTGAACTCGCGGTCGACGTCCATGGGCTGCGGAGTGCCATGGTCGCTCATGGTCGACAGCGCCGAGAGCCGTCTCAGCTCGTCGGGCGGGAGGTTGAGGGGGTGCGAGTCGCGGTCGTATCGGGAGGATTTGGAATAATTTTTGCTGGAGTGGGTGGAGTTGGGGCGGCGGTCCCGATCGCGGTCGCGGTCCTTGTCTTTGGCCAGGCGCGGGAACGACTTTTTCTCGGGTGACGAGGGAGGGGTGCCCTGGGCAGGCGGGTGAATGTTGGAGTGCGGGTCGTGGTGTTTCTTCTTGTTTTTGGCGAAGAGGGAGGGAAGAACCATCGGGCCTGAGGTGACACACTACGGCACTAACTGCTGGGAAGGTGGTGGTAGAAGGAAACCTAAATTGGCGTAGAGTTGGTGTCGCTTCAGGCTGGTGGGCATTACCTAGGCGGCCGGTGGAACCTTCTAGGCGGTTTTCCTGGAATCGCGCAAAACAATGCTGAGGGCTGGGAGTTGAGCCGCCGCGCAGCTCTGCGCCAGCTCACTCGCTGCACCACCCAGTGCGCGTTGTCTGCAGCAGTCACGGGCTGCCGCCGTCTGAGGGCAGCGCGTAATCAGGCGTGTCGAAATGGCCAATATACCTGTCGTTCAGGGTTGATCATGCGTCAAAGCACTTCGAACCGTGAAAGACCGTTTCCACGGCGTCCAATGCCCGACCTCACGCAATATGGATGGCCCCTGACCTCGCTCTCGAGGCTGCTGTCTCACCTCGCCGATTGTACCCAGGTGTGTGTTTATATCTGCCCCGCGTCTGCTGTTGACACCGGAGCATTCAGATGCTGGTTGCAGCCGAGCATTGCTGCCACGTCCAGGCCGATTGAACCGGGTACCATTCATGCATCATCACCAGTTGCCAGCAAGCTCTTGCCTGCCTCGTCATATACAGCCGCCCTTTGAATCAGCTAACTCTCTTTCAACCTCATGCCGCAGCCTCTCACCACTCGCCTTGTCCGCACGTGATCCCCAAGCCCGAGCTCTTCCCAGGTTGCCCAAGCTCAAGCTGCTCCCCGCTGGTGCCGTTGACCTCACTCTTGCCTTAGTGACAACAGCCCCTCTTCAGGTGCATCCAAGCTAAATTTCAGGATTCCCGGGCCTTCTCTGCCCGTCTGACAATACTCGCCTGGTCATCTGCTCGGTGGCCCCGTGTGCTCCTCATCACCCATCAGCCACGCTTCCGGTGGACAACCGGCCGCCCTCGTCATCTGCACCGCCAGTGCCTCAATAACCACTGCTGAAGGCTCTCTCTTGTTGAGTCTCTCACAACCAATACTGCCCTTCTGCTGGCGTTCTCGCCAGGACTCTCCCCGCCATGGGACTAGCATACAACGTGTACCTCGACTCAGACAGGATCTACGGTTGCAAGGACTGTAAGACCCATCTCTCGAACCATGACGATATCATCAGTCGGGTTAGTGCTCCTCATCCGTGTTTGTTCGAGCAGTCCCCTTCTTTCCCCGCTTTCTCCGACGTAGCTAACCGCCACTATGCTTGACAGAACTTTCGAGGCCAGCACGGCAAAGCCTACCTCTTCGACTCGGTGGTCAACATCATCGAGAGCGATCCGAGCGAGCGGAACATGACAACCGGCCGCCATGTCGTGCGGGACATCCAGTGCCGGCAGTGCAATGTCACGGTGGGCTGGAAGTACGACAAGGCCTACGAAGCGTCCGAGAAGTACAAGGAGGGCAAGTACATCCTCGAGGCCGAGATGCTCTGCTCAGTGTCGTAACGTGACGGAATGGGGTTGTTAGTAGCTGGAAACACAGAGAAATTGGCATTTAGCCGCCCATTGGCGTATGGCAAGCATCAGGACTGGAGTTTGGACATGACAGGACACTCGTGGGAATTTTTCAGGACACTCGGCAGGCATGGGAGCTCTAGGAGTTAATTGGATGCTGAATATACCGTCAATATGAGTCGTCGGTCGATTGTGCGGCCTCTTCTGAGCAATGGGACGACGAGAGGCTGCAGGTACAGCATATGGCATGGTAGGTAGGAGGTAGTTTGATTTGTCAAGCCCATTATACATTAAGTACTATATTCTGTCTGCCTAGCCAATAATGTGCATGTATACCACTGTTATGTCCTTGTCTGGTATGTTCCTCATCGAGTTGCAGCGGAAACTACCCCGCACAGACTGCCGCGGCATGGGACCACGCCCTGATCTTCTTTTCTTGTTCTAGTGGCGTCACAATAGTGGATATACAACTCTCCTCACCCTCCTTTGAGGTGGAGTCTTTGGTTTCTCTCGTCAAGGCCTTCCGCTTTCTTTCTAGTAGTAACTTTATTGAGAGCAACGATGATGCGTGCTGTTGTGTTCAAAGGGCCAGGAAAGGTAGTGGTTGAAGATCGGCCAATTCCAAAGATCCAGGAGGAGTCGGATATAGTTGTCAAGGTGGGGAAGACAGCACTATGCGGAAGGTATGTTATATCATCGATCAACAGCCTGTTTGACAATTCTGACTTTAGCCTTCCCCGTTTCTAGCGAGCTTCATGTCTTCCGCGGACACCAGCCAAGTTCCACTGGATTTATTATGGGACACGAGTTTACTGGAACAGTGGAGGATGTTGGTAGTAATGTGAAAACTGTGAAGAAAGGTGACCACGTTGTCTCGCCTTTCACTGCTTCATGGTAAGCCGGTTGCTCGCTCACTTCTAATAACCATTGACGTCTTTAGTGGCGAATGCTTCTACTGCAAGAACGGTTTCTCATCACGATGCACAAAGTCTTTACTGTTCGGGAGTGCAGGCCTGGATGGAGCACAGGCTGAATACGTATGGTGCCCATTCCAGGATCGAGTATCAGCAGCACTACCTAATATCTGGATAGGTACGAGTACCATTGGCCGATGCCACAGTCATGAAAGCAACCAGCGACATCTCGGATGATGCGTTGGTCCTCATGGCCGACATATTCCCAACTGGATACTTCGCTGCGCACAACGCTTTCAAAGAGCTGAGTAAATCGCAGATTGCCGAGTCAACTGTTATTGTGATTGGCTGTGGCCCTGTAGGTCTCTGTGCCCTGATTAATGCAGAGGACTACAAACCGAAGCACTTGCTTGCAGTTGATTCGATCGAGTCGCGCCTGGGTCTCGCAAAGTCGCTAGGCGCGGAGCCGTGGAATTTCCAGAAAGACCGTGAAGGCCTCGACAAGCGGGTCAAGGAGCTCACCGATGGTCGTGGCGCCGACGTGGTCATTGAGGTCGTTGGGCTCAGCCCAGCTCTGAGGATGGGGTTTGAGCTACTCAGGCCATGGGGTATCATCAGTAGCGTCGGTGTGCACAACGGCGAGGTATGACCACTTGCATACCATTCTCGAATCACGAGCTGATTCACGTGCAGATACCTTGGACCGGCACCGAAGCGTATGGCAAGAACATACGGGTCCAAATGGGCAGATGTCCCGTGCGGTCGATATTTCCCCAAGCTTTGGACAAGCTCAAACAGAAGCAGCACCTGCTCGGGTGAGTTGTTCGAGGCAAAGCGTGGCCCTGTACGTGGCACTAAACGTGTACAGATTCATGGCGGACAAGATCATGCCGCTGTCGGAGGCAGTGGAAGGCTATGATCTTTTCGACAAGATGAAGACGCAGAAGGTTGTGTTTGATGCGACAAAGTAGCTGGCTCCCTACTGCATCTGCCTTGAATCGGCCTCTTGGTAGTCACATGCACAAAGGGGCTGGATTTATGATTCACAAGCTCAGTGAATAGATACAGGAGAAGGCTTTGCCGGAATGTGGGAATCTCGAGGACTGTAGACCTATTCGCTGCGCTCCTCGATGTTGAGGAAGCACGGCATGTAGTCCACGGACTGTCACTCTTGTCTGGGAGCCTGATACTGGGCCGCAGTAGACAGTAATAGCAGCGTGGAGGTTTCGCATTAAACCTTGCTCTTGGCAGCGGGGTCGTGGACGCACACGTGCGGTTTCAGCGGCGGAGGACGCGCTGCAGCAAGCAAAGGGCTGAGCAATTGGGCTCGTGCAGCAGATTTAGCTCTCTGCATGAAGCATTAACACATCCCGCCTGCCTCCCGCACCACCATTGCTGCAATCCACCGGGAAGCCACAAGCGTGACAGTAGCTCGGGGAAAGCTTGACGCAACTTCCAAGAGCGACCTCGCTAAGACCGGCGGCCATAATTTCTACTCTTTGTCTTCCACCTCTCGTCGCCTCAACACTCTCCGCGCCAACATCGACACACCACGCTGCGACCCCATCACCCTCCGCTCCATCCGCCTCTCTCCTCCCCTTCACCACGCCCGACCTCTCCTCGGCCTCTCCTCGACACTCATCCCACCCTTCTCCCCCGCTTCTCGCCGTGACCTCTCGTAAGTGCCCTGCCCTGCATACCCCAAAGCTCCCTTCACGTCAATCCGCCAGCCGCGCTCATCGTTTGCAGCCCCAAGCTCTCCCTAGCTTCTCTCATCTCCCCCAACCCATACATCCCTTGATTCGTCTCCCACGTAAGTCGAATCGAACCCGCATAGACGCGGAGCTGCTATCGTCCCCGAGCTAACCCCGCGCAGACCTCGACAGCTCATTCATACATCATGTCTTCTGAAGACGTCACCGGAGCTACTCCTCAGGATGTTGGTGAACTATCGCACGCGTTCGGCCGGACCAGCCTTGCTGATGGCCCGGACGGCGAGCCAACGCCTAGGACCGAAGAAGAATACGCCGAGTCGTCCCTTACTTTGCGCGCTATAGTCTCTTCCAAGGAAGCGGGTGTTATCATTGGCAAGGCCGGCAAGAATGTCGCTGACCTGCGCAACGAGACCGGTGTTCGCGCCGGCGTTAGCAAGGTCGTCCTAGGAGTGCACGACCGTGTGCTCACCGTCACTGGTGCTCTCCGTGGGATCGCAAAGGCTTATGGGCTTGTTGCCAGGGGACTGCTCGAAGGTGCCCCGCAGATGGGTATGGGCGGCTTGCTCAGAAGCGACGGCACCCATCGTAAGTTGATGCGACTTCCCTTTCACTTCGCCCAATACTCTTTCCCTGCGTATTGACTATCACATTAATCACTACATCATATCATTCACCTAACTAACCGAATGGCCCGATAGCTGTTCGCCTGCTCATATCCCACAATCAAATGGGTACCATCATCGGTCGCCAGGGCCTGAAGATCAAGCAGATTCAGGACGTCTCAGGCGTTCGCATGGTGGCGCAGAAGGAGATGCTGCCACAATCTACTGAACGCATTGTCGAGGTTCAAGGCGCGCCCGGAGGAATTGAGAAGGCTGTCTGGGAAATTGGCAAGTGCCTGATCGATGACAGCGAGCGCGGCTACGGAACAGTGCTCTACAATCCAGCCGTCAGAGTTGCTCCGGGAGCTGGCCCAATCCCCAACGGTGGTGGAATTCCCGCTGGAATCGGTGGTGCACCCCGCTCTTACAACCGTACTGGACACGGCGCGGATTTCAGCGACTCTCCGCCCAACACCTACAACAATCGACGGTCTGGATCTGAGGTCGGAACCCGACCCCCTCCCCCAACACACACCGAGGATGGAGAAGAGATGCAGACTCAGAACATCAGCATCCCTTCAGACATGGTTGGCTGCATCATCGGCCGCGGTGGCAGTAAGATTAGCGAGATTCGCAAGAGCTCCGGGGCTCGCATCTCCATTGCGAAGGCCCCTCATGACGACTCCGGCGAGAGAATGTTCACCATTACCGGCAGCTCGGCCAGCAATGAGAAGGCTCTGTATTTGTTGTACGAGAATCTAGAGGCTGAGAAAATGAGGCGAAGCCAGGTACAAGAGTAGGCACAGGCATGGTAGAAACTCGTGTCTTTCTCCTGGATTTCCTGATTCTTGGACAACCCATGGATTAGATGTCGAACAGGCCCACGGCCGATGCGCAACGCTTGCGCGCTCAAGGTCGCTTGCGTCCTTCCCACCCCTACTCAACACCCACCCAATTCCTTCCGTCATGGCTGGATACCAATTTTCTTCACTACAAAAGCAATATCCTTCTTCTGCCCTTCCAACACCTGCCTGGGCTGGACTCGAGTTTCTTTTTTGTTCTTGTCGTCTGCCCCAGACCTATCGATCTGCAAATTGAGTGGCTTACGATTCATGACTTATGCTTTGATATCCGAGCTTCTGGTTCCGGCAACCGCCCTGGTGGAAGCTAGGAGCAGCATTGAGGCTCTTGTTTTTTTCTTTCTCTTGGTTCCGCCAGGCAGGCGGATGCACCTCTCTTCCACCGATCACGCTCCCTCTACCCCGTCTACCCAAACGTACTTACTTCCTCCGGCTCTCACACCTTCACCCACTCCTTCGAACACATTGTCCTACTCTCGGCTCACCCCTTTTCCGCTCCACAACACGATAGTCCATCACAAACCCTAGCCAGCTGGGCAACTACCTTCCACACCTACATCAAACCCCTCTTGTCTTCTCTCAGGCGAATGACGGATATAGGCTGCACCTGCAGGGGAATTACTTTATATCTTTCGACACCTATGTATGTAGAGTAATGCTAGTGCGGCTAGACAACTGGATAATTTGAGAACGATCTAATTCTCACTTGTGAAACCTTCGTACTCTGTTAATGTGATTTATAGATGATAAAGTGAAGAAGGTCGCGCGACTAGTTCATTTCCCGGCTCTGGCTATCTAGGTTGCCTACCGGCATACGCCCGGATTGTGAAGCTGAGAATCAACATGACGTCTTGGCTTTACTTTAGAAAGGCGAGCAGACGGGCCGCGTCTTTCATGTTCTAATATTGCCGCGTCTTTTCACTTGCTTGGTGTCCTGCTTCCATCCGTCCACCACTTTCAACGACAAACGCCCTTCCTCACGCATCAGCCCACCACACGCGCATTTCTTGACACGCTCACATTGCGTCTGCAGGGCTACCACCGCCTTTCCATCTGAACCACACTTTCTCCTCACGCTCATTTCTCGCGCTCTCACCTAGGCACCTTCTCTAACCTTTGCTCCTCAGACTTGTCTAGCGCGATCAACTCTTCTGTTGTCACTGCCCTGCTTACCGCCCAATTCCTGTCTGCCACTGCCTTCCCGTCTGAAAGCAAGTTCTCTTGCCACACTCACTTTCCGCGCTCTCACCTGTTTTAACCTCTGCCCGCCTAGACTTGTCCAGTCTGAACGGCCGTTCTGTTGTCACCCCTACCCTCCCTTAATCATCACCGGCTTGTCGTTACCCGCTACTCCGTCCTCAGCCGTCCTCTTCTCCGACTATCTTAACACTTTCGAACGTCCTCCGCCTTGACACGTCAGCCACCAGAAGCACTCTCTCGGGATCCCGAATCCTCCTCTCCTTCGACCGTCTTGACAAGTCAGCTATCGCCCACACGCCATCGGCGCCTTCAGCCGTCATCGCAATCAGCCATCTTGACATCTCCAACCTCCATCATCTTCTCACCAACTTCATCTAGTCCTCATCCGCCTCGACTCGGACCAGCCAAATGCTATCAGCACCATGTCACTCACCATGTCACGACCACCAGCTAAATTGAGGCCGGACATATCGCTTTTCCGAACCAAGCTAGTCCTCCAGTGCGAGCCCATCTGCCCCCGCCAAATCTTCCTCGACGTTACAAGAGCGCGGCCCACGGCATCACAAGAGATCTGGATCCGCGATGAGTTCCAGCTGTCGGCGGGATTTGGGCAGGCGACCCTCGCGGATTCCCCTACTCCACCGCCCGGGCCGGTTCGAGTTGGGAAAACTGGGCATGATGAAGTGAAGCCGTCGGAGGCTCGCATGCGTGACAGGAGTGGACATGCTCTAGAGAGACGACTCAAGAGCGTGGAGAATGATGGGGCAGATGTGGTTAAGAGGAAGGAACGATTCGTAGTTATGGATTCGTTGACGTGGCGGTTCAAGAAGATCGGGACACGGGCGGAGGCGATGGCGCTGGCGAATAATCCGGGGATCGAGTGTGGGAATGCGGTTTGGCTCTTTCGTAAGTCTTCTTCGACTTGTTCGTTTGTTCATGAGAAGATGCTCTCTGTAAAAGCCGTGTGACATACTGGGCCACCGTATGGATCCTCACGTTTGCATAATTGCTAACTCTTACTTCCACAGTGGACGACCGCATCGACCGCTCCCTCAAGATCGCAATGAACAGGGAACTCGGGCCAGCTAGTAAGACAGCAAGATTGGGAAAACTATTCGGGTATCCGATCGGCGCTGATGTCTTCGCTACCGAGAGGCAGAAGATGCAGGCTCTGAGGAAGCAGATTGGGATAGGAGAAGACGTGCCAGAGGGGACGGTTATGTTCCTTCATATCTACGAGGCTATCTTGAAGGTTAAGGAGCATGAGGAGAAGAAGCGAAGATTGAGGCAGATGATGGAGGATTGAGTGGTAGCCAGGCGGTAGCTCTGTATGATAATGGCGGCGTTGGCTTCGGGGTAATACTTAATGAGCAGTCACAACTGAAAAGTGCTTACTATATTGAGCTGTTCGACCCTTTAATGGCTTAAAAAATTGGAAGTTCTAGACTAAAGGCTCTGGACACACGTAGGTCCATTCATATATCACATAAAATGATAACGCCACGTAGGTTGACCCAGTGAATTTATGGCTGGTAGATATTTTACCAGATTTATGTTGAATACGTTGAAGTGGTGGAACAGCGGCACGTGCTGGTAGCAGATCAAGCCATCGAGGCACGAGCGTTGCCACGTTACGAGTGCCTGAGGCATCCGGATACTAATAGATGTTGGTTGTGGAGTGATGGGCTGGAGGCGACGAAGATATTTATTTATAGGGGCGGGATCGAGGCTGAAGCTCCCGGCGACAGGGGCCATAAACTCCGAGACCATCATCAAAAGGTTGAAGTTGCCAGATCATCATCAACACCCACTCCTTCCACTATTTACTACTATAGCCATCTTAGGCACTTCTTTTCAAGTCTCTCACTTATGTTCTTTGCCTCTTAAGTAGATCTGCCGGCCACCTAATCAGCCAGGCGCATCCCACTCACTCCCTTATACCACCTTCGAGTCCTCCACTATTCTTTTACCCACGCCTCGAGCCAATTGAAGGTCAATGGCACGCACGAAACAACTCACACCGATGCGCCGCGAGCCCTCCGAAGTCTTTAAACGTTCGAATGGCGCCATCGACAAGCACATGCGCCTGAACGGCAGCGCGAACGGACAAGCAAAGGGGACTGGAGAGGAAGATGCGGAGCCTAAGCAAGCAGGGCTCACGCAGTTGGTTATATGCATAGGAGGGATATATATGAGCTTGTATGTGGATTGATCTTGCCGTTACTAAGACAACTTCAGACGGTTGAAGCGTGAATGTCGAGGTCACTTGCTAATCAAACACTGGATTACAGTTTGACTTGGGCACTTCTCCAAGAGCGCATAACCACCACAACCTACGGACCTAAATCGCAACGATTCAATTATTCGGTCTTCCTAAACACCGTTCAGTCTGCCTTCGCAGCCTTGACAGGCTATGTCTACTTATACCTCTCCGCCCCGAAAACCGCGTCCGGACGGGCCATACCACCCATTTTCCCGTCTCGCGCCATACTCCTCCCCCTCTCGCTCATCGCAGTCACCAGCTCGCTCGCCTCTCCGTTCGGTTACGCGAGCTTGAAACATCTAGACTATATAACCTTCATCCTAGCTAAGAGCTGCAAACTACTACCAGTCATGTTCCTCCACCTGACCGTTTTCCAAAAACGCTACCCGATATACAAGTATATGGTCGTGGCCATGGTGACCCTCGGCGTGGCAGTATTCACACTGCACCATCCAGGCACGAGCAAGAAGGCCAGCAAGAGCACCAATTTAAATGGAAGCTCTAACCTTGGCCTCTTCCTTCTCGGCGTCAACCTCCTCTTCGACGGTATCACCAATACCGTCCAGGACAATATTTTCACCACCTACCGCCCTTACACCGGTCCGCAGATGATGTGCGCCCAGAACATTATGAGCACGCTCTTGACAGTCTCCTTCCTGTTCCTCTCGCCGTACCTAGCAGCCACAGGCCTCGGTGACTGGATCGGAATCTCTAGCAACGGCGGCGAGCTGAAAGAGGCTCTTAGCTTCGTCACAACGTACCCAGATGTCGGCTGGGACGTTCTCGGCTTCGCGGCGTGCGGCGCCGTTGGGCAGGTGTTTATCTTCTACACGCTGTCGAATTTCTCGAGCTTGTTGCTCGTCACGGTGACAGTGACGCGCAAGATGCTGACGATGCTGCTGAGTGTAGTCTGGTTCGGGCACCAGATTTCTAGCATGCAGTGGGTGGGTGTGGGGCTCGTGTTTGGCGGGATTGGGGCTGAGGGGTTGATTACGAGAAGGGAGAAGCTGGCGAAGGAGAGGGCGAAAAAGGAGGCTGCGTTGAAGAAAGGGGGAAATAAACAGTTGTAGTGAGCACTTTATGCATTATTTAGGGCGTTTTGGAATGGGTGGGCCTGGATTAAGAAGGGGGGCGCATCTGAAGTAGATGATGTCGGCTAGGATATCAGGAACACATTGTATTAACCTGCAGAGAGCCATGGCCTCTCGAGTAAGATTGGTATTTATGCTAACCTCCCGCGTTACTTGCCTTTTATCTTCGCATTTTTACCTAGCTGACAATTAAATTAAGAACCCTCCCTTCGCTTTTGATCCCTTTCAAAGTCAGCTTTCACGTCTCCAGCAAAGTTGTCATCAGTCAGCAATTTCCAAGCAGTGGCCGCCATCCCCTGAGCCGTCTGTATCGTTAATCGGTACGCTTCGTCGGAAATGGCTGCCTTGGTAAATTCCTTTGTATGGTTCGACGCTCCGTCGTCTGTTGGGATGTTGTAGACGGGATGAAACCCCGGACAAACTTGGGAAACGTTTCCTAGGATTTGTTAATAACGAGAACATGGATTTCCTGGACCTAGCCAATCACCTTGGTCAGTGGAGTAAGATCCCGGATGCGGCTCGCTGCCCTCCTTATCAGCTTCGCACAGCTGCGGTGCACCAAGTTCGAGCATAAACTTCGAATACGCAGTGCAGAGAGCTCGATTCGGCACCACTTCCGCGTAATTATTCGTCCTAAATCAAAGTCAGTACAGCCCAAAGCAGCACGTTTCCTTCAACACTCACTCCTCAAACTCAACCTCACACCCCGTCGCCACCGCCGCCCCCTTGAAACAATTCACCACCCTCTCCTGCAACACCTTCGTCTCCCTCAACGTCGCGCCCCTCACATTATAATCCATAAGCGACCTCGCCGGAATCACATTCGCCTTCTCCCCGTCCTCAAGAATAATCCCATGGATGCGCTGCGCCGGCAAGATCTGCTGCCGCAGCATGCTAATCCCGCTATACGCCAACACCGCCGCGTCCAACGCATTCACCCCATCCTGCGGACTCGCCGCCGCATGCGCCGTCCGCCCCGTGAAGATGGCGCGGAACTTCGCGCTGGCCACCGACGTGCCGTACGCGAGGCCCGCGACGGCCGCCTTCGTGGGGAACATGTGCCCGGACATGGGATGCGTCATCAGGCACGCATCGACGCCCGCGTAGGCGCCGGCGTCGATCAGCTTGATCTTGCCCCCGCCGCCCTCCTCGGCGGGCGTGCCGAGCGCGCGCACGCGGCCGGGCAGCTGGTGCTTCTTGAGCAGGGCGACGACGCCGAAGAAGGCGGCCAGGGAGCCGGTCGCGATGAGGTTGTGCCCGCAAGCGTGGCCGATGCCGGGCAGGGCGTCGTACTCGACGTTGAAGACGGCGAGGCGGCCGCCGCGGCCGTAGGTGGCTTCGAAGGAGGTTGGGAGGTTGTAGGCGTGCGGTGTCACGGGGATGGATTGGGATTGGAGGAGGGCGACGATGTTGTCGTGGGCGAGGTGCTCGGAGTAGCCGAGTTCGGGGTGCGAGTGGATCTGGGGGTTGGTGTTAGGGTGGGATTGGGGTTGTTTGGAGGTGTTGATGGGTACCTTGTGGTTGATATCTCGCAATTCCGCATCGAGATTTTCGATGGACTTGTTGATTAATTGCTGGATCTCAGATGTGTTCATGGTGTCATTCTGGTTGTTTTCTTGGGGCGTTATGTCGCCCATTTTGGTATTACCGTTGTTCAGTAGAGTGTAATCAATTCAAGGTGTGATTGAAGCGTGAAGTCTGAGCGTGGTAAAATGAATGGATATAGAATAGTCCGCAGTATGACGTCTTGGAAGAGATCGACAGAGGAGATATGTAGCTTCGATTCAAGTGCGGGGTGCTCTAGGTTTAATAGGAAGGTCGTCTCATGCTCTTGGTTGATGCAAACCGACAGAATGCGCGAGGACAACCCCATAGTGATCGGCATAGCTTACCAGATATGGGTATTACATAGCTCACAAAATCATTGGCTCGAATACTCGGCGTGCAGCTTCAGCTCGTCGCGTAGAAATCGGATACGGATGCGTTCAATGCGCGCTACGTTTCTTAACTACAATCATTGCCAATCCATCAAGCCTATCAGGTCGGTAAAGACATAGCACCTTAAGATAGCACTATGGCTTGAAGTTGAGGAACCGGTCAGACACGAGGGCGTAGAGGGTCGAAAGGTCAGTCGTGATTATGGCGCTGATGAGATTACAGTCCTTCGAACTTGCGAGCAATGCTTTGGAGTGCCCTTCGCAGTGGCATATGTGCGCGTAAATACCCGTATAATTAGTGCCTAGACAAAGCCTGTATACACTTGCTTGTCGCTGTCTGAGGTGCTCTGGCGTACAATCAGAAACGCAGACGACACATAAAAGTCTAGCCACCATGCATTGTAGCGGGACACAAGCGCTCCTGATCAACTTGTTTTGTCGCGGTCCGGGGTGGCTCGGCATCTACTAGAGTCTGTGGAAGACTTCAAACCCAATGGCAAGGAAAAGTGCGCTGTGGCTGCGAGTCAGTGTCACTTGAGCTGAAAAGTTCGTGTTTGGCGCTATCATATCTCGTCTCTCATTGAAATTGGGTGTCCCACTCAAAGCTCCTAAATAGTATTCAAAAAACCCGTGCTACTCCCAGGCAAACTCAAATCCTCAGTATCATAAAGCATCTGTCGTATCTCAGCCATCCTAAACCGCTTGCCCGATAATGCTTGAGCATCCACAGTCCGTTGCAAGGCTGTAGCCACTCGCTCACTCGTGAGTCTAGAAAAGATCCAGTCCTTGTAGATAGCATCATCAGTTTCGATTCCAGCGAGAAAGAGTGGCCATTGTAATCTGTCGTGGAGTTCTGTGCCTCGTGAAGCAAACGTCCGTTGGATTATGGTCAAGAGCGTCTTGAGGGCACTCTGGATATCTGGTGGCGTCTCCATGCTTAGGTCCGAGAGAATAGATCGAAAGTAGTAGATTTGTAGCGCACTGAAGAGCACGACATCGAAATCGGCATTGACGAGTACTCGTGGACGAGGTTTAGTCCCTGCGTCGGCCGAGAGGCGGAAAACGGAGGAGTATTTCTATCTCAATTAGACGGCTCGATGCTTTAGAGATAGTTCACGCACCTGTTCCAAATAGAGGAAGGTTTGCTCAATACGTGACCGCGATTCCAACGAGTTGGGGTCGTGTTCGTGAGATAGATCGTTGATATCCTGCCATAACGGCATCAACGCCCACAAGAATTCGAGTACTGTCGAGTTCACGTCGTCGTCGAGCTGCTGGGAATTCGGATACTCCGCTCCCCAGTGGGTTGCGAGGGCATTGCGTGATGCATCGTAAACATCTTTAGTTCTGGCACTGTGTTTGGTGAGATGTCGTGCTAGATGTCCCCCAGTACTTTGAAAGCTGCATTTGACATCCTCGTCAAAGGTCCACATAATGAGTCGTGCCAGAAGGCTATTGTTGGTTTTGGTGGAATTAGTGACCAGAGTCGTCGAGCTATCGAAGAAAGCTACGCAACGAGTGTTAAGCTCGTGCCTCTCCACGTAGTCCAACACAGTCAAGCTGAGCTGGCTTAGCCGATGTGGTGCGGTAGACTTCCTCTTTGACATGTAGAGGTAAATGAAGAAGTATGCCGCCATGGTGGTAACGTGGTCATCTTCCATGCCAAGTTTCATCATTTCAATTAAAAGTCCAGCCCCCGCTTGAAAGTGGTTTTCTGCTTCCTGGGACGAGTTCTGGCCCTTCCGGAGGGAATAGTCGTTGATGGACACCGCGAGCAGGAAGTGCATGATCATGGGATTGTAAGACCCAAGACTCAAAAGCACCTTGTGGGTGGACCAGTTAGGGTCTTTTGTCGTTCGATATAGCGAATACGTGGTCTGATAGTGCCTCAAAGCTTTATGCTCAGGAGCAGTGAGGGTCAACGAGTTTGGTAGCGTGACGTGATGGTCGGATAATGAAGCAGAAGGATGCAGCAGAAGGCCGGGCATGTTCCTCATAGACTGTAAGTTGTCGCTTCCACTGCTTGCGAAGATTCGTTCGAAGTTCTCGATGTTGAGACACGAGGCTAGCCCTTGTGGATAAATATCGCTAATTGAACTGTTAGGAGACGCCATGAAGTTGCATGGTAAGAGTCCATCGTCCATGTCCCAGCCGGGCCACCACTCATCGAGTCCGCATCGCTCTGGGAAGTCTCCGATTCGGGTGGAGCAGTACAATGGGGACTCCATGGCGGGGCTTAAACTCATAGTAGACACTTCGAGCGGAAGATTTCGAAGCTCTTGAGGGCCGTGTTGCACTTGACTTGCCGACGTTGGGGGTGCTACAATGCCATCGTTGGGTTGAGAAACGTGTGGAATAGCCGTCCCGATCATACTTGAGCTGTTTTCAACAATATTTGATGATATACTCGGTAATATCGCTTTTGGCTGAAATCCATTCCGTGATTTTACTGGTCCATAGCCTCGTCGCTGAACTCTGAGAGGCGTTCGTCCACTTGACCAGGAGCAGATAAGGCTAAGACGGCTGCAACGAGTACAATTTGGCTGTTTCTCATCGCAACGAACATGCTTCGAGCGGCATGTCATGCAGCCTTTTCCTTCGGTTAGTAGAGAAGCCAATGGGACTGGAGGGAGAAGACGAGCCTGTCTTTGATCGCCGTTGCTTGTGCATATTCATACTCTTGCCAACCGCTTTACGAGCATTTCTACATGGAGGCTTCATTGCCGGCCTGATAGACTAGCAATATGTCTATATTTTATGTGCATTCGAACTATTAGGTTGATGTTGGACGCTGCGTATCTCCCGGTGAAGGATGATGGTGGAGGCTGAGCTGATGTTCACCATACTTGATCCGGGGGTCGTTATGCAAGTTCATGCAAGCGCAGGGACCCACCAGTAATCCGTGATCTTTGGCCGGCAAAAGTGTCCAATGAGCAGTGACATTAGTTGGTGGGATTCTCTGGGCAGTTCGCTTGCTAGACGTTTAGTGTAGGAGGTGATACATGTTCACGGATAAGGGGAATCTTGGTGTATCCCACGGACAGTGGGAGGTTACGGGTTTGGTGACCTGCTATATGAGGTAGTGACATAGATCGTCCTGACTTGGTATATAGTACACGCACGTTCTTCAGAGATATATTCAGATTCAACAATTGAATTACTTTCAGAATGTCAAACCCTATTCCAAGTTCAGGTGCTGCCTTCGAGAAGGACACCATGGCTGCAACAACAGACATCACACATGATGAGGAGAAACAAGGTACAGTGGACCTGGTTATCATCGACGAGGAAGAGAAAAGAATTCTGAGAAAGATTGATCTCCAGTATGTTGACTCCCGAGCCATGTTTCCCTCTTTAAGCCAAGAGCATCAGGACTGACTTTACCCATGATAGCTTGATGCCGTTAATGTTCATAACATACGCCCTCCAATACCTTGACAAGATCACTCTTGGATACGCTGCCGTCTACGGACTGAGAGAAGACACGGTGCGCACCCACTAGCCCCCCAAAACACTGAACCACCATTCTAACACCACCCCAGCACCTCGTCGGCCAGCAATACTCCTGGGCCAGCAGCATCTTCTACTTCGGCTACCTGACGGCTTCTCTCCCAGGCTCCGTCGGCTTCGTCAAATTCCCCATCGGCAAGTACCTCGCCACGACCATGTTCATCTGGTCCATCATCCTCGCCTGCCACGGCGCCGTCAATAGTTTCGCAAGCCTCATGGCCGTTCGCTTCTTCCTCGGTGCGCTCGAGAGCGTCATAAGCCCCGGCTTCAGTCTCATTACTGGGCTGTGGTACAAGCCGTCCGAGCATGGCTGGCGCCATGGGATCTGGTTTGCTGGGAACGGTTCCGCCGCTATCGTCGGTGGTCTCCTGTCATATGCTATTGGGTACACTGATGGCGTGCTGGCGGCTTGGAGATGGATGTTCATCATCTTCGGCCTCGTTACGTTTGCGTGGTCAGCCGTGATTCTGTTCTTCCTCCCGGACAGCGCCTTGAAAGCAAGATGGCTGACGCCGCATGAGCGCGAGATTGCTCATAGCCGACCTCAGAAACAGACGCATAGCTTCAAGTCCAACGAATGGAAGCGATTCCAAGCTATCGAAGCAGCGAAGGATCCGAAGACCTGGCTTCTGTTCTTCTACACAATCTTCACCAGCATGCCAAACGGCGGCTACACGAACGTAAGACTCAATTAAATCGTGGTTCTCAGCCCGCGCTTACACCATGCAGTTCTCCTCCCTCATCATCAAAGGCTTCAACTACGGCCAGCTGGACACCCTTCTTCTGACCATGCCCCAAGGCGCCTGCCAAGTCATAATGGTCCTCATATCTTCTTACCTCACTTCTAAGCTCCGCAAATCCCGCTGCATCATCATTACCGTCCTTCTCTGCATCTCCCTGTTCGGGTGGGCGCTAGTCGGCTACCTCCCACCAGACCAAGTTGGCGCGAAGCTCTTCGGCGTCTTCATATTCGGCGCGTACGCCGCAGCATTCCCTCTCAGCTTAAGCATGATTGCGAGCGACGTTGCAGGGTATACCAAGAAGACTGTCACCAGCGGGATCTTGTTCTTAGCGTATTGTGCTGGGAATATCGCTGGGCCGCAGGTGTTCTTAGCGAAAGAGGCGCCGTTTTATCGGACCGGGTGTAAAACTTATATCATTTGTCTGTGCTTGGGCATTTTGACGATTATGACGCTTCGACAGTATATGGATTGGGAAAATAAGCGTAGGGATCGACTCCAAGGCATTGTCGTTGAGGTAGAGCCGAAGAAGAACGGGGCTGAGGGTGTCGTTGGGTTGCCAACCTTTGGTTTGGATGAGACGGATTGGGAGCAAGAGAATTTCCGATATATTTTGTAGGAAGTTTGTACTTCTGGATGGGTTCTTGAGAGAGGAAAGTTTTGTGTTTCGAAATGTTAGGGGAAACTGTAAAAACTCCTGTTCCACCTTGTCACCTCAATGTCCGAGGATGATTTAGTATGTGCGAAGACTATTATCTCCAAATAGAAGCATTAGGTGCTAAATCGAAGTCGAATATGCTGTTCCGCTTTCACAAACCATCCAACCCTACATACGAACTACTCGCTTGATTTCGTGGGTAGATCCTTAGAAAATCAGAGGACGTGGAGTGACTAGTCCTCAGGGACCAGTCTGATTTAGCGCCAATTCCAGGTCCCGTAGTTCGCGAGGGACAAGAGTCAAAGCCATGCGTGTCAAGGCCAGGCTCAGGTACCCTGTCGGGTCCTTCCTTCTGCACCTCAAAGGCCCAACCAAACAGCGGGCATCGCGAGGGTTCATGTTGTCGGTGTTTTGCAACATCCATTACGTAGCGATGTACCCTTTCACCCATCTCCCCGAAAATGTTCCTCAACATGATGCGCCACAGCCACCTCATCACCCTCAGACTCCCCACAAACCGGACACCTTGCCGTCACAGGCTCGACCCCCACATTGCGCCTTCCCACCTCGCTGTTCTCCTTCTGTTCCAACTGCGCCAGCTGCGGACAATAATCCGCTAGACTGCTCACTCTTTGTTCATACTCCCCATCCTCCTCTTCCCGCACATCCGTATATTTGAACTGCCTAGCTCTTCCTCTTATACTACCATTCTCACCATCCCGCCCTAAGTTTGCACCAACACCACCCGCCACCGCCTCCCCGGCCTCTCCTTCCGCAAGCGAAACAAGCCCTTGCACTCGCCCTACACGCCCGTCTCGCAACCGCACTTTTACGCCGCGGGGGTGATCGCCCCGCGTCAGGAGATCGGCTACTATGCCGCGAACCTGATGCCCAGTAGGCTGATCAATTTTAAGGACGATAGAAACGGGTGTGCCGGAAGCGAGGGCGGAGAAGGAGGGGACAGAGCTGGAGGAGTTGTAGGATCGCGGAGAATTGCGGTGGGAGGGTCGACCGCCGCGGGGGTTGCCACGGCCGCGGGAACTCGAGTTGGAGTTGGAGTCGCGGGGTTGGCGGTTGCGTGGGCGCTGCATGGTGGGCTTTTGTTAGTTTGTGTGAAAGGAAGGTTGAAGTGTGAGTCGGATCTTGAAAGCGAGGCCTGCACGTGATGAGCTACGTGTTCGGGTAAGTCTTGGCGGAGCGAAAAGGTGTGGAAGCCAGAGGTACTACCACACTACTGGACGGTTTAACGCTAGGGGAAGGGAGAGGGAGTTTCAAGTTAAACCGCCCGTGACAAGCGTCTCGCAACTCCTGCACTTCTGTAAACGCCAAGACTTACCTAAAACGTAGTTAATGACGTGCTGACTACACCATACAGGGGCTCTGTTTCAGCCAGAGAGGCAAGTGTAGGAGATTGTGAGCTCTGTACAGATGGCAACATAGTTTTCTTCAAAATCTTATAAGATTATGCCAATTTAAGTAGTCAATGATGATGCATGATAAGAGCACCGATACGTTGCAGATTATTTGCTAATTCAGGGACCGGGTAGCCTGTCAAAAATTATCCTATCCTTACGCTCTACCCATACTCGTCACTGGCATATTTCCCTTTGTTCTTCCTTTCATATCTCTCCTTCCTCCACATTTCCGTGTATGATTCCCTCTCCTTCTCATCCACTTCCACTTGTACCCGTTTAGCTACCATTTAGCGCTGTATCCAGTAGAATATGTTCCTTATACCCTTCAGCCAGCAGCTTTTGGGACAGTGACTCGTCCTGGGCTCGATAGTACAGCTTCTGGTCCTCCCACCACCATATACCAATCCGTGCTGGAGATCATTCGCTTATGCAGTCGACTTTGCTGACAGTGTCTGCTGCTTTAACGAAGTATATATCCGGTGCTCTCAGTGCTGCGTGCTCCTTGTTGAAAGCCTCGCTTTCAGCTTTGAGCACTGAGATGGTGTAGGCGGGCTCGATGCTCCCAAGGTCAAGTAGTCTCCCTTTGCCTCCTGCGTCCCGTGGTCATTGATGCTGAGTCTTGTAATATCTGTAGAGATAGTGTATAGACGACACATAACTACAATCAAACCATAGTAAGTGAGATTGGAATGGCAGTCTGTTGAGCCCAGTTGTCCGATCAGTCTGCGTAGATGTGGCGAATATCGATATTCATTCGCTTGGCTCTGATGGATGTAACGCAATGGACCTGGGTGTTCGGAGAAGTTTTCTTTAGTGAGGCATGAAATAGGCGACTGCCAGTAGAAAGATATACAGGCAGCAGAGCCAATGAAAGTTTTCGATGATATTGAATTCATAAACATATTTCCCGTTGATGTTTTACAGCATTGAACGCGAGGCGAGGCTCGAACGCATGACATTGGTATCAACCCAAGAAAAAGGAACGCGTACGCCTGACAGTAACCACCCAAGAACCGTGAAAAAGAGGTCTAGAAATTACATGATATATAATTGGATAACAAGAAGAGTAATTCGTGAATATGGGTAAGGGGGAGGAATAGGACAAGTCGACTACCGCCGGCCGGCGATCGTAGTGAAAATCCTCATGTCGATGCTCTTATCGTCTGAGCTGCTGAGATCATCGCTCCTCTTTCTTTGCGGCAGCCTTCCAGCTGGCGCGACTGTAACGATCCGGCCCTTCTCTCCACTAGCCGGTTTATTATCAGACACAATCATCTCAGTCCAGTGCCAGATCTCAAGCGGGACATCACCACCGCCATGGATGCGTTCCGTACTCTCGCTGCGTTTGATGTCTCGATCGAGACGGCTGGTTGCTTCGGTGGAGGGATGGTCTTTTTGTTGGAGGTATGTATTCCGGTTGCGGCCGCTGATATTGCCGCTGACGCCTGGGCGGGAGACACTGTATTTCTCACCGGTGGAGCGTCCAGCAAAGGACTTGAGCCGGGGGATCATTCGTTGTAGGAGTGTCCAGGTAAACGGTGCGTTGGAGACGATGAGGGCGGTTGAGGACTCGCGGATGTACCAAAAACCCCAATTCACGCCGAATGGCTCTGTGAAGCTGTAAACTTTGGTGAGAATAGCGCAAATAATCTGGAGGGAAGTGGATTAGTTTTGAGTCAGTGGAATATATCGATTAGAAAACTTATTTCGAAGAAGCCAAGACCGAAGATGCCGAACAGGATGACCTTCCTTTTGAGTGGCAATTGGGCCTGGATAAGCAGTGGCATGGGAATCATAATAATGAGTAGATCAGACGAGATGTTCAAGACAGCCTGTGTAATGAGATGGTTGATAACGGCGGAACATTGGACTAAGAACTCGTTAGAGCCACTTGACAATTGCTTGCATTTGTACATACTGCTCGGCGCGGGCACCATCCAGTAGCCTCGGAAGGGTCTGCACCAGACACCATAGTAAAGGATTTCCAAGAGAACGAATGCAAAGGCGGTATATCCAGCAACCCATTTGACAGCTACGTTTTGCTTCAAGCTCATGCTACGCGCAAGTCAACAACAGCTCTAAACCAGGCGAGGGGAGCAACTCACGTCAGCCGGCCGTACATGAACAACAAGCAGGCTTTGACAATCCATAAAGTACCGCACTGCAGTTGCTCGACCACGAGGCCCATTTTGCTGCCATATTGCCGGTCTCGAATTTCTTGTTTAGACAGAGCGGGGACCAGAGAGGGATCGATTAGGTTGCTGACGCAATCGGCAGAGATGTTCAGGCAGACTACTAGCGCTGTGAAAGTACACTGGAAAAGAGATGGTTACAATGAGGATGAGAGTTTCGGGCATTGTCACTTACCAGTGCAAACCCCATGAGATAGTCGTCGAATTGAAGTCGTTTAACAGAACCCAATAGCATTGTTCGAGACACCCTGTAATCATGAATACGAGCCTTGGTGCGGATTCGCATTGGACACTTACAGTCGGGCAAGGACAAAAATCACCACAACAGCGTACCAACACCATGACTCCACTTTGAGTGCATGCATGTTGAACGATAGGCGCACTGAGTGGACGCGCAGAGAGGCAGAAACGAGGAAGTGAAAATATTGATGTATGAAGTCAAGACGTGCTCACTGGTGGTAGGAAAAGAGGTGCACAGGGTTTTATTGCAGGAGACAGGCAAGATGGCAGCTTCTTGCAAGTCATGGTGTCTCCAAGCATAAAAGATTAGGGACGAGATAAGGATACAGCCTCGTGCTAGACGATTTGGTGGAGAGACGGAGGGGTCCTGCGGCATCTCACCGTACACCAACAGGAATGGTCGCGCAATGCGAGCCTCGCTCGACGGCGGGGACTAGAGCGCTGGAGTCGATAGCGGAGGGTGCGACTCAGGGCATCAGTTACGAGGCCAGGCGTGGGACGGCATTTGGAGAGAGATTCCGTGAATGGGACGACAAGAGATGATCAGATTGGACACACGATAGACGCAATGCCCTCCCGCAAGGATACCGCGGGAGTTCTCCGGCCAGACAGAGCCACCACGACTCAGGATGGCATGGGATGCGCCTTGAAGGTTTGGTCCGGCGTTGGATCGCGTCACGCCGTCGATGCGGCTCCTAGCTCGTGCCGGCGCGCCGAGGAACTCGTCCCCTCTGGTGTTTGAATTCGAGATGATGTTGCAACCGCGCCAGGTACCGGCATCTTGGACACGAAGAGTTCCAGGGAAAGAGTCTCGTCTGTAGAAAGAACCGACAAAGCCCTGCTTTCGGGATCAATTGCCCCACACAGCGACGAGCCGCGAATATTCGGCGAATCCAGCGTGAAACCCTGGAACCGCGTACCTAATAGTGCTTGGCGATAGAGGCGTGCGGGTGGCACCATTCGTGGGCGCTGCTGCAAGATGTTTGGATCATCAGGACGTCCATACCACTCCAGCGGGAAGGTGACAGCCCTTAGTCGGAGACGTGTTGATCTCGCGTACACCAAGGCCGTGACTCGAGATGGACCCTTGGCTGGCGAATATGACTCTTTGAGGGGGTTTTGGTGGGCAACTTGACCTGCGTCTGTACAGAGTGGCACAGCAGGCGGCATCTGCCAGATCTCCACGATAGGAGAGCTGCGATGCTACAGCCTTGGCCGATCTGCGGGTCGAAGATCACGAGATAATCGACGTTGCTCCGGATCGCCCTGGAGCACGATCGGCGAACATGCCCGTCCCATGGCGAGCAGTGCACCTCGTTACCAACAGCGTTTGCGATGAGCGTGCGCTGTGTTGCAGAAAACATGCGACAACCACACTTCCGTCTGGGCCCGCTCTCGACCGACGGTCGGCATGCCCGACCGAGAGACCATTAGGCATATTTTTACTAGCATTCACACTACCCTTCATCCCTCCTCCCCGGCGCGGAGCTTGGCTCCTAACAAGTTCGACATGTTGCTTGGTCTGATGTTAGCTTTTATTAGCACCATTGGTTCTTGTGGCTCGCCCCAACGAAGCGAGGGCAGTCAGGCATAGCTTAGAAGGGGTTCGCTGCTGAGTCTAGAAGTTGTATAGGTACTGGTACAAGGGTAACTACCTCTGTAACTTTCGAGAAAGTCCGGATCTGTTGATCATCCTCCTCATCGAGAAACCAGCCGATTCGGAACATCTATGCTGGATCTCCATCTACAAGAGTAGATGATGGTCCAAAATACTATGTGAGACTCAGCTTCCACGTAGCATATACCTTTGTGCTGGTCAGAATTGTCACTATGCTCAGATATCTTGATTGCGTCGTCCCTAGTGCATTAAAGCGGTTCGTCTCGCGGTTATTCCCATCACGTCCAGGACACTCCGTCGCGTAGTGGGGCTCCGTAAGCACGTTGACAAAAGTGGGCATGAGCGTGCATAAAGTTTAATCGCTTTAAAGTCGGATGTTTCTAGAGCCTTGTACGCGCACCGAGACGAGTATGAAATCCGTCCCGACTGTTTTGGTCTTGCCTGTGGTGTTTGGATGTATCCCGGATTCCAGCGCAGTCAGGTCCACCGTGTATTATGGTATAGACCAGGAGGCTGTGAAGGGCTGTGAACTGGTCGAGCTGCTGCATTTGTTATCTGTGTTGCTGAGTTGGAGACGACGATTTTAGTCGAAGGCACATATGGACCGTCCTGATGATGGCGTCTTGGAGAGCGGGCGAATTCTGAGAATTTCGTCGGGTTACTTGACCTAAGTAAGTCGGATACGCCAGTTAGAGAATATGCTAGGTAAAGGTTGACAGCATAAAGTGCTTCGGCACAAGGCTGCGGACACCTGGTCTCAACTGCGTGAGAGCCTCATACCTTTTCGGAAATCTGAGGTAGACCTTTTGCGGACTGGTAGACGATGCCGGCTAAGGTGACCCCCCGAGTGGGCAGTGTATAGAGTCATGAAGGTGTGTCTCGTTCAGAGCTGTGAAAGTGTATATAGGTGCTTCAGACAGCGGTAGGCAAGCGTACGCAGATCTCCGACGAGCCAAGAGGAGTGCGATTGCACTCGTAGCAGGGTGCTGCCCTAGATCTGGGAAGGTATGAACGACAGATCCGATGGAACCTTATTGACTTGCTTGAAAAGACATAGAAAGAAGATATAGCTTCCACTCAGCGCAGTTTCAGCTTGCTACCACCGAGGAGCCGTCGAATGAAAATGACACCTTTGAGGCCACCGATTCTGATCCCTGTGCTACCGCTGTAGAAAAAGGGGACCAATCCGCTATGTGTAAGCAAGCTAGGAAAATTGAAAAGGGTAAAAAGAGAATACTCGAGTCCAAGTCAACGGTTACTACGATAGAGCGAGACTATTCATCTAGAGAAATTAGAACTCATTGTGTCCTAATTGAACTGCTTCCAACCTACTAGCCCAACGATGTGACCGAGTTTCTTTGCAAGAATCGGGAGCCTGAGCTCAACCGTCACACAGACGTCCAATTCAATGCGCCCCGGCTTGTCCATATCAAGGGAATAGGAAGTGGTAGATTGAACGATATCGTCGTGGCTCAGTCTCTGCATGATATCCCTTTTGCAATGATTTCAAGCTCCTTCTTATTCGGCCATGCGGGGGATCTGGCTTCCTTTCGAGCATACGAGATAGCTTAATTCTCCTTCATGGCAAGTTTCCACACTTTGGATCGAATTATCAGCCACGACCGAGTCTTCTCACCCGGCGTGGGGGTCGATGACGGGAGGGTTTGAAAGATCCATTTCAGTTGCTATCAGGCTTGTAGCAAAGGTCTGTAAAAGACAGTGCGACTAACTCGAAATAATATCCAGCGTTCGATGCGTCTACTCACCATGAAGTATTTTCGAGCTGAAATTATATCGGCTTCGGGTTCGCAAGGCGTCGAAGAAAGGCAACATATTAAAATGTGCGAAGAGACTTCGCAAGGTCTTCCACGCAGGAAAGGCGTGTGAGTCTCGTTGACACAAAACAGCACAAAAGAGCCTCAGACGCCTATTCTGTGGGCATCGTTCAGTACGGCGGCGGTCCATTTCGGAGTCATATTTTGAAAAGATGTATGCTGTGAGGCAAGCCTCCTTCCACACTGCGTGCCAAAAGCAACTCGCCCTCAGCTTCTCGCTGCCTTTATCAACATACACATTGATGATCGATGGAGTTCGCGAGACTGGCGGGTAAAGAAGAAATGTGATTGCTCGCTTCTAGTGCCTCACGCCTAAGCTGAGGATGTTTACTGGAAGAATGAAATAAAGTCTGGGTTGTCATTCTGAAGCCGGGAAAAGTGCAATCATCGTTTAAAAAGCTACTGTCTCTTTGCGATATCTCATTTATTTTCTATACTTAGCTTTTTTTGCGGCACATCTCTCTGGTCATCAGCCACGAGTTTCACGCCGCTTAATAGGTGTGCGATCAGTCCTTTCCACGCACATGTTCAATGTAAAGTCGACATTGTCGGCAACAGGCTTCATACACCGCACTAAGATCGACTATGTTAGCGCCACCCGTTCGCACACTGAGGATTCAAAAAGTGGGCTCATTTTGTAGGCGCTGTAAGAGAAAAAGAGAGACACGATTATTCTTATCGCCCTGCATAGGATCGACATGCCCAAAGAAAAAGAGGAAACAAGCATTTTGGCGCAGGAGAAGCTCGGAAGAAACTTTATAGAAGAGACCGTTACAAGCTATGAGCTAGAATATCAAATTCAGCTGGTTGAGACTCGTCGCATAGAGCAACAGGTAGAGCAGGAGCTCAGACGCCAGGAAGACAACCGACGATATCAAAAGGCTGAGCTAGAGAAGAAGAGAGGTCTAATGGAGGCGAGAATAGGAGAACGAGCATCGACGCTAGGAATAACCTGCCGGGGTGATCCGGTACGACGCAACCCCATTGAACGAATCAACCACATAGAAACCAACAGTCGCGGTGAACGGATCGTCAGTGGCAACACAAGCAGGGTCGCAATCAATGGAGAGGTTGCGAATGCAGGAAGGTACCTCCGTAGGGTTTCAAAACATGAGAAGAAAGGCGAATGCAGGCGCTGTGTGGGCTGTCATAATGGAAGGTGTTTTGTATTGTGCATACAGATGGAGCAGCTACGAGGACGCCATTAGGCCATTAGGTAAGCGAGCGACCCGTGCACTCACTTACGTAAGTAGTCACGTGGCTGTAGTCTTGTGATGCGCTACTTCCTTGTAGTGGAATGCGTCTGGTGGCAGAGGTCCCGGTACGGGCATATAATGGACTGTATCAATTGCAGGGAATGCAGAAATTGCAAAAGAAATGTCAATTGTAGGAATTGCACAACTGCATTGATAATCGGGATTGTAAGGACTGTAAGTTACTACCTATGTATTGTATGTCAGTTATAGGGACTTGGTGTAGATATAATTTATGTAGAAGATGACCGTAATGGACAGCAAATAGCACCTTCAAATAAAAGAGTGTGTGGAATACACGTCTGTGACTCATTTGTCGAGTGCATCAATGGTCAAGAACTTGCTGTTCAAGTTCGGATCGTGTAGCACGATTGTGAAGATCCTAGATAAGGTAGCCCACGCACTCGCATCCTCAAAAGCGCAGAAGAAATAAACCAGAAGATCCGTCTTGGTCATCAAATTCCTGAGCTCGTTAATAATGCCATACCTGAAGCGTTCCGTTCTTGCCATTGCCAGGGTTTTTGCCCTCTAATAATAATAGCAATCAGCCTTCCCAGCTTTTACGCCATTATCAGAAGTAAGAGGTTTCAAAGGTCTGATTTGCTCTTTGAAAGCGTATGTTGGAGCTTTCTCGGAAGTCATGGGGATTGTTGATTATGTGTACCTAGGTAGGGCAATGTTGAACACGCTTTTCGCAAGACGGAGAAATTGAGGCTGAGCAAACGGCACCTCGCGTACTCGCTGAATGGCATCACGAGAGGCCCGAGAATGCCGAAAGATACGACCCAACCCGCCGGACGTGAATGCAACGCCTAGAGAAGACGAGATGACCTTCGTTGAGTGCTAGGCCGTCAGTAAGCCAGAAAGTTGGACAAATGGAATTGAAAGAGGAAAACCGTCCAACAAATGGAGGCAACAAAGGACGTCGGGAACTGCAGCTGTGGGTGCACCTCGTCAGTCTCAGCCGAGATCACCGCGGGTGGATGACGCCGCGGCGCACAGAATCGGGCCCGAAAGGTGGCATCGACGCCTGCACGCCATTGCGAAGAGACACAGGATGGCGGTCAGCGCATCGTATGCTGTCCAGAATCTGACGACAGCGCTCTTGCTTGACGCGGGTCTGCTCCAGTGCAGATCCGGGAGTGAGTTGACTTGCAAGAGCGCATGAAGTGGATCTGTGCATCCTGGCTGGCTTCTGTCGTCGTCTTTGCTGTGGTGTTGCTGCAGGCCGCTGGCAGGCCGCGTCACTGGCGACCTGAGGTTTCTCCCCACATCCCCACCTCGATATCCATGAATCCTAGGACACGTGCTGACTAACAAGCCTTCTCTGGCAGTTCTCTCCACACTCCCTACACGCCAGATCATGAGTCGTTGCTTGAAGCATGTACGCAGCTGTAGACCAAGCTGTGAAGGCATGTGGAATATTATAAATATATATTTCATTGAAGGGAGAGCGTCAAGTGTTGTCCAGCCGTCTCGGGCAACTCGCAAGGCCTCCAGTCGATGGCGGCGCACCTGAAACGGGCCACGCCTTGTTGTCTGGGGTGCCGATCCAGCGGGAGGCCGAAGAAGCAGCCCCTGGGCCGACGCACGTCAAGGGCAAGCCCACCAATGGCGTCGTCGCGATTTGTCGCTGGGCGTCGGCTTCTTTGTGCACTGCCCCAGCCTCTGCGCCTGCTGCACGCCTATTCGATCAGCCGTGTCTCGCAGAGTGCTTGTTGGAGAACCAAGCTGACGCGTGGCCCTTGTCGCGGGCCTACTTTTGCTATTTTTCGCGCCTTCTTACCGCGTCGAGACCAAGGCCAGCCACGGATCCCCACCCTCGAGAAATCCGTTAGCGTAGGGGCATCATGGAGCCATCAACACCTAGCCACCGCATGGAAGCCTCTCCGACCTCTCACAGGCAAGCCGTCTCGGGGAATTCGCATGTCATCAACGGCTGCGCCCATGCATTCTCTTCTATTTCATCCCGTTCCCCGTAGTGCTCCTGTCCTTATAGGAGCTTCCCCTTCGCTTGCTCTGACAGCCGTTTGTATCTTCAAATAGACAAGCCACCCGTTGTTCATTGCTGCATTGGCCAAGTGCTTAACAAAGGCCTACCCCTGTCCTCGAACTTCCTTAAACCCAATTGTAAGACCACTGTGATTGTTTCACATCCGATCATATTTTCCAAGGAACGTGGCCGTCATGAGGACGATACTAGCAGCGAGTCTGCTTGGACTCGGTAAGACCAAACATCCAGTGTCCACCTTGAGGGAGCCGAGCTGACGGTCTCTTTCCACACAGCTTCCAGAACTGCCGCGCAGGTGTCCGAACAGTGCGCGACAACCGACGTCTGCTTCAAGCTGAACATCCCCTCCAACACAGCATCATCCGGCAAGGGCGACATATTCTTCCAAATCTCCGCTCCCAGCACATACCAATTTGTTGCGCTCGGCCAGGGCGACGGAATGGCGGACTCGAACATTTTTGTCGTATACACCTCATCCAGCGGGAAAAACGTGACGCTGTCACCGAGAAAGGGAACAGGGCACGTCGAACCCCAATTTAGTAGCTCTGCTGAAGTTACGCTGCTCGAGGGGTCCGGAGTTTCGAATGGGAAGATGGTCGCCAACGTTAGATGTAAGTTGACTGCCCATTTATGTGAGCCATCGACTAATAAAGAGCAGGCTCGAACTGTGACAGCTGGTCAGGAGGTTCCATGGATTTCACCTCTTCGAAAGGTAACTGGATACACGCGTTCAAGTCGGGAGGGGCACTAAATTCAGACTCTACGTCCGCCACCATCTCCCAGCACAACGCCAACGATGGGGACGCCTTCTCGTGGGACTGGGCTTCAGCGAAAGGTGGAGACAGCTTGAATCCTTTCGTTGCTGCTGCTGCCTCTGGCACTGGAACCTCTGCTACTGTTAAAGCTACTGGCAAGACGACGGCTGCTCCCACGGGTGCTGCCGCCACTAGCAGCTGCGTTCCCCGGCCTACCACTGGAACCTTCGCTGACAATGAAATATCTTCTGCTGTCGCGTCTGTAACCAGCTGGCCGTCTACCGTCCCCGTGGGCTGGGCAACTGCGTTCCCAACGAATTTCCCCTCTGAATGGAGATCTCACTGGCCGACCGCGCGGCCGACGGGTTTTGGCAATTGGTATAAGCGGGATGATACCAACTACTGCGAGTCCAGCGACCCGGGCAACAGTGGCAATATCATCACGCCTATTGTGTCTTCGAAGGTCACGCAGCAGAAGAAGATGATCGCGGCGCATGGAGTGCTCGCTGCTCTTGCGTTTGTCATTCTCTTCCCAGCCGGTGCCATCAGTATACGACTGGCCACTTTCCCCGGCGTTATCTGGCTTCACGCCGCATTCCAGGTTTTTGCGTATATCGTGTACATTGCCGCTTTCGGACTTGGCGTCTATATCGCGAATGAGAAGGATCTTGTATGTGCTCTTCCCAGATTCCCATCTAGCAGCCACTAACCGTCTCGTAGCTGTCCAATCACCATCCGATCATCGGGATAGTTTTGTTCGTTGTCATCTTCTTCCAGCCGATCTTCGGGTGGCTCCACCACTCCCTCTTCAAGAAGTACAACAGCCGCTCAATCTGGTCGCACGTGCATATCTGGATCGGGCGTATCGCCATTACTCTCGGAATCATCAACGGCGGTCTCGGCTTCAAATTGGCGCTCGACGATGGCGTGGGATCGCATAGCGGCATGATTGCATACGCGGTGATTGCTGCCATTGCCTGGCTACTTATGGTCCTCGCTGCAATCTTCGGAGAGCGGAGGAAGTCAAGAGCTGGGACGCGAGACGCGCCCCCGAAGTACGAGGAAACTACATCCATGGATACGCCGCTCCGGTCGATGAGTCGAGATAACGGACCACGACATAGATCGAACCCCAGCGATGGACAGGGGCCGGGCAGCACGCATGGCTACTATGGGGGACAGCGCCCGAAAGCGTAGTCTCACGTCAGACTGGGGCATGGAGTAATGGGTGGTTCTGGGTCAATTAGAGCGGAGGTCGTTACGAATTGAGAGATGTATATTTTTATACGCGCCATCATATGATTGGCAGATAGATAATCTAGTGAAATGAAATACCAAATGAGAAGTCCGAAACACTTGGCCTATGGCGCGTATAGAATATGTGAACCGTCTGAGATGCGACTGAGGACTTCTCTGTATAAAGCTTAACGTGGTCTGGGACAGGTCCACGGGTTCTTGTGCGGCCGGTGCCGCAGCCGTGCAGGGGCTTTTCTTGGCTCTCAGATCAACGTGGAAATGGTGTAGAGGGGCAGTTTCACACCACAACAAAACACGCCCGCACCTCCAGGCCCCTTCTATAAACACCCGCGTCGTCTTGTCGGCACTGCTGTCCATACCTATCTTCTCGTCTCACTGACCACGCCCAGAGGTCGCGCTCCAACATGGGAGAATCGAGGTACGCTTTCCCCCAGGCTGCTATCCCGAGCGCCGCCCCGGCTTCCATTGATGCTGTGCGCATTCCACACGAGCTGTGGCTAATATACTGGCGTCTCTAGGCAGGAGCTACTTGCCTGGCTGAACAACCTCCTCCAGCTCAACGTCACCAAGGTCGAGCAATGCGGTACCGGGTATGCGCCTCTGTCCATCGACCGAGTATTTGAGAAACGCTAGGCAGGAAGCAAACATCCGCTAACAATCTCGATTATAGGGCAGCGCTGTGCCAGATCTTCGATAGCATCTTCTGTAAGCATGGGAGATCTCTGCTAGCCAAGTCGAAAGCGATGCTAATCTGTCTGCGTCTAGATGATGTCCCGATGAGCCGCGTCAAGTTCAATGCTAACACCGAATACGCCTACTTGCAGAACTTCAAGATCCTTCAAAGTACGTCTCCTGTGCAGCACCACGAACCTTTCACCGCCCTCGCAAAGCATCCCACAACTACTAACGCCATCTCAACGCAGACATCTTCACGAAGCATGGCATCGACCGCCCCGTACCAGTAGAGGCACTGATCAAGTGCAAGATGCAGGACAATCTGGAGTTCTTGCAGTGGACAAAGCGTTATTGGGATCAGTACTACCCGGGACACGAGTACGACCCTCTGGCACGGCGGAAGGGCGCGGGCGGGCTGCCTGCAACTGGCGCCCCTGCTCCACGCGCGGCCACCTCGAGCACCGCGCGACGTGCCCCGGCTGCCAGTGCAGCGGCACCAAGGACTCGTACGCCTCAAGGAGGTGTAGCCTCCGCGGCCCTGAAAGAGGAGAATACCGTTTTGAAGGACACGGTGACGGGCCTGGAGCGCGAGCGCGACTTCTACTTCAGCAAGCTCCGAGATATCGAGCTTCTGATTCAGCAGTCCATGGACGCGAACCCAGACCTGGAGAAAGATGACGACGGGCTACTGAAGCAGATCCAGACAATCCTATACTCGACCGAGGTACGCGTCTCGCAATCGTCACTAGCACATTCCATGAACGCGACCATGATCACTAACTTTTCTGTAGGAGGGCTTTGAGATTCCCGCAGAGGTGGAGGGTGAGATCGAGGAAGAGACTTTCTAGATTTCGCATAACGTGTGTGTTACAGCGGGGTTCTGCATCTTCCATACGATACCTTTTTCTAGGGCTCTCTCTTTTCGGGACGAACTGATGACGATTTGCATGAGCGGGGTTCCCCCCTTTGGACCTTGCTCGTAGGGTGGATAAAATGGTCTTTGTGGAGGGAGACGTGCGGAAATACCATTTTGTGGTAGTCATTCTTGCTCCAAGCTGGTATCTTCTGCGATGGCAACGGGTAGCAGATTGCCTGATGGAGAAGGGAAAATCGGCCGTGGATTTGTATGCAATGCAGCATGGTTCTGGATTACTCGCCCCTTCGCTTCGGCCTATACGAATATGCTCGTTGCGCATCCCCATTTCTTTGAATTTTAGCACTTTGTTTGACCAGCCTGCTTTCTGAGGCATCACCCACCACTGACGAGCTAGGAAGAGGGCCAGACTTTGGGGTCGCTTGTTTTAACCCTGAGGTACCCAAGCGAATCTTGGTTTCAGCTCTCCTGCACTCCGAGACTTCGGGCCCCCGCTGCTGGAGCCTTGCCCTACTCAGCCCCACTACACAGACCTCAGATATGAACTGGCGATCAGACACCTCCAGCGAGACTCGATATCTTCTCCCGAAGCTTGAATACCCGCCACACCTGTATTCTTGCATTCCATGAATTTCCCTCCCACCTAATTCACCGTTTGCACCAGCAGGCATGTAGTTTCTCGTACAGGTCTTCAGCCTTACATAACTTCAGTCGGTTTATGCTTGGGATTTGACGAGATAGATACACCCTTAGACGTCATGGCAGCACCTCCAATCATCCATACTGTGAGTATTTCTAACTGATTTTGTGATAGAGAGGTGGATTTGAGCTGACAACCTTATAGATGATCCAGCCCGCAAGGCCGCCGTATCTTGAGTTTACGAGTATATTACAAGTATCTTTCACCTCGCAGAGTGAATTCTGACCACTGATTAGTCATTTCTGCCCGTTTACCCCTCAAGCCAGGTCTCTTTGCATTCTTCAGAGCTCGGTCAAATCATGCTGTTAAGGTAGCACTGCGTCGTGGAGCGCGACAAACCAGACAGACCGTATGCCAGCTATACTATGAAAATGGCAGTTTTTCCCCGGTGCTCTCTACTCGAAATCATTATTTGTAAGAACGTTTAAGGAGACGATCTTTCATAGCACTTGCTCATATCGAAATAGCGTAGGTGCTGTAGAAGATGATATACTTTGCTTGGAAGTCGTGTATCAGACCGAGAAAGATTCAGAGACTACTGTCGCGACTCAGATTTCATTCAAGGATGCTATCTCTGCCTCTGAAGTGAAAACAGAAATTGGTACAATGATGCACCTCAATGCATTTTCTTAAGAATGAACTAATGTTTCACAGAGCCCTTCGGTGCACTTTTCCCGTTGACTTTCACTTCCGCGTATCCACAAGATCTTAGTGTGTTTCTTTCTACTCGAATTCGATATATCACGACCCCAGATGGCCTCAGCCATCTAGAAACGATTCCTCGAAATCCGAAAGATCGGGCGACACAAATACTTGCACCACAGAACGCTGCCCAAAATGCGACTCTTCGCAATAACGCAGCGCAATACCAACGACCCGGTATCAAGACGCCACGAGAAATCATGGCACGTCAAGAGCGCGACAAACAACGTGCTGCGGTGTCGAACGCAGCGAGATTTACCAAAGAGCAGCAACGGCGGGCACAGGAGGACGAGGGAAGGAAGAGTGCGGAACGAAGACCACAAGCTGTTGAAGTTACTAGCAATACCAACCAGAGAAAACGACAGGATATACTTCCTATGGATCTCAAACAGCCGTCGATGGGTCCTGGCTCTCAAGGACTTGGTGCCCCTGAGACTCCACGAACAAGGCTCCGATGTACGCAATGTCAACGACAACTTGACGGGCAGCAATCGCTTTTCGAACATATGCATGAACAACACCCAGAAGCCAGTTTCTGGGTTTACAAGGACCAACATCTTTCCGATAGCCTAATCCGTTGCCCAATGTGCGAAAGCGCCTTTCAATCTACTACGAATCTTTTAGGGCATTTGAAGCAAGCCCATGCCGTTGATTGGGTCTATACAGACCGGCAATTAGGCAACGACCTAGCCCGGTGTCCGATATGCCAGAACTCTTTCCAATCTATCACTAATCTTTCGTGGCACTTGAAGCAGAGCCATGGTATTCAATTACTCCAAAGGTGTATACTATGCGAGCAACCAGTCTTATTTTCTGACGGACCAGCCCTCATGAGCCACGTTAGGGGGTCTCATCCCGCTGTACATGGTAGCCAACCTCGGGATACGCCTCTGACCTTTCGGAGATGTTCTACTTGCGACAGAGTCTTTCCCTCCGAGGAACGTGTCAGGGAGCACGAGATCGAGAAACACCACTTAGAGGCACCTGATCTAGAAAGCCCTATAATTTCGGAGCAGCGATGGAGTAGGGGACTCGGTCAGAGCTCGCTAGGGAGCATAGGAGGGAGCAGTCTAGCTGATCAGGTCAGCAACAGGTCGCTGACTCGGACGCCAGAGGAAAGAACCAGTGTCATTCAGCCATCTCTGGTACAGCAATTTGGGAATGTCCAAGTTGAGCATGACAATGCACTAGGAATCGCAAACATATCCAACATCTCCCTCAGGGGAAATCGCACTCCATCGTATGGTTCTAGGAATGCTCTCGAGTGGGCTACAGATTCCGGGAGCCCCTCAGTAGATGGAGAAGATACGGCTCCTGGTGCAAACATGTCAGACAGTCTCATGTCGGCGCACAAAGCTGGTGTTGACACACCTAGCAGTAGTGGGGACCCAGAGGTGCTTCGAAAGGATCATGCAGTGGTGGCGGTGACGCCAGTAGTTGATACTCCAGAGCTCCCACCTTTACCATCGTCTCACCAACCTCAAACGCTGGAAGTCGGCACTTTGAACAACCTGAAAACTAGCTTAGCTATCTCAGACCGCGCCCTGCCACCGTCTGAGAAACCTCGCGATCGAGTGATGGATCGACTGACTAACAGATTATCGTCGTTCTTCGCCATGCCGCGTGGCTCTGACAAGGGCTTCTCAGACGCGGAAATCCAAGAAATATCCGGCTTGCTGAGCGACATAGAGTGCAGTTGGAGTCAGGTTCCGCGAACGTACATAATTCTCCGTACCATTGGCCACCTTCAGGTCATAGAAGAGCTTCTTGCCGTCGACTTTAGCGACCACTGGTTCCCCGTCACTGTACGAAACCTTCCACCGACTCGATCTCTAACCCCATCTATCCGATCAGCCATTGTTGATAACCAAAAACTGATTCTTACGAAATCAATCGACTTGGAAAAAGGAGAGAACGGACGACACCGCCACTTTGAGCACGGTGACGTTCTCCCTTTCCAAGATGGCGATATTCTCGGTACCGGAACTTATGGTCGCGTCGACAAAGTCCTGAGTCTGATAAGCTACAAGAAATACGCCAGAAAGAGCATTTACCGCGCAGGCCAGTCCGCGGCCTCAATCCGCCAATTCGCAAACGAAGTCCAAATCCTCAAATCCATGAAACACCCCCATGTCGTCGAGCTGATGGGAAGCTACACCGACCCCGTCTTCTTTGCCATCATCATGTCCCCTGTTGCTGACATGGATTTCTCAAAATATCTCGAGATGTGCCAGCAAAGCAGCCACCATACCTTGCGAACCTACTTTGGTTGTCTCGCAACCGCGTTACAGTATCTGCATCGTAATAACATCCGCCACAAGGATATCAAACCCCAGAATATCTTGATTCATGGGAGTGACATCCTGTTCACGGACTTCGGCCTCTCGAGAGATACGACGGGCGCTGATAGCGCGAGCTCGGGGTTCACGGGGTATACGCCTCGCTACTGCGCGCCAGAGGTTACGGAGTACGACTCTCGCAGCTACCCGTCTGACATCTGGTCGCTTGGGTGCGTCTTTTTGGAGATGTTGGCAGTCCTCAAGGGGCAGCGACTGCAATGGATGAAGGACTTTTACGCAGCGCGTGGAACCGGGCAACCTTTCGTGCGTACGAATACCGAGGCGACTGTGCAGCTGCTCGCGGCGCTCGAGGAGATGGAACAGTGGTCAGATAATTCGGCGATCCAGTGGGTCGAGGACATGACGCAGAGGAGCCCGCAGAGGAGACCGACCGCTGCAGCGCTGGTGAAGGCAATCATGGGATCGGATCGGCAGCGGATAATGAGTCCGTGGTGTGGGCTGTGTTGCACGCACGAGGAGGAGCCAGCGAGGGGGGTGGATGATTTAAGTGATGAGTTTTTTGAGCGGACGGTGCGTTAAGGAGTTAGGGGTCTGCGGAGGCGATTACGAATGGTCGAATAGGTAATGTTTTTTGACGTCTTGATACCCCTAATTTCAGTCGTGCACAATACCATGTACTGTACAATCAAACACAATTCATATTCCTTTTAAGCTCGTGAGGTGTTTTTGAAGCAGTTGTGCTGATGAGAGAGCTATGGCCACGGGTAAGATAGACGAAAGTACGAATTGGGGGCGGTTCAGTGCTATCCGAGGTCACCTGTTCGTATAAAGATAGTCGCGTATCGTAGCACACAGAGGCCACTCTCTTCTAAGATATAGTGCCTTGCTATGGAAATCTGTACACTTTCCTGCCAGTGTTCGTGGAGTTTTAAAACACTAATAGAATTTGGGGGCAACGGATACACCTCCAATCTGCGTACACCCTGCTGACATTGTTTGCGGCACCCTCGCGGGTTTACTAGTTGTCCAAAATGCCAAGTTTTTCTCGCATTCGGAATGTTGAAAACAATGTGAAGCTCATCACGCGGCGGTAAACGAGCGTACGGGTTTCTATGCCGAGGCGTTGTACACCAACATAATATCCTACGAGGTATAGAGTGAATAGATACAGAGCAAGGGATGTATCTAGGTAGTCACCAAATTGCGAAATCTGAATTCCGTCCTCTGTGACACGGTTGTAGAATTGCTTTCTAAGAAGACGACTTGGCGAGCCATTTCGTCATCGCCATAGTTCGAGATGTCTTATTACTTGCAAAGAAATTGGGTCTTGCGATTTAGCCAAAATACGGAGAGTATATCTTGTAGTATTAGCAACCACTCGCAAAGAAGTTACATAGCAACAAGAACTTCTTGAAGGCCTAGTTTGTTCGGGAAACAATCAATAGAATGCAAGAAGATTCATTAAAGTTTTGAGATTCCCTATTTCCATACCTTCGTATCGATTAGAGTTTGACGCGTCAGCCCTATCAAGCCACTGCACAGCCTCATGGGTATCCTCTTGGCCAGCTCACCTCCCAGCTCAGCTTCCTCTCAACTCTCCCCCCAAACTACCTTTCAATCAAGCTAAACCACCAAAATGGGACGCTGGACAGACAGAGAATCTGTGAGCTGTTTGCCCAATCCGCTACTATCTCAGCTCACAGCTCTAGGACGAACAACGCCTGCCCGATGGCATGCAGCGCATCGGCTACGACGCCGACACGCAGCGCTACACATACCGCGATGCCGACGGCTCGCACTGGGAGGGCGAAGAGGGAAGTCAATATGGCCAACTCCATCCAGGTATATACCACCCCCGCCACCAGTCTATCGAGCGATGCTAACTCGCGTGCAGCTGGTGCCCGACCCCAATTATCGCCGGGGCAGGTAGAAGCACACGTAAGTACCGGCATCATTATTCCTCGCCTACCTCTCAGACGGTTTTCTGACATGTTCTGGGTGGTATAGAACGAGACCCTCCGCGCCGGCAACCGCCAAGCCTGGCGCTATATGCTCCCCTTCGCGCTCATCGCCATCGTCTTCCTACTTCTCCTCTTCCGCTTCTTGGACTCGGGGTCTTCGACCAAGGTGTTGACCTGCCTACCGAACAACCACCCGTACGAGGTTAGGAAGGGAGATACGTGCTGGGCGATTGCGGAGAAGTTTGGGTTGGATGTGGAGGGGTTGGTGAAGTTGAATTCGGGGTTGGAGTGTGAGAAAATGTGGGCGGGTAGTAAGGTCTGCGTGCCTGAGTAGAAGTCCGATTCGAGGAGAATATGGGGTGGAGGAAAATGGTGTATGTGTCTGGAGTCTGGGTATTGATGCTAGGCTGGACCGAGCATCGAGGAGTAGGCTGACGACTTTGGGACGCTGAAATCATTATGAGGCAAGTCAGGACTCTTTCTAAGCATTAGTTGTGCTGTGTCTTCCAACACAACGCAGGTTTTAGGTAAATACCCCTCCAAAAATGTATGTTTGTAACGCTGTTTTATAGGGGCCTTTTCCCGCCATGCTAAGAGCAAAGCCCTAGCCTTGCGTAAGCGCGCCAAGGCTCTATCTAGTAGCAAGGTTTAACCTTACTACTAGGACGAGCTTAATTACCACCCCCCTATTCTCTCCGCATCACCCCCCTTTTCTCTTCCTGCCACCCCCCCTACATCTAGCCTAGCGCCGGCCCGTATTAAT